GTTAACAATTTTGTTTTTAATCTCTTTAATGTTAAAGTCTCTCTCTCTTTCTCTTTTTCTCTCTTTCTTTCTTTCTTTCTTTCTCTTACTTTATCCCTTTTTCTTTATATTAAATAATTGTAATTTTGTTTATATCTATACACATGTTTATTATTGTGTGTAAATTAAAAGTAAAAAATATAACTTTTTTAATGTTTTATATTAATATAAATATTAAAAGTAAAGTGACTAAAGAAATATTAACTTATACAAAATTTGTTATTTTTCTAAAGTATACTACAAATTGTGTGATTTTATGAAATGCAGGGAAAACCATGTTTTATTGAAAGATAAATTCAATTTATTTAACTAATATCAAAAGTATACTAAATTATACTATAAATAGCAGCAGAATAGATGTAATAAACATTAAATTATAAGATATTATATTACATTAGAAAATGTTGAATACATTGTCCTGTTTTTAATGATATAAACTTTTATTGTATTTGTATTAAACAGTAGTTTTATTGCTATTCAGTTCTATATTTATAATATTATAGTTATTTTCAATGCCTGTGATTAATGAATAATAAAATATATATTCACTACTTTGTCTGAACATTAAATAATGTAATTAACTTTTATATTCACAACTATATTATACAAAATTCAGTAAATTTGTGAATTATAAATAAATATTTTAATAAATAAGTAGATTCAATTATAATTTGTTTGTTATGTGTTTAATCTATTAAATGTCAAGTTAGCAAATAGTTTTTATTATTATTTTATTATAATAAAATTATTTATTATAATAATTTATATTTTTAAAATTATAATATCAATAAATATAAACAATATTCAATATAGTTTACTGTAAACGTATATATATAAATAGCATTGTAATAGTAATAATAATTAAGAAATATTATTCATATAAATTATTTTAAATTTAAATATTTTGCGTTTCTAACATCTTAGTTTTTTAAACATTAATTGTATTAATTTTATTATCATAATTTAAATAAAATTTTAAGAAATATTATTTCAAAGATTATTGCTAATTGAGCATTAACTCAAAAGTGCAATTATCTTAAAAATATAACACAATATGAGATTAAATATATTTATTTGTATGACTAGAGAATATTATTTCATATATGCTTAATGTATACAATATTTTTAATGGACAAATATATATATAAAATTTACATTGTATTAATATATTGTGTATTTTATAATAAAATGTCAAAGTTTACAATAAGCATATCATTATAGTAATACAATCAAAATAAATTATAAATAGTATTTTTGAACTAAAACTGTTATGGTTTGTACAAAAATCTTAAATTATAGGAATTAAAATATTAATTTATAGCTGTAAAGACATCAAAATTTTAATCAACACTTAATGTACTTAAAATATTATAAAAGATATAAATTTATTCCGAAAAAATATTACAAAATATTTCCATTAATATTATAAAATAATGTAATTATTTAAATTTTTATAAAATAAATTGATTAATCATCTAATATTAATTACTGTAGTTTCTTTTTGTTATGATAGAAAATTTTCTTTAATAATTTAGTATAAAATTATTTAAAAAACACTTTACGTAACATTTTTTTTAAATGACAGTACAATTGAATTATAGAAAATATCACTTTTTACATAAAATTTATCATCACATTTGCAATATTATATTGTAGTATAATATATTAATATCATTTTTCATTGTTACTAATTTTAGTTCACGAAATAGCATTAGCAATGAATGTATGCTTTTAAGGATATCATAATAAAAGCTATTAAGACTATCGTGTGTTTGTCTGATCTCATTATCTGAATTTCTTTTATAACACATATAATGTTGAAAATATTATTTTTAAACAGAAACTTTGTTAATGAAATATTTAATTTATATAAAATACATATTGAATTTGTTATTAATTAATTAATTTCACAAAATTACTATTGTTTTATATTTTTTATCAAATCTATTTTATTAAGATTTTATAAATTATTATAAACACACAGTAAAGTACAGTAAATACTTTATATAATTTATTATTAATAATTATTATTATTATTAAAAATCAAAAACTAATTTGTTTTATATCAAATATATATATAATATATAAATAAAAACAATAATATTTAGCAAATATAAATTTATATTAACTTATAATTAAACATATTATGTTAACAAATAAATCTTATAATGTTTCTAATTGTAATAGTTTATTAAAATAAAATTTTTCTATATTTATTATACTTATTTATACTCATTTTAATTATCGTAAAATATAATTTAATAAAAGTAATTAATAAATATAAATAAATATAAATAACAAATGTTTAAAATATTTAATTTGTATAATTTATTTTCATATACCTTCTCATTTAAAACCATGATTAGTCCAAAACGATTATTTGTTTTATAAATTATAATATGGATAATCATAACATACTTTTTTACACTATAATCATTAAATTAAAAATTTCTGTTTAATACTTAATATATTTATAATATTTTGTATTCATTTTGTATTACAATCTAAAACCTATAACTTTAAACATTAGTTTATATTTCTTTATTACTGTACTTTGCATTACATTATATCATATATAAAACAAAATCTTTTCGTTGATTAATGAATAAAATCATACCAACGATGTCTTGTGAATACATTTGGGAATACTTACTGTATTTTATTATTTAACTGATAAGTACAGTCTATTTCTGTTTAACTGTCAATTCACTCTACTATTTGCTACTACAGTATACAGACTGTAGTCTATTCTATAATATATTGATATCAAAAAAAGTTTCGTTGAAATATCTATTTTCATCAATAATTAATTTATCAAAAAAAAGGTAATTAATTAAGCAATATTTTTATTTCAATTCATTTCGTGTATTAATTAATTAATTTCAAAATATTTTTAATTATATGTATAATGTATAATGTATTAAGAATACATTATTATAACAATACATTGATATACATTAATTTATATCAATACTATAATTCATCAATAGTTGTCACTCATTTAAATATGTTTTTATAACAATAAAAGGCAAACATTTATTGATAGAAATGTAGTCTAACCAGAAATAAATTGAAATATTATAAATACATGTTATAGCGATAATTAGAGACTCATATTAAGGAAAAGTAATTTTATTTTTTGAAATTATATATTTTATGTAAGTTATATAATAAGATATAATTAATATATAAAGTTAAAATTTTATAATATTTTTGTAATTACAGTAATACAAAAAATATTTGTTATTAATTTTAAAAATGATTTACATACAAAACTCGAATGTATTATTATGGTATATTATATCAAAATTTAATTTAAATACAGTTTATTAAACTATTTTAATTTTTTATTATATTATTAAAATACTGTACAATATTCTACATAAATTCATGTAAATAATTTTATGATAGATAATTGTATAATAAAATTTGTTTTCATAAAAAAATCTCTTAAAATTTTAAAATTGAATTTAAAAAACATAGCTTTTCTCTAAAATGATATATTTAAAATCAAATTACAATTAATAATTATTTTATATTAATATGATATCATATTTTTAAAATTCATTAATATTTTTTATAAAGTGTAACATAAAGTAAACATTATTAATATAGAGTATAATTAAATATCCAGTAAATAATTATTTCTTGCTATAACGTACATAATGTATACTAATATATATTATATAGATTTGATATATTTATATAAATATAGTATTTTCAAAATATAATTAATTTATCATATGCAGTAATATAAATGTTTTATGATTATAATATAAAATATTTATTACCTAATATGATATATTTTTATTAGTTATTTGCATCAATTACTATTTATCTACTGCTGTATTATTTGGAGTAAATTAATAATTAAATAATTGATTAATTAATTATCAATGTTATGAATAATAAATGTTATGATTGTATATTAGATTTGTAAAGTGGTATTGAAATAACAATTTTGTGTTTATTATTAAAAATTATTACGTAGTCATAAAAAACACAAAAATATCACATTTACATATTAATTAAGAAAAATAATTTACAATTAATAAGAGAATAAAAGACTAAGTTATTTTTAATAAATTTAAGCCAGCTAATTAATTTACAAATAATATGTATTGTTATTTATCAATATTAATAAATATATTATTTAACAAACAAAAAAACATAAATAAAATCTAAATAAGTATATGTATACTAATTTATGTAAATTTTAATTAATTGACAATCTTAAATTTATTAATATATAGTATATATATATATATATATATAACATGATTAAATATTTGACATTTAACTAGATTAATTATTATATTTGTTATGTTGCATATAAATTTTAAGATTACGCTAATTAATGAATTATTAATACAACAAAATTATTATATTATAAAATGTAGTATTAATACAATATTGCATTTATTTTTTGAACTGTAAATTTACTTTTTAAAAATGTAACGTTATATATGTGAGATATAGAAATTTGACATCAATTGTTGCCATAAATATTGGTATTAATACAAAATAATGTATAATATACAGTAAAAAATACATACATTTACATTACAAAATATAAAATACAATATACAGTATAATATACCCCATAATCTAATATTATTTATTAAATTAATATTAATATTACCGGTCATCTATGCTATTAGTTATATATGTATGGCTTATATGTTGACATCAATACAGTGATTATAATCATATAAATTGTTTATTAGATAACATTGATGTCTCAAATAACAAGTATTTCCTATTAATTTATATTAATATTATGTTATGTTTACTAATAACTGACTTTTATTGGACTTTGTTTTGAATTATTTTTTATTATTTGTATTCAAAGTTATTATTATTTAGACTATTATTTTTTGTAACAAATATAATATAACGTAATATTAATCAAAAAAAAAAGTATTAATAATAATAATAATAATAATAATAATAATAATAATAAAAGCATTGATAAGTATGTGAAGTGATTAACGAATATCTGAATCACTATAGAGATAGTGATATCACTCATGAGTTTCAATCAAATAAACGGTAAATATTTGAGTCATTATTTTGTCAATTAATTAATATTTGAATATTCATGTCATCAATGACTTTATAATCAGCCAATTGGTCCATAAATTATCATTTTTGACAACAATAAGCCATACATACACTCATACTGTTGATGACCGCTATTGATCGGTCAGTCAGTGATCCGATTGACGCACACAATGGCAGACAAGAGACCATTTTTTAAGAAGTTGACCAAAATATTTAGCACCGCCACCGATGGTGCCAATCATGCGGTGACCACCAGTTTAGACACACACCGGGAACAGATTGACTCATCGGCCGCATTGGACTCATTCAGAGCTCATTGGTCTCAAGCGTACGAATGTATGTCTAATAAAATATTGAATGAAGTGACGGCCGATGACATCACATCAGTGGTCAATCATATCGACCAAATGCTGACACTATTACTTCAGGAGAATGACTTCTTGTCAATGAATACCCGATCCAAACATACAACTGATCCGACATCACATATAATGAGTCCACTGTTGGACTACTTGTTAATTGAATCAATTCTGGAGAAAGTGTTGAACTGGTCTGAAATGTGCGGCGCGTGGACTCAAGTGATGGCTTTGGAACAGTTGAAGGTCTATGAGATGCTCATCAGTCAGATCTGTCACAATTCAACACTATTTCAACGGCCACTTATTCGTCCACTTTTAGGTCTATTGTCGAGATTTGTGGACAAGAACTGTCACATCGAAGTTGAAAAAAGACTTGTCGTACTTCTCAACACTATATTTGTATCTTTGAGTCAAAATATGAATCTTTTGGATTTGTTTTTCTTGAATGAACCCATCATTTCTAGTCATCCCGAAACTAAATTCCTAGTATTCTCACTACTCATACCGTTTGTTCATAGAGATGGACCCGTTGGCCAACAGGCCAGAGATTCAATGCTCTTATGTATGGCATTTAGTCGAAAAAACGAGTCGTTAGGCAGATATGTAGCCGAAGAAACTGATTTTTGTCCCGTTTTGGCCACCGGTTTGAGCGGTTTGTATTCATCGCTACCTCGAAGACTATTGATGCAGTCAATAGCATCAAGTGATTGGCATCAGATCACTATTGAAGACATTCAACAGAATCCTGAATTGGAAGTGTTTCTCAATTCATTAGAGTTTTGCAACGCTGTCGCACAAATAGCCCCTCCAATCATACAAAACCAATTGTTAGACTATTTTTATAATGGTTTTCTGGTACCTGTCATCGCACCCGCATTACATCAGGTATAGTGTTTAACAATTTATTTGTGTCTTAATTATAAATGTAAATATTTGTATCCAAAATATATTTATAATTTATTGAGTTTATCATAGCAAATGAAGAGCAATTTAATTATATAAAAGTTTATATACTGTAGTATATGTTTTATGTGTCTAATTTGTGGCTTAAAATTTTCTCTTCAAATGTGTTGCTATCAAATAGGAAGTGGTTGGCGTTCCCATTATAGTGTTGGAGCACTTATCCCGATATTGGGTTTGTATTTAAATGCTTTTTAAATGTACAGTACTTTTATCGCATGTTTTGCATGATTTGCACGTCTCTTATATCTCAACACATATTTCATGGTTTTATGGTCTCACTAATGCACTCACAACTTGTTGTTATATATTATTGATAATTAAAGCATTTGTTTAACCAATTGTTTTTGTGGATAAAACTAATTTTGTTATTAACATAAGTTATGTTGTAATGTTTATATAAAAAATAATTTTAATGTTAATGAATAACTTTAATAATAATTCATTAACACTACTGGTACTAATTATTTAATCATTTTTAAATTTAATTTATTAACATAATGCTGTATAATATATATATAAGATAACATTATATGATATTAATATAAACTACATTACAGAACACTGTGGAGGAAATAATAGCGACGACCGCGTACTTTGATCTCTTAATTCGTACCATTTCTGAACCAAATCTTTTGAAAGTAATATTGAAATTCATTTGCACCGAGAAATATGAGGAACAGCTTATTATCAATACATTAATTACAAGAATCAGTGCTCACTCTAAGGTAATAACTGTTTAATAATTTATTAAACTTTAACTAATTTTATTTTTTATTGATACTGAAGTTGTGTTTACTGACTTTGGCTGTGTTTCGGTCATTAATGGATTTGAATTGCGAGGACGTATTAATTGAATTAATTTTTAAGTATTGCAAACCTATATTTAATGATTGTTATATTATTATTTGAGAGACTGATTGTTATGAAATGATATTTTGTAGATATTTAAAGATTGGAAAGCATGTGATCGGCGGTATTGAACATCAAAAGAGACGAATAAATGATACAAACTTTTTGAACGATTCGGCCAAACGATTCCTATTATTAGTTCCCATATGTTGTCAATCATTGCAAGAAAAATACAACGAAAACACTAAAAACGATAATTTTATTCATGTGGACAACAATTTAGATTTAATATCACAAAATAGCTCACAAATAGATAATTACGATCAAAGATCAACCCATGAAATGCAATATATATTTAATTATGTCGATTATTTGAACGAATCGCATAATATCATATCCAAATGTTTAAGAGCCACCCGGTGCTGGACATGTCGTTACGAAGCACGTAGTTATAAAAATGCTAATTCCTTATTAAATAATAATAATAATAATGTAAATAATTGCAATACAAACAATATTAGTGCCAACAATTGTATAACAAATAATAATAATATTAATGATACAAACTTTAGCCATTATGTGCCTAATTCTGACTCAAATGACAACCAATCAGACAATGAAGATACTGAAGAGTATTTATCACCAATTGGTCCATTTCTGCAAAGTTTAATGTCTCGATTAGAAGCCTTCTGCGAGAACGATGTTTACACTAATCTACAGATCACGGGTTTGGTATCCCGTTTGGCGGTATTTCCGCTGCCATTACTTCGTTCACTTCTTTTGAATCCATCGCTGATATTCCATAAAGATGTCAAATCATTATTGTCTCTATTGAACGAATTGCGTAAAAAATTAGACATTTTGTCCCAAGAATTGCCTAATTTTGATCAATTGATGCGAAGTGGTCGACAGTTTTTGTACTCWCGWGAAACACGAATTTTAAACAGAAAGCAAAGTTTTAATCAACATTTTGATAAACAAATCCCATATAATTCAAGACCCAATCGAAGCAATAGTATTAATAGTTTGTCTTCCATTAGATCAGATGTTGGAGGAGAAGGTATAGAAAAAGTATTGATTTTTTGAATACTAATCCTATTATTTTATCAAATGTAAAGTTCTTAAGAAAGGATTTAAAAACTTTAAAGACTTATTTCGTTCAACACCTAAAATGATGCGAAGAAGTACAACAACTCAAGGTATTTGCCAACAAACCCCTCCAACGATACTTGAATCAGTTTCTGGAGGACAGGGATATAGGTATGAATTTTTAAATATTAATAATTGTTAATTAACTTAACGTTTGTTATAAAATAAAAATTAGATATTTTAAACCGATTGAGTCAACGGATCAGGGATTAGATGCCAATGAGATTGAAGAGACAGAAAGGATAGAAAAGATTGTTTTAGCAGTCATTGTCTTTGAAGAGTTTGTCCGCGAATTATCTGCCATTTGTTGTGAACACTATATTCTTGACTCATTAGAGTCGATATCGGTTTGTGAATGAGAGTCAAGAGGTCTCTCAAAATGATATTTCTATTATATGTGCCAATCATCACATCATTGTCTTATAATTCACACAGAATTTTATTTGTTATTATTTTTGTTGCTTTTTAGTGATTGACTATTTTAAAAATGATAAATGGCTCAAAAAATTATGAAAAGATAGTATTTATTGATTATATGTATCATTTATTTAGCACAAAACGTTTGAAAGTATTAAGTATCGTTTAACCGGTAATTTGCTGTTTTTTATGATTAAATTGTTTAACAAAACAAACAAACAATTAGATCAATGAACAAACTGTTGGAACAAACGTCTATAAATGTATTAAAATTATTTGTGATTATTATTAATAATTTATTGAATATTATATAGACTAGAGAAAGGATAAAATTATTTGTTGTTTTTAAAAGAAATCTATTAAATATTTTATTACTCTATAAATGTGCAATTAATTCATAATAATATTAAATAGTTAAACCAATATTTTGCACCCAACACTTGCATGTCGATATTATTACAGTAAATTTATATTTATCATTGCATTTCAATGTATATCAATTTGCCGTTCAATTAAGTGATAAAATTTGATTCAATTTACACAATGAAAAATTTTTGATGAAATATTTTAATAATTTTTTTTTTAAATATTCGTTAAAAGTAACATTTGTTTACAATATCAGTACAGATAATCATAAACTATTTAAATTCATTTTAAATAAGTACTTAACATTTGCAATGAACGATATATATATATATTTTTTTTAATTTCCACAATGGGATACTGTATTAACCAAAATTATACACAATGTCACTAATGATAATTATATTACCGGTACTATTTTATTTGTCCAAATAGTTGTCCAAATATATTTAATAAAATTATTTATAACAATCGGTAAATATTTATAAAATGCCTAAAATAAATATTAATTTAATAACGACATGTAGCTGTTATCGCCAAAATATATAAATAACTAAATTTTATTATCAAAATTATAATTATATTAATATGACTTAATTTTTTTGTAAACATATTTAATAAAGATTTATTAAAGATGACATATAAAACATTATTGACTAAATAAATCTAATAATAATATTATCAAACATTTTATAAACTGAGCAAATGTTGATTTGCAGTCAATAACTTATTATTATTATTATTACAATCATTTGGTTCATCACTGGTATCACTATTTTTAAGATAAGTACTGAAAACAATACCAATAAACAAAATCCAACCGATTTGTGTGTTTTGTTTGAATTTATGCCAACAATCTTCACGATCGTTGATATTGAGTGTCAGTATTTGGCGAAACAAATTCATTGCCGTAACACTAACTGCCGTATAGTATGGCCAACACTGACCAGTATTTAGTCCGGTAATGACAAGACTAGAGCACATGAGTGCGGAAAATCCGGTCAACCATTTGTTTGTATTGTCGCCAAACTTAATAGCGGTTGACTTAATGCCAACCATAAGGTCATCGGCTTTGTCTTGATGTGCATATATTGTGTCATATATTAATGTCCAGCAAATGCCAGCCGTATATAATGGCAGTACAGCTGACCAATCAATGATGCCGTTAGTGACCACAGACCAGCCTAGAAGTGCTCCCCAATTGAAAGTCATGCCTAACACCAGTTGTGGCCAATGAGTGAATCGTTTAAATAATGGATAAATTGTTACCAAACTTAGAGAAGAGGCGCCCAAAATAATGCTGTTTATGTCAAACTGTAATAATATAAGAAATCCAGTGCCGGACAGTCCACACAAAAGCATAACCGCATCGGTAGTACTCAATTGATTACTGGCCAGCGGTCGGTCTTTGGTTCGCTGAACACGTCTATCAAAATCTTTATCCCAAAGATCATTGACTACACAACCGGCACCTCTCATAACAACTGCTCCCAAACCAAACAATGATAAAGTGGTCAGAGATGGTAGTTGTGTGGCGGATGTGGCCAACGATACGCTCCAAAATCCCGGCCACATCAGTAGCCACGCACCCGATGGTCGATCTAATCGCATGAGTCGTGCAAATGGTTGAACAGTCGTCGGCAACGATGAGACACATGTTTCGGCAATTGTCTTGTGTTTTGATAATACATTTGTCACTGAAATATATCGTTCAATATTCTTGTGGAAACACATCTCATGCGATGATAATAATAATAAACGTCTCGTTTGTCTTATGGCTAACAATAAGTTGACATTCATTTCAATACAACTTTTAATAATAACTTTCAATAATCATCTCATTTGGTAATCACTTACAGTATATAACATAACATTATGTCATTAAATAATAATTATTTCAATTCAATCAAACTTTGCATTACATATAATTTAGTTATTAATTATCAATGAATGAAAAAATCAATTATTAGTTACTATTATATAAAACATGTATTAAATTTAATTTAATATGAATTTTACGGTTATATTCAAACACATGGATTGTTTTGATTTTATTGCATTTACACATCAATTACGATAATAATGTAAATAAAAACAAATCTTTAAATATAACTTCAATTATTCAATACTGAAATAATTATCAGTAGATTTAAAATATCAACAAAAATTCAACTATTTTTTCATAATTTGTATAAACATTAAGTTTTAAAAACAAAACAAATTTTGCTTAAATCAGTGAAGCCTTTATTCAAATTCACTATTTGACTTGTATTGTGAATAACACAAAAATATAAGAAAATATATATACAAATAGCAATTTTAAGGTATGTTATAAATATTTTTAAGTCTAAAATTAACGAAAAACAATATTTTAAATATAATAATAAAAATTATTTAAGAATCATATAAAGTATACAACAGATACACATAAAATTAAATTATACAAAGAAATCATTCATTCATTTGAGGTATTAAACATTATTATTATTATTATTATTACTTTAATTGTGTTGTTATAAAACAAAGTTATTTATAATAAAAGAGAAAAAATGATTAATAATAACATGAAAAATAATTTTGATTGGAATGTGGATTCAAAATAAATCCATTTGAGAGTCGATACAAATTACAAAGTTTACGAAACAAATTTAGTTTTGAGTTAAATATATGTAAATTAACGAAAAATCATTTTTTAGTAATTAATTTAAATTATTCAAAAAATTAAAGAAACCAAATAAATCTATTTATAATACAAAACATAATTTATAGTTAACTTAAATCCTATAAATGCATCAATTCTTTGAGCAATCGATTAAATTGACGGGAAGTTTCTTTTTTCTTGTCTTCATTTGAGTCGAACGGATCTCATACTTGTATCTCTTGTTTGGTTGACTTTTAGCGGCAACAATGAGGGCATCAATGGTAGCATTTGTCACTTTGTTGCAGTTCAACAAATAGATAGAACTTAGTGTTGGACACGACTGGATCAGTGATATCACAGAATCATCACTGATATTCTCGAAAGACTTCAGTGAAAGCACTTCAAGACGTGGAAACTGATTAAAGCATTCAATCATTGAATCGGTCGCCGACTGAAGCGGTGCGTCCTTAGCGTGAAAATAAAATTTTTCTAAATTTGGACAAAATTGAGGCAATTTTCTAAGTGAGTAATCGGTTAATGTATTGAAATCTTTAATCGTTTCGTAGCGAATAAATAAATATTTCAAACGATTACATCCCGTCATTATTTTAATCATTTCAGTGTCCGTTAAATTAAATGAATTGCAATCAAATACTAAGTCCGTTAGATTAGTCAGTAAACCAAACATTCCGTATTTAATATTTCCTTCTAAATAAACAACAAAAATATATATAAATTTCAAAAAACTCAATAATAATAATCAGTTCTCATAATTACTCGATGGTATTGAATAGCGAAGTGTTTGAAGTAAAGGTAAGTCATTGCAAATTAACTTCAAAATGTTGTCCTGACTGTAGAGTTCATTATAGGCGCAAATATTCAATTCAGTTATGAATTTTCCACTTCCATTAGTCAGAGATCTTAAGCAATCCATAAGTGGCTATTAAAACATCAAATTAATATAATAATTACTATTAGTTAGTTAAATAATAACCATTTATCTATAATATTAATACTAAATAAACAAAAACTTACCGGAGTTTTGTCGTTAGTATTCAATGAAAGTGTTTTAAAGTTTTTGGTTAACTTTCCCAACGAAATGCCAGTCACTTCGTGGCAGAAACTAATCGATAATTTTTCAATTTTCTTACATCCAGTTATCACATGATTAATGCCAACTTCTGTAACATTACCGCAGCCACAAATGTCCAATTCTCGGAGATCGGGACAACTTGTGGCCAGTTTAGACATTTCCCTATCACCGACCCGTGCTATCAATAAAAATAATAATTAGTTATTATAATAATTATTTTTTTTAAATAAAATAAATAATATTTACAATTATATAAATTAAGATTAGTTTTAGTGTAAAATCCAGGCATTTTGAACACTTGAAGATTTGGACACTTCTTGATAACACTACTACACACTGCTTTGGTCAGCATTTGATCACCTGATTGTCAAATAATAAAAAACAATTACATCAGAAAATCTGGTATTCAATCAATTGAAACAATCAATTATATTACTATTTTCGCCAAAAGTTGATCCAACAGTAAATAACTTTTGGGCTCTTAATAGTCTGAAAACCAATTGTTCAAATCGTAAGCTCACTGATTGAAACCAAACAAAAATTAAAGACATTAAAGATGTGATTAGTAAACAAAAACAAAACAAACCTCTTTGAAGCGCTAATTTGTCATGAATTGTGGTTAACTTATCAAAGATTTCGAGCAGACAATCATCGGGCAAGTGATTGATGGTCAGAGTACTGGCCTTTTCACCACTTCTTCGACCAGATTTGTTATTGTTTTGAGCGCCTCTTCGGCGCAAATTATACGACTTATTCGGCATTTTTGTAAACTTATGGATCACTAAAGTCTGACTCATATTAGATTCATTCAAATCGGATAACTCTTCACAGTTTTGACCATTTATTAACTGATTGTCATTTAAGTTCACGTCTTTGTCTTCACGTTTAAGGCGTTTGGCTTTTGATCTCAAGTCATACTGATATCGGCGACAATCGCCACCCGATTGCCGACTACTACGCAATCGTTTGGCCATTTAATAGACACTTATGATATGGTTTGCCAAACAACTAATGGATGATAATTAGTAAATCCTATCAATGGTTAAAATGATGAAAAAGTTGGCATCAAATCAATCACTCAATTAATCAAATGCTTTGTGTGTTTGTATTGAAAGTCATTAAAGCAATCGTTTGATAAACATTTCAATGCATTAAAAGGCAAAACCATTGCATTTAACACTCAATTAATGGCTTAAAGCAATACATATGTAGAGGACCTCTGACTAGAGGTCAACACCAGTGCAATACAATAGACAGTGAAAGCACTGACACTTCAATAGGCATTGATTGGGATTTCCCCCAAACTTTCAAAGTTTTTTATATATATTTAATTTTAATTACAATTAATTAACAATTTGTTGATTATATTTATCATTAATAAAATGTATTACATTTCAAAATTTGTTAACCACTTTATATGTGTTTAATATTTACAGTATTAGTAAACAGTCATATCATTAAATTAGATATGATTTTGTCATTTTAATCGCTATCTAAAAGTTTTATACTGTTTTATAAGTTATATTTATATTACTGTAATATTGTAGTTAATAAACATAAATCCAATATTAAATTTCAATTTATATAATTTTAAAATATTTTTTTTTATTTTGTTCAGTGAAATATTTCTAATTATATCTTAATGTAAGAGTAATTTTATAAATCTACAAAATATTTTTAACAAATATCAAATTTTCATTAAATTATTTTTAAATCATTATATTTTAATTTAATTGTGAAAGTATTTAATTTAGCAAATAATTAATATATTATATCAATTGTATTGAGCACTGTTGGATAGGGAACAGTAGAGAACAGTAGGAATGACTCAATTATTTATTTGAATATTAATTATAAATTTATCAGTAGGTCATCCTTTAGATTACATTTAATGTCCTCTTTATTATCTAATATTTGAACAGATATTCATTAATTATTTTGTTTGTCTATAAATAAACTATTTTAATGAATTTAGTTTTTATCGATAAAATAATATGTTTTAATAGAGTATAACATCATTTGTAAGTATCTCTCATCAGAGTTAACTCCAATTTAATTGAAACAATGAATGTCTTAAGCACTTTGTTAATAATAGTTGTCATATTGTTGGGTCAAATGTTGTCGACCACAGGTAATCCCAGTCCCGATCAGAAATTTATTCAAGATTTTGAAAAATTTATGGATGCGTTTTGTGGTAAATTTGATTATTATTATTATTAGTGATTATGTATGAATTGGTTTTAAAAATTAAAATATTTTAATATTCAATTGATTTTCAAAAGTAACTCAAGACATCCCATCGGAGATATTGAAAAAACTTGACGAATGCGATGCCATAGTCTTCTCGAAAGAAGGAAAACTAATGGAAAACGAGTGTATGATTGAAAGTTCGCCCAAAGGATCCACTGTTAATGATAGACGAAGATTGTGGTGCTCTGACCAACAATACTATCAAAAGACACGAAACTGTTACGCAAAGAAATTGGAGGCAAAACACAAAAAGGATGGCAATGTTGGCGAACAGATATCCGAAGAACAGCTCAGGAATGATACCCTAAGAGCTATGGTTTGTATTTGTATTGGTTTTTATAAAAAATAAAGTATTTAAATGTTAATCATTTATCTCTACTATTTATAAGGAATGCCGTAAACGTGTCTTCAAGTTTTGAGAAGTTTATTAAAATTTTACAAAAATTATATTTCTTTTAAAGTATTCAATTTAAAACATGATTTGCACATAAATTCTTTCAATAATTTATTAAATTTATATATGTTTAGTAAAAAAAGTTGAATAAACTTGTATTGTGTATCCGTATGAACACCTGTTTGATAGATACTATATCGTAATGAATATTATATTTTATTAACTATTAAATGTGTGTCATTTGCTTTTATTTTTATGCCAATTAATAATTTAACTGCGTTTACATACTATTAACATAATTAATTAATATTTGTATTTAAATTAAAACTTTTGTTTAATAGTTTTTGAAATTGTGGTCTAAATTAAAGCTCATAAATTAATTGTAATTTGTATGACAATTCATATAAATTTACTTTATATTTATTTGCTATTATTAAAAAACAATAAGTCATTATAATTATATTAAAATATTTAAAAGTTTATATATATGATATATTTATAGTTTATTAATAATACTATATTTCTAAATTTATTTGAATAGTTATATATTAATACAAACTAAAACCAATATTGTATTAATAGCTGTAATATTAATATAAGTTTATTGGTGAACAAGCAGTGGATCTATTGATTGTTTAATTTGATTCACAGGAGATTCAATAAAATAAATTTTATATTAATTACATTATATATTAATAACAAAAGTCGGCCCTATTTTGTGGTTGTTTTCACCACAAATAATGGACACAAGTTTGACAACATTTGAAACCAAATAAATTGCCATAAATTAAATCAAATTTTTGTTTCAATGGTAAGTGTTTTTTACAACAGTTGATAACATTATCTTATACTTTAAAGTAATTATAGTTTTAGCAAAATAATGTTATAAATCTTATGATTATTTTATAATTTATTACATTACAGTATAATAATAATAATACTCAAAAACTATAGCAAATGTGTTGTTTCATCACAGAGTTTGCAAATGATAAGCATTTCCTGTGTTTTAAAGACAATTGTCATTAATATAATAATAATTGTAATGAAATGCAATATAAATGTGAATAAACCACTTAATTAACAATTTGGGCCAACATTTAGTAGCATCCGATGCAAAGGTAGGCACGAGTGTAGTCCTAACCCTATGTTATGTTATGTTTAAACTTTAAAGAGCTGTTGTGTCGATGGTATGCCTGAGTTTCAGATGTGTTATAATAATAATATAAATTTAAAAACATTTATAACTTATATCCCAGTGCTGTGTATATGACGTCATTGGGTTCAAGAATTTACTGCAAAATCAATACAAAAATATATTTAACAAATGCTTAACATTTGTTGCCATTTATTGACACATATATTGTGTTTACACAACACTATTGGTTGCAAACAATCAAATCAAGTGTTAATATTAGCGGTAAATCAGTCGCCAAAGTGGTGACCACTCGTCAGTCGTCATCGCAGTTGTGCTACTAATTGGTTACCATAAATGGTGACAAACTGTGCACTGTTTTGCATCGCAACCACAGATCTTATGATATTATCATAAATATATGTTTAAAGAGACAAAACTGTGATGAAGTTGTTGTGGTAGTGATCACAATCACATCCACGACGACAGGTGGCCACCAATCGACACATGATTGTTATGCAGACAAATGAAATGCTGATCTATAGTTGACCTATAGGTGACCTATAGGTGATCTTGAAATAACTGGTAACTACTATCACAGTGTTGGCCACAATGTCGTGTCGCCGTCTTTACGAGTCGTGTGTGTCGATTGTCTCGAAGATTGATTTCATTGTTTATGAATCCAATTCACTCAAGTGTTTGCCAACAAATGTATTATTTGATGTCTTGTATTACATGTCATTGAATGGCAATTATTACTATTTGGAGAACTATTTCATTGATTTAGATATCATTTATCGATTTATCACTGAAATCAAAGCCAAAAGAAATTCATTGCATTATATGTTTCAAAGTCTTATGGATTTTGATCTCAATATTGGCACCAAAATTGTCAATAAATGGAAATATGTGGCACAACATCATGTGGTTAAAGACATTAATAATATCACTGCGAACTCTTCCAGTAGTTTAAAGAGTCTAAATAGTGAAGCAATCGACAGATGGACGGCCAGTAAATTTGGTCTCTGTTTCGCCACATTTCTTAAGGAGAGCGGTTGGTATGAATTGAGTAGAGATGTCTTGGAACAGACTATCTGTTTATATGAAGACGAAGAAGTGGGAAAAGAAGATAAAATATTTGATATAATATTTGAATGCAAATGGAAATTGTTATCAGTTTTGAACTCTTTTTGTAATTTTGAAGAAGCGATGGAACAAAAGGATGAAATACTTGAATTAATCAATTATTTTGAACTCTTCAGTGATTCAAAACGATTCAATATATCTCAGGTTTACACAGAGTTTGCACAGTTATTCTTCTTCCAGAGCTATTACGATGAGTCATACCAGTGGGCCGTTCGGGCCATTGAAAACTTGTCGCCACAAACACCCGTCCAAACTGTAATAGATGTCTACAGACAGGCGGCCAAAACAGCGGTCGTGAAGAGAGACTTTAAAAGGGCTGAAACACTCATAAATCAAGCGATGATTTTATGCAAAGAGACATTTGGTGTGAATGAAGAAAATACTAAGTATTCAATTGGTGTGATTCACCTGAAACTCGCCGACGTCTTCCTCGACTACGGCTTTTATTTGCTAAATGTTGATCTCATCAGTCATTCGGTAAAATTATATGAAATGGCTCTCGAAATACGCGAATACATATTTGGCTTAAATGATAATAGCGTTACAAATCTCTTGATTGCCATAACTCATGAAGAATTAGGTTACGCTTCATATGTCCACGAATACAGTAGTGGCAACTTCTTAAGCGCCAGTTTTCACGCTAACAAAGCTATGGCTATTGTTACACAATTAGTGCCAACAAATCATTTATTACTGGCATCTGCTAAACGAGTGAAGGCATTAATTCTTGAAGAGATAGCCATTGATCATCACGACAAAGACGAAGAGTGTCGTATGTTGGCTCAGTCACGGGAACTGCATTTGTCAGCTCTCGATATGGCCAGAAGTGCTTTCGGTGAGATTAATGTACAAACAGCCAAACATTATGGAAATTTGGGCCGACTTTACCAATCAATGAAACGGTATAAAGACGCTGAAGAAATGCACTTAAAGGCCATCCAAATCAAAGAGAAACTTTTGGGTCCCGAGGATTATGAAGTGGCCCTATCTTTAGGTCATTTGGCATCACTTTATAATTACGATATGGAACACTACCTAAAGGCTGAAAAATTATACTTAAGATCAATTGAAATCGGAGTCAAACTGTTTGGTCACGGATACAGTGGTCTTGAATATGATTACCGCGGTTTATGTCGAGTTTACTCTAAACTACAAAATGGAGGCGAATTACACAAATATATGCGATTACTTAATCAATGGAGAGATTTACGCGAAGACATCACTCGAGCGGTTCACGAGTCGCCACCAATTAAAGATCTCAACAAAATGAAGAGATTATCACCCGATATGGTCATCGCTATCATCGAAAAACAAATGACCACTTGATTGAAGCCTTAATTGTTATTCATAAAAATAGGTCTTTATTTTGAATTTAATATTAATATTACATAATTATATTATCAAAAATTTAGATTTAGGTGTATAAATACGTACAGTAAATATACATATATACAGTAAATTATATTGTATGTATATATATATTATATAACTTATATACAGTATATAAATATATAAACTTTAATGTTATTTTTTGGACCGCTTTTGGTCAATTCATAATTTTTAAAACAAAACAAATTTTAAGTATTATATTTTATGTTTTAGCCTAATATAGTATTGTTTAAACATTTTTGTTTGTTAATTCTCAATCACATCATCAATAATTAAATATATTTTTAAAAATATTATATATTTATAGTTGTAAATATTTTTTGTAATTATATATATCAATATATTATAAGGCATCTGAAATTCATTGATTTTCGGTATAAATTCGGTAAAGAATTGCTTAAAAAATTGCTAAACATAGCATTCGGTCAAATCATTTTCATTATGAAACTTAATCTTCTTTCGCGGCGATTCTTCTGTCTTTTTAAGAGATTTATTTGGTGTTTGCATCGGCTCTTTAAAGATAACAGTTTTGGACATAATTTTAGGTATCGTTGGATTATTTGTCATCTGTTTAATAGTATATTTATCGAGAACTTGTCTTAATTTATTTGACCACAATTTAAAATTGTTGGCGTCTTTAGCTTGAAGTGTATAAGTGATGTCGCGTTGAGAGGAATAAACACGAAAGACAAAAGATTTGTTTGGATTTACCGGTCCATTGAGTGTACGATTTAAAGTATTGCCCATTTTTACAGCTGCTCCCGAATCACACTGCAGTTCGCCGATTAGTATGGGTTGTCGGTAGAGGACAAAAGCACCGGAATCGTTGTTATGTCTCGTCAGTACAAAACATGTATCAAATAAAATACATAAAACTTTTGTTCCCCGAGAGTTACGTAACGTTCCGCTGCATATAATAGCTTTGGCTTCAATTAGACATACGTTTGAGTCACAGCTTCGGTCGAAATCGATTTTGTCGACAAACACTTTGCATTCTTCTTCACCCATTCGGTAGTCGACTTGTGATATAATTTTCTCCATTAAATTGACGGCACATTCAATAGCTTTGTAATCAAAACTTGTTTCTGAAGTATACTTTTTTATGGCTCTTAAAAGCAGAGGATATTTAACTAATCGATTTCGAGGAACGTCTAAAAATGCCCACAAATCAAGTCTTCGGCTAAATGGAGACTCAAGACATCGTTGAAGAAAATCATTCATTCGCTTATCGCACTTAATCTTCATTTCAAGTATTTGTTTCGCTGCCCTTTGATTTGAACAATAATTCTCATAAACTTCCAGTTTTGGTGTCCAATCCATTAGAACTTTACCGACTGATCCAAAGATACCATTTTTATCTCGAATCGCTTCTAAGTTCTGGACGAGTGAAGAGTGCACTGAATGTAAAGCATGCAAATCACCGAATATCTGAAAAGCCTCGGATTCATCAATAATTGCCAAATGAATTAAAGAGTTTTGATACGTGGCCTCAATTAGTCCCAAATCGTAACACATATCCATTTCTCCCGAAAATAATTCAAAGATAGCTTCTTGTCGTTTATATTCACAAGAACTGAAGGCCTCTTTAAATTTGGTCACCACTTCTTGTGGTATACTTTCTATCCATAATTTGGATGATTGTCTACAAAACATACGACTATTACTGTTTTCATTTCGTGAAATCGGTGTCGAAATGATGCGATTAGTGATCGGTAATGATTTCTTACAAACAATTTGTGGCGAAGATATTGAGGGTCGGATGCGTTCACAGTTGCTGTCATTGTTAACCTCTTTTCTGTTTCTCTGTTTGTTTTTGGCCTCCAATTCATTGTTGAGATTTTTTGGCGACAAAACCGATGACTTATTTCGTGTCAATTTAGTTGTCGTCAAAAATCGTCTCATTTTCTTCAGCGACGAACTCTTCAATGATGACAACGAAAATGTCGACGAAATCGATATATTTGTTAAACTAATAAAAGAGCTCTGATTTAAGTCATGACGGCTTCGGTGATGTCCTTTAAGACCAATCTATCGGTGGATCAAATGCGGTGATAATTAATTAATCAATTAAATAATTTGTTATTTTAAAAAACGTTTTCACTTACCATTGATTTAAATCTCAAACTATTGTTTGAATCATTCATTTCTTTAATTATCAATTTTTATTATCATTTAATGTAAATAAATATTATATAAATTTGTTTAAAAATGTAATTAAATTATCAAAAAATCAAATAAAAACTTTAAACTATAAATAAACACTAAAACTATTAATAATGTTATCTCTTATTCATATCACACAAACACACCATTGATTCAAATATTTGTTTCAATGCTTTTTTAAATATTTGAAATCCCATTGAAAGCCAATCACTGGTTGAAACACTATTGAGAGTCAATCCTATTGGACATACATATCACACACCCGTCTCCACAGTAGCGCACTGTCAGCTAAATAGACATTATATAACTGGTTAGACAACACGTATAGGTATATCATATTATACTGTACTGTATTAACATGTATTCATTATATGGCCTCAACATTGAATTATCATTTTAGCTATACTTCAATTGACAGTAGTTTTTTAATCAACAATTTTTATTATTTTATCATTAATTATACACTTTATATTGTATCAGTTATATCATTATAAGTATATATATTGTAATTTTTTCTCAAAATTTATTATCGTTTAAACTCAAGTCTATTGAGAATCACTTTTTAAAAATAATATTTGCTATTAATTAAAGTATTGTTAACTCATTTTTTAAAAATTAAGTAATACTACACTATTATATTATTTATTTCTAAAAATTATAGGTAAAAGTTATTACCAAAAAAAAAGGTTATAATTTATATATACTGTATATATCAGGATTAAGCAAAGTATTGGATATTGGTTGGGATAAAAATTTTATTAAATAATTCAATTTAAATGTGTTATAAAAACACAATAACACTTAATTAACAATTATTAGTTAAATTTTTAATTTTTGTTTGAAAAAATATTTTGGTGTCGAATGCGATGATATTTTAGGAGGGGTTAGTTTCTCATCGTTTTTAATTACAATTTTTCATATTTGGTCAAAAAGACTGAGAAGGGGTAAAATCACTAAATCTTTGTCTTAGGGGGTATTTTTGTTATACCCCCCTTTGCTTAATCCTGATATATATATAATAAATATTTTATTAAAATAGTCTTAAATGTATATTATAAGCATTTAATAATAATATATATTACTTTATCTCTAAATTTAGGATCTAATAATTATTTAACCTTTTAATTGTATTTAAAATTGATTTATTAAATATTAATATAAAGCAATGAATGGCATTGGTTTTAGACTTATCTTAATACAGAAATATCTATACTTTAACAAACAAATACTGTGTAAAATGTAATTTAAGGAAATGTGTAAAAATACAATAATTAACAATACAATTATATTATTAATTTGTTTGAATAATTTAATATAATAAGATTATATCATTTAAACAAAAGCTATAATGTAAAAAATATTGTGTGCTAATTTTCATAATTTTATTTATTTATTGATTAAGTATAATTGATTGAGAATGATAAAGTAAGGTATTGTATAAATAATTAAAGTAAATACTGTATATAGTGTTAACTCAAAAAACAATTTTATATATACTGTTTAGGATTTTAAATGTTTAATATTTAGTAATACCTGTATGCATTATAGATAAATTCTAGTATAATTAAAATTAATTTTTCATATTAAAAAAATAATTCAAAATAAACATATTAAATAAAAAACAATGCAATAATATACAGTATAATTGATAAAATTTAAGCTTTTAAATAAAAAATTTGTTGTAACAAACTAAATATTTCACAAATAAATTCCCAAACACGCGAATAACATTGTATTACGATATCAGTATCAAAATCAATGATTACATATGAAATTATTTACATTAATTACTGTATATTTCAAGTAAACAATAGGTTAATGATATCAGTTTTTTCGGACTCGTGACTGAATTCTCCCACAAATTGATTATCACTTAATTAAACAAATATTGATTTCTTTAATAAACTCTTATTTAAAAATCTTATTAAATGACTTTACAGTACAATTGTTACTTAATTTTTGTAAGTGTTATTATATTAATTGCACATTTAATTGTTATTACTTAATAACTTTGATCTAATAATCAAAAAAGTAAATTTTCTATTGTTTTCTTATACTATTAATAATAGTAAATATTATTATTAATAACATCACTACCATTTGGCAAATGATTATTGTTATCTAAATTAAATATTAGTCTGGGCTCTGCTGGGGATAATTATGTGTAAAAATATAATGATTAATATAGTTAATTAATAATAAACATTTTAACTAATAATTTTTTAAACAAATATTAGTATTATAATAAGTTATTTTCTAAACAATTTTAGCAATAATAATAATATTAAAACTTGATAATAAAGTTTATTTGCTATGAAAAGTCCTTTTAGTACCTATTAAATCATTTTTACAAAAAAAAGTTTAAAAGGATTGATTAAATAACATTAAGGAATAAATAGAAATTTGACAGAAAATTGTTATCACATATCAATTACATTTTCAATTCAAAAGTCAAGTGAGTCTTTAACTTTAAATTTATTTATTATATGATACGGTATATTAACTTATTAATTACTCAACACTTTAAGCGTGCCGTCAGTCTATTGGAGAAAATGTCAATTATTTTTTAAGCGTGCGATCAAAGTTTATAGTTAATGGCGTTAATTAATTAATTAAAATAAATTAATATAAAAATATTTAATATATACATTTATATTAACGTTTATATTAACAATAAGAATAAATGTAGTTTTTGAATAATATGAATTGTGTAAAAATAATTTAATTATTTAAAACTATTTAAGGCTATAATATCATTTATGTATACAATGCTTAAAATAGAGGCGTATTTAATACTGTATCTACCAATTTAATTTAGATAAGTTGATACATTGCAAGTTTAATATACAACATTGTAAAAGTTTCCGAAATTATTATTATTATATTAATTATTGGGACAAAATAATATTAATTATTTAAGTAACAAATTTCTTGTAAATTATTATTAAAAAATACTGCACTTTAGATTTTATATATAAAATTAGATTTATTATAAATTATAAGAATTAATCAATTTCATGGATTTTTAAATATATAATAAGAATATAGATAATTAGTTTGATGTCATATTATAGTAAGTGTTTACTTTATATACAATAATTATTAACACAATATAATTCATGAGTACAATATCTTGTCAGATGACCAACAAATCTTAAGATAAAAATTATATATAAATATATCAATTTTAAAATTAACTATTTAATTAGTTTAATTTTCATAACTATTTTTATATATTATAATCGCAGTAAAAATTATATTTTAGTTTGTGAATAAAATTTTTAATAAAATTTACATCAATAATTATTGAAGTACATAAATAATTGATTTAAGTAAGTATTTGAATAAATTATGTTAAATTATTAAGTTTTATGATGTCTTCAAAATAGATTAATAATAAAATTGTTAATTAATCATAGTTTTGGCCGACAATGTGTTACAATAGTAGTCATTGTTGCACTTAGTCGACAATAAACTATTTAAATGAAAATTTAAAAATAATTTATTTGTTTTTATTATTCGATATAATATAATTAAATACATGTTAATACATGCATTTTAAGTTTTAAGTTTAAAATTAATTTCCATTAAATTCAAATCGTGAATATATAAATCATTTATTATAATATTACAAATAAATCATTATTTTGTTATTTTAAATTCTTGATTTATGATATAAATTAACTTAATTATTATTAGAATTTTAATAATATATTTAAATCTATTGATCTATTGAAATAAAATATGCTTTTAAAATAACAAATATAGAAATAATTATAATTTTTAATGTACTTTTAAACGTGCTGTCTGTTTTAAACGATAATTATAATAGATTAGCATTAATACTGTATTGTAATAAGTATAGTAAATAAAATCTAATAAACATTAGTAATAATATCTATATTATTACTTAATTACATTACAGTATTATCTAAAGCAATATTATTTATTTAGAATAACTCTGTTATTGCAATATTATATGTAATTAAAAGGTAAAAAATATTCTTTAATTAAGTTATTAGTTATTGTTTTGATAACTAAAGTAAATATTTTGTTATATATTTATTCCGAATTTTAATGGGAAGTCCGTAATGAATGAAATACTATTTACACATAATTCTATACATAATATTTATATTTTTTCAAAAATAAAATATTTATCACATTAGCTTTTTAGATTATTTATTTCAAATTTATCAAATTAAAAATATTTATACTAACAATTGTTGTTATATATTATATATTTTTATTTATTGTTATAATTTGTAAAAAATATTATAATTTTTCATGTTTATGCAATTTTATTATATTGTAATTTTCATTGGAATTGCATAAAAATGTTTATTTAATAGTATATAAATTTATATATACGGTATAACAGTAATTATATAATTTTATATATTGTATATGTTATATGGTATATTATATTTAAGCCAATAGAAGTTAATAATAAATATATAATAATTATTTTATAGAAAAAGAATTGGTTATATATAATGATTAAAACCAAGGCTATAAAACATGTGAATGTAATTGAATTTTGCTATCATTTTTAAAAATCTTCAATTAATATTTGTTTTGTAATTTTATATTATAACACCAGTGTATTCAGTATCATATAATAATCGATAAATTTTTTTATATATAAATAAATGTGAAATTTATTGTCAAATAAAAGTGATATAAAAATTAATTTCAAATACATTACTATTAGAACTCTTGAAAAATGCAAAACTCTGACGAAGTAAATGAAAGATCAAAGAATTATGTCAACCGTTTGACTGATGATTCCAGTGATGGAAGTGTAAGAAGTGATGAAACAATTAGCGATTCTTCAGCAAAAGTGAGTCATCTTTCGTGGAAAACAAAGATATTCTTCAGTTTTGGTCACATATACAATGACTTGTGTGCATCCATTTGGTTCTCCTATACCCTCATCTTTTTTCAATTGCAATTCAATGGAACAATAGCTAGCATTTTGATATTGTTAGGACAGGTAGCCGATGCAGTGGCCACACCGTTTGTTGGGTAATATATTTTAATTAATTTTTGTTTTATCAAAATTAAAAATTAATATTAATTATTATTTACAGTTTCCAATCGGACCGAAGCAATACCAACAGTTTATTATGTAAATACGGTAAACGCAAAACATGGCATTTATTGGGAACAATCCTTGTGTCGGCTTCATTCCCATTTGTATGTATAGTTTTTATTGTATTTATTAATTATATAATAATAATTATTATTATTATTTAGATTTTTAATAAATGTCTTAATTGTGAGGATTCATCACAAACATCCAAAATAATATATTATAGCGTTTTCATTGTTATGTTTCAATTTGGTTGGGTATGTTTTATTATTACAATAATGATAAAAAAATAATATTAATGCAATTATTAAAATTGTTTAATTAGGCGGCAGTTCAAGTGGGACACGTATCACTAATAACTGATTTGAGTCCCAGTACTAACGCAAGAGTATCTTTAAATGCTTATAGGTATGTAATTTAATTAATTTAATTTTTCAATAATAATTTAATATTATATTAATGATCATTAAAATTATTATTAAAGACAAGCAGCGACAGTGGCTTCGTCTATATTAGTCTATCTGATCACTTGGTTTATATTAAGACAAAGAGGATCATCAACTTTAGGCAAAAAAGATTCCGATGTTTTTACGGTAAATAATAAAATTATTTAATATTTTATACATAAATAATAATAATGTTATTTTATATAAACAGCTTTTGGCTTATATAGTATGCGGAATAGGAGTTGTATTTTCAATATTATTTCACATATTTGTCAAAGAAGTTGATAACTCGTGTTCATCTGGATCTCCAAATTCATCACTTTATGGCTCATCAGATGATTTAGTGGATAATAATACTTACCGAAAGAGATCCGATTCCGATTCATCCATTAAAAAAGATAGTAAAGATATTTATAAAAGTGATAGTAATAAAAATGACGACATTTTCAAGATCTCCGGTGATAATCCTGAGTTGGGAACCACTGCTTGCAATCGCCAATACAAGTGGAGTGATTGGCTTAAAAATATAAACTTTTATAAAGTGGTTTGTAATCATTTATTATTTTATATATTATTCTGTTTTATAAATAATTGTATTTAAATTCAATTATTATAGGCATATATTTATATGGTTTCGCGATTATTTGTAAATCTTACACAAGTTTATACACCACTATTTCTTCAAAAAACACTATATTTGCCAAAGGTATGCAAAAAATATTATCAATTTCAAACTCTCTATAATTAATCAAATAAACAACAATTTGTTTATAGGATAGTATAGCTATTATACCATTTGTGACATATATTAGTGGATTTATATTTTCATTTGCGTCGAAATTCATTTCAGCCAAAACTGGACCAAAAGTAAGTCAATGTCTATTAAATTTCAATTATATTTGTAATTATTTTTTTCTAAGTATTTATTAAATATTTGTAATCACACTGTAATTACATATATATAATCTTATATATAGTTTATTGTTATTGAAAAAATACTGTTTTACGTGTAATCACTCCTATCATTACTAATTAATTAATCTCATAACACTTGATGACACTATCATATGATGTCTCCTACCTGTGTTTGATTAACTAAAAAAATAATGTAATATTGTGTTCATTACTCAACAATATTACTGATATTTTTATTTAATTTTCAAGTGATTTCATGTGAAAACTTGAATAAGTTTTATATAAATTAATTAAATTTGTTTTATTTTCAGATACTGTTGGCGTTGGGCTGTGTTTTTGGATTTGGGTCTTGTTTTTGGAATAACTTCGGTTCCATTGAAAACGATTCATTCAAGACATGGCAGGTGTATGGGGCGACCCTACTCTTTGGTATTGGCGGCACAACTATGCTTATCGCTAGTCTTGCCCTTACATCGGATCTCATTGGAGGCAACACTGTATGTCTATTATATAATCAATATTAAGCTTTTGAATTAATACTGAAATTATTATTAATCAACAATTTCAGTGCAATTCGATAACTAAATACCCAAATACTAACTATAAATATATTTATGTATTTCATGTATAGATGAGTTCAGCCTTTGTTTTCGGTACAATGAGTTTCTTTGACAAAGTGCTCAATGGATCAGTTGTAGTGATTTTGGAGCAAATAAATCCAAATAAAAATATGAATGACGATAACGATGACAAAAAACATACATCTATTTTGTTTTACCAAAATATTGTTGTATATGTTTCCGGTGCCACAACTATACTCACACTTTTGGGTATTATTCCTCTAATAAAAACAAAGTTTGCAAATAATGTTAAAAATAATAAAAACAATAATAATATTTCTCATAAAAAAATTATTGATGAAAAATGTAATGAAAAACCAATAGTTGAAACAATTAAGTATTAATTTATTATTTTTGTTGTTGTAAATATTTGTAAATTTAATGTAAATAGCAATTTAGATTATAATATTAAAACTTTGTGTAAATAATATACACTATTTATTAAATTATTTATACTTTTTTGTTAAACTTTGTATTTGATAATATAATATTTATTAATTTAAAGGCATGGCTAAATGTAATCATAGTTTTAATAAAAATTGTTTTAATAATAGCATAAAACTATTTATTATATTATAGTTAATAGTTTTGCAAACTATAAATGCAACGTTTGCTAAAAGGTTATTTCAATCATAATATACATGAATAATATATTAATATAAAATTATCACATTTGGTAAAATATTTATAAATAATATGAATAAAAAAATAAGTGCATGTTTTAACATATAATGTTAATTTAATTAACAATATAGACAATAGATATGTTACATATTTATACAGTATAAATGAGATCAAAATAAGAAAAATAAAACCATTTAATGATTGTCTATTATTTTAATGATTTTTATCATCTATTATTAATAGTTTATTATAAATATAATGAAATAAATATTTTTAATGTTTTAGAGATACAGTATTATAATTTAAAAATAATTTACATTTATATAATTAAATAAGCATAATGTTAAACTTAGCAAGGTAGTAATTCATCTAAAGTATAGCTCCAAATAGTGCGCCCGTCCTGACAGAGAGGTTGGCCTAAAATTTTGTCTCTCAGTAAGTGCTTGTTTTGGACAATCCATTGAAAACGACAGTTACATATCAGGGGGTTATAACTGACAACAATAGTATTGGCATATTCTGAGTTCAATAGTAACGGAGCAAATATGCTATCATCCAAATATGTAAATAAATTATCTGATAATATCAGAAAAAGTGGTCGATTTATGTAATGTAATGATCGGATGGCAAGACTTGTGTCCGACAAGTTGTTTGAGTGAAGATTTATGACAATTCTTTGACTCGACGGTTGTTTTATAGCGAACGCCAGGTCTGAGATCTTACGGATTCGGTTACGACTGAAGTCAAGGAAACACAGAGAGTGAAGTGTGAAGAAGGAACAGCTGTCGATATGAGTGATCTCATTGTTATTTAATATAATTTGTTTGAGGAAAGGCTGTTCAGTTCGCGAGAAAGCATTCTTTGGTATCCTATCGTAATTGGTGTCAGTTATAGACAACACTTCCAGTCGTATAAATCGGTTTAGTATTGGTAACGGATCTCTTCGGTTATAATTAACTAATGATTTGTGACCTTTAAGTATAAAATGTCTGTTCATGCGATATGAACTCCAAAAGATATACGGATCAAAGTTTTCAATGGGATTATCCACTATTGAAATGCTGCGAAATTTTAATCCTTTGAATAATTTTATTTCATAAAAATATAGATTTTTCACTGAAGTCTGCGATATATTCAATTTGCAAAAAGTCTTGGACACCATTGAACCGTTAAGATATGTATTGAGTCGTGTAAAGGCTCGCATCACATCCATGTCGTTGATATGCTGACCGTTGCAACTAATGGTCAGATCGTATCTCTTGGCCGGTTGTGATGAACACACGCACGGGTAAAAAAAGTCGGTCGCCGGACAAAAGGCATTAATTACTATTAGTTGTAGTGATGAACATATTATAACAACTATTAAATAGTTTGTAATTTCTATAAATACATATTAAAAATACTTTTTTAAGTTTAATATAATTATATTAAAATAAAATAACTTACTCGTAATGTTTGTAATGTAGATCATTGTCGGAAGTTTAAGTTAAAGATATTTATCACTTACTTTCGGCAGTGATTTTATGCACTAATAAAAGTAATCATAAAATTAGTTTTACATTAATATTTATATAACATTTAATTTTGTCAACTCATTGTAATATTGATTGCATTTATAAAATTTTATTATAATTCAAAAAACAAAACAAAATTGTTATTAAAAAATAAAAAGAAAATCAAAACTATTCCGAGAATTACGTAATCGGATATTAGACTGAATAATATGTAATGTGTTTTATTTCATTAAACTATTTAAACATTGAGTTATAATAATTTATTACACATTGTTTTACTGCATTTTTAAATCAATCAATACATTTGAAATTCCTAATATAGTATTAACATAAACGATATTTAAAAAAGTTGTGATATACAGTATATTCATTGAATGTTTAATAAAAATTTGATTCTCACTTTACAATAGCAAAAATTTTAATGTTTTGCCAATAAATTGTTTTAATGTTTTTAAATTATGATTATAATTTTTGTAAAATTATAGTCATTTATTTTTTAAATAATATAATTACTATCATTTATTTACAATTAATTTTTGAATGGATCACCTATGACTTTCAATCTAAATTTACAATAATTGAGTAAATAAAAATATACAAAATATAAAAAAACTACAATATACGGTATATATAAGTAATACAGTATATATATATCTTATTTAGATCATTAAATTTTAATGCTTTAATATTAACTATAAAAGCATTTATATTATTTGAACACCAATTTGCGACAATTTAATTTACTATTATATAAATATTAATAAAAATTGCTTAAATTAAGATTAAATAAATTACTATCTAATAATGATTGTTTTGATTTATTATTATTAATATCTAAAGTTAAGATAAAGTTAAGAAAGATTATTTACACTTACATATCATATGATAAATGTTGAATATATTTGTGAACCAAATGCTGTATTACTTGTGTGTAAATCATTGCGTCAATGAATGCATCAGTTTTGGCAAACGTTTAGTTTATTCATAAGTTTTGTATAACTGAAGGGACAGTTGGGAGCAGATGTGGTGTCCAAATGATGAATGTTTTGTCCATTGACTCAGAAATTCAATAAAAGAGTGACCTATAGGTTAAATGGGTGACACCTATTCATACTATACTTTGTCACTCTTTCTCTATTAAAATAATTAAAAAGCAGTCAATTAAATGTTAAATTCATTGACGAGTTTCTAAAGTTATAGACTTATAAGCGACAGAATATATAGTCTGATACACGAATCATATTTAATAATAATGTTATTTGAAAGCAAAGTTACCCCCAATAACAGTGCAAACAGTATACAGTATATTACAATTGGGATCCAATCAAACATCCCATACATATCCCAATCATGACTACAGTAAATCAATTTTCAGTTCATCCAAATTTATCAATACACAGTTAAATGGTTATTATTATAAGTGCAACAATATATTATATCTTATTTTTTATATAAATATTATAACATTTTTATAAATCATCAATAAATATGTAAACTCATTATTAATGATCGGTATTTGTAACGTATGTATAAAATCAATCACTAAACGAGTGCTAAATTTGTTTTGTGTTAATTTAGTTTAACTCTCAAAATGTCACATTTTGGTCACAATTTTTTTTCTGGCAAACTTTTGCTAAAATAAAGTAAATACTAAAATTTAAGTCTAATGTATCTTTAATACAGTATTTATTTTGGCAAAATATTAACTAAAATCATTTAAATAAAATTTTGTTTTAAAAATAAACAATATTAATCTCCAGCTAATATATAACAAGACTTCACATTTGTACCTTATTTTTATTGATTATTTAACTCATATTACAAAATTAACATTTTGTTGTAAAAATAATATTTTCACTAATAACTTAGTATATATTTTAAACTATGCACTTAATATATGATAGTATTTTGTTATATAATTTCTTGATAAAGTAGTTTTAATTGGTTTGAATTATTAGTTTTTTATTATAGCATTTTAATTAATTTTTGTATTTAAAATTTTTGTATTGCAATATATCTAAACAATAATGTTAACTGTCATGGTAACATTACTTTTATTATAAGATATTATTTGATAAATAAGTATTTTGTTGTCAATAATGAAAACAACAATTGAAATATTAGTTAAGGTGTGAAAAATGGATCAAAATAAGCTTAAATGTGTCCGATATTCACTTATTTTATTTAATATAGCATTTATGGTAATATACTGTATTTTAGCGTTTATTTAATATTTATTTATGAATTATCGGTAAAATAATAAATTATTAATTAATCAATATATTTGTTAATAAATATAAATAGGTATTCGGTTTAATGATAGCCATATTTAGTATATATGGTCTCAAATGCAATGAACGCCTATTAAGTCTGTTATATGATATGAGTCCTGAAATCAGAACCGTTAAGAAATGTTTTGTAATAACGGGTTCACTGGTTATCATAAATGCCATCTTTGGTCTGACGGCTATCTTCAAGAAAAAATTCAGTATTTTAATAGCCGTATGTCTCATAAATTATTATTATTATATAATACTGACAATTAATTATTATTACAGTTTTGCTTTATATTAATCGGATTATTTGTGTTCACTTTATTTTCTATAATAATGGGAACTATTTGTCATCGAAATGTATTTAAAGAGTTTATAAAATCATTGGAAATGTAATTTATTTGCATTAATATTATTTTTATATAAAATGCTTGTATAGATCACTAACTTAAGCCCTACAATAGCATCGACAAGATTTTCACATATGATGACTGAATACCAGTGGAACGGTATGAATAACAGGACGGGAGAGTTGGTCGATGAGATACAAATTGAGTTCAATTGTTGCGGTTCTTTCAATGGGTCTCACAGTTGGGAACTATTGAGACCTACCGGCACCCCTCTGGGCTCATATCCATTATCCTGTTGTTTAGATGATATAAAGTATGACTCGCAAAATGAATGGTGCGATGAAGAACAGGTTCATAATCAGGTAATCTTATTAAACATAGCATTGAAATAACATTAGATTTTAAAAGCATGAAAATTAAATTTGTTTTTTTTTTCAATAATATTTAGGAGTCGTGTATAGACTCGACTGAAGAGTCCATTATAAAAGTGTCAAATAGTCTTCAGATAATAATTGACATAACCATCGAAGCAGCGGTCGTTCAATTACTTTGTATTGTTTGCATATTTTTGCTTAGATCTAAACCAATCGATAGACAGATTTCTATAAATTGAGTTAATTTTAAGTTCATTTATAATTAATTATTTCTGACAATTCTAATTGAAATCATTATAATATACTTTTTATTATTAATTAATCATTTTTAGTAACAAATGTTTTTAAAATAATATTTTGTAAATCATATATATTGATTGTAATGTACCAGTATCAATTTATAAAATTAAGTAAACATATTATATACAGTAAATACAGTAATAATATATCAATTTCAATGCAATGTTTAATTTACTGTCTGATAATGTACAAATTTGGCAAATCAGGATGATGAAAATAAAAAAATTATTATTAATTATAATGTTGTTTATCAATTGATTGTCATTTGAAAATATTGATAGATAAACATCTGCTAAATAAAGAGTTTATAAAAAATTATGTGCAAATAATCACTATAACTATAAATATGATTCAATAACTGATTTTTTTAGTATTTGCTTTAATCTGAAAAGCAAATCATTTTATTTATTTTTTTCCGACAAAATGTTCAATAAAATTGTTTTATTACTTTCATTTGCATTAACGGTAAGTCATCTCATGATAGTCAGTGAGACAGACAAACAATTCAATATAATAACTCATAAAAAATAAATATTGATTTTTAAAATGTCAAATATAAGGTGACTTTTAGTCAAAACTTTAACCGCGATTATGTTGGGGTTGCCTTTTCGCCCTATACTAAGCACTGGGTGGGCAAAACACTTCCGTATTGGAACTCATATTCACTTCAGGATATAAAAGATATGCTAAATGTAGTGAACGGCCGGTTTAGGAGTATAGCGACATATGGTATGGGAGTTGCCCCGTATAATGTCAACAATAGATGGGATCAGACAGACTCAAACTGTTTGGTCGCACGTGCGGCCGCTTCCATCAATAGCGATAAAAAACAAAACGCGTTACGTGTGGCTCAAGGTATTAACCAAAATGAAGACCAAAATATCCAGAACAAGGAGATTGATAATGCATTTTCAGCCGCACAGGTATTGTATACTCTCTAATGTATACTTAATATACTATACTTTATTTCCCCTATTATAATGTAATAAATAAAAACTATAATTTAATTTATCATAAATCAAATATAATATTAAATAATTTGTATTATAAGGACGCGAATGGTATTTATGGAAACACTGTTTGGGGCCTAATCTTTACTAATGAATATTTTACAAATGAATTGACTGGAAATCGTATATTAAATTTGATTAAAAGCCATAAGAATAGAGCAAAACAAATGAATCTAAAGGTTGGAACTCGTATTCATGTTTGCGGTCTTATCCTTAATAGCGGTTCAATGCGCGACATATTAGCAAACATTATAAGAGAGTCTGATTTTATTATGTGTAACGTCTATCCCGACGCTAGTGTTGTGAACGCCGGAACTCAAAAATCTGTTGAAGCCGTCGGCAATGCTTTTAACAGTTATGTCAAGAAGTTTAAAGAAGTCAATCCAAACATTGATGTCATGATTGGTGAGACGGGTTGGCCATCACAGGGAATCAGCTTTAATAAGTCACCAAATAATGTACAAAATCTAAAAAACTATTGGACACAAATGGGTGATTGGGCCGCAAGAAACAAGGTTTTGGTACACATGTTTGAGGCCATTGATGAGCCCTGGAAGTCAAGTCAAACATCTACTGATATGACTTCTCCGAGTGGACCCAATGGTGGTGAAGGACATTATGGGTGGTGGCAACGTATTGATCAGGGAGGTGCTCCTAAATATACAGAAAAATAAATTGAATTATTTTTATTTCAAGTATTAAATAATGAACTTACAATACAATAATAGTTTTTTATAAATAAATTTTAATAACTTGTTTATTATGCAATCTATAGTATTATAGTAAATATACAATATATCTACAAATTAATATATTATACATATTTTAATTGTATTCTAAATGAAATTATAAATATTAATATATGTTTATAGAGTTAATATTTTAAGGAAAAATAATTTTTGATTACAATTAATGAATTTTCATTATTAAATATTTACTTTAATCTAACTAATTGGTATTAAAAATAAATGCAAATTTAATTTGTAAAGAAATAGATAATTTATTATTATTATTATTTATTAATCAGATATGTTTAGGTTATCATTACTATACGGGATTTAAAATTCCTCAAATGAGGTCTCGAACCTACAGTAGATTATAATTGATTAAATTTGTATTATTTCACACAATTATAGTTCACTAACAATTAATAGTAATTATTTTATTATATTGATTTTGAGAGTCGTTATTATTTATATCAAAATGACATTAATTTTATCTTAAATAAATTGTTTGCAAAATAAATTTATTAACTATAGTATAAAGTATAAAATTAATTTAATTATACTTTATAATTAATAATTTTTACCATTTTTATTATTGTTTTATTTATAAATCATAAAAATGGAATTCTATTTATAACATCAATTAATTTTATTATAATTAAAATTAATTAGCTAGAACAATTCAAATATTGTATTAAAACAGTCAATATTTTCTCATAAAATAATACAGAATATTAATATTTGTATAATACTATAATAACCACAATTAAGTAATGAGTAGGTTATGGCTATTTAGCAGTCGATAACATCTGGATTTCATCAAATTACTCCTTTAAACAGATTTTTTTTAACCAAATTAAAATAAATTGTCGTTAAAAACGAAGAGAAATGGATCCACTCCTAAAATTTTGGCGCCGAAGGAGTGGATTCTTTAAAAAAAATTTAGTTAATAAATGTTAATTAATTGTTATTATGTTTTAACAATTTATTTAAATTAAATTATTAAGTAAAAATAAGTAAAATTACATATAAAAATACATTAAAATATAGAAACTAAAATATTAAAGATTTTTGTTTTGAAAAAATTAATTATATTAAAAGTAAAATATTATTTTAAAATAATAATAATAGAATATACATTATATTATAATATTTTCCATTTTACCCCACCCTATACCACCCCAAGATCCAAAACCTTGCTTAACAATAATCAATTTTTTATATTATCAATATTGTATAACAAAGTTTTTATTTATTTATGTTTTTATTATTTACATATTATATTAATAGTGTTAATTCAGATTATTTTATTATAAACAAAATCTAGTGTTTCATTAATCTGTAAGAAAATATTGAAATTAATTTCACACAACAATATACACTTCTATAGATGTCAATAGACTTGCAATAGTAGTGACTTTTTATGCTATTATTACATAATTAATAATTCAATACTTTTGTTAACAATATAAATATCTTCTACTGTAATACAGAATGATTTTAACAATAGTTTATAGTATTTCTTGTTATGAGATTGTATACAATTTTCTATAGTAATTATCAACAATTTTTTATCACATATAATATTTTATAAAAAATTATTTGTTGACTCATCATTACTGTTGTTTTCTTGTTAATATGTAATACCAATGATTAGGATTTGATTATAATTTTATGACAATATTAAAATATATTTAATAAATTTAATTTTGTCGTAAATATAAATTTTCTATTATTTCTGTTTGAACACTCATTTGCATCGTTTTTCTAATAATTAATTGCTTTGTAATATCTAATATTTAGTTTTTAATTTCCATACATTTATTAATTTCTAAATATTAGTTTTATATAAAAATTGTGTTATTGACTCTTATTATAATCGCTATATTTTGATGTTAGGAAAGGCACTGCAAATTAAGCATTTAATATCAAATGTTTAGTTCATTCAATTGTATAGTTTAGATGAACTTTGTATTCAATGTAAAAATAAGTTTATTTTTGAGAAACAATTATTTGCTTGAATATAACACAAAATATTTTGACGACAAAACATGCGATAACATAATAATAGTGCAAATTTTGATGAATAAAGTCACTATAAACTAAATGTACTCATACTATATAATATTCAATTTTCATTATGATAATCTCTGTGCAAAGTGTTTGATTTTAGGATTAAATTAAATTGATTGTTATTTGAAAAATTTTACTTTAAATTAAGTTACAAATAATATATATATATTTATTTATTATATTTATATCTAAAGCGTCTCTAAAGTGAAAATCTAGTTCAATGTGTCAAACCATTTGTTTGTCTTATATTTAGCTGTTCATCAAATAACGAGAACGTGTTTAATAACACTTAAAGAGTTTAGTTAATAGTCTATTATAATAAATAGACTTAAAGTTTATTATGTGTTTGCTTTTCAATTTGTGATATTTTAGGGGATATATTATAGTAGAAACAATTGAAGCCCATTTACCACTCCATTAGAGTTGATTTGCAACCTTAACAACACAACTAATTGTCATTACAAGCAAATATAGTGATATAAATAGATATAACTTTTAAAATGATTGAATACCCGGCAAATACTGTGTTTCTCTAACCTTCATATATTTCAAGATATCTGTCGACAACAATAGCAGTAGTATCAGTGTATACTACAGATACAAATTGCTTATGTATGATATTTGCACATCCCTTTCCAAGCATTTCATATATTGCCAATAATTACCATATACTGTATATTAATAATATTGAATAATCTATTGTTTCTAAATAATAGAAATTAATTAAAATTACTGCATATGTTTGAGTGTCACTAAGTTCACAGTCAAAAAAAACTGCGATAAAAAGTTTTAAAAATATGATTTCAGTTATAAGTTATAATAATAACTAAGCAAAAGATAAGATAATTTTTATTTCAATTTTACTATAATATCAGTAATAATACTCATATAATTTAAGTGTCTATATATTAATATATAGTAATATTCAAACATAAAATTTGATTTGAATTACAACTGAACTGTAATATGTTTTAAAAATATAAAATTTCATTTTTGTTGCTTTTTTAAACTTCAAAAATATTGTGTATTTTGTGACACAACTAACTGATCCGACAAAGAATGAGTAATATAATACATAAGTTTCGGTCGTCGACACCACCAACGATAACAGTGACCAGCGAGAGCTCGGGTGGCGATAAAAAGGAGAGTAAGTTTAAGAAGTTTAGACAACATTTTCATAGATCTTCTCTTGGATTGAATGAGAAGACAAATCTATCGAAAAAGAGGTCGGCGTCGACATCAGCCCTCACACAAATCAATAGCCAATCCAATGAAAATGTCTTCGCTATCCATAGAAAGCGTACTTCAGTTGTCTCGACGATGACAACTGTTAGTCAAAGTAGTAGTTATAACAGTGAGGAAAGTGATGAACCAACAGAACTGCCAACTATTAGGTCGACATCACAGCCAACACCAAACAGGACACAGATGTCAGCTAAAGAGTTGATTGAAATTATGATAACCAATCTTCAGATATTAGAGCGAAAGAATGAGTTCCTTACTAAAGAAGTAAACCATTTAAGTGAAGAAAAACTCAAAATTGAATCGGATTTGAGTTCAACTAAAGTAGAGCTTAACTTATTTAAGAATCGTTTGAATCAAATCGAAACAATAGCTGATGAGTGGCACTGTTCGCTCTGTTTGGACAACAAAATCAAAATCATGACAACTAAAAGAGTCATTATGTCKACAATCTGTGGTCACCTGTTTTGTTCACTATGTGCTCAAAGTTTTATTAACTCAAGCCGTCCCTCAAAGTACTGTCCAATATGTCATAAACTATTTAAAGATAATCAACAAAATTTTCATCAAATTTTCTTATGATTTTTATTGTATTTTAAGAAAAGTATTTTTTATATAATTTAATATTATTATTACTATTACTAAATGACTTAGTCATGTAAAACTTTTTTTTACAAACTTTATCAAAACTATCTTTAATTATCTTAATTTGATTACTATAATATTTGTTTGTTTTTTAATTGACACTAATTATACACAATTATAACCTTTATTACTTATGAAAAACTTTTCAATTGTAACAAAATATGCAAACAATGTATTATATGCTATTTGTATTGTACTGTATAACAGCATAAATCATAGCATTACAGAAATTTTGCGTAACATTAGACAAGTTTTTTTCAGTGAAATATGAATAAAAGATTTGTCTTCAAAAAAAATCTTTATTATTGTATTTATTAACAAAAAAGACATGAATTGAGTTTTTTACAGGAACTGGTGTTACACTTTTGATACATTTAGCATTAATAGTATTTATGCATATCGTAGCCTACATTTTGTTTTGAAACATTATTTCAATTATTTCATATTATTTGGTGTCGTATCATATGATATAATATAAGTTGTGTCGCGCCGTTAGCAGCATATGCTGTCCCAAACAACTGATATATTAAAACTGTTCAAACAATAAGAGCTTATCACTGGTTGAATAGGAATATTAAAGATAATAACTGTTTGCTCTGATGTTTTGAAACCTACACTCAATTTGTTTTGTAAGTAATTGTTTAACTTTCTCTCTTTCGCTCCGATATTATCCTATCGTTTCATTGATAAGACAGTTCTCAATACATCCACGCAATGAATACTTTAATTTCATATTTATTATTAAACACTACTTTTATATACTTTTATACATATATTTATTTTATGTATAATATTTTTAGACTCATTATTCATTAGTGAGTAGTACTTAAAAATAAAATTTCATTAAAAATATTATATTAATAATAAATATTTATAGTTTAGTAAACTATTTATATATCAAATGTCAATACATTTAATAATTTAAAGCAATGAATCGTTTTATGAAAAGTCTGTCTCACAGCTCATTCCGTCGAAGTGTATCTCAAAACGATATGATCGACACCTCCTTATATTATGAGAAGACCAGTCCATTGATTAATACTGAGACCCGACCGCCAAACATACCGCCTCCACCACCACCTAAACCGCCTCCACGGAGAAGACGCACGACTACTATATTTTATTGTCAGACAAATACAGAGTCCGATAATAATGATTCAAACTCTAACCGAATGACCAGACTAGCCAAGAGACCTCCTGTTCCGCCTCCTATTCCTCCTAGAAGTGTGTCATTAGATGAATACAACATAAATAAACAGACAAATGTCAAAAATCAGTTAAGTGTTGATATAAATACTAATAAGGATTATAATAGTAGTAATAAAAGCGTAAATACATGTATTTCAACTAATAATAACAACAATTATAATACTAATTCAAATAAAGTTAATGACAGTACAGGAGATAATTTATTTTCAAATGAAGAACTCATTCAAAACTTGACACAAAATCTGAAAGTTATGGAAGAACTCAATTCTTCGGTAAGAAATGAGCTCAAGAAGTGTCGCGAAGAGAATTCCCTTATGTTTAATGAATTGGCGGCCATTCGTATAGAAAGGGATCAGTTGTTTGAGACGTGCAAAGAGTTGGATCGGCTTAAAGACAATGAATGGACGTGTAGTATATGTCTGGACGATAGATATATGATTTTGTCGACTCACCGACAAATTGTGACCACATTTTGTGGACATCTCTTTTGCAACGAATGTCTAAATATGGCATTAAGTGCTGAAAATGTTTGTCCCACTTGTCGTGAATCCATAATATCAAAAAATTGTGCATTTCATTATTTATACTTTTAATTTTATTTACCTTAATTATATAATAGATTTTATATACCGTAATATTATAATATAATAGAATAAACGATTATTTTGTAAATATGAAATAATTTTCATAAATTTTGATAAATATTTAAATAAAAATAAGGCAAAAGTTTATATAATAATATAGTATTATTGGTCATCAGACACTTCCCGTGTAGCACCGGTATCATCGTCCTATCAAAACAAATGGTAGATTAAATTAATATCATTAAAAAGTTAATTGTAATTTTATTTTATAAACAAATTTAAGACAATTTACATTTTTCAGTAACCAATCTCTTAACAGTGCTTTAGCCACACGTAAAGTACTCTCAATAAAATGTTGGACATCGTCTTAAGTATTATATAGATATCATTTGTATATTTAAATCAAATTAAATGATTGATAATATAATACATATATATATATATATATATATATATATATAATGAAAATTTGATAAATATAATGAAATACCCGACACTTTTCCTAACTCTTTGGACACTTTGTGCATAAGCTCGCCATCGGAACTGACCTCAGCTTTCGTCACAAAAAACTGATCGGTGTTTGAATTTTGTAGTCTTGAAAATATTTCATTTGCATAAACTTGTGGCGATATCACAACAATTGTGATACAGATAATTGTAATATACATTGATTTCATTTTCAATTGATGGACACTTGTCACGAATTATGTATACACTATGTATCATATTTTGTAGTGATCTTGACTTTTAAATATTAAATATTTTTATTTTTTGTTTTGTTTAGTTTAGTTTTTGTTAATATTTTGTTTGTACAGAATAATACATTTTGGATAATAATAGCATTTATTGAATTCAAAAAATAAATATTGTGTTTATAATATCAATAGTTTATTTTACATATATCTATTCAAGATTTTAAAAACTATTATTTCCAACACTATAAGCTTTTGTTGAAATGAAATCAATGCAAACATTGATTAAATAATAATTTTAAACACTTATTTACATTTAAATATTTTAAATAACAAAAATAGGCACCACACCGTTTGTAATTATTACTGTCACTATTATATAAATTAAATAAGTATTGCATGATATTATTATTTAACTCATACATACATACATACATACATTTTACATACATAATTAATACATCATACATACATACATACATACATACATACATACATACATACATACATACATACATACATACACCACTTTTAATAATCCTTACACAACCTAACCCAACATCAGATTATATTCACACCCTACCTAACATACATACATACATACACACACACACACACACACACACACACACCCATTAAGCCAAACYTAATCTTAACAATTGCTAAACTAAATAGTTTAAAGTTAATTATCAAATTATTAACAAGTTTTTTATTTRTCATAATGTAGTTACTGTTGTGAWWAATTAAACTAATATTACTGTTAAGCTAAACTGAATTTAACCATAAATAAGCATAACATWGAATTTTAGTTTTTTATTAGCTAAAATATTACAATTTAAATTATAATTTATATATATATTATATAAATCTATTAACAAATCATTGTTTTGTTATAATTTGTGCTAATTTTGATTTATATATTTTTGTCTTTCGTCTCAATAAAGTGATATACATTTGTAGAGCTCTTAGACTGAAGAATCGATACAAATGAAGAATAAATRACAAACCAAATGATAGGTAACCAAACTCTTTAGTAATCATATCAATCATTATAACTCTTAACAGAAGAGATAAATCAAATAACAATAATATTTTAAACCATTTGAACCAATAGTTCCAAATGCGAACACTTCCTCTTCCTATAAGACTATATTCGACTTCAGAAGCGACAGAAATTGAAACCACAATAAGTAGTGATAAATACATAAATGAAAACCAGTTTTCATTTTCATATTTAAATATTTGAAATATTATAAGAAAGATTGAAATCAATGAGATTATCATCAAATTAGCTGATAATAGTAAGACTATGCCATACAATGACTCTTTTGATTTATTGTTCATCACTTTATTTTCATCAGATTTGTTCACAATTTCATCATTTGATTCTTGAAAACTATCGATTGAAGCCATAATTTGGTTTATATTTGAAGGACTCGATGGCATCAATTGTTTGATATGATTGGTGTCTAAGAGATACCATTTAAGTTTTGGTCCCTCATTAGGATTGTAAATAWAATTAAATAAAGTGACAAATGTTTGAACAMATAATGTCTTTATAGTGATATCTTTCTCTTCATTAGACATGAGTTTGTTTTAAAAATACGTTACGAGTCTTTAATTTACAAATAATTTTTTATTTATGTTTTACATTAATCTCGTGACAAATCTATAACTAAATAAAATTTATTAATTCATGAAATCAATGGTCAATATCGATATCCATCGAGTGATTACACAGTTGGTACGGCATTTGCAGATAAATCAATGGCTGCCACCTCTCGGGCCACCACAACTCCGACACCAAAGAAGACCCAACTCTTGACTATTTGCCTGATATTCAAAAAATATTGAAGATATTAGGTCTTTGAAATGTAAGACAATTCATGTCCAAAACAATACCATTTGAATGGATCCAAGTATAAAGACTTGACATTATATAGCCATCCTTTGCTCTGTGGCCGACGCACTGGTATGTTATCACCAAATGGCATATCTTATGGTCAATGAGTTGCCACTGATGTGTGAAGTGTGGATCAAATATGTGATGTTATCGGCGATCAAATGGCAATCAAGTGATGCAAAACATGTGAACTAAATGTTCACTAATAATGTCATTCAATGGTAACCAATGAATACAACCCTTAATGCTATCAATCAATGCATTTAATGTTTGCAAAGACAGAGACGTTAAGTATTGTTGTATTTGTTTTCACAAATTGTTTACTATTTTTTCGTAAACTTTTTTAGATATCTTTTTAAAATTGATTAAAGAAATTAAATTAATAAAACAATTGTTGAGATAATAACATTACCACTGATGGCATCTGTTTTATCACCAAATCAGTCAACAGGGCCTAAAGGGTTGGGTAATAAAAAAGCTTTAAAACAAATAATTTTGCGATAAAATTTTGACAACATTTGTGTCCATTATTTAGGAGATCCCGAGGACAAGACATTAAGGAAAGTGGAAGAAGAAGTGTTAATTCCGAAGATAATGCGAGACTTGGCTAAGAAGGAGAAGTGTACCGAATTTGTCAAAGGTTTCATGTCTTTACATCAATTGCTGACTTTTGTTTTGATCAGTTGTTTGCTTTCATTTTGTCGACCAATGATTAGCTTTTGAAGAATGTTGTAAAAAGAGTTCACTGTTGATGGTTGTCAAGTGTCGCACAGAAAATACAAGACTCAAGAATTGTCTCAGCGATTGGTATAATAATGAAGACTTCAGACATCACTGTCAGGAGATATACTTAAATGAGAGGTCAGAATATAGACGAACTGGTGTTAAATCAAAGACAAAGAGGATGTCTTAAATAAATCATTTTTTCAGACGTATTAAAATTAGGATTAAATTAGTTTTTATTAATAAAAGTAAATAATTTAATTATAAACTTTTATAGTCATTAATACAATTGATTTTATAAATAATATATAGATAATTAGTAAAAACTAAGTTTTAAAGTTAATCGCAATCCATTTGATGATCATTTGGTGACGAATCGCTTAAAAGATTTTGCCACAGAGTCTTGGATGGAGAGTAACTCATTTTATAAGAACCAAACATATGGTCGCTGTCATCGCTGGTATTGAAACGATTTAACCTATCGTTTGTGTCTTTCACTGAGTTATCGCAAGAATTGATAGAATGTTTACAATAATCTTGAAGTCTTGTCATTGATTTTGGACAAACATAAGATCCGCTGTGCAAAACATCTTCAGGATATTTGAGTCGATCATCACTGGAGTCGACATTCTGTGCGGTGTAACCAATCTGGTAATGTCGGGCTAACGACAAAAAGTTAGACTCAATCTCCCGGTGACAGACAGCCAATGGATTTAATTTGCATTTAATTATTCGCTGAAAATTCATTGCTTTAACTCTTCTGAGACTAAGATTATCCAAATCTGAATGAATTGAACAGAAAGTGTCAAATAATATCTGACATATTATATAAAATATAGTATCTTCAGTTGTCAATTGATCAACTGATCTATCATTTTGTTCAATATATTTATGTAACCAAACGGTACACATATTCATGAATGTCATCACTGTATCGATGGCCACAAAGTTTGCATTTTTCAATAAAGAACTCATGAAATACAAACATTTCTCACGGATATCGAGTGACACTTCATTATTATGTCCCAAATCCCAAAGATAATCAATAAATTGATCAAAAAACTGATTGGAAAGATAACACAAATAAAGCCAYACGTATTGTAAATGATTACAAGAGACCATTTGCAAGATATCTTGAGGAAACAACAACTTAATTATATCAAATAGTTCTTCATTTTCATCTTTAGTATTATTGGTTACTTTATTTTCGATAAAATCAAATAATATTTGTAATGTATTGTCTAAAACAGTTGTCTGTATTGATTTCATGGCAGTATTGCAGTCATCAATAATGAAGACGTCTTCAGTTATTTTGTTTTTATCAGAAGTGACCGCAATATCCATTTCAATGATCTTCTCAAAGATCAAAGACAACAATTTATGTTTATATTTGGCTGTTATATAGTCATAGACTTTAAAAACATTATAAACAAAACATTGAAATGAATGGACACAAGAAATGTGTGACAAAAAGGGAAACTTGCGGTCAATACATCTCAAGAACGTGTGTTCAAACTTTGCGATCTTTATGTGTGATAAAAGTGAATGCATTTCATCAAACATTGTTAACTCTTGCGGTTGTATTTGTGTCTCGTCTTTGAATTTTGACAATCCGTTAAACTTCTGTAAAACAATAGTCTCAAGAAGTTGTGGACATTTGAATGGTTTCAAATTGATTGCTTCGGATATCACGTGGAAGTACTTGGCGTATACTTCTTTGTCATCAATGGTCCAAACATTTAATTCTTGTAACAATTTGTCGATTAACTTATCGCATGTCTGCCATCGGACCAAATCAGTGGCCAATTGTGACAACAGTTGTACCAAATCGTGACATTTGTCTGCAAAACATTTATTAAGAAGTAAATGATTGACCAAAACATTAAAAGACTTTTCTCTCTCCGATTTGTCACTAATGGCCAGCAGTTCACTCAAATCGGTGACCACTTTGGCCTCATTTGGCCGATTAGTMACCGATTTGTTACGCTTTATTGCACTCATAGTATCGACAAATGACTCAAAATGTGATTATTTTTATTAATATTTACATTAGTTTTGAAAACACGTTGTGTTTATGTTTGCAGACAAATGTTTGCTTTCATTRAAATCTTTAAAAAAAATATCAATTGTTTTACACAAAAAACGTCTCAATATTGGGTTAACAGAGTTATTGTTCCCTTTATAATACATTTTACTGTTTATTAAATTTAAATTATAATACAGTATTAATACAGTACTGTACAGTAGTATTCAGTTATTTTTTGTCAATTTACTCAATAATTTATTTCATTAAATGAAAAAATATTTGATTCATTAAAGCATTAAATATAATTTATAACTTTTGAAAAAATAATATAACAATAACTATAACAAAATATAAATAAATCCAAATTTCATATTTTCATTTAAAAATTATTTATTTATTTAACTTGTTTTAAATTAATTATTTAATTGAAATTGAWTRTACATAATAAAAATAATAATAATTGTTTATATACTACTTTATTAAAAAACTATCCAGATCATTACATTGTATTACTAATGAGTTATCTAAATATAGAGTAGGAAATTGTTTTATTTTTAGATATCAAAATATATAATCTAATAATTATTATACATTTATGCAATTTATAGCTTAGAATATTACAAATTTTTTATATTATGTCAAAACCTATAATATAAGCATTGATTTGATGCTATAATGCAAATAATAATAATAATAATAATAATACGGACAAAATGATTTGCCTCATGTTTATGTATTCAAACTAAATAACTATATTTTWAACATATTTTTAACTCAAACATGTATTGCCTCAATAAATGTTGTTTTGTTACAAATTATAGTCAATAAAATGAAATGAATAGCAAAAAAATAATATTCAAATCAATCATCAAAAATAAAAAGATAGGCAATGTTTGAGAGATACTATTATTAGGTCAGACAATGTTGTATAAAGTTATGCCGTTTTTTGATGGAGAGAGAGAGGGAATAGACAGACATAGGTATGACTTGGGTATGACTTATGTATGAGTGGAGTCCTCAGTGGACGTATGTGTGTGAGAGAGAGCCATCACTTTCCATGTTTTGTCTCAATAGCTATGATTAGTCCACTTTTGCCACACAACACAACACAACACAATAAGAATCTAAAAAAACTTTTCTCTGAAACAATTTGTGGGCCAAAACTTAAGGTTTAGTGAATTCACTATTTCAAGGATAAACTAATCTGAAAGCTTCTCTCTCTCTCTCTCTCTCTCTCTCTCACACACACACACACACACACACACACACACACACACACACACWCACTCACTCACTATCCCTCTCTTAATATATATGTGAGGCCTAATGATTTACAGCTATTCATTACAACTATTAGGTATAGGACTGATGGCATGGCATCCCTACTATAATTGTTCAGTACATACATACAGCTAATGCCCTAAAGAAATAGATTCAGTGATTTAGGCCTCACAAACAAAAAGCATTGATTGTGTATAGAAAATAGCAGTTATTTTTGAAGCCCACTATAAAACTCATTAAACAGATATTTTAGTTGTTTAGACATACAGTGCTTACAAGTGCTGGAGTGAGAGTATATAGTCGGCAGTGACTCTGAGACCCGGAGTTTCACTTTTGCCTCCAATTCATCCGTAAAACAGCCAATCGTACCCCTGGTGTCACTACTATGGCTTCAATACATACTTTTTCCTATAGTCTTTGACAGCACTAAATCAAATTACTACAAATAAATACAGTACTAAATAGTGAGACCAACTCTCACTAATTTCATTCAATATTATAAATTTTGTCTTTTAATAATACTCACAATTATTGTTATAAGTACTAAATACTAAATGCGAAATATTTAAATAAACATCGAAATATATAATTTTATACATTAAAATTTTCCCAAATTATTAGATAATTGATAACATAATAATATAAACATTTTCAATATGTTGTAAACTATTTCTTATTGGCAATAAGATATATAATTTTAATACATACATGTAATAGATAAATACATTTTAATTACAATATTATAAATTATAGATTAATTTTATATATTCCACTGTTATATAATTTAAATATTTTACATTTATTATTCTGTAATTATTTAAGTGTGTAATATTGATACTAGAATATAAAAAATTAGAATAAATAAAATAAATGTGAAAACAYAATGATGTGGTCACACTAGTTATACGTCATAACATAGCAGACCTGTAACTTATACTTTCATCAGCACTGGAGTCCAAACGTTATAATATTGTGAACATTAGTTGCCTTTCAAATAACTTCACAGCATTTTCTACTATAACTGAGATTCAATTTTCTCTATAATTGTTTCTATAATATAATGCATTAAAAGCATTGAAAATTAGTTATATTGTAGTGAATGACTTAAATAAAGTGTAATTCTTAACAAATTGTTTGATTGACTTCTTTGTGAATATTTATCATGAATTTTAATAAATTTGTCGGTAAGTCATTAAATCTTTTAATTTCTAATAATTATTTTTCAACTATTGTTATATATAAAAAATATATTTGTTAAATGTTAAATTTTATATAAGTTTTATATACATTATATGCATTGAAAGTATTTATTATTATTTTTAGTTTAATTTACAATAAGTTATATATATTCATGGATTATAACTTATATTATAAAATTTTTTAATGTTTTGTATGAAACTTTATTTGATAAAAATATAATTTTCACTGGAAATGAATATTTAATTTTTTGATATAATATTATAATCACTATAAAAATATTTCCACAAAATGCAGACAAAAGTCCAAAAATCATTGAACTTATATAACATTAATTATAGGCATTGATGATGATATATAAATAAGTGCTTCAAATATAATATCCATATTTACTTATTAAAATCGGTTCAATTTTGTTATTTGTTTTATTATTATATAGAATTCATAGTTTATTTGCACTTATATTGTACGGTATGTATGGTTTGGGCGCAGACAACAAACAGTGTGCCGWTCACTACACCGGTGTCCGCAAACACCGACACTATAACCCAATCTAATACACAAACGCCCAAAACATTGATATCACACGAAACGACTAATTATAAAAGTAAATAATTTTTTTATAATTATATCTATAGATCTGACAATTTTATAAATGAAATTCAATATATTTATTTTTTGCTAAAATATACAATATATATATAGATGTTGATGAAGTGACAACAACATTAGGTTCAATAATAACCACTATTAAGGGTATTACCGATACTAACCAACCATTAGACACACAGACAACTATTCAACATTTAACAGAAAATTCAAAAGATAGCTCCGGAACTACTATTCCTCCGAATCCCACAACTYTATTGATAAGTAGTATAGGAATATCTAATACACAGACAGTAAGCAGTAGTGTCGTTCCACATACCGGTTCACCCCATGAAGTCCCATCACTTGCAACACAAATGTCATCACAAATAACAAATCCAACGACTATTAGCCCAAATATAATCAATGAAATAAGTTCTAAAAAAATAAGTGAAATGACAGCCCAGTCGGGGATTAATGACAAAACCACAACTTTATCAACAAATGTAATACAAGAAACTCAAACCACGACTTTGAAACTGACAAATGATGTGAATATAATGACAACAACAGCGGTACCATTAATTACCAGTCAAACTGTTGAACAAAAGTCGTCTGCGGCCACACAAACCACTATCGATGTGGTTAATCAAGAAGCAAGTTTGGGAACAACTCAGGAACCGATTAGATCGTCAACACTAATATCAGAATCAAAGTCAACACTAATTCCAATACATTCCGATATTACAGAATCTTCAGTTAAAACCACTTTATTTAGTACAACTCTTACAAATGGTGATAAACAATACATTCCTCCACTCAATCATTCACAAGACATTCAAACACAAACCACGAGTCCATTGACAGAAACAACAACAGAGACTCGATATTTGAATGCAACTGATATTCATAGTATTCCTCCTAATATACAAACAGAATCTCAAACACCAACTCATGGAAACCAATTGATTACTACAACTGAAGCACAAACTAGTAGTCCTATAATATCAGAAACACATCAAACAATACAAACAACAACAACAGCGCAACCAATTGAGACATTAAGAACCTTAGAATCGGTAACCAGAGATCACACGGACGACAATAAAGAGCCGAACATAACACCCGGTTTTATTGAAAACTTTAATTCAAGCGATGAGACAAAACCGGTTCAGACTTCAGATATGGCAGTTGAGGTGACAAGCGTTAAGACAATAGAAACTACTGATGAAACACAAAATATACAAAGTAGTAGTGAATCTACTAAAACATTTGACGATACACTGACCCAACCGCACGATTCAAATACTATTGAAACGGCAAAGACTAACTCACAACCATTAGTTCACGACTTGACTACAACTCATAATATGAGACCTATAACTACAAGCATTCCCTTTGAATCAAATGTCAATCCAATTAAAGTTATTTTACCAAACATTAAAAGCATGAATTACATCAATAAAGAAGATATGGTTAACACAGTGACCATCACTTTTATCGCCAAATCTGTTGAGGTCTGTCCTAATTAATCGTAAATAAGAAATGCTTTCTATATTTTGCACAACTTTTTTATTTTATTTTTTCAATAGATTTTCCGTTTTATAACAATATTAGACTTAAAGTTCCGTAACTTTACGTGCGATTGTATCGATTCCGAGAGGAATTGGTGTCAAATCGATAATATTATATATGTCTCGCCATCACCTCTTGTAATGAACAACCATTTGATTATCAGTTTTTTTGTTAACGACTCAAAAGACAAGGATTGTAATAATAATTTTTTTTATTATATTAATGTCTATACTTATTAACAATTTTGTATTTTAGTAAATAAGTATCACGTATTCAAAGGTCCATTAATTGTTGAGTCGCTCAAGAACTCAACCAAAACATTGGAACAATTGGTAACTTTTAAACAATTTGATTGATATGAATTAAATTGTAAATATTATGATAATAGATGGGATTGGAGGTACAGAGTCTTCAAACAAATATGGGAACAATTGTKGTGAAGCCGTTGGAGTCGGACAGTCACCGATTGGCCAAATTTGAGTTATTGGTGTTCATCTTTACTATAGTTATGTTCATTTGTACGGTATTGCTATGTCTGGCCATAATCTGTTCGTGTGCTAAACGAAAGAGCGTTGATATGAATCAGGTATTGGTTTTTGCTTAATGTTTCACAACTTGTTGTCTCAAACTGTTTGATTTCGTATTGAATTACCAGAAATGCATGACTTTTATTGATAGCTTTTTATACAAGAGTTGACACCTGATATATATGTTGTTTATTGGTCTACAACTCATTGATTTTAGTATTCAATTACAGATACAACTTTCTAACGCTTTTCGACGACAAACCACGACTAACCTCAATGGCTTTGACTTGAATTCCGCTTCTAATATATTGAGAGACGAATTACACGCCAAACGTAACCACAATGTGATAAACCTGGAGGAAGGCTGGGTTACACCCATTGATAATTGTTTGGATAATGAAAAAAATAATGCTAAATATGATTCACTCCAGGACACCAAATTGTAAATTATTGCATCAAATTATTATATTATTATTATAATGTTTAATTAATGTTTCTATTATTATTAATTATTATTTTAGTATTATTTACTTTATTATTCACATTACTAATTCTATTATAATTATTGAATATTATTTTTATGAATTATGATTTATTTTATATGTTGAGACCAATATTATATAACGAATGCCTAATTTAATCGCATTTTTGTGATTTATAGTTACAATAATATAACGATTATTAATAATTATATGAATTTGTATATAGCAGTGTTTTATCAATAAATTGTTTTTTTAAATCAAACTATTTATCCAATTATTTATATTTTTATAGTATAATAATTTTGAATGCCTATAAAGTAATTATCGATACTTTAATACTTTAAGTTATAGTCTATAACTTTAATACTGTAAGTTTAATATATAAATTAAACTGCATATATTTTTAAAATGCAATAAATTTTACTATTCTAGTATTTCATAGTATTTACTATTTAAGTTTAAATGATAAAATTAATTTCAAAACACCTCATATAAGATATCACATATCATAGCATTCCAGACCCACTCCCTCTATATGGGTCTCGACAGCACTATTAGCTTTTGGGAAAACCTTATAAGTTATAGACTATAATTTATAAATGACAAATGCAATTATTCATTTATTAATGTTGTTTCTAATTCACGCACCTGGAGGTAATGGTATTGCAGGAATGAGAATGGCATACAAATGTTATCAATAAAAAAATAGTGTCCCAGTTTAGTTTTCTAACATAAATTTTAAGAGATTTTTATATTTTACAATTAGTGTTACAAAAACAATGAAATAAATCAATGAAAATTAATAAAATAAAAACATTTTCTATTAATAATTATATTATAATCTATAAATATATGATTAAATTAAATTGTTTAGCAAATACAATATGAATATCAAACTAATAATTTAAATAAAAATCAAATATWATAAAAATATCACAAATTTAGATCTTTTTCAATCCAAGAGTTTTCTTTATTGATTCGTTGCAATTCTTCATCAGTCAAATCACATTTAATACCCCAAAGTTGACCAACTTCTTCGGGTGATTTACCTTTGATCTGATTAGCGGCCACTTTGCAGGCAATTCGTAATAATCCTGTAGTCATTGCAATATTAATAATATTAATATTTAGACATATATTATGAATCTATAGTTACTGTAATTGTTATAATTAATTATAAATTGTATTATAAATTTAGAAATAGAGATAAAAATAATTTAGTATTAATTTAAATGATATAAATGTAGCACTTTATGAAAACTATGAATACATACTATGAATGATATGTTAAACTACAGTAAATTATAATTTAATATTTTATAGTCTTTCTGAAGTAAAGTTAGAAAAAAATGAAAATTTCTTTTATCTGTTTGTCTGTCTGTCCTTCAACTAAGCGAAACGGTCTATAAATTGTCAAATATAGCAAACTATTGAATGACATCATTACCATTAATGTTAAGATAATTGGCTGCCACTAACAGATCAAACAATAGGTCCCGATCGATGTCAAAGTATTTGTTCTCCCAATCGGTCATCTCTTCAGTTGTTTTAGCGCAGGTGTCGTCTTCATCTGTATTGTCATTGATGTCGATTGGGTCGTCCCAATGGTAATCAATCCATTCAATCACTTTATCCAAAGTAGCGGCAGTTATGTTGTTGACTGATATGGATGTGCTGTGGTCTTCAGTAGACTCCATCATATCTTCAATAAAGAGATTATAATGAATATTAAATCAATGGTAAGACTCAATTGGATACCTTTCAAAGTAATAGACAGTTTGATCCTTTGGATATCAACCGTCCGAATGTAACCATCGCTTGTCTTCAACTTAATGGTCGACATAATTGGCGCCCAAATCAGTGATTGAAATATRATTTACTGCAAGACATCCAAAGACTCAATCAATGTATGGTTTAGTCATTTATGACGACAATAGAGGTCAGAGTCGGCTCTCAAACACGTGTTGTCAGTGAATGTCAACAATTGATTRCTTCATATAATAAATAACAATTTAGCGGCACTTAAGAAGTGGTCAACAATGAGGATAATTGCGTTAATAAGTGGCGGAAAAGACTCGACATATTCAATGTGTTTGTGCAAACAAAATGGTCACGAATTGGTCGGTTTAGCCAATTTGGTCCCGAAATCGGCTAAAGAAGAGGACTCATATATGTATCAAACGGTTGGACACGAGTTCATCGACTTATACGCTGAAGCCATGGATTTACCACTATTTCGACGAGAAATTAGCGGAAAACCTGTGATAACTGAAATGGATTACAACAAACATAACGGCGATGAAGTGGAAGACCTGTTTGAACTGTTATCTGAAATCCAAAAGACTTTACSATTTGATGGCATATCAGTCGGTGCCATAATGTCGACGTATCAGAAGGTGAGGGTTGAAAACGTATGTCAACGACTTAACATCGAGATGTTGGCACCGATTTGGGCTAAAGAGCAGACATCACTACTCAAAGATATGATTAATTACAATATGAATGCAATACTCGTCAAAGTGGCGGTTCTCGGCTTAGAGGCCAAGCATTTGGCCAAATCTATCGATGAAATGCTTCCTATTCTTGAAGAACTCAACAAAAAGTATGGCATCAATGTCTGTGGCGAAGGAGGAGAATACGAGACAATCACTTTGGATTGTCCTCTCTTTAAGAAAACAATTGTTTTGTAAGTGTTTTATCATTTAATTTTGATATAAAATAATAAATCTTTTTTATTATTATTTTGATTTAAGAGATGAATATGAGATTATCACCCACTCTGACGATGCCATTGTTTCGGTTACGTATTTAAGACCAACTAAAATGCATTTAAAGGACAAGACATGATCTTAATTTTTTTTGCATGAATATTGCATATAATATCACACAATGATTGGCAAATATTTAATATTTTATGTTTTAAATAGTATGTATCAAAGGGTAGGATAAATTGGATTTTATTATAAGTTTGTATTCAATTTTATTGTAATTAAATCAATTAACACTAATATATTTTATATTTCAAAATATTACAAAACTACCCCAAAAAATTTCAAAAAAGTCAATTTTACCATGTTAATATTTTAATGGCAATTTAAAAATTATTAATTTCAAGAGAGTGTGTATTGAATTGTATCGTAATTTTGATTAAATTTACCGTAATATTTATATTGCGTACAAAACACACATTTGATGTAAATGTAGTACATGAACATACAGGTATATACCGGTACATTAGCATACATATACATTATGATATACACATATAAATCATGGTCAACCATTTTATACTTTGACACATTTCATTGAATTTTATTTTATATACAATAGAATATTTATTTAATGATGATTTCAACTAAAAAATAAATATATAATTTAATGAATGAATTTTACAATAAATTAGTTTATGGGAAAATAAAATCTCTATAATTTTTTTATAAAGAGATTCTATGATTATTAATTTTTATATAAAATTTATACTAAAAATAACTTTTATAAAACATTTTTAAAAACATGAATCAATCGCCGACATCTGAATCCTTGTCTCCTATAGAAAACAGTATTAAAAAAGCAATGGCTAGAAGTGCCGTTCCTAACAAATCACCCAATGCTGTCAAATAGGGTATGGCTGAATTATCTGCAATCATTTTATTCAAATTGGAGTTATTCATTAATAAAAACATATGTTCAATAATATAAGTATACAATAAATACTATATATATTATGTATATAAAGCACACATACCCGGGTCGACAGCCTTTTTCCACATATAGAGAATCATTGTGTGAGCAAAATATAATAAAAGTATGACTTGTAGTAATGCCGCCAATAAATAAACGACTAGAAAATGAAAGGTAATGGATGTGTGTCCGGCCTGAAGAAACCTAATGCCATACGTGAAGATTATGTGACCCGGAATTACCATTAATATTAGTACGCGAGCTGTACGCGCGTGAATGCCTATAATTAAATAAATATGTGTATCATTTTTAGATAAAATTACGGTAATAAAAATATGCTGATATTGAAAAAAATCACAACTTAATATCAAATTATATTTATATAAGTTATCGTTTGACATGAAATGATAAGTAAATTGTAAAGTTTGCATAAAAATAAGTTGATATCTATTAGAAAATTTCTAATATATTTATCAGTAATAAAAGTGAACTCACTTTTTCCAAAGAAAGCTGAACAGGGATTAAAACAAAGTTTTGCATCACTTTTAGGTAAAATTCCTAACTTTGAATTCTTATGCAAATGAGTTGATATCCTACTGGCCTAACCGTACAATAAAATTACAAATAATTATCAATAAACATATTAAAATTTAACATTATCTATCACATACTTGTACGGCAACTAAATTTCCACCAACGCCTATATTAATGATATACAACTGTTTGATTAATTTTGCGTTAAAAATAACTATAATTAGATTTACCATTAATTACAGGTTGAAAGACTGCAATGCCTTTAAATCGTGAAACAGCAAAGTCTAAAATGCAACCACCAATACTAATCAATGAGATAAATATGTATTTTTTAAACAATATTAATATTAAACTAACAGACCTGGATATAGCCATTGCACTGATAACTGGTGTCCAACCATTATATAGGACTTCATTGGTATATTTATTTTTATTGGCGTAATAACACCAAACGGGAATCAATAAAAGAAATACAACAATAATGGCAACACAAAGCCAGGAACTCGTCTCTAAGATATGTAATATTTTTATCAGTAAAATAACATTAACTAATGTTTATATAATCCGTATCATTACCAACAGTATAGTACAACATATCACTAAATTTGGCCAAAAGAGCTAAAGTTATCAGATCTCCTAAAGATGCAGCTATAGGTGTGGCCACATTGTCTAATTAATAATACCGAGTAATGTAAAATATCATCGAAATGTCTTCATMTCAATAAAAAATTTAATAATTACCGGGATTTATGCGGCATTTGTGTGATACAATTACTACAACTATCATTAATAATCCTAATATCAATAAATAATATTAATATTAATTAAAAATTGTTCAAAATTAACACAATATAAATAAACCCAAATGAATACCTAAAATAAAACTGGCGATACTGGCTGTCAATAGACTTGAGGCACATAACAGTAGAGCGTGAGAAAAGTTGAAGTCTCCTTCGGGTAACCAATCCATGGTTATGGCAAATATGGCGGCCAAGAAGGCTACGATTGTCGCCTGACACTAACCATTGTTATACATATATATCATTAACAATACTACATAAGTCGGTACTTTAAATCAAATATATACCTGAATTAATGCTATATTTCCCGACGCGATTTGCCACTGTTCGCGACCCGTTTCTATGTGGCCTAAGTTGGCCTGAGTTGATAAACGTGAGGCCAAAGTCATCTCAAGATTTCCCTTAAGACCCAACAGCGCCGGTACCAAAATAAACACTTCAGATACTTGTTTGAATACATCCCAGTGCTATAAACAGTACATTAATAGGTTTACTATCATTAAAATAATGTTTATAAAACAGATATATTTTATATAAACAAAGCGATACATTCAATATGTTTAGCTAATTATCACTCCATATATAGGCTTATAGTATATAATTGTATTAAAAATGTAATTATTTGTCAATACCTGCACGTAATCCAAGACAAGTCCGGCACCAACTGTACCGAAACCGGCGATAAGAAATGGTACAAAAACTTGAAAATACAGTGATATAATCCCTTCTTCGTAAACAATTTGATGGTCTGAATGGTCATCAGAGTCGTCGGTCAACAGATACTCAGATTTATATGATTTTCTCTTCAATCGACTCTTCTTTTTATTAACCAAATCCAGAAGCGGTTTCTTATCGCTGTTGATGAATGATGTCATCATTTCATCGTTTTGTTGGTCACTATCGCTATCTGAATGTCGATGAAGACTATTATTATGTCTTAAAGCATTATTTTTGCTGAACTTAATAACATCTTCACTATAGATGAGTTCAATAAGTTCTTGTCTGTCATTAGTGGCAAACTTGGATCTGACGGCTTTGTCATCAGTTTGTTTATCACTGTCGAGTTCATCCCCACTGTGATCGTCGTCATCACTCATATGGTCGTCCATTGGTTGATAATCGGTGTGATTATCGGTGTTTCGGGACATCATATGATGGGAAGTCGTGTCTCTCTTAGTGTTAATTGCTATCAATCTGTTTCTCAAATGCTTTTCACTCATATTTTACAAACGCTTCAAAAAGCGCTTACATTAACACTATTAATGATTTGATAAAATTGTTAATTAATTGCTAACAATGCATATACTCTATAGATGTCTGTATATGTGATATAAAAACATTTAAAATATTTTTTTATTTCAAAAAATGTTAGAAATAAATGCAATTATTATTATAATATAATATAATATATGATAACTACAGGTATATAAAAACCGTGTGTTGTTTTAGTTACTCCTTTAGTGTTGGCTTTTCCGACAAACAGTCAATCATTTATTTATGTATAAAATCCTATAATTTTTTTTATTTATTACTTAACACTAATCTTAAGCATTGACACCAAATATTAGTGATAACACACAGTAATTATATATCAAATAAATAAAATAATTTTATAATCAATTATAAAATAAATAAAAATTATTTCATTATAATGTTATTAAACAAATGATTGCATTGAATGTCACAACAATTTAATCACCACTTTCTCAATACATCCCATATATTGATATTTGTTTGGCATTTCTATGACAACCCTTAGTATACATACTTAGAGCACATGTTGTGTGCATTGAAATTGTTTTGTGATTTAAATTTTATTATCAAAACATTGTTTACATTTGTTTTGCATTTGATTTGTTAAATATAATTACCGCTGAAGACAATGAGTGAACCACCGATCAAAGTCAACACAGATCTACTAAAATGTGAAAATGATTTCTTCACCAAAAGCAATGACATTACAAATACATTGTTGATCACCAAAAGTGCTAAAAGAGATGCCATTCAATGTCCACAAAGACAGACATTGAAAACAGAAAGATTGGCATCAAATGGTAAATAAAGTAATATATAAATATTTATCATATAATTGATTTGATTTTCATTGATATTATTAGTGTTAAATCGTGCCAAAGATTTTTTAGAAAAGACAAAACTAACGGCTAATAAAGATATCCAACAAACTTGCGATTTGGTTACTGATGATGATATCACCGATGAAAGTGTCGTTAATGACAGTCATCCAGCAGTTGAACTCAATTTTGTTTTATTTAAAAATAACGATAACTTAGTTAACGACGAAGAGTCCAGTGATGATAATAGCAGTGAAGACTCTGAAGATGATAGCGATAGTACTGATAGTAGTGATAATGAAAGCAATTTAAATAAAAATAAATCTTAGTTTATATTTTTCAATAATGTTTTGATTTGATATATAATTGAATGAATGAAATTTAGTTTATGAAATATATTTTTGTTTATTTTGTATAATTTATAAACATTTATTTTTATTTATTGATTAACAAAAAAATTTTATTATAATAAATAAAAATGACAAATAATATAAAAGAGTCAATWAAAACATTAATTTGTTAATCAATAATTAAGATTAATATATTTCATTAACGACGAAATTATTATTTGTTTGACAGACATCCATCCATTTGATGACATTTTGTGACAAACAAATCACTGAATAATTAATGAAAAAGATGTTAATTATATCATATGATATGTTAAACTAAATAATATAATTTAATACTTTATTTACTCACTTTTTGTGCGACTTTTTGGGCAAACTTTCCAATAATATGACAAATACCACCAAAATTAGCCAAAACAATACACATATGACATGAAAATTGATAGTAAATCCGATATCAATATCTTTGTCTTCATTGACATTCGTTAAATAACTTGCAATACATTTATAATACATTTGACAATTAATGTCTTTTCGTGTTTTAATTTATAGGTAATTCACTTTTTATTTCAATTAATTAATTTTTATGAAGTAATTGTTAAACAGTCAAAACTTTAAATATCAAAAACAATTTTATTATTTAGTTTTTATTTACTGATTACTTAATAATAAAATTATTGTAAAGTTCAATGAAAATACTCACATAAATATAAATATAGATATAAATCACAGATTTTAAAAAATTATCTCAACTTATATATATATTAAATATATTATAAACAAATATTTTTTATTTTTTCTACTATATCACGGAATTTTTATTYTAAGAAATCAAATAAATTAAAATTATCGTTAAATTACATATTTTATTAACTTTTAATATTAAAATCTAAATTATTTACGTATTATTACAATTATATTAAATATCTAAATGTAAAAGTGATTAATCATTTGTGTAGTTATTTTCCACATTTTTGCAAAATATTTGTTGTTTTCTTAATATAAATATTTATTATAAAAAYATTTATATACTGTATTATAGAGTCTTACTGTATATTAATATAATATAGACAATAGTTAAGTGGATTCGATCCAATTCACACATTATTGCATATAATTAAATGCATGAATTAAATACATTATAATACAGTAATAATATATAACTGTAAATATTGTATTACCGGTTGTAATAGTATTATATAAATTGACCTTGGATTTAGTTTCCTTATTAAATCAATATTTAATATAATATTTTTATTAAATATAATTAAAATCAAATGTTAAAACAATAATCGTTAAACTGCAAAAATATAGCTATATTTTTATTATAATTCAAACTTGTTTTATTATACACCTTAATGTGTATGGTATGAGAATGAGCTCATATTAAATATATGAGTATATCATATATAAAAATAAGCAATAATTTACAAAATTTTATATCACCTATAAATAACTTTTTAAATCGTTATCAACTTTTAGTAAACTTTAGCTTAATTTTTGACTAAAATTTATTTAAGTGAAAAAATATATAAAATTAGTAAAGCAATTGTGTAAAAATTAAGATAAATAAATCATAGTTAAGATAAATAGTGACTACAAAAAATTAACGTTTATATGATTTGTCATAAAACAAATATTTTTTTAAGTTGCTGATAATAAACGTTGTAATTAATTTGAAATTAAAAACAAATTTTTTATAATTTAATTAATTGATGTATTAACTTTGTAATATACAAATTTAAGTATATTTAATTACTACAAATAATTGACATTTTATTAAGTGACAAATTTAAAAAGTCAAAAAATTAAAATTTAATATAAAAATTAATTTTTACCACTTAGATTTTATTAGAGATATTTTTAAATATTATATTAGTATAAATTATTTTTATAAATATGTATATAAATTTATATATTGAGTTTTACAAAAAAAAAATTAATTAAATAGAGTTAATCTAAAATAGTATTGTCAGAACAAACTTTTAAAATATTTTATTTTTATGTCTGAAGTGTTTATTTTTCTCACATCATATCTCAAACCTATTATTTATTAATTATAAAATATGTTTATTTGTCAACTATTTTGATAATGTTATTGAAGAAAGAACATTACTTTTTTAAAAATAATAATAATAACTACTTATTTCAGAATCTAAAATTAAAATTTACAAAAAATAGTTATAATTTATAGACATATAAAAATTACTCTTATAATAGTTTTTAATTAATTTGTTATGTTATATAACTTATAGTAATATATTATATTGAGTTGACTCAACTAAAATTTTATTTTAAATTTAAAGAAATTTTGGACTAACTATAATAGAATAAAAAATTATAATCTAGCACATATTTGCAAATATTATATTACATTTATTTGAAATTTTTATTATCTATACAATTTTAAATAAAAATGTAAAAATTGTGAAAAAACAAACAAATTATATAAATAAATTATATTTAGATATGTATTCAGTTTTACTGATTTCATTAAAATATAGAGTTTATTGTTCATTATCTGTTGATTTATTTTGTTACTTAATTTGCACTTAATATATAATTTTAAAAATATAAGCAAATATAAGCGTATAAATAAAAAATAAAAGTGATAAAATAAATCTTTATTTATTGAAATATATATTGAAATAATGATATTTATCCAGGTGATTCTAATGTACATACAGATGCATCTAGTGAATAACATTAAGCTAAATAAATTGACATTTATATATAAAATATATAATTCAAATTAATTAGTATATTTTATTTATAATTTGAATATCTATTAGAATTAGAATTTTAAATATTATGATAAAAATTTCAAATAATAATACATTCAATAATAATAGTTGTGTATTAAATTAAATTAATTTAAAACTACAGTAATTTATGAATTGATTTAATAAATAATACTAATATATACTAAATTGATAATAAATATTATGGATTGCGAATCAATTATTGAAAAAGTTGGTTCATTTGGTTTATATCAAAAAATGTTAGGTCTCTTCTTGTGTCTAATGATTGCACCATTTTTTGCATTCAATGATTTGACACAATTCTTACTATTCTTGGAACCAAATCATTCATGTATTGACCGAACCGAAGAAATTCATGTCTATTATAATATTATTTGGTTTACAACATCTGATCAACAAATCTCAAAACAATGTGAACTTATAGACAAATCTGGAAATAAGACTAATTGTATTTATGGCCATCAATACAACTATTCACACATTTATCCGACAATCGTTTCTGAGGTTATTTCAAAATATTAAATTAAAAAACTTTATATTAATTAAAGATATATATTTTTTAATTACAAATAATTAGAATAACTGGGTTTGTGAGGACAGTTGGAAATTGTATTTCGTTCATACAATATACTGGWCCGGATCACTGATTGGGGTATACGTTATCGGCAGTATATCTGATAGGTTAGCTATTTTTAATAATAATATAATATATATATACTGTATAAATAAATCTTATATAATATTTGATTTGAATAATAGCTACGGGAGAGTACCAGCCATAGGAGTTTGTCATCTAATTAGTGCAATTGCCGGAACCGCTACAATATTTTTCTCCCACAGTTTTATTGTTTTACTCATTTCCCGAGCATTCATGGGTTTTGTAGTATTATCTCAGGGAATGTTTGCCGTAGTGTTGGTCATGGAGTTCGTGGGAATCGATGGCCGTATGATTATATCGACTCTGTTTTTGTTTAGTTATTCAATAACGGCTACCATTCTTCCGTGGATTGCATACTATATCCATAACTGGAGAATATTAAGCGTTATTACATCCGTTCCCCTCTTTATTATACCAATCATATGTTTGTAAGCATTTATTTTCAAATTAATTACTTTTCAAAGTATAAAATTTTATGGAAAAATAATTAATTGTTTTTATATTTAAAAAAATAAGATTTATTCCCGAATCTGTTCGTTGGCTTATTTCCAAAGGCGAGCACTCAAAGGCTGAAAAGATAATCAAAAGAATATCATTAATAAATAAAAAGACAATAACTGATGAGGAAATTAATATGAAAAATATTAAAGTAGACGAAACTAAAAATCAATCGTTGTTTCAATTGTTTTATTATAAAAGACTTTTGAAAATATTTATTTTGACAAATATTTTATGGTAAGCTTACATAATACTGTATAGTTTATAAAATAATCAAAAGTTATTTTAATATTATTATTTTAATGACCAAAAGGGCGCTACAAAATATCGGTTATACGGGTGGCAACATATACGCGGCCAATGTCTCTAACAGTCCTTTCATTATGTTATCGGTAAATTCGGCACTGGATGTGATCGCAACCTTTTTCTCCAACAAATTTTCCAATACTTATGGCCGAAAAATCACTACAATTGTCAGTTGTTTTTTGGCTGGAATTTCATATATATCGGCAGCTTTTATACCATTTCGTATGTATTTATTAAATTGTTGCCAAAAACTGCAACCAATTGTCATTAAATTTTCACTATATTTTAGATTTGTATAAAATTCAATTGGCTGTCCTGTTAGTCGGCAGACTTACCTTCACGTGTGGATATAATGTACAATACATATATGCAGCTGAAGTCTATCCAACTGTAGTCAGAAGCAGAGCACTGGCTGTTCGTTTGGCTGTAGGATCTATCGGTAACTTAATTAGTCCACAGATTGTAGAGCTGGCAATATTTGGAAAACAAATACCACTATTTTTATTTGGATTTTGCGCTTTTATGGCTTCCGCTTTAATGACACAATTACCCGAAACTTTGGACAAACCATTACCMGAGACTTTAGAAAATGGCAATAGTCTTGGAAAGAAAATAAATGCAAGAAGACGGTCAACATTTATAGCGGTATGTATGGCACCGGTAGAGATACCACTTAATGTTGGCGATGATAATCATCTCAATGTCAATACTTCCACTGTTGACAACATTCAACTGAGACATTATCCCAAATTAAATAATAAACAGTTGACTAAACTTTAAATCATATTAAAAATTGTGAAAAWTTTTTATCAAAACTTCTAATCAGTTAAAAATATCTTTATTTACACAAAATATTGAACTAAATAAACATTTTAAAAAACAATTAGACGAGTAGTACAGCATTAATACAACCATCATTTTCGGGATTATTGGTCACCTGAGCGTATTTACCCCAAACCACTTTACCTGATTGGGTAACTAAACCCAATTCACTGATATTCACTTCAATAACTGTTCCTTTAGTGATAACACCGAGCGATGTATACATCGGTGAACTCGGATTCTTCTTAACGCCGATTATCGGCAAATGAAAGGTAGCTTTCAGTTCTGGATGTGTTACGTGTGCCGTCTTAAACCGTAAGGCCATCGGACGTATAAATCGTTCAAACTTTGGTGGCTTTCGAGTGAATCCTTCGCCGACGTAACACACTTTAGTAACCATTCGTTTCCATGATTTCTTCTTTCGTTTACCAGTATTAATGGCTCTACAAAAACATAATTACCGGTAATTAATAACTTCAGTAATGAGTTATTATCTCAAAAACACCACTCATTGGTGTCATACCTGAAAACCTCCATTTCTGAGATGGCCTTAACCTTAGGTATGGGAACATCCCATTTACCGGCTTTTTCTTTACGTTTCTGTTTAATCATATTTGACAGCACTTTAGCGCGAGTTTGAGTCTCTCTGTCCAACAGATAGTGCGGAACGGCTCCATCGGTAACCTCTTTGTCGGCYTTTTTCTTAGTATTTTTCTCTTCGTGTGCTTTCAATGTTTTCTTCATTTGAATCTTTTCATTAAACCTCTGTTTGTTATACAGTTTGGCTTTAATTCCTCTTAACTTCTTGGCCTTTGCCGACACTTCCCGCACACTTCGGGCCTCTTTCTTGCGTTTTCTCTCCTCATAGTCAAGCCGTCGGCCGTACCGCTTGTTGAAGAGCTCGATGTGCTCGTTCTGCGGCATTGTATGACACTATCACCACAATTGGATCCAAATGATCGACTAAATAGTGATATAACAACAAATGGTCAGAAAATCACGTCAAACAACAAAACGTGGTTTTTATGGATCACATGACTCATGCGTTCACTCATTAAATACTATATTATTATAGTATTAGTGAGACATCTATTGAGTGACAAAAACTAATAATTTTTTATTAACTTTATTATCAGTTTTTAACAATAATTAGTAAATAATTTTTAATAAATATAAAATCAATAATTAAAAAGCAATGAAATTGAAAATAAATAGTATTTTATATATTTTTATATTATATTAATGTTTAAAAATTTGTATAAAGTTATGCAMAAACAAATAGTTTTAAATCCTAATATTTAATCTATTGATTTCTAATTTAAGTTAATTAAATGACATAAATATTTTCTAAAATAGATAACACACTGTTAACCGCACAAGTCATACGAATWTCAATAATAATATAATAAATATATTYAAATAAATTTATATCTTATATATAATTATAAGTTTTTATAMCTCGAGGTAAACAAACCTTATAATTGATAACAAGTTGTTTGTTGTTTACAGAATTAATAAAATWTWAAACATTAGATATAATTAAAATGATTATCAAGGTCTATTTCTAAATTTTATATTTAATTGTCAGTTTGTTAACATTTCTATCATTACTAATACTCTATTCTATATAAAACTAATTMTTAATTATACTGTATTTAATATATTAGTTATTTTACATTAGAAAATCTGAAACAACTAAATAWCATTTGAATTGATTTGAAAATTTTATTTATACTGACAAACAAATTAAGATACAAACATATTGTTTTTTAAAAATAAAAATTGTATTATTATAAAAAATTGTCTTGACTATTTATTTATAATTTTATAATASAACTTTTTATTGGTAAATATTTATAGTTAATATCAATTTCATACTAATGTTTTTACAAATTTCTAAGTTATCATCTGAAAAATAGGTTAATATGTTTTTTGATAATGAATAACATTTGGTTTTAAACATTGCTATATATAACTTCATATAATTTCAATATAAATAAACATATGTTAAGTACAGTACATATTTTTAATGATTAATATAATAAATAAAAATAAACTTCAAAAATCAAATGTTAATCAATGTATAAACATTTGATTGATAGCTGTGTTTSCATTTTTTTGTTGTTGAAAATTTGCAAAGTTTTCAATATTATATTTTAGAAATTGTATCAAATGTTTTATAAAATTGTTAAAATTTTATACACATTTTGTATGTTTAAATTAAAACATTTCTAAATTATAAAAATAATTAATTATAAACACATTCTATAATATATATATTCAAAATAAGTATAACTATTATTTCATATTACTTATACTGTATATATATATATTGTTTAAAAAAATCAAATATATAATTATAAATTAAAAAAATTTATTATATACTGTATATACACATATGTAAAATTATAATAAACATATTTTTCTAAACGTCATTCAAAAAATTGTTTGGAAAAGAGCTCTCTCTTAACAAATGAGGAAATTATATTCAATAAAACTAATTATAATTATTAATAACTAATCCCTGTTTATGAAGTTATGGTTACACACAATGCATAGGGATATTGAAGACAAATTAGGTACGACTTTTCACAGAGTAGTTTGCAATGAAAATTATTGTTTAAAAAATATAATAATTTTAATGTTTAAGTCAATTAAAGACAATAATTTTTTCAATCAAGTTTTATAATAATAATAATATTTCACAAAAAAATAAAAATTATTGGTATTAATAAGTATTGTAAATAGATTTTAATTATGAATTTATATAGTWTTAATATAAGTTTTTCAACTTAATTTTTTTTATAAAAAGTATTCATGAAATTTCAATGAATATATTTGCAACTAAATTAATAGCTAATAACATTAGAGAATTAAACATAAATTTTAAACAACATTATTATCAAACAGATTGATCAATATATAATAAAAATAATATAAAAACCTAAGATTACAAATAATAACAATAAAAATATATGATATATAAAATTGCATTAGATTAATAATAAAAGTAAATTACTGTATTTTAATTGTTATTAATTAAATAAAGTGAAATACAATGCATTTAGTAAATTAGCAGTAGCACAAATAGACTAATTTATATTAAATTAAAATAATCATATAATAATAATTTTTGTATTAGTAATAAATAGGAGAGAATATTAAAAATTAAGTTAATATCATTAAAAAAAACTATTAAAACTAAAATATACATTATGTATAGTTAACTAAATTGACGTTAATTCATGCGCAATCATAATATATAAGAGGACTGTTATTTCAAATAGCAGTCAATGTATTATAATATTATAATAATATTATAGAGTACTTACAAAACTAAGCTAAGGCTACGAAAACCAACAAATATGTGTAACTAAAACAACATTTGCTATTGAATTTTGAAACATTAAATAAATAAATAGTTGTTTTGTTATTATTATTTTAATGTTAAAAGTAAATGAATTGAGTTTTTGTATATTTTATATATAAAAACTTTCAAGTGATATATCAGAGCCAGTAATGCATAACTAGTTTACAAGTGATGATCACAACTATAATAAATGATTTATTTTAAGCGACACTTGAATATAATTTTATTGGATTTTTTTGCATACATGTAGTGTACAGTATTATACAATTAGTTTTCTTTAATAAATATATATACAGTACTGAACAGTAGTTTTTTTTAGTTTAATTTTGATTATTTCAATGCAATTATTTTATGTGTTATTAGTTGTGATTAAATGTGATTTTTTATTATTTCATTAGTAATTCATTTGTTTTTTGTTGTTATGTTTTTGTTATTTTAATTTATTGTTGTTTTTGTTATTTTTAATTAAATTTGACGACAAATAGTATTACTGATAGTAATATATAACACCAGTTATGACAACACATAGCAGTATATGACAGCAAATGTKTTGTTGTTATGCTTTGAAATAAGTATTAAATTAAGTGATAATTTAATACAAATAATGTATTAAATGGTATAAAATTAGTGACCAAATGGTTGGCCAACTAATGGATTAGTGCCTTCACTGATGTCTTATTTGTTGTATGATTTGGTGACACAAGTGGTCCCATAATTATAGTGCAAACAAACCAACTGTTGATCATCTTTTCACTGATTACACGACCAGCAAGTGGTCAGTGATATAATCTGTGGTTAAAATGTGCGAAAACAGCGCATCTTTTCTCCACATCGGAGATATGGTCTCTCTGTTTGCTGAGGGAACTGTTTCGGGATTCCTGTCCACACTCGGGTGAGTTATAGTGGCCAATGATAACCGATTATAGATAGTATTAAACTATTGTTTATATACTATATATGATATGTTGACAGTTTGGTTGACGACCGATGTGTGGTTCAGCCCAACGCTGGCGACCCATCAGATCCTCCCAAGAAGTTTAGAGGTTTTTTACTCATTTTTTCTTTACATATTATTATCATATGTTTTAGCAAAACTTATTTAACATATATTTTACTTTCAAAAGACTGTCTTTTCAAGATGTGTCCAATGAATAGATACTCAGCTCAGAAGCAGTTCTGGAAAGCGGCCAAACAGTCCAACAATCAGACTAACAGAAGTGATGCCTTATTGCTCAAGAAGTTACACGTAAATCATAATTATTAGTATTAAACCAATTGATTGATTAATTGATTTGTTTGTCTGTCTGTTTGTCTGACTGATAGCACGCCGCAGAACTAGAGAAGAAACAGAATGAAACCGAAAACAAGAAATCACTCGGAAGTATCATTCAATACGGAGGTGTCATTCAATTATTGCATCTCAAGAGTAATAAGTATCTGACAGTTAATAAGCGATTGCCGGCACTCTTGGAGAAGAACTCGATGAGAGTCTATTTGGACAGCAATGGTAATGAGGGTTCTTGGTTTTATATCGTGCCTTTCTATAAGCTCAGGGCTACTGTAAGGACGTCTACTTAATTTTCAATAGCCATTTGTTTTAATAGTTTTACAAAACAGGGCGATAATGTTGTGGTCGGTGACAAAGTTGTGTTAACACCGGTAAATGCGGGACAACCACTTCACGCCAGTAATTATGAACTGCCAGACAATATCGGCTGTAAGGAAGTAAATGCTGTTAATTGCAATACATGTTGGAAAATATGCCTATTTATGGACTATAAAGAAAACATTGACGATGTCCTCAAAGGTATGTCTATTTTTCTCACATTAATTTTAATGGTCTATAAATCATAAAAACTTGTGATAAATGTTATATTAAAATAAGTTTAAATAGTTTTTTATGTATTTTTATTCTGTATTTGTTTATCAGTCAAATAATAAGTCTATTTATATGTTATTTCAACTAAAGATTAATCTATAATTATAATACTTATTAAATAAGATAATGTATTAATGAATATACAGTATATTTGACACTATTTGAGGCAACTATCAGTTATATAATACATATGATAATTGCTTTAAAATGAAAATAGATTGTATTTTAGTTATTTATTATGTTATACTTTATTAGTTATACACAATTTTATTAAACTAGTATTTAACTATCATTAGTTTATCATATTATGATATTGTATTATACAACATAAAAATGCATTACATAGTTAACTTAATTTTTGCATTTAAAACTACTGGTAGATCAAAATTCCTGTCATAAATAGTATATTTTTTGTGTACATTTTATTAATAATTTATATACATACAGTATATTATTATATTAATAAATTTTACATAATACAAATATAAAAATAATTTATAATGTTTTGTATAAACAATATTTATTAAAATTATAATAAAATTTTGAGTTTAGTCGTTATTTCAACACATTTGTGTATATTATTTGCAGCATTTGAAGGCTTGATGAAAGTATTTGATTATTTCAATGATTTATTGATTTGTATCATATGTTTTATGATTTGTTTACTAAATATACATACATTGTATAAATTTTTAATGTATGCTTTAATTGTTTTTGAATATCAAATGTTACTTAAATTTAATATACAATTTACAGACTGTATATAAGTGTTATGCATTAAAATTTATTATTTTAAAATAAAAATTTCAAATTTATGTCATTAAAATACATTAAGAATTTTAAATATTAAATCTAAAAAATTAGATATTTGAAATCCTCTGTTACATAGGCTATGTATCAAATTTCACATATTTTTTGATGATTAAAATACACATTATACTGTACTATACTGTAGATTAAAATTTTGATAAATTTATTTAACTTTGTGTTAATTGAAGTTTCAAGTTATGATAAAATAATTTATAAAATTATCCAATTTTTAAAGCTTAACTTAATTTTCATGCTATAAAAGTAATGTAATTGTTTTGGTAAATATTTTTATGGCATTAATCAATTTAATATGCATTTGTTAAGTGAAAAATTGTTATTATAGCGGATGTTATGATAGCAACATATTTATTGATAAAATAATATTTAATGAATTTACCAAAAAATTTCAAAATTTTAAAGTATTTACTTTTCATAAACAAATAATAATTTTTATGCGATGAATATTTTTAATTAAAGTTACGGTAAAATAATAATTTTTAATTTTTTTATATGCAAGCAATTTAAATTTATTTGGTTTATACTAACTATTCATTCATTATTATTTTTTGATTAGCGTTTGATTGATTTTTAAGGTTATAACTAACATAATTCAAATTTATAGATAAAAATTATATCAAAATTAAACACGTTTTGTTTCTTTTACTTCATATATAATACTATATTTATATTGCATTTTTAATTTATATATATAAATATTTTTGCATAATACTGTATAATATACAGTATATGATACGAATATTAAAATATATTATTTACTGTTACTATAAATATAAATACAAATAAAAAGCAAATGAATAAATTATAAATATTTAATATATACTATAATATACTGTACTGTATATACATATTACCGGCGATTGTATTTGAAATCAGGTGGTGATGTGGTTCGTCTATTTCACGCCGAACAGGAAAAGTTCCTAACAATGGATGAATACAAGAAAAAGCAATACGTGTTTCTCAGGACGACTGCACGTGCGGCCGCCACATCTGCCACTTCATCAAAGGCTTTGTGGGAAATAGAAGTGGTTCAACACGACCCGTGCAAAGGTGGTGCCGGACATTGGAACTCATTGTTTAGATTTAGACACTTAGCCACCGGTCAATATTTAGCCGCAGAGATCGATGAAGAAACAACACCTGATCTTATGAGAAATAAACTAAGAGGTGTAGCAGACAATCATGTCTTTCAATTGGTTTCAGTGCCTCACAGCTATGACATCGCCAGTATATTTGAGTTGGACTTAACCACTCTTACCCGACACGACGATCTGGTGCCTCAAAACTCTTATGTCAGACTTAAACACATTTGTACCAACACTTGGGTTCACAGCACTAACATTCCTATCGATAAAGAAAATGAAAGGCCGGTTATGTCTAAAGTTGGTTGTGCTCTGATTCGAGAGGATAAAGAGGCATTTGCTTTGGTTCCGGTATCACCCGTTGAGGTACGAGACCTGGACTTTGCTAACGATGCGTGCAAAGTGTTGACTAAAATAGCGATACAATTAGAGAAAAAGCAAATCACACAAAATGAGCGCAAACTCGTTACACAATTGTTAATTGAAATCATTTACTTTATTACTGATCTGGAGAACGACCCAAAACGTGTCGATCCTTTTGAATTGGTTCCGACAACTACTAATCGCGAGCGACAAAAGCTTTTGCGAGAACAGAATATTCTGAAGCACTTGTTTAAGATACTTCAGGCACCGTTCACTTGCATCGATGGCGGAGAACCGATGCTTCACATGGAGGAGCTCAGCGACACACGATATGCGCCGTACAAACAGATTTGTCGGCTATGCTATCGTGTACTTCGACTCTCACAACATGATTACCGCAAAAATCAAGAATATATTGCAAACTGGTTTGGATTTATGCAAAAACAAATCGGTTACGATGTCTTGGCTGAAGACACTATCACTGCATTATTACATAGCAATAGAAAACTATTGGAACAACACATCACCGCTAATGAAATCGAGACATTTGTTTCATTGGTACGCAAGAACCGAGAGTCAAGATTCTTAGATTATTTGTCTGATTTGTGTATTTCCAAGAAAGTGGCGATTCCTATAACACAGGAACTGATTTGTAAAACAGTTTTATCGCCAAAAAATAGTGATATTCTCATTGAAACGCGTTTAGTGAGGACTCAGGTCGAAGTGGATTATGAAATAGAGGGCGAATCCGAACCATTTGTTACCACAGAAGAAGAAGAGGATATTGTTCTTCTATGGGATAACTCGACTAAATCTAAATCAATTCGTGAGTTAGCAAAAGGTATTACCTCTGGATGTGCTGAAGATCAAAACATTTTGGATTATTATAGACATCAATTAGATTTGTTTAGTAATATGTGTTTAGATCGACAATATTTAGCCATTAATAATTTATCGTCACATTTGGACATCGATTTAATACATAAGTGTATGTCAGACGAAAGTCTTCCGTTTGATTTAAGGGCTTCATTTTGTCGACTATTGCTTCATATGCACGTTGATCGTGACCCTCAGGAACAGATAACTCCTGTAAAATATGCCAGACTTTGGTCTGAGATTCCTCGAAAGTTGTCGATTGAAGACTACGATACAAACAAACAACAAGATATGTCGGCTAAAGAGGCCGTTAAGAAAAAATTTGCTGCAATTATAACATTTGTTGAGGAATACCTGTGCAATGTTGTGAGCCATGTCTGGTCATTTGCCGATCGCGAGCAAAACAAGTTGACCTTTGAAGTGGTCAAACTTGCCCGAGAGCTCATCTATTTTGGTTTCTATAATTTTTGCGATTTATTACGATTGACTAAAACATTGCTTAATATACTCGACTGTACAACTGAACCATCCATTAAAAAGATGGTCACCGAAGCTGTSAATCTTAAAGATACTCCAATGAAATCAATCGGTGATATTAGTAATGTTATGACAAATCTTATTCTAAACAGAGATAAATTGAAAACAATTAAAACCAATCAAACTGTCAAAAGTGATGTTTCAATAACAGGAAATCTGAGTGTATCTCCAGAAGTTAGTTGTGAAATGGATACTAATGTGATGGACACTAAATTGAAGATTATAGAGATTTTGCAGTTTATTTTAAACGTTAGACTTGACTACAGAATAACGGGTTTATTGACTATATTTAAGAAAGAGATTGAGGCGAGTCATGAAAATGATGAATCAATTGATAAATTCAATGTTTTGGACGATACGGTTAATATTGGAGAAAAGGGTATCGATTTGGCACATATCGGACAACAGGCAGAACTGATATTTGGTGGCGAAAATAATGACGACATTGATTTAGACGGTAACGGTGGCTGCACTTTCTTGAGAGTACTTCTTCACCTAACAATGCATGAATATCCACCACTTGTGAGCGGTTCACTTCATCTACTGTTTCGACATTTCTCTCAGCGTCAAGAAGTACTTCAATCATTTAAACAAGTTCAATTACTAGTATCAACCAGTGATGTCGAAAACTATAAGCAAATTAAATTAGATTTGGATCAGTTCAGACTATTAGTTGAAAAATCAGAGCTTTGGGTTTATAAATCCAAAGCAATGGATGAAGAATCTGGAAGTGTTGGAAAAACAAAATCAATTAAAGGTTCTGATGGCGATCCCGATGAACACGACACCAATAAAACAGTTCCCGATCATCTGTTTAGAAGTAACTCTTCGTCACCAATTGGATTAGAATCTGGTTTTCAAACAATCAATATTTCACATTCAAAAAACTATAAGACGATTCGGGAAATATTGCTTCGGTTGACCAAACTTTGTGTTCAGGAGAGCACTGGACTTAAAAATGAAGTGAAAGCCCGTAAACACGAGCAACGGTTGTTGAGGAATATGGGCGCACATATTGTTGTACTTGAATTGTTAAGAATACCCTACGACAAGAAGGATGACATTAAGATGAATGAAGTGATGCGTTTGGCTCATGAGTTTCTCCAACACTTCTGTCTAAGCAATACTCCTAATCAGACAATACTGGAGAAGCATTTAGAGCTCTTCATGACTCCCAATTTGGTTGACGCCCGCACTATGTGTGCCATATATCGCGACAATTTTACTCTTTGCAATGAAATCAATGAACGAGTTATTCAACATTTTGTTCAGTGTATTGTCACTCACGGCCGACACGTCCAATATCTTAAATTTTTGCAAACTATTGTTAAAGCCGAGGGACAAGTGGTTAGAAAGTGTCAGAATATGGTTATGCAAGAGTTGGTCAATGCTGGCGAAGATGTATTAGTCTTTTATAACGATAAAACTAGTTTTAATCATTTGATTGAAATGATGAGAAGTGAACGAAATCGTTTGGATGAGTCCGGCCATCTTCAGTATCACATAAATCTGGTTAAACTGTTGGCCTGTTGTACGGAAGGCAAGAATGCCTTTACCGAAGTTAAATGTCATTCATTGCTCTCATTGGATGACATTATTCTTGTTGTCGAACATCCAGATTGTATCGCCGAAGTAAAGGAGGCGTACATAAACTTTTTGACCCATTGTTTCATTGATACCGAAATGGAAATGAAAGAGATCTATGCGTCGAACCATATTTGGACACTTCTGGAAAACTTTTTAGTCGATATGGCGACGGTATGTAACGCCACACACGACCGAAATCACGCCAACTTTGCACTCGAAACATATGTCACGCATTCAATCATGAATTTGGTCACAACTTTCTTTAATTCGCCATTTAGTGATCAGAGTTCAAGTGTTCAGGTATTTCATTAATATTTATTTTTTTAAAAATATAAATCCTTTGATATGACATATTAAGAAAATTAATTTTCTAGTAAACGAAATGCTTATTTAGAAAAACTTTAGTTTATTTGCACTAAAAATTTTTGCTTTTATCCCATTTTCATTTGGTTTTGGTATTTGGTTGATAAACATTTTAAAAATTGGTTGAATTTCCAATTTGCATGCATTTCCCGATTATACTCTTAACTTTACCGAAATCCAGAAGCACTTATCCACCAAAAATAGTGCCGCAAAACCTCAAAGAATAGATTTAACTGATGTAAGACTAATCMGAATACATTTGTATCAATAATAATGTTTTTTTTTGTTATTTACATCTTTTGACTTAAAAATAATTGGTTGTCTAACAGACTCATCAACCAGTGTTTGTACGCGTACTTCAAGGAGCTTTCCGACTGAGTACCAGCACTTGGCTATCATTACCGCAACGGATGAACGTTGAGATGTGCATTAAGTCATTGATGGAAATATCGAAGACTCGAGGAATTGCCATTCCGACAGAACTGGAAACACAAGTGACACAAATGTTTCAAAAACAGAATTTATTATCTAAACACACGAGAGTCTGGTTGTCCGCTGCTCGCACCGGCACTTCTAGTAGAAAACCTCCGACACTGGACATCATTCAGACGACATCACAGTCCAACTTTAGAAATGATCGTTCAATAATTGAAGGTTTTCAAGATATTGTATCACTTTTGGAGGAACAATTAAGACCATTAGTTTTGGCAGAATTGTCTGTGTTTGTTGATGTCCTCTACAAACCAGAAATGCTGTTCCCACCGAACACAGAAGCGCGGCGTATGTGTGAAAACGGAGGATTTATTAGTCGACTTATTAAACATACCGAAAGATTAATGGAAGAAAAAGAGGAAAAACTTTGTGTTAAAGTATTACAAACACTGAAAGAAATGTTGGCAATTGATCCGGACTATGAAGAAAGGGTGAGATTTTATGTATATTTAATTTAAATTGAGATCAAATCAATTGATTAGAATTAAAGCTATAAAAATCCAATACAAAAATCCATATATAATATAAAATAATATACTCTCCCCTAATATATTAACGGTAAAGGCTTTACTCGACCTTTTGTTAACCGAAAAGGAAATCTTGAATAGAGAACGGGTAAGACATTTGCAAATTTTATAATGATATACAAGTATTGACACAATTTATTTTTGAGTATAATTTACACAAACGTTTGCATCCCTTTATATATTGTTTTTATTTTCTATTGATTGTTATTTTGGTTTGATTTTTGCACATTTGATTTGATTTATTTATCGATTTGACGTTTGATTTGTCACTTAAGTTTTGTTTATATCTTATTGAAATTATTATTATTTAAATAATATTATATAAATTAAGTTAAATTTTAAATATAATATATTTATAAATGATTTGTTAGGGCGAAGCATTGCGTAAAGTTTTGTTGGATAGATATTTGTCGAGAAGTGATATAAACAAAATGGCAAATAAAGCGGACTCTAATAAAAGTCTAACAAAAATAACAAAAATAGTAAAGTCGACGACACAGTACGGACCGGGAGCTATACTATTACCCAGAGCTCAGATGACATTAGCTGAAGTACAGTGCCATTTGGACAAAGAGGGCTGTAGTAATCTTGTCATTGAATTAATTATGATAAATCCGAGTCATAACATATTTGTCGAGTGTGTCGAACTGGGTATAGCCCTCCTTGAAGGCGGTAATTCAACCATTCAAAAGTCCATTTACCAGAAGCTGACCACTGAGACAGCGGCTACTGAAAAATTTTTCAAAGTTTTTTATGATAAGATAAAGTTTGCTCAGCACGAGATCAAGTCTACTATTAATGTCAGTTCAAGTGATCAAAACAGAGTCAATAGGGATGACGACAACAGTAACGATAAGAATGAAAATAACAATCCTTATGGAAGAAAGGATACGCTGAGGAATAGTCGTTCGCACAATGGATTTGTTATGACCGATGAGCTCAAACAGCAGCTCATGGATGCAGCAAATGTCACTTCAAAAGCATATCAACACATTAATAGTTTGAGTTATACTCCATCCACTCCATTGATAAATAATTCGTCATTTGGTGATAGTTATGAAAGAGATTCGGTTAGTTCTGCTAATGGTTTTGTTCCTCTTGAAGACGTTTACTTAGTTTATGGCACCGAAAGGCGTGAGTCTAAAAGTAAAACAAATGAAGCCCGTCTTCCCTCAGAAATAACAGTTATGCAACAAATCTTAAGATTTTTGCAACTGTTGTGCGAAAACCATAACTCTGAGCTACAGAATTATTTAAGACATCAAAACAGTAAAAATAATTTCAATCTAATATCAGAAACACTTATGTTTTTGGATAGACTGTGTGGTTCAACAACTGGTGGATTAGGTTTGTTAGGACTCTATATCAATGAACATAATGTAACACTTGTTAACCAAACATTGGAGACATTAACCGAGTACTGTCAGGGCCCGTGTCATGAAAATCAAAATTGTATTGCAATGCATGAGTCCAATGGCATCGATATTATAATAGCACTGATTCTTAACGATATAAACCCATTRGGAAAGAAACGAATGGATCTGGTCTTAGAGCTTAAGAATAATGCATCGAAATTATTGTTAGCTATTATGGAAAGTAGAGCCGACTCTGAAAATGCCGAAAGAATTTTATTTAATATGATTCCCAAACAGTTGGTTGAAGTGACCTGTAATGCCTTTCATCAAATTGAAGACATCAGTGATGAAATCGATAGCTTTTCGGATATCGATGATAATGATGATGTGGTTAACCCTAAAGAAGTGGGTCATAATATATACATTTTGTGCCATCAATTGGCGCAACACAACAAAGATTTAGCGTCACTTCTCAAGAATTCTGGTGACACTGACATTGAAGTGAATTTAAAAATGAAAGATTCGCTCAGTTATTATCAATCACATACCGCACAGATTGAGGTAATAATTAGATTGATTTGAATGGATGGATGGATTCATTTTGTTATTAATTTGTTTTTTTTTATTAAATCAGATCGTAAGACATGACCGAACTATGGAACAGATAGTGTTTCCAGTGCCACAAATTTGTGAATTCTTGACCCGTGAGTCCAAAATGAAAACATATCACTCGGCAGAAAGGGATGAACAGGGAAGCAAAGTGTCCGACTTTTTTGAGCGAACAGACGATCTTTTCAATGAAATGAAATGGCAAAAGAAGTTGAGAGGTATTACTTGTTAATTGAATTGTTTATTAAAATGTTTTATTGAAAAATTGATATCTTTTTCATACACTTTAGCTCAGCCACTGTTGTTTTGGGTGTCCCGACACATGTCAATGTGGAACTCTATGTCATTTAATTTAGTCGTTTTAATCAATATTATTATAGCTTTCTTCTATCCTTTTCCCGCACAAACCGGTAACTAATATTGCGTTAAACTCTTTAAAAATTAAAATGATTTAATTAAATATTTTTAAATATTATAGAATTGGATTCTCGATTATCAGCGATAATTTGGGTAATTATGTTGATATCTTTGTCGACTGTATTAACAATGTCTGGAAGGGTCGGTATTCGTGTTTTGGGCGCATCATTCATATTACGATTAATATACAGTATAGGCATTCGTCCGACACTTTTCTTGTTGGGCTTAACTAATGTGATCGTCACTACTGTCCATTTGATCTCAATTATGGGAAATCACGGAACCTTTAATAAAGAAATTAAACATATTTTAATAGACAAAGAATTTCTTTATCACATCAGTTATCTTATCTTCTGTATTGTTGGTCTTGTTGTTCATCCATTGATTTATAGTATATTAGTGAGTATTTAAAGTTGATTAACCGGTACTAATGTTTTTAAATTTATAATAAATCAATTTTTATTCAATTATTAAACCAATAGCTTTTAAACGTTGTCTATCAAGAAGAAACACTTAGAAATGTAATAAAATCAGTGACAAGAAATGGTCGATCCATTATTTTAACAGCAATTTTAGCATTAGTTTTAGTTTATTTATTTTCAATCGTCGGTTATATGTTTTTTAGTAACGACTTTCTTATGGAAGTCGACTCTTCTTATATTTCCAAACATAAAAATAACGAATTATCAGAATTGAATTTAGAAGAAAATAACTATTGTTTTGATAATAATTCAAGTATTGGATGCAATAACACAACGAATCAAACGGACGCCAATCTAAAGAATTCAAGTATTTTACTCGATTTGATTAACAAAACCAATGACTCAGAAAATATCGAAATTACTGAAGAATTATACGAAGAAACGGTGAAAGAGAGAGTCTGTGATTCACTGATAATGTGTATCATAACGACCCTAAATCAGGGCATCAGAAATGGCGGCGGAATCGGCGATGTCTTGCGTTCTCCGAGTTCTATGGAACCGCTGTTTGTCGCCCGAGTTATCTACGATTTGCTCTTCTTTTTCGTTGTCATTATTATTGATCTTAACTTAATATTTGGTGTAATTATTGATACATTTGCTGATCTTAGAAGTGAAAAACAACACAAGGATGAGATTCTTAGGAATACATGTTTTATTTGCGGTAAATTTGCTTAATTTCATCAATTGTTGAACTACTGGTTAATTATCTAATTTTATATATAGGATTGGAAAGATCTGCTTTCGACAACAAGAGTGTCTCATTTGAAGAGCACATCCGATGCGAACATAATATGTGGCATTATCTCTATTTTATAGTATTAGTCAAAGTAAAAAATCCGACTGAATTTACGGGACCAGAGAGCTATGTGGCCACTATGATCAAGGTTTGCATATTCATCAGTATATTAATGATTAATTAATTAATACTCATTATTGATAGCAACGTAACTTGGATTGGTTTCCACGGATGAGAGCCATGTCTTTAGCAGCCAATGATAGCGAGTCCGAGCAAAATGAGGTCCGAGTATTGCAATCTCAACTCGAAAACACTAATAAAGTTATCTCAATATTAAGCCAACAATTGTATGAACTTAAAGATCAGGTAATTATGGTTTAAATTATTAAAAAAATAATAACTAATTAATTCAATTGTATTCATCAGATGACTGAACAACGAAAACAACAGCAACGAAGAGGCCTATTGAGCACTAGTGGCCCAATACCTGTCACTTAATTATTTTTTATATCATTTATTTTAGAATTAGTTTTTTTAAATATTTATCAAAATAGGGTTTTTATTATCTAATTTAATTACTTTTAATCATGCAATTTGTTATAACTATTGCCATAATTTGACTTAATATTTGATCAAAAAAAATCAAAAAGATCCTTATATTTTGTGCCTTAAATTGGTTATTGTATTATATTTTATTACCGGTAATCGAGAGATACTTTTAATATTTTTATTGATGAATTTTGTTATCATTTTGACATTTATTTATTTTTGTTTTAACGCCAAATGGATGTTTTATATTTGTTACTATATTTTATTAGATTTATGATTATTTATATTTAAGCGCAATTTTATGTCATTTTAACGTCAGAATTAAGCATTTAATAGCACTTTAAAATGACAATTAACTGTTAAATTAAGCAATGAATGGATTATTTTTATGATGAAAGTCCAGTTACTGGTCATAATAGTGTTATTCAATTTATCACGAAAACAAATAAATATTTTATATGTATTTTTAATAAAAATTTCTTAAATTTAGTACAAAAAAATAAATTTTAAGTAAAGAGCCGTTGATTTTTCATTAATTTGAAGATTCGCAACAATTATATGAATACAATAAACTACACTCGAGTTTCATTTAAATTTACAATAAATTACAATTTACTATAATTACATAATTTGCTTTTCTCAACCCTTATAATAAATATTTTCACATTTGGGATAAAAATCGGCAACAGATATGTAATATCTATATATATATACAGATATCAATAATTTCAACAATTTTTAAAAAAATTTAATTTAAATAATTTGTTATTGCATTTTGCTTTTTTTGTTTGTGCAATATTTTGGGAATTATTACTCAATTAATATTTTTTTATAAAAACAAAATTCTGATATTAATTTAAAACATATAATTTATAATAATTAACAAGATATCTATGGAATCATTCAAATATTAATTAACTATTAATTATTAATTACAATGTGGTGTCCATTACTTAAAAGGCTTGAGTTTTGTGTAAAACAATTGACTTCTGTTTTCGATTTTTTCGACTTTTTCGATGTGTTATTACTATTCTTAGTGATTGTTGTCTTTGGCTTAACGTAAGTATAACTGTTAGCACTATTACTRTTACCGTTGCTATTGTTGACAATAAAAGCATCGGTAAAACTATAGGGATCACCAGTCACTGTCTCGGTAGCCATTGTAGCTACTGATGGCGATTCTGCTTTTATCACTGGAATCGGTTCACAATCGATAGAAGTCCTTAATTTTTTATTGGCAGAAAAGCTTTGATTATTAGTACGAACTGGACTTTTGACGGATATTTGAGTGGTTGGTGTTTGAGACACATTTGATGTACACTTTTGTTGTCTGTTCACTAACTTTGACACAATTAGAGGGGTATTGAAAGTTGCCCTCAAATTAGCTAAAGTCAAGTCACAATTTCGGCTAATGAGTCTTATGCCATCACTTTTACGAATATTGTAGTTACAAACTGCCGCCGGTTTCGGATGAATTGGCATTTTGGGAATGCCGTCCAAACCATTCATTTCAATTTGATCCAGTCGTAGATGACATTTTGATGGCTTCGGRTGTTGTGATTTACGACTCAAATAATTTATATTAGAAGACACCAATGTTGTCGTAGGATGTGATAACAAACTATTTTTATTAGAACTTATGTTTGTGTCAATTAATTGAGAATCACTTAAAAACGTCCGACCAGTTGATTGATAATTGTTTTTATCACTAATATACTGATTCTGATCGTCTTTGAGCTGATTTGAGACTTTTAACAGTTGTTGTTGTCTTTGAACTGACTTTTTTGTGGGCTTTACGTCAATGCCTTGTGCTCTGAGCGCTGCTTCTTTGGCCTCTCGATGTTCGGTGAGTAACATATCAAAACTTTTGCTCCGACCGGTAACTGCTCGCCGAAGAGTTAGTGAATGAGTCTTACAGGTAAGGCTACGAGTGCAGGGTTTTTCGGCTTCTGGAGGACAGACACCACAGTGTTTGTTTGGATCATACTCTCGGTCTTTACACGGAAGTAATTTCCTTTGGCTGGTGTTCTTTTTGTAAGACTTCTTTTTTGGCGCCACTGTTACCACAGGAGCTGCTGTTTCCAGATCGGGCATTGACTCATATTTGTTATTTATATTGATTTCTGGTAAACTAATAGTCACCGAGTTTTTGTCGGCACTAACAAATCCAAGAGAATATCCCGGTCCCGGACCAGTCGGTTCGGGAAGTAATGTGTCCAAAGTTGTACTCATGTTTGGCGACAATAAATTAATTAGTTTTGAGTTATTTTTTAAGTCAATGTTTACACTTTTGTTCATCACTTCATTACTATTTACACAATTCTTGTCGACCACACTATTGTCGAGAAGAAATCGTTTGATATCATTAGAGTCTAACAACACTTTAACATCACTTTTACAAACACTTCTCACTAAATCCTTATTATAAATTTTGTCACTATTTTTACTTTTGTTGATCACATTATTAATGTTATTGTTGATCATATCGATGCTGTTTTTGGTGTCATTGTTGTCAGTGTTGCCATTCACTAATGCTTGTGTCTTAATGTCCGCAATGGCTGTCCTCTCCAGAGATGATGAAATTGATGACAATGTAGTGGTTGTTGAGTTCTTTGTACTATTTGTCTGAATTTTCAATGAATTGTTGTTCAACTGATTGGATGTTTGTTTACAAAATGAATGCCTTAGTTCTATAATTAATTCAATTAACACATCATTACAATTAAAATAAATCAAATCAATAATTATGTGAATTGCAAACCAATGTGTCTCTGAAGAGCTTGAGGTTTGATAACTTGTTTACAGAACTCGCAGACAACCAAATAAAATTGATCCCAAGCGGGACAGATACCAAACAGTGACATATCTAATATAACAAATTAATCATCAATAGTATCACCGAAACAGATCCCAATTAATACCTTCTCTTCGTAATTTCATTGTCTCTGTATTTCCTCTGTGTATGTCTTCTTCGTCTTCAGCTGTGATAAATACAAATAATTAATCACTCAATTAAATAAAATTAATTTATATTTTGATAGAAACTAATAAAAACTAAATTAAAATTGAAATATAAATTAATATTGTCTTAAATTGTGAACAGATATCACATGTGATGTCAAATGAGTGACAAAAACAAAGTTTTGTTTTGCTTTTGTTTATCAAAACATCACTCAATGAATGAGTAGATAAATGAATGAAAAATCAATTAAAATATTAATAAATTGTATTAAATCGTTGGCAAACTTACTGTCCTCGCCATCAGCGGTCACATTGTCATCGATGGTGTGCCATAACTGTCCCATTCTTAGGACAGGACTCTTGTTGTCAGAGGTATTGGTCGCCATTTTTCACGCAATTCACAGTCACTTTAAATTGAATGACCTTTTATTGAATACCTATTAAACCTCATCTAAATATCTCTTGACTGATCCAATGGCCCGAAGTGGGCGTCCAGTGGTCTTGTATTAAGTGATCGTTGATTGTCTTCAACGTCCAGTTTATCTCAAATCCATTAATTGATTGTTTAGTGTATTAAAAGTCAATTGCTTTCTATGCGGCCATAAGTCAGTCAATGTTTGGATTAATACACTGTTTATTATGTCATGTGTTGTGTGTGTTGTCTGACTCTCACAAAACAAGTCAAACACAACTAACACACTAATACACAGCACCGGTATGTGACGCCAGTACTACCAATGCTAACCTATGAGCTATTAGACTACAGCACAGACACCCTCTCATGTCTATCCAAAGTATATCACAGAAAAAACCTATTTTTTATGTTTAAACTTATTATTCTTGAGTTTTCAAACTCATATTCATTGCCAATATATATACAGTATGTGACCACTGATACATACATTGTATCAATTGTGACCCCATTTATATCATATCATATCTATAGTATAATTGATATGATATCAATATCACGTATCAATTAATTTCAATATTAATTATTAAAATTAATTTATAAAAATAAATTATCAATAAAATTATACATTTCATAATAATTGGTAAACTTATATCACAATATCTGATAATATTGTTGTATAAAATACATTGAATTATTACTGTTTACATTACTTGTAATATATCGTTATATTTTTAATGTTAACGAAATATTCCCAATTGATAGTCATATCTATGGAAAATAACTATAGTATAACTTTAATCTTTAAAAACTATTAAAGTTTAAAATAAATTATAACTTTTAATCAGAATAGAAAATTAATTTAAAATAGTTTATTAACTTTAACATTATTAAAAAATATTAATAATAAAATTAGGTTAAATTTAATTTTATAACAATTTTAGCAAATAATAATATGRCACTTTAATTATTTGATGAATCATATAAAGTATTGTATATAAATTATAAAAAATTACCGTAAATGTGAAAATTAAAAAAAAATCTATTATAACTTTTGCAATATACAAATTGTTGATAAATTATAATATTAATATATTAAGTGCAAAATTGTTTATATTTATAAAAATATAACATATCATTTTATTTTTAATTAATTCAAATTACATAATAAACTAAATGATTTACTAATTTTTTTTATTCCTTTTCCAAGTTTTAAAAAAAATAGATACATAAATATTAAACAATTCTATCAATGTAATTTTAATAAATATTTTTTCATCAATATTATGTCTATATAATATATTGTTAATTTTTGTATCAGTTTTTACATATAATTAACTARAGATAATAGATAATACTGATAAAGTGTATATATATATATATACGGTATATTACCGGTAATATATAGGAAAAATGTTTGAGTAAATTAAGCAAATCATTAAATAATTGTTCAAATTTATTAAAATAAATTTAATATAATATTAATTTAAGAATATAATTATTTTATGATAAAATAGAGAATAATATAAAAACAAGTAATTCATAACATTATTATTAAAACTATAATAAATGATTTGTCGGCGAATCGACTCTTTTGACATCAATTCTGACGATAAGACAATTTCTAATAGAGTTGTCGTTATGTTTGTCACAACATTTGATATCAAATGAGTTCCAATGAAAATCACCTAATTTTGAGTGACATTTGTGGCAATATATTGATCCACTCATACTGTTAGACAAATATTGTGTCATCCAATCTATTGGTTCCACATATAGTGACTGACACTCAAAGTCTGACAATACGTTGTGTTTATCTGAATCATTGGACAACTTCTTGATTACATTGATATCACTAAACAAATATTCTCTACATTTCCTGCATTTAAATGCTTTACTAATTCTTTGACTTGAATTACAAGTAATCATTAAATTTTGTGTTTTTCTCAAATAGTTATCTAATGATTGACAAAGATTTAGATCATCACTAATATTGTGTCCAATAGATCTAAACCACGGCTGAGTTTTAATCATTTGATACTTCAAGTGCTCTATTAAGAAGTGTCTGTATTCACCATTCATTGGATCTAATTTTAAACCCATTTTCTCAAACAGTTTTAATTGTCTTAAGAATCCATAATTTGGTTCAACAATTGATCTCTTCTTTATGACCAAAGCCATCGCTTTATCAAAAGATATATTATTTTTAATCATCAGATATGAGATAACAATTGTGGCACTTCTTGAAACTCCAGCCACACAATGAACCAAAACTTTGTGACCATTTGACASACCGTCGCAAATGAATTGATAGCATTCATTAAAATGAGAAATTAGGTCCTCTTTGGGATTATCCGCTGCTTTGATGAACATATAAGTGATATCTTTGTGGCGCCCATTGTCAGCCAAAGGCACCAAATCGATGGTCAAAATGCGTCCGATTTTAAGATTTTGGACGGCATTCATGTCAATGGCCGTCAAGTATGAGGACAAATAGACATTATGATCCACTTTCGACGCCTCTTTGTATGAATATTCATCATTTGAATCCATTGATATATGTCGTCATCGATGGTAACAATCAATGAAARTAGTGTTTAAATTGTATGAAATGTTTTGTTTTGATATCTCTTATGATATGTCATATGATATCCAATGCATTGAATGACTCATTCATTGCATCACTTGATGTCACTATTCATTCAAAATTAACAAAACTTTTTCACTATATATTAGTGACTATAATAATATTTGAAACTTATTTTAGTTATAGTTTTATTATTTACTCATTATTTTAGTTAATAAGACATTAAAAGCTATAAAATATTATTATAATAAAGAGATACAACTGTTATATAAATTGTTTAAATACTTTAATAAAACAAATGTATTGCATATAAAATAATGATTAATTAGAGATAACATTTTAGTACTACAGTACAGTATTATATAAAACAATTGTAATTTTATAAATGTATTGATATTAGAGTTTGTTATCCAATAAAACTTTTGATCCGATTATGTGTTTAACAAGACTTCCGTTTCGATAAACTTTGACCTCTCGTTCAGTATTTGGCTTAACATTTGCCTCAATCTTGACCTTTTGATCAGTAGTTTCGATGAAAATCACTTCTTGGGCACCAATATTACAATCAAGAGTATCATTGACCACAATATGAATGCCAATCATATCAATGTTAATGACATTTTCAAATCTATGATGACTAGTACTTGACATTTCATGTATCACTTATTAATTCATAATCACTTTGGACTGTATTTTAATAATTTTTTTCTCCAATTATCAGTTTGAATAATATTTATGACATTCAATTCACGTGAATATATCAATTATTAATATTTTTTTTCTTGTATACTATAGATAGTCCTATAACATACAGGTATTGTACAATATATATTGTGCTAATATCGTCAAAATTTTATCAAATATTATTATTATATCGGTATATGTATAACGAGACAACAATAAATGATATATAAATTTATATAAATAACAAATATTGTTTGATAACAACTACAGTATTTAATATAATTGATGTAAAATTGGATTAAATTCTAACAATTATAATATAAATATCAATAACTTTATGATAAGAAATTTGGATCAAATGATTGCTGACTAAACCACTTTTTCCTCGAATTTGGCCGAATATCTGGCAAAAAGTTTAGTTGTTTTGTCGATTCAATTGAAGACATGATTCGCTTTTTACTGGATTGCAATGTATTTAAATTCAATGCAGACTTTGTTAATGAATTTCTTCGCAATTTCTTCATTGGCAACAAATCATTATTTGATTCATTTTTTTGGTGATTTATTTTAAGTTCAACTAAGTTTGTCTCATCTTCTTGAGCTTTATTTGGCACCAGATTTGTCGTCTTGTCGTTAGTTTTAATAACATTTTTGAATTTATGATTCTTCTGCCAAACGGGTCTTTTATTGATTAATTTATTCTTATTTTGTACATCTTTTGTGTCGTCATAATCTTTATTTCTATTTACAAGACGTGGTCGATGTGTATTTGCTGAAGAGGTAGAATCGGTTGACAAGTTTTCATACGATTTGGACTTTGCTTTATGTTTGTCTTTAGTAATTAATTTCAAWTCATTTAACAAATGGAGTAACAATTGGACATCAGTTTGTGTCCCACATTCAGAATATTGAGACGAAGAGTCAATAGTCTCTGTTTGTGCCGATATATCTCTAGTTCTTGTTTGTGGTTTGACTTCTGCCACAACAGATGTCTGTATATCGGAATCTCTGTCAATCAAAAAGTTTCTCTTTCTGATGATTGGTTCTGTTCTGCCGATGGCCTCAACGACAGCCTCACGTTTTTTCTCTGACAAAAGTCTTTTCTCTTCCATTAAATTTCTTTCCATTTCATAATCTTTTCTCATTTTGATTCTTTGTTCTTCAATTCGTTTTTCAAGTAGTTGTTCCTCTCGTCTAATCTTTTGTTGTTCTTTGATTTTTAATCGTTGTTTTTCTTCATACTGAAGAGCCAAAGCTTTTCTGTACTCTAAAGTCTTGAGTTTTTTCTGTTGCAATTCATTCCAATCAAATTCCGAGTCATTAACTTTGGCATAACGTCTGTGATTGTGGTCACTGTTAGTCATTGCCGAATCATTTCTTAGTTCATCTACTTTAGAGATATCACTCATTGCTGAAGAAAGTACTCTATTATTAACAATATTATTGTCGTTTAATAATACAAGTGATGAGGTTCTGGGTAACTGATTATCACTTCTTTGAGTTTTATTTGATATCCATTCACTTCTAGACATAATGTCTTCCTTATCGTTATCCCAATTAAGACAATCACTTAATAAGTGTTCTTCATTTACATTATTATCAATAAATCTGTTGGTATTTATTGTGTGATCACTGATAACATTATTTCTCGTCTCTGAACTGTTTGTTGTGCCTATTATTTTCACATAAGATTTTTAAATAAATTGTAATAATATGTTATATAATAGGATTAAACAAAAATACCTCCGATTTGAGTGATGAGCTCTAGTATAGCATGTAATTGACTTCTGGTCAAAGTTACCGTTTCGGACTTATTTTGACGAAACATTACTTTTTTATAAATAATAATTTATACAATCATTAAGTGTTTGAACATAGCATTAGCTTTTAACAGTAAATTGGCGCATAAATCATCAAATAAATCATAAATAATAAAATATCATATAATTTAAAATAATGTATGAATTGTTTGCGTGTATTTAAATAGCTATATAAATGTTAAAACTGCTTAAATATTGATTGAATTTCAATTTTGTATACAATTGTGTCTCCATAGAGAAAGTGCTTTTTTCATACAATTATGTTATTACAATACAGTACTAATATTTTATTATGTTTTTTACTATTTATTATAAAAGGTCATTGCGCTGACTTGTTTTATAATTAACTTAAAACTACAATTGCATCCAATGTTAATTAGGTTTCCCGTAGTTTAATGGTAAGTATATAATGATTCTTAATATTTATTTAATTCCATATTTTAAAAACATTTCATATATGTCTATAAAACTATTAGTATTTATTTTATCTAGAATTTTAATTGTATTAACAGTTATCACAAAATTTTATAAAGAATTATTAATATAGAATTTTGACGTTATATTACATTAGTTAAAAAAAATATAAATTCAATTTTTCAATACTAAAATTTATATTTTAATTAATTTACATTAATTTATAAAAATTATTAATAATATCGAAAAATATATTTAAAAATATTTATTGTTTTATTATTAATACAGTAGTAATTTATAATACAAAATATATCATAGAATAATAAATATTATTTGTTTAATATTATATTTTGATTATTAATTATTAAAATACTATACTATAGTTTTTATAACTTAATTATAACTTTTTACTTGTATTATATATATTGGTCTAAACTCTAGACTCTAGAGGACAAGTATAATAAATTGAGTAATTTTGAATTAAATACTATACTATTTTTACTATAATAGATGACTATTTTTATTAAAAATAATATTCATAGAGCAACAAAAATCCTACAATAGACTTAAAATCATTGATTTTTGGATAATTAATTTTGTATTTATATTTAATTAAAATTATACTATATATATAAGATTAGGTTATAAACTTATAATGATTAGTTAGAATAATGATAAGATTTTTAAACTTTAATTTTTAGAACTTTATAGAAATTGATAAAAATGTCAAATTATTTTTTATACAAAATACAAACTATTCTAACCTATGATAAACTGATGATAATATTAATATAATATTATTASAAATAAAACATTATAAAAGGTATTCGTTAAGCGCTGAAACAGTCATTTGACAAATACATGTCTTGTTAATAACAAGTTGTTATAAATTGTTATAATTTTTTTTATAAATTATTTTAATAAAGACATCAAAATAATGTTAGATTTGAATTTAGATTATGATTTGCTTGACTATGAAGAAGACGATGAACTGCTTTCCAATGAAGAGTTGCTTAACGATAAGGACTTCTTGGATGACAAGAAACCTGATATTAAAGATAAGACCGAAATAATGATAAAAACTCAAAAGAGTTTTCGTGATTTTCTTCTTAAACAAGAACTGTTGAGAGCCATCAGTGACGCCGGTTTTGAGAGTCCTTCTGAAGTACAAAATGAATGTATACCTCAAGCCATTATGGGTGTCGACATCTTATGTCAGGCCAAGTCGGGAATGGGAAAGACGTGTGTATTTGTTTTGTCAACTCTACAGCAATTGGACATCAAATGTAAGAAGATTTCTGTTTTGGTTTTGGTTCACACAAGAGAGTTGGCGTTTCAGATATCCAAAGAATACGAACGGTTTGCTAAATATCTTAAAGCAAATGTCGCCGTTTTTATTGGTGGTATTCCTCAGAGAATAGACGAACAAGTTCTTCAATATAACCGACCGCATGTAGCCGTGGCCACACTGGTCGGCTCAAAGGCCTAATCAGAGAAGGGATTATTGATTTGAGTCAAGTCAGGCATCTCGTAATCGATGAATTTGATAAAATGCTTCAACAAAGAGGTTTAAAAAATTGAAACTAAATTCAAACAAACAATTTAAAAAATATAACTCAATTTTATAGATCTCTTGGAGGATATAATTTTTATCGATAAAAGAATTCCAAGAAATCGGCAAATAATGATGTTTAGCGCAACAATGACTGAACAAAACAGACGACTGGCCATAAAACTTATGGATAATCCACTGGAAGTGATTATTGGCGACGACTCTAAGCTATCTCTTCATGGATTACAACAATTTTATGTGGAATTACCAGAGAGAGAGAAACTGCGAAAACTAAACGACATTTTGAGTAATCTGGAGTATAAACAGGCCATCGTTTTTGTCAATACAATTCAAAGATGTAAAGCACTTAACGATGTTTTACTAAAACTAAATTTTTCGGTAATAAATATTCACAGCGCTATGTCTCAAGAGGAACGACTAAATACCTATCAGATAATCAAATCATACAAAAGGCGTGTATTAATTGCCACAAAATTGTTTGACCGCGGAATCGACTTCGAAAGGGTCGATGTGGTCATCAACTATGATATGCCCGATAATAGCGATATTTATCTGCACGCTGTGGGTCGGGCCGGAAGATTCGGGACTAAAGGAGTGGCCATTTCATTGATTTCAGGCTATGCCGCAGATATTGTTAGACAACAGGTACAAACTAGATTTGATATCAAACTTGAACCGTTACCCGACACTATTGTTATTTAAAAATTTACTTTTTTAATGTTATTTGTTATAAATTTTACAAGTTTTCTTAGTTTTATAATTTTATACTGTTTTATAACATTTTTATATATTACTTGATTAAGATTTACTGATTTAATAAAGACTTACATATAAATTCATATTTATTCAGATCTCAAGTTATTTTTTATTTAAATATTCATAAATAATACAACTTATAAATACAGTAAAATATTATGATAAAGATTAAAAGATAAATAACTTTAAAAACAATTATAAATACAATCACATTCTATTATGTAAATTACAATAAAATGATATGAAAAAATAGTGATATTTTATGCTAAAATATTAGAAAAATTAAATATAATTATATTTTTGTGATACTTTGGTTATTATCATCTGTAATATTATTACTCTCAATATCTCCGTTAGTTATCTTTGGTTTTTCATTGTACGGCCCGTCATAACAGGACTTTTCTAAAGTATTGTCACTTTTCGTATCATTTGACGGAACTTTATCAGTGRTTTCCTCTTTATTCTTAAAGTATTGATATATTTTGACGCCCAGGTAGACAAACCAAAGAGGCTGACCAGTTATTAATAACTGTGCAATACATGGAACACTGGCAATGTCGGAATCGGGCTGTTCTAGTGATAGTAATAACAATATGAAAGCAATGCTACCATTTTGATAGGCGGTTTCAATAGAAATGGCCACTATTTGTGAACTTTTCATACGAAAAATTGTTGATATGATTGCACCTAAACTATAGCCAATAATAGCTACCAAAGCACCTGCAAATACAATAGGCCACGTGAACATAACAAATATATGATTATAAATGATAACACTGCCCAGTATGCCAAATGTCACTACAACTATAGTAAACGGTTTAATGATTTTGTGTGATATTTTAGCCCAATTTGGTCGGTAATGTTTAATCAGTAATCCGATAACCATTGGAAACGTAAGCATTATTAGTGATGTCATCAAATTAAAGTACGGGATTTTGATGTTTCCGGGAAATAACGTGCGGCCCAATGTAAATAACCAGAATGGCATCATTACTATTCAAATAATTTAATTTTTTAATAAATTATTTACTTATTTTGACAATTTTATATATAAGATCAATAAATTGTCTAATATGTAGGTCACATATTTCCTAAATAACTACTGTATTATACTTTATATATATATTGTATATTAAAAACTCAAATTAATCCAATATTTCTAAACCTAGTATAAAAATTTAATACAATAATAATACTGAGCCAATTTACTATTAATTTTAATATAATTTAATATTTATTTTTAATATAGACTGTCACATAAAGTCAATTAACGTGACAAACAATTTGCATATAAATTATATTAAACTAAATGATGATATTAATTTAACAAAAAAATCAATAAACTAGAAAAATAACAAATTGACTGCTCTAAAATTGTAATAACTAATTTTAACATTTTTATTTAGCTCTATTTGTTTTGATGTAAAATTCAAATTGGTTATTTATCTTTATTGTTAAATATTTTTATTAATATTAATAATTATTCTTCGATATAATTATTTTTATAAACGATATCTAATGTATTTTTGCAAATTTTTTAATGCATGACATTTTATATATTAAAAATTATATGTTGTACTAAACAAATAAAATAAAAAGACATTTACAAAATGATAAATTAAAGTACAAATCATACCTAAGGCGGCAATAGTACTGATGAAAGTCATAGTAATGCTTAGATTGACGTCTCCATTGAACAGTAGTGTCCAAAAATTGCTGGAGTTTCCTCCCGGTGAACATCCCAATGTAAATAACCCCAAACGCAAGTTTATGTCATCACTAAATATAAGCCATCCTATTAGGTATGAGCCCTATGATATTATATAACAATTAGTGAAACAAGTGTTATTTATAGAAATTTGTTAATTGAAAATAAATTACTAAATATTAATGAATTCAATTTCAATTGAATATCACTCAACCAAATTGATTAAAATTGTTTATACAACCAAATGTTAATTACTTATACAAGTATATAATATATTGAATATTTATTATAATTACTTAATGTTTATTGAGGTTTTCAAGGTTTTAGGGTAACATTTGAAGTCACGGTAAATATAATATGAAAAAGAAATTAGTTATTACAAGTTGTGCTAAATATTTAGTATTTAATGTTATTAAATGTACTGTATTTTTAATGTAAATTTAATGTCACACTATTTGATTATTTAATAAGTAGTTTGCCCATTAAGTTGTGTACTTTTTTTTATTATAATAAACTTTATTAAAATTTTTTAATGTGATAGTAATAAAACTATATAATTCTTTAAAAATTGAATATCAAAATAGCAATAATGCATATAATGTGTATTTATGGCACATTTGTGGTAAAATTGTGTCATTGGGTTTGAATAATTTAATAGAGATGTAACAAATTGTTTTTATTTATGAGCACATAAAGTGATAAAATTGTTTATTAAGTATATTATAGTAAATTATTATTTATTCAAAAGTTATCTTAATTGATGTTTATCCAATATATATACTGTATATATATATAATTTATTTAAAGTATGTTATATAAATATGTAATTAAGTTATTAGACTTAAATTAGCATTTTTTWATTATTTATAATAAATATATACTTATAAATTATTAGCTTATTCTATTATATTAAAATGGTTAATATTAATGTTTATTAATTATATTCAACATTATATTTTATTATAACATATTTTTTATTGTATCATATTATAGTCTGCAGTTTACTCTAAACCATAAGAGACCTTTTAATTCAAGTCAAATAACAACAATAGACGTTTTGAAGTCATATAAAACTAATTTACAAAATTATAAAATATTATAGTATACAGTATTAATGGCAATATTATAGTATATTTTAAATTAAGCTCAAATTTATGATAGAGTAAATAATTTTATTAATTTATTATTATAGTGTTTAAAATTATTATTTTAAATAATTAAAGAGAAAGCTTTCAAATAATTAATTTTATTTATAGCTAAATATTGTTTTCAGCTAATCATTTAAAAAATTAAATTTAGCACAATTTTATCATAAGAGTCTATTAAGTCTAATAAAATTAATTTACATAATACTATATAATATCATTATAGATTTAAATAGGAAATTGAATATTATATATACATTATTGATATAAATTATTATTATTGTGGGAATATTTATGCATATTAAGTAAAAATTGATTGATTAAGTGATTGTCAGATCATTGATTGTTTGCTTTCTAGATTTAACGTTAAACTTATAGATAATCAAAATAAAATTCAAAAAATATCTGAATGAAAGATATGAGAAACATATTGTAGTATTGATGGCATAGTTTAGACACAAACCGCTTGTATTGTCCCAAACAATCCATCTTTTTTTGCTTGTATTTCACATACATTTCACTACAAGTTTCCCTCACAAAAGTGAGCCCTAAATTGAAGGTTCAATTTCAACAAACAGTTCAAAATAAGTGATGCTCTGTCTATGCATCTGATAGTGAATGTATGTGTGTATTGACGGTATAGTTGAACAGCTGTCGACCCATTATTTATTGCATAAGGTGTGTATGTAATCAAATAATAAGCTAACATACAGTTAAATCATAATCTCAAATCTATTGCAAATTTGGTATTAATGGTGTGTATATACAACTGTTTTCTCGGACAGACATCTATTTATTTATACAATAGCCGACTATTATAGCTATACAGTGCTCTATATTGTAAACAACATGTAAGCTAACATATAGGGTAGCTCTTAAAATAAGTTGTTTATCAGAAATAATTTAATGGATTATATCAAATAAATTTTTATTTGTCACATGAGTTGAACTAATTGTCAAATATATATATTTGTCCAAAATGTACTAAAATTGAAATTTACAATAAATAAAATTATTTGTACGAAAAAGACCTTCATTATACTTAATTTACGATTATATAGACTATAATTAGTGAGCTAAATATTAAGTTAAATTAATAATATTTTTTATCTAAAACTAGATTATAATCATACAGTTTATGTGAAATCTTAAAATATTATATTAACGTTATTTCAAACAACTATAATATCTTTTTAAATTATTTTAGATTGTGAACAATAATTAATTAATTTAATAATCAATAAGATTATAATATATACATATAGTGTATATATAATAATAATATATATATTGAATTAATATTATAACAAAAATATAACTTACTAATGGCATTATAGAGAATTGACAAACAAATCCAATGATAGGTCCAATGGGTGTCTTAAGAGTCTGTTTGACGACATTGAGGTCAAGATGACAGCCCATATTAATATAATTGATTGTAACCATTATAACTATAATGACACCAAACAATGCATCATAAATTGAAGTCTTTCGGATAACACTGACTGAAAAGTCATCCAAAGTGTCGACCAAAGTGTCATTTTTCAGTACATGAAAAGTGATGTTAGAGTAACCCAGAAATAAGGCTTTTATCTTCAATTGTGAACTGAAAATCGGCTCACTTTCCGTTAGTTTAAAGTCATATGTATTGTGATCGACAAACTCGATAACCTGCCGGTGCTTTTGCGAGAACTGTACCAAATCCAAGACTAGCTTATAGTCATCAGTGGTTTTGTTAAAGTCTACATCTGTTGTGGCAGCGATTGTAAACGATATGTTTTGAGAGTCCCATTGTTTAAGTCCACGAATGAGTGGCGGATCAAATGTGATGGACAACTGGTGACCAAATATGATCACAGTTTCAAATGTTATCAAAGTAAACACAATTTTCAAGCAATGCATTATTTACACTAAATTAATAAATAAATTTATTTTTATAAATTTATATATATATTATGATATTAGCCGGGTAAATATTGTTAAAGCACTGGCATATAAAAAATATATTAAAAAATTGTTCCCAAACTTGTATTAATAAAGAAAAGTGACAAATGTTTTTTATTTGCAGCAATTCATCACATAATATATATCACAAATATTCACAACATTGGAGACGACGACGGCATTGAAATTTTTATCATCAATTTAAACAAACTATAATTGAAGGACTTTTTCCCTATTCATGTATTCAATAGTACAGAACATTTCATTAAAAAATTTTCAGCGATTTATAATTGTTTAAAATCACTGTTCAGTACCCATACATTATAAGCACAGGGAGTACAAGAGTTAAACATTAAATGATAAAAATAATAAAATAAATAAAAATAAATAAAAATATATAAATAATATGCCAGTCAAACAACGTATCGATAAATAAGCAAACTTTCAGTACAACCGATAGGTTAGTGCATCAGTACTTCCACGTCAATGCTCCCTATCCTCTAAAATATTGGAAAAAAGGATTACATCTTTAGTTATTGGGACCACCAATATGTTAGGCTAATTGACTCCGGGCTCTGTTTGATCACAATAACGAATAATTAGTAAAAATTAATGTCAAATAATGCTTTAATACTGTGAAAAACCAGTTAACTGTAATAGATTGCCGAAAAACTTGTTTCAATACTTGAATACAGTGTATTTAAGTAAAGTATTTATAACTGTGTAGTGGATACCGAAGCGCTCAACTAAATTATTCAATATAAATAACTTACTGTGCGTTTTCTAACATCTCTCTAAAATGAACTCATATTTTRAACACATAAGATATTTCTAATTACATTCATTGGTGAGTATATTATCATTATTTGCATTGTTTATTCAATATATTAATATACCGGTAATATATTATATATTTTCATACTGTGTGTTGTATTAGTACTATTGTACTATACTTTTTTTATACTAAACAAAAATATTTATTATTTGAAAATAACCTTGGAATCATTTTATACATAATTTTATAGTGGATGCATTCATAAATACATCGATTATTATTATAGTTATAATGAAATTTCAAAATAAATAAACTAAACAAAAAATACACAATATATTTGACAATTAAATAATAACACAAAAATATAATTATAGTTCTCTTGAAATTTATATGAATTTTCCAGATTTCTTTCTATATAAATATAAAAATAAATTAAACTTCTATTTAAAGTCATTTAAAGTTCATTCAACTCAACGACAAATCATGAAATAAGTTATATTTTCAAAAGCAAACACACATTAATAGTTCCGAAAAAAAAACTTTTTGTCAAATACTACAAAAACACCAGAATTTGACATTTGACTTGACTTTTCATCTAATAAAAGAAAATAAATCTCTCTCTCTCTCTCTCTCTCTCTTTCTGYACTTTCTCTCTTTCACTCACTCACTCACTCTCTCACTCACTCGCTAAACGAGAAATCCTAGCAAAAGTGTTTTATAATATAAGTTGTGATAAAAATAAACCCATCCATCACTGACTGGTATTAAACAAATCAGTCGAGAGATTAAAGTTTAACCACAAAAACTTGTTTTGGAGACACGGAATTGTAACAGAATTTAATTTTTGTTAATTTTAATATAGTATTTAATATATAATTATAAACTTCAATTACCAATTAGTTTTGAATCTCTTGAACGGTATAATATATTTTATGTTTATGATTTAATTTGATAAGTAATTATCAAAAATATATAATTTATTATTATTAGAATATTATAATCCATATTTAAATTTATTAATAAATACAATAATTTTCAATAGTTTTTAGGTTAATTATTATTATAACAATTTATATATTAAGGAAAACAACCAATAATAGTAAATATATGACTATTATTTATTTTTGTTGTTGTTTCTTTGAAACAATTAAATAATAAAATTGGTAGAGTATTTTGAAACATATTTAACGAGTATATTGTATTAATATATTAGAAAATTTTTGTATTTATTATCATTACTATTATTTTATTATTATTATTATAATCGCCATTCATGTACCATATCTAATGATTATTAATAAAATGATGTTTTATATTTTATGTACAGAATTGTATTGTATTAAATATAACGTTAGTTTGAAAATTATTTTACCGTCTACGGTATGTACATGTATAATATACAGTAATTATATTAAATAATATTATGCATATATTGTAAATTTATAATAAATATTATTGACTAAATATTTTTTTCCATAAATATTTATATTAAACCTTTAATAAAAATAATCATTAAATATATTCTGCAATCATAATAAAACTTTTTTCAGATATCTGTACAAATAAAGTGTTTATATGTTTTAAAAGTGCTGACAAACTTTTAGTTTTTTAAGACTAAAATATATTTAATGATAATTTTATAGCTAATGTCTGGTCACATAACATTCACAACAATTTATATTAATTATTTTAATAATCAAAATTTATTACTTGTAAATAAAAACAATAATATTTTTATCTGTTTTTGTTGAAGAGTTTGGACTACTTAGAGATATTATTGGAAAAGCACTAAAAAGTTACAATTTGTTACTATATTGTTATAATATTATTACAGTATAATTACAATATTTGTTTCAATTGCATTTATCATACTTTTAACTTTTATGTAGCCATAACTGAACCACAAAAATATATCCGTTTGACTTTAGAAACGGATATTTATATTACTGTATATTGTATAAGATTTGTAAGTTTTGTTAAATAAATTGGGATATTATTTGATTCCTAATTATAAGTTATGTGGTCAACAATTAGTTATAAAATTATAATTGTTATATTTCAGAATAGTTAGTTTGCGGTCACTTTATATATACTCTATATATTTAAAATATTACATAATATAATTTGTTTTATACATATATTTACTATAATATAMGTTCAATTAATTAAGTCTTGCTTATCATATCATCAAATAGTCATGTTGTGTGTCGACTCATATGACGAGTATATATAAGCTGTTCATTGGATGTGTGTTTGATGTCAATTAAATCCACATATCAGTGACAGATTAGCTATTAATACTGCAAAATATAGCATCAAATTCCCACATTTTGTACCAAAAGCAGCACTTTTTCCTAAAATTTTGAAATGTATTCAACATAGAAAAAATAATAAGAAAAATTATAATTAGTTAATGTTTTATATATTCATACATAATTAAGATCTAACACTTAGAAAAAAAAATATTATTAAAAAAGTGTAATTTAATGAAATGTAGTGAAAGTCACGTCTTAATCGACACTTTAACTACTAATTAAAGTGAATGGTTTACATTGTATTACATTAATTAAATGATACACTAAATAACTAATTAATAGTAATATTGCATGATATAATTGTGGTGAACTTAAAATAAATACAACAAAATAAATAAATAAATTCATTAAAGAAATTAATTTTATCTCATTTTTGGCAATAACTGCCAGATTTTTTTTAAGTAAAAATGTATTTAATATTCATTAAAACTTTTAATCTAAAATAAAATTGAGTAAAACTAAATTAAAAAATAAATAAAAATTGAATAAAACAAATAATATTAGATTATTTTTCTTGAACTGCATTTAATTAATTGTTGCAAATATATACAGCAAAACAAAAAACTAAAMCAAAAAAAATTATGTAAAACTTATAAACCTTTTGAACCAATAAATGTAATCCTGTTTTCAACGGTTGCATTGATGGGTGAATTGTGTCTAATATAGTTGTCTAACATATTTGTGACACTTAAATGTTGTGCTATTTGAATGTTTCGGTCGTTTTGGTCTAATTTGATACTTTGAGGCAACAAAACATCATAAAACTTGGTGTCATTTAGTGGACTGTAATAATCATCTGAACATTTGGTGCATTTGACGGAAATATCAATAATGGTTTCATTAATTGGTTTTGAGAGATCATAAATAACTTTAATGCCCGACACTTGAAGTAAGTCCTTCTCTCTGGTGATATAATGAGACAATAATTGTTTGATTGTCTTTCCCTCTAAAATAAACATTTGTATATTGAGATCCTTGGCGTCAAACATGTTGTCTAAACTAATTTTTGTAATAAAGTACTCTTTATTTTGTATATCATTTGAAGTTTTGACGTTTCCGATTGAGTTTGAAATGCTTTCACTATTAAACAATGCGATGACATCTCTATTGTTAGCCATTGTTTGTCTAACCAAATCATTTTCGTTGGTCTTAATTATTGAATTGATATAACTATCGTTTATACCATTGTATTTGAATCGATAGTCTACCATAGAGTCAGTTATCATATTACCGATATTACACTCGCGATCCCAACAGTCCCGTGCATCGAGATATACGACTGTAGTGCCGATGAATAGCGAGCGCTGGTAGCTATCGACCAACTGTTCCGTTTTGTGGTCTATTCAATAATATAATACAAATTAAATTATATATTTGACATCATTTTTTTCATTCACATCCCTCTCTCTCTCTCTCTCTCTCTCTCTCTCTCCTTTTATTCAGTTAATAATACTTAACAAAACATTTTGGTTACATAATATTGTATAATATTATACAATATATGAGCAATTTTTTGTTAAATAAGTTTACCAAAATGTATACACAAGAGCATAACTATTGTGTCTTAATAAATAAAACACTACAAAATGAAAACTGCATTTTATTTAGAAAATGTCGAAATTTTTGATTTATTTTATTATCTGTAAATTCTTTTGTGTTATAATACTGTACAGTATATGCTATTCTATGACATTGAAACCAGTTTTAAACTAAAAAACAATTAATTGTCAAATAAATTATAGGAGTTATCCAATAAATAGAGTAAAGAATAATCTCTAAGATTGGTATTACATATACTATAATATTATTTATATAACTAAGTTATTTCTAAAACAGGGCTACAAAATGTTTAAAATAAATAAAATTTATGTAAGCAGTGATTGCTTGGTATGACTTCAATTGAATTCATTTTGAATGCACCCTTAATTTATCCAAATACAATAAATTAAATAATGGCAAACCAGGTGTATAATAATTGACTACATAATAATATTTAGATATAAAAAAGCTAAATAAGGTAAAAATATTTTTAAAAACCTAATTAATTAAATTGAAGTTCAGTGGTCATTGTTCAGTATTTTTTTATCATATGTTGTATATAATATTATTGACTGCTATTATCTATTTTATATAAAACGACACATTTTGACATTCATCTCGTTTTTATTTTTTAATATAAAAAGTGCATTCAATTCAACAATCAATTGCTCTTTTTTATGCACAACTGGTTGTCAAATAGCCAACAGCTGCCCCTTCACTACAATAGGGGCTTATCATTAAATTGTGAGCTCTCCACCAGTTTTGTGGCTTTTCACACACATACTGTATATATACACACACTATCGGTGCGATCACCGATATGAGGAAAAGTGAGAGAAAATTTTATATAATAATTGTGCGAAACTTATAGAAACGTTTAAATGCCTGTATGTGTGGTTTGACAAGAATATTAATAATATAATTATCTGTTTGTAATTTTTCAAAGTTAGGTTTCAATACATTCATAATTTATAATAGATATTATTATACCGGTATTTATATAATATGTATAATTGTATTATAAGTTATATGAGTTTTGATTGCCAAAAAAAGATAGATTATTCTTTAAATAGAAAATACAGTTTTATTTTAAATAAGTAATGAATGAATGAATGAATGAACATAAATATTATAAAATATAAAATGAACTAAAAAAGTATAACTAAATAAATTACATTTTAAACGATTTAATACTATCTAATGAGATGATCTTTAGAGACATTGAATGCCAGACTATAAGTTCAAATTATTTAAGATTATAGTGTCTCAAGAATTTTCATTTTCTAGTCTCAAGTCTTTAATTAAATTAAAAGTTTCTAATTTTAAACGATTTGTATTAACAATAAAATTGATGTCATGAAACATACCACGAGTATTGTCATCTGAGTCGAGATGGATTAGAGAGCCTTCACTTGACTTTATGAACCCTCGGTTGTCAAATACGACAGATATTTTGCCGATCGATCTCCCGAATGGATCAGCGGTCACAACAATTTTATTGCCGGTGATGTCGTTAACTTCTAGATCGGGATACGAACGAGCCCTTCGTTGTGCTAAAACTGACAGATTTTTGGATAAGCCATAGCTTCCGACTACGAGATCCACATTTGGCACATAATTGAGAATATCTTTGAATAGTCTTTCATCGCCACTACCGGCGGCTATAATAATATTAATTCCTTCTTTTCGGAGATTTTCACTTTCATCTATCAAACATCTAATCGGATCACGAATTTTAATAAAATCCATTCCTTGTCCTACTTTATCGGAAACTCCTCTTTTAGTGGATACTGTAGTCAACTCTCCTGGATTTTGAACAAATCCGATAACTCCGATACGTTTTCGGCTACTCATTATTTTGGTGGACGGCCGGACTGCCGAATAATAGTTGGGCACATATTTGGTATCGACGTCCACATTGCAGGACACGATTCGGGAAAAGTGTGAGACATCGCTAATGAATTGTGTCATATTATCAAAAGCTTCGCGAGAATCACGAAAATAGTCAACATTTGTGTCATACAAATCATAATCACTTAATCCAAGACTTATGACATCAAACTGCATAACATTTAAGAAATCTGTGATAACTCTTGAGCCAAACTGTTTATACCAAATGCCGCCCAAATTGTTGCCCGCATTGATCCACAAAAGAAAACCCTTAGATCTCCATTCGTTTATCTAATTTTTAATTAAAACCATTAATTATTATTGAATAGAAAATATTTTTTAATTGTTTTATAATATATCATTGTATTTCAAAAGACCAGATAATCGTGTTTTTATGCAATCAAATGCAAGCAATTTGAAGGATTAATCTTATATAACAAACAATAATAAAATGACTGTAATTAACAAAAGTTCATTCAATAGAAGACTATAATTAAAGTATTGTTTTTCTACATAATTGCTGGCAATAAAAGCAATGTTAAGCATCGTTGTTAGATTAAACTAATTTTATTTTTGTAAATTAAATAAATCATTTACTGTATGAATTACTTGCTAACTAAATATACGACAAAAACAACTATTAATGAATAGCATCGAAATAAATTGAATCAAAATAAGAGAAAACTATGTGATGAAGTAATATATCAAATGTTTTATATAAATGTTTTGTAATCATGCAATCAAAAACAATCATTGTTTTTATAAAAAATGAACATTTGGATTATATGATTTATAGATAGGAAATCGATTGACTATTAGCTATTTTTGTTTGTTTGTAAGTCAATCAATGAGTTATACGTTGAATGATAATAAATTTTTATTTGATCTCATAATACAATGACAACTACTTTGATGGCGTCAATGGGAAAAATACTGCTTAAGTAATGGAGACTTAGTTATGTTAAGCAAAGAATTTATCGATTTTTCAATTTTATTCTTCACTTATTCACAACTAAACAATGACTTAAGTTTTTGGTGTTGTTATGTAAGTACCAGTGCTTATTGCTTATTATATTTTGGTGGGATTAGTCATTTTAATACGATATTTAATACAACACCGGGATTTGTAATACTCAAGGATTTATGGGATTATAACAGAAAAAAATTAATTTAAATTTTCAATGTCATCAAAAATAGTATTAATATTTATTCAAATTATAACTATTTATAGAATTAATGTCAAAATGAATAATATTTATTTCAAATGTTTTATATAATTTTAATATAATATGTAATTAATTGATTTTATTATTTGATGTCTTCTTGGTGTTTGAGTATTCATTAATAAATATTTGACATTTAAATTAATATTAAATAAGGAAGCAATCGTTTAAAATAAATTATATTGAAATATAATTTATTTCTTATATTTACTTATAAGTATCTAAAGTCATAAGTTATAACTAATTTCATCTCAAATACTTGTGAAAGTTGTTTTTTAAGTATACATAAAAATAATGTTTTAACTAAACTTTTAATTAATACAATCATACAGTAAATTGCTTGAATTTATTTATCTGTTCATTATTTAATTATCATAATATTATTATATTGTTTATATTGTAATTATTGTGTTCACAAAAGTTATAACTAAAACAACATAATTTAAATAAACAATATATCAGTTTTGATTGATAATCTAAAACACATTTACAAACACATAGACACAAACACACAAATATTTACTTATTTTTAAGAATATAATCATATTTATACGGTTAATATAAACACCAAAAATTAAGCAAATTTTTATAAATATCATGAACATCCGCTTATATTTAAATTAAATTTATTCTTAAAAATAATGGCAATATATATAAGGAATATATGGGTTTACTAAATATGTGTTAAAATGTAAATAAAAATCTATAAATTAAGCGATAAATAAAACAATTTTTAAGCATCAGATGAGAGAGAGAGAGTGAGATATTGTGGTAATACCTTTGCGACTATTTTAGGCGCTCCTCCTTTGCATTGCTTGGGAAGTGTATTGATGTCACAAACACTGTTATCCCTCTGAATGCCGGCAAATGCACTGAAGAGATCGTTTGAATGAATTATTGTTAGCGTATAGTCATTGGATGTGTCGATGCCATCCACTAGTAAATCACAATAAACGCTAATATAATATAACACCAGCAATAAAATTGTGGACTTCATTATAGTTTTACATCAATTATTTATTATATAACCAAAATAATAGTAATTCATAGCTATTCTTATATTTTTATTTAACATCAAATGTCAATAATAATAATAATAATAGCTATGAGAGGAGTGCATAGTTAATATTGAATGGGATGTTATCTCTGACAGAGTTATACAATTTTGTTGAGACATTTGTTTGGAAAGTTAGTAAAATATAACTCTCCGTAAGCTTTCGGAACATTGGATGTAAATTTGAAGAGTTTGTGAGGAAAATGAGATAAAATTGAAAAATAAATGCAATTGAAGGTCACTTTCACAGCAAATGAATTTTTTCTTTCAGTTGTATGACTTTTGTCTGTGAATTACCACTGAATGTCTATATATCTGTGTTTCATTCAATGGTAACGATTGGCATACAGTTATAACATCACATAAACTGTTTGAACTGCTTTTGCACAGCACTACTGCTCACTCCTGTCTGTGCTCTGAACTTCTCAAGCGTTGAGCATTCAGTCGGCTTCTGCTCGACGACGACGAGAAAGCACTGGTATCCCAATCCCAACACAACCAGCAAAACATTAGCCCATATTTGTTGTCTATGTTGTTGGTTGTGATGTATGTTAACTGTTGTGTTGAATGTTGAGTAGTAGTGCAGCACTAACTACTCAAACAGCTTCACTATATATGCCTCAAACGCCGCTCCCCTACACCTCAACAGAGATTCTCCTTTTGGCTGCTTCTACACCAACCAAACCAAACCAATCCAATGCAATGCAATCATTACTTAAAACATTTAGAAAGCTATCGGCTCCGGAACTGGTCAGTCATATAATGGCTATCTCTCTCACAATCACGAGTCACTTAAAATATAAATAATTGTTTATAGCATTAAAAGTTAATTTATGATAACCTAATGGCAAATGGAAAGGGCATTAAAATGTATATAAAAATGTTAGATTGCATTGCATTTCACTATTGAGTGACATTCCTCAATGGTATACAACCATATTATTAGCATTTATTTTTATCATTGTTTTTATTTTGTATAAAACAAATTCAAACAAAACAACAAAACAAATTGAGTTAAGTATTAACTCAGACATGAGTTTAACATAAATTTACGTCAAAAATCTATAAATTTTGTTGTAATACAAAAAGCGTTTAGTATAACGAGAGTTGACCTAAAATCGGGCATTAAATGTATCGTTAAGTCTATAATATTACAGCATTGGACCAATAATTTAATAAAAACTAAAAAATATGTCCCTCTCATGTTGAAACTGAAACGCTAATCTTATAATAATAATAATAATAATAATAATAATGATAAAAATAAAATAATTTATTGCTGTTTTTTGTTTGAAAAGTTGTATACTAAAAAATTAGGACCTCACAAATTTTGGTGTACATATTATTAGATTTACATACAAAATATATATTTATTTTTTATTATCGTATGAGTATAAAACATTATAAGTTGTATTGTAAATACATAGTAAAAGCACACAATTAAATTAGTATAATAATATATTGATTATCCAAACAAATGAGCGTATAAAGTATTGAAGAAAAATTGTTAATTATATATACATAATGTATATAAAATTATATAAAAACTTTTTGTTTTTCTCTTAAATAATTTAATCTTAAATTTGATGTATTTTGTAATTTTTTGAATATAAAATTCCTAAATAGGAAAAAAGCGTTTTGATTAATTATAAAATAAGTCAAAATATGCAAAAATGTTTGCTAAAAATATTTTAAGGAAGAGTTAGGTTAGGGTGGATTGAAATACCAGTGCTCTCATACTATATTAAATGCATCTCATTTTATAAATATGGGACTTGACTTAACTTTTTTCATAATGAATTTTGAGTGGGATTTTTACTTTTAGCAGTCAATTATATGATAGACACGCCAATGAACGATGTTTTGTTTATTATTAAGAAACACAACAAAAAGCATTTTATTATTATTATTATTAGATTCTTAGTTCATGTAATAATTATAATAATTATTATTTAATAAAGCAATTATTAAATTAGGGAATTTCTTAACGAGCACTGTTAGCAAACAAACTAAATGAGTCATACCATTGGCCAACCAAACCATACTAACTATATCATACCCATACCATACCATACTATACTAAACCATATGCTTAAGCGTTGATGCTGTCGAAGAATTTTTGCTATAAATTTGTCTCATTTTTCATTTAACAGTCCAATGAATTTACAGTACATTTCAACGGTTAAACTATAATTTTATTACAATTTTTTTTTTATATACAGAAGTTAGATATTTATAGTAATTTTAGTGATGTCGTAGTCTTTCAAATGGTTTTATTTATTGCTTCTGTCATTTGTTATTACAGTAGCGATAGTCGGCAATGATTTGTTCAAATAAATATAATTTTATAATATACTATATATAAATTATAAATCAATTTTAATGTTATTTTATATTGAATTACATAGTATTATAACACATCATGTTATAAACAATTTGATACACAATATTCTTAGAGTAAACAAACATATATTTAAGATTTAACTACAGTATAAAAATATCTATTTTATAAATTTCTATAATTAAATAAAATATTTAAGAAATTAAAAATTATTCAAAGTGTTTACATTGTTTTACAAATATAAATAATATATAAATATATCAAAGTGTGTCAATATTTAAGCTTTTTGGCAAAATTTCTAGTAATAATGTATTTTATTTTCATACAAAACAACTGTTCATTTTTATTGTTCATTTAATTATAATACAAATTAAGTGCCAAATGTTGATTTTTTAAAAATAAAAATTATATATAAAAATTTTTAATTCACTAAATTTGAATAAATTACTAATTATTCGATAAATAGTAGTAAAAATATGTTAATTATGTATTAAAAAGATTTTAGTGATAAAACTGACTAACAAATCGCTACATAATTGAATAGTTCATAGTGTAGTATATTAAATACAATCAATTGGATTCATTGATGAAACTCAAAAAGGCATAATAATGTACACATAAGGAAAATCGTTGTTATGGGGAATCACATATCAAACCAACTTATAGTATACAGTATACGTAGATATAATATATAATTGTTAGCAAATCAATAGCAACTCATAATCGGTGGCATTCATATCGGTTCCCGTGTGTTGTTGAGCTACTTATGTTAAAATTGACGCAAAACTGGAACTACCATTTGATGAGCTAAACTATCATAAGTTGTGGGGAAACGGCTCTTTCAAATGGGACGGAGGCTTACGGTAAGACATATTCAATGTGTGAGTGCCTTATGTGTCTTTTGGAGGGGTTTTTCGCAAACATTTTCCAAATTGTTTAAAAACGGCTGTCAAGTGAGGAATCATCGCTTCAAAGGTTATACAAGTAGGGGACTATTGAGTAGGACTTACCAGTGCTGGGAGAGACCATCGTATTCTTTGAACTACAATAATGCTTAAAAATATAGTCAAAGCAAAAACCAAATAAAAACACTAACAAAAAAAAGACATGAAGTTCTTCACTCATGTATTTTTGACATAAAATGCAATCGAGAGCTCACTTCAAGCTTAAGACTCAACCATTCAAATATCTGTCAAAAGGATATCCTCTTTACTATACATTTTCACATTACATAAAAATATAAAAATATCTATAATATCTTTTAAAAATTTCAGTCATATTAGGCTATGTTTATGTTATCCATATATCGCTAGACCTCTGGCGACTACAATATTTTAGTTCAATGATGGACTCGTTTTTTAACACCAAATATATTATGTATTTAAGTGTGTCTTTAAGTCTCTTTTTCTTATAATAAAAGCAATAGAAAAACTTCAATAACATTAAGAAATTTATGGCTTAAAATGGTTTTAAAAGTAAAAAGCAATATATTGTAGTATACCGTATATCTAATACAGTATAATGATTGCAATCTAATGTTGGAAAACATATTTTTCACACAAACTATAATATTATTGATAATACAATATTGTTATTACATTTTACTTCTATGGGAAATGCATTTATCATCATTTTTTATTAGTAAAATAAAATTATTTGCAAATTAAAATTTTGCTTTTCAATGAAAACTTTTAAAATGAAATTAAACGAACCATAAAATATTTTTTGTTTGATAACATAATTCATTGCATATAAATAAATTAAAATAAATTTTAAAATTATTATTTCACATAGTATTGTGAAACTTGCAATACTAATCATTTAAAAAGACAAATTACATAATAAAAATCAAAAAACATTTTATTTTATTTTAAGCAATTTATTGTCAAAATAAAAAATAATTTAAATTCAATAAACAATGAATTATTACAGTAATCATTTATATAGCTGTAAAATGTATAAATAGTTATAATGAAATTGAAGTCAAAAAAAACAAAAAAGTGGAATCAATTATAAAATTTTTAAAATAAAATTAGTTCAATATTAATAAACTGAATATTGATGACAATTATTCAATATTAAACCAAACAGTGATATGACATTAGTCTATAAATATATGTTATTTAAGTATAAATAGTGTTAATCTTCGACCTCTTGTTCAAACCAGTCGTCATTGTCTTCATCATCGGCTTCAATGAATTGTCTTATCTGTTGGTCGTAACGCCTAATGAAGTCAATGGCTTCATCTGACCAAAGTGTGCCATCATTTTCTGCATTTTCTTGAATTGTATTGATATCAATGTCTTCAAGAGTTGTGGCTCTAATATTAGCCAAAAGTTCATCCATTTCCGCTTCGAGATCAGTGACCTCAGACTGTTTATAGTACGGGTTGTCGGCCACCACTCGTCTACAGTTAGGACACGAAAAACTTTTGCTTAACCATTGAGTCATACATTTGTGGTGATAATAGTGACCACAAATTAATTGTATAATTGTTTCATTTGCTTCAATGGCCTCTAAACAGAATATACAGTCATCGATGTACTTATTGTTGTCACCAAAAACTTTGACCACTGATATGCTCTTCGAGACATTGATCTGCGCTTTATTATCCTTAGACTTATCTTTCATCTGATTTGTGGCCAACGATGGTTCGCTTGAAGACAATTTCAAAGGCATGTTTAACTTAATGTGTCAGTTGTTCACCAATGGGTCATATGATGTGAATCATTTGATTTTCAACTATCTGTAAGTTTTTACCACAAAAAAACTATTTCTATAGATTTTATTTAATTAAAATTATTATCAACTTTAGTAATTTTTAATAAAAATTTAGTAAAATGATTAAATTTTCATTTTATTAATATATATACTTTATAAGTACATTATTAGTAATAATTTATTAATACAAAATAAACTCTTACTTTATTATAAAAACTTTTTGACTCAATTTGATGTCGCTATGAATTATAATGATTTATGTCTAATTCAATATTATTATCTATGAATTTAATTATTTTAAACAAACATTTTAAGATATATCAAGCTTTTTTAAATACTGTATAAAGTTAAATAAAATAAGCTATAATAAGCATTTAAAATCATTTAGGTAAGTATATACAAAATTATGTACATATATACCTTTAGTATATTATAATAATATCATTATAAGTTATAATACTTGTATTAATGAATTCACACTTTTATTTATATAGTAAATGCTCAATGTACTTTAAATATTTGCAATAATAAATTGTATGGTAAAAATGGCATATTAATTATTTTTACAAATGCAGTTTACATAAAAATTTAATATAAATGTTTATACATTAGTTAATTGTTATAATGTTTTCAAATAGTTATATTATAATATTTATCTTATAATTATTGTAGAAATTGTTTATTATTGTTTATATGAATTTATCATTTACCAAACAATATATCAAAATTATATAAAGCGTCGATAATTTTATGTTAAGACAATAATACGATAATTGATATAATTTGATAATATTATAATAATAGTGATGTTAATATAAAATTGAAATAATCAAATATTTTAATTGAGATAATAAACACACGTTTAAACTTTATTTGTATAAAATTACATTTTCCTAATTTTCAGTAAAAGTTGTAAAAAGTTTAGAGTTGAAAAAATATCTAATAATAAGTTACAATATAAGAAAATGGCAATCAATATATCATCATAATTCATAAACTAGTATTAATATAATCAGTATTAGACATTATAGTATATTATCGTATGTCTAAAAATATATATTTACATTTGACTCATGTATGTAATAATATTGTAACCTGTATTGTATAATAAATACAGTATTATAAATGTTAAGTTTACGCAAATTTAAACCAAACTAAAAATGTACCCCAAAAATCTATAAAGTTTTACAATATTATTAGTTTTATAGTTTGTTTCAAATTGCTAATATACAAATTTTCAAATAAAATAACTAACTAAATAAATAAATTTATCTGATTGTTTAATTAATTTAACTTAATAATTATTTAATTTAACTAAAAAATTGTATTACATTATTTTTCTTAGCAATATTTATTCAACATTTTTTTATTAAACATATTTTATTAAACTAATTAAAAACAAAACAAAAAATATTTTTCATTATTTTTTAAATAAAAGTATAAATGATTATTATATTCTATAACTTTTTACAAATGAGTTAAAATAAGGATAATATTAATTAAATACAAATTATAATATATTAATAATATATAGTCTGTAATATAGACAATTGTTTTTTTAAACACTTTATAAAAATTGATAAATAAATTAATTTCAAACATTATTTTAATTGTGATTTATTTTTATTTGAATAGTGTTGAGAGTCTCAACTTAAGAGCATATTTAAAAATATGTTGAAAAATGGAGGGAATTTATTATTAGGTAATACAATATTAGCAATAAATGCCATCTAATAGTGAGTTCGCTATAATACAAGACTAGTGGAGAAAAAAGTCTTGATTTTCCACTTTTTCTAAAGTCTTATCAGAGGTTTGTATCGTTTTTTCAATGAAATCATAGACTTTATTCTCAGGCATTCAATTGGTTGCAAATATATTGACTTAAAGGGACAGTTGTTTTACAGTACGAGTAGTCAATCACAAGACATCACAACTGTTTGCATAGCGTTTGCTAAACGAATGATGAAATGTTGGATACATTTGATTGAAGACTTCAATAGACATACCATTGACTCAAAAGTATTATTTCATGTGATTTCACATTTCATGTCTTGATTTTGATAATTAATTTAATGGATTGTAAGTAATTTATATTATTTTAATGTTAATTTGAATGACAATTACTATTTTTTGATGACAATGACAGCCAAAGAACAAGAGGCCAACTCTAGTGACTCACAAGAAGTGGTCAACAATGATGAGAAAGACGCTAATACTTGGTTCAAGTAAGTGATGATTTCATTTGGTATATCAGTTCTCGGTTTTGCGCTTTTATTGATATATTTATTTGTTTGAGTAGTTTCGGTAACCGACAACCAGAACAGGGATCAGAATTTGCAGTATTGAATATACACGAAGATTCACTTGATTACGACACGACGCACAAGAACTTTGGTAAATGTCTTATTTTAAACCACGAATTCTTTGTTGACAATCGATGTCCGCAACGAAAAGGCAGTACTGCTGATGCAAACTCTTTGTTTCAATGTTTTTCATCGATTGGTTTTGATGTTAAAATGAAGACTGATCTCAATAGCGAACAAATCTTTCAATACATATCTTCAGGTATTAAGTGTTTGACTATATATTTGGTCATAAGATTGATATTATTAATACAATTATTGCCAATCAAATGATTGATGAACTTAGTGGCCAAAGAAGATCATTCGGATAACGACTGTTTTATTTGTTGTATATTAACTCACGGATACAATGACTTACTTTGGGCTTACGATCAGATGTATTCATTGGACACTATTCTTAGTTTCTTCACCGGAGATAACTGTCTATCATTAGCTGGAAAACCGAAAATATTTATAATTCAAGTATATTATTAAATATTATAAAAGCTATGAATTAAATTAAACTAAATAATTGTTTTAATTGTACTAAAGGCTTGTCGAGGCATTGAGTATGACAACGGTGTGTCCATCAGAGTGCCGACAGTTGGTAGAGATGTCTGTGACAGCGGATGTTTCAACAAAACAGTTAAAATACCAGTTTATGCCGATTTCCTAATTGCTTACTCTTCAATGTCCGGGTAATTTGAATGTCCGATGTGTCAGACATTTATAGATTAATAATTATTATCTATATTTAATATAAAGATTTTATTCGTGGAGAAACCAATTGGATGGCAGTTGGTTTGTCAGTCATTTGACTGATATTATCAAACGATATCATCCAATGTGTGACTTACTGTCAATGTTGACAATAATAAACCAAAGGATTGCTTATAAGTGCGCCTCCAGATGTGCGGACAATCGGTTTAACGATAAGAAACAAGTTTCATGTGTTTCACATACACTTACCAGAAGAATATTCTTCAGCCCTAAAGATGTGGTTCAAACTTCTTTATAAAGACTAACAATTGCCGTAATTATAAAATTTTAAATATCATGAAAATGTATTAATCGAAGTCAAAGATTTTATTATTATTTTTTAATCATACAATAAAGTTAACATATTTTGCATTTAAACTTTAATTACATTTTTATTATCGATAATTTGATTTGAAAATGATTTATATATAAATATATATTAGAAAAAATCATTTAAATGAAATCATTTGATATCTAATTTGATGCATCAATAGCATCAAAATCATCAATGTCCTTTTGACTTAAGTGATAGACAATGCTTGCCCCATAAGCATCGCCTAAAACATTGATAACCGTACGAAACCTGTCTATTAACCAATCGATTACATAAATGAGTGCCGCATCCTATTTATTTATTTTTAAACCCCAATAGCAAAAAAATAGTGACAAAATTACAGTAAATATCATTTTATTTTAATATATACCGTCTCTGGAAGGCCTACAGCGTTGAGCACAATAACCATTGTTACCAATCCGGCCTATTATTAGGCATTTAATAAAATTGATTGTTGGTATTATTTTGTTAATGTATTGATAAAATTAATACATGAATTGGTACTCTTATACTAATAATTTCAAACCTGAGGTATACCGGCGGCACCAATACTAGCAGCGGTAGCCGTTACAGCTATAACTATAATTTGAACGAAATCCAACTCAAGTCCTCTATATTGTGCTATAAAAATAGCGGCCACGGCTTCATAGAGTGCCGTTCCGTCCATATTAATGGTTGCACCGACTGGTATACAGAATCTAACGACACGTTTATCATACTTAAGATTTTCTTCTAAACATTGAAATGTAACCTTAAATAAAAAAAAGTTAATTAGAGTTTCATTAACTGTTTAGACAAAACATATATAAATACAGGCATTGTTGCGGTTGAAGATCCCGTACCAAAAGCTGTCATAAGAGCGGCCAACATTTGGGTTATAATTTTATATGGATTTTTACGAACTAATATTAAATAAGTTGCCGGTAATACAAAAATACTGTGAATAGCGAGTCCAACCATCACTGTTAATGTATACCACCCAACACTGCCTAACAGTTGTGATAAATCTTTAACATTAAGAATTTGTGGTAAAACCAAAAAAATGACGGCCAGTGGTGTTATTTTAATAACAACAACTGTCAGAGTCATCATTGCATTATTGAATGATTTGAAAAAATCAGCCAATACTTTGCCCTCTTCTTTCATATGACCAATAATTACACCCAAAACAACTGCAAACACAACGACTCCCAGAATATTCATATTATCTGTCTTTTTTGAACCGACATCCCATTCCTCGATAGCAATATCACTACCATCAGTACCATTAGGTGGAGTGAGGTTAGTGCTAAAAGATCTAAAGCACGCCTCCACTATGTTATCGGGAAATAAATTTCTGTCAAATTTTAAAATAAATTAAAATTTTTGATTATATATTTATTTAATGAATACCTAATTAGATCCAGTATTGTATCCATAGTTGTCAGTTTGACTTTATTAGATTTGTCATTAGGTTTGTCATTAAGATCCATATCGACTCTAGAGCCGGGTTTTATAGTGACCACAAGTATTATACCTAAAATGATGGCTAATATAGTTGATGTTATATAATATGCAACACATCTGATGCCAATCTTTCCAAATAGTTTAGTGTCGATATCACTCATAGCATAGACCAAACTCGTAAAAATCAGGGGTAAAACTAAACCTTTAAGTACACGAAGAAATAGTTCACCAATAAATCCAATGTATTTAATCGACCGGTTATTCCAATCGGGATTATTATCTCTCAATAAAATACCGATAACCACTGCTATGATAACACTGATTAATGTAGAAATGGCCAAAATATTTTCGGAAATTATACGTAATATTTTGCTATAAATTGATTGTTTGGTTTCATATTTATTGCTTAATAACCCATAACTGACGGATAATCCAAAAAAACTGGTAATTAAGTGACAAATTAGACTAACACTGCTGTCATTGAAATCAATGCTCAGACACGACAGTATCATAATTATTAACAAACATATCGATGATATTAAAGATGATATCAATGTTGAAATAAAATTTATTAAATATTTTAATGATATTAACTGCAACATCAGGAACTGTGTGATAACAACCATCCGGATAACCATTAAAGCTATAGTAAAGTGAGTTTTGAATCTTTCTTTTGAATCATTGTTGATGTAATCCACTTCTTTGACTAAATGGACAATTGAATCAATTATTGATAGCAAAAGAAAAATGTTGTAAACAAATCCAATAAGTCCTGTCCCGGACTTATCACTCTTATTATTGGTATTACTATTTGCCGGTATATTCCCATTGTTTGTCATTGTATTTAATATTTAATAAAAATTATTTCAAATTATTATAAAATAATTTTTTTAAATAAATCTTATTTTAAAATAATTGATACATTATAAATTTTTATGAGTAAATAAACAAATTTGCTTTTAATTAATAAAATGGTTACAAAATTAATATGTAGTAATTTATACACTTTATTAATATAGTAAAAGAAACAATTTTAACAATTATGAAACATTTATAGCACATACTATTTCTATGTTTTATTTAAAAAATTCATTTAAGTACAATAAAATAGATGTTTATCATTATAAACATTATAAGCATTTTTAGTAATACAATTAAAAATGAACAATTAGAGATTTCTAATAAATTTCCTGAGAAAATTTCTAGTAAATATATCAACTTTATTGTTATTATAATATTATTATTATTATTGGTTATTCATATATTAATATATTTATATTATAGAATAAACATAATTTATATAACTTGTATAATATTTAATTATTCGTATACCGATATTATTAATGTAAATTGGATCCCAATATATACTGTATTGTATTATAAATTAAAGAAATAAAACAATTTCTGATACAATGACTTCCCGATTGAGGTGTCACTACTGAGACATACATTATTGGTAGCGCTTTTCCATCAAAGGACTGGTGTAGACAAAGACAAGAGTTCGGTGTGAAAGGATTGGTAAAGACCTTATGACAGATGACCAGTACATCGCAGAGTCAATAGATTTAAACTCTTAAAAAATAATCATAAAAGTCACGTCTATTTACTAATTGAACCAACAGTTAGCTATATTCTGATGTCTGATTTAACTTAATGTTATTAAAAATATTATCAAATACTTAATGAAACAATAATACAAAAAATTTTTTAATAAAACAAACTTTTTAAATATGTAACAAAAACTAATTAAATAATGCAATAATACTACCGTAATAATAATGTTTACTAATTATTAATGATATCTAATTATTATGAATAATTATAGTATATTAAAGACTAATAGAAATATATATTATAATACAGTATTATATACTACATTGTATACATATCTATTGTATATACAGTACCGTATATAGAAATAAAAAAAATAAATAGAAACATTTTTAGAAACTTTCTATTTTAAAAGTTTTCCTTTTGTACGCGATATAATAATAATAATTATTATTATTTAGTGATATAGAAATTAATATTTATATTGTGAATTAGTTTTTAATTGCTTAAAAAGTTTAAATTTAAAATATTCAATATATCAAATAAGTTCATATAATTGCATATTTTAAATTAACTTAATTTACATACACACTAACTAAAATCATAAAAATAGCTATTACTTCTAGTTATTTTTTTTGTTGATATTAACTATTGATAAAAGCATAATTTATATAACTTAATATTTAAATTATGTATAACATAAATAACTATTTTACGATAAATAATTAATAATTAACAAGATTTTTACTAATTTAAAAAAATTAATTTTACAGTCATTTGAAATAAAAATATGATTTGGAAAAGTGATTTTTTTCATGTTTCAATGAATATTAAATAAATTATAATGATTTTTAAATTATCATTTTTATATACTATATAATATTATAATATTAATTTGCAGTTACAGTAATTAAAATAACAAAATTTATTTTTGTATTATAAATCATCAAAATTTCAATTATATTAAATTAATAAAAATAAATAATTATCATAGACTGTTATTACTGTACTATTTTCGACTTTTGGAAGTTTTCATTATCTAAAATGAGTTTAATTATAAATTAAACAATGCTTTAGTTTATTGTATTTACTGTAGTATTTATTTTTAAATCAATTAATTATACAGTATTTAAATAATTTCATTCAATACTCTACAGTGTTACTAAATAATATTAGTTTTTTTTTACTTTATTTAGTATACTATATATAGTACATACTGTATTGTATATATCAATATAATGTTTATTTAAAATGTTTATAAATATGTGCCAAAAAGTAGTATAATATTGTATTATGAACTTTTATATTTTATCAATTTTTTTTTGATATAATATTCTCTATAATAAATTTTATTACATTATAAAATAATTAATAATATTGTTTTATATTGTTATAAATATATATGATAATAAATGTATAGAATCTTAATTTTTGTCATTGCAATTTGCTTTATCATTATCATTAAGATTTTTTTTATAACTTATAATTAAAATTGAAACTTTTAACTAATATTTAGTTTGCTCGCTTTTATTATAAATTTATAGCAATAATATTTATATAACTWAATAGAAACATAAAATATGTTAACTTCATTTTCATTTGAAATTAATAGATTAACTAAATAATGTAATAAATTTATTGCTACTAATTAATTAATAACATTTGACTATCATTCACAATAAAATGAGACATAAAAAATTTCTTTACTATTTAATTATTAATTACATTATTAGATTTACATTTTAAACAAATTTTATTATAACATATAAAGTAAATTCTGTAGAAATTTATTAAAATAAAAATTTGAACTGAAATTTAATACAGTATAAGAAAATATTATTAAAATAACATTTGATAATTATATTAGAATAAAATAAGCATAATATGTATAATTTGTTATTAAATATTTAATTATAGTTCATATGTGTATATCTGTTGATCACTGTTTTTATGAGTTTTTGTTGTACACGGAGATGACTTAACCGATGAATTAGTCATTTCAAGATATGTCGGCTCTGAAACAGGTAGTCTCCAGTAATCATTACTTGACTGAATTTGAACATTTGAAGGCATTACCACATAATCGTTATTTGGGTCATAATAAGGATCAGCATATCTAACCTCTCCATCTCCACCTTCACCGACCACATCATATGTATCATACAATTGTTTCGGCGGAAACTCGATGTCATCGTACGGGTCATACCTTTCACTATCAGTTCGGGTCTGATTCGCGATCTGTCGAGTGATTCGACTCTTCAGTTTCTTTGAATAGATGTAAAACAATACTCCCGTCAAACATATGATTAGTATAAGTGCAACGAATAATATTGTGATTAGTATCCAAACTATTATATAATTTTAAAATTTTATATTTAATTACATTCAGTAAATTAAATCATAGAATGAATTTCTAAAATGATTGACTCTTATAAACAGATTGCAAACTCTTAATAAAATATTTAATTTATAATTATTTTTTAATAAAGACTTTATAATAAAAACTAATGTTAAAGTTAGCATTTGATTATACGAGTCAATAATATTTATATTATATAATTATATAAAAACCTGAAAATTTCGATGATTTGTTGGGATCTAAACTTAATAATAAATATATTACAATATATTATTTAATATCATATAAATTATAATACCGTAGCAATAGATATCACTTCCACTCCATTGTCCAGTCTTAAGACAAATTCGTTTTTCTTTACCAACCAATACATCAGAACTGGGATATTTGCAGCCGAAATTGATATCAGTATTTTCAATGGCATAATATTGGGTGTCATTGAAAAAATACAGGCCATCCAGTGATGTGATAATAGTGTCATTAGATTCACTACCTATATATGTGTTGTTCAGAGAACATGGCTTACGAGGAATGCATTCCGGATAACTACCGCTCCATTTCATATCATTTATGCATTTAAGACTATGGATTGCAGTCTCCGGTAGATTTGCATTAGAAACGGAAACATATAAATATTTATCATTTCTACAACCAATTGTATAATCTCTGAACTGAACATTAAATCTTGAGTATTGACTGATAAATATCTCCGGTTCCCCACAAAGTGGTTCCTCTTCACTGCCGTAAGACTTACCCAAAAACACTGCAATTAACTCATGCGGTATATCCAGTGATGACTGTGTTTTCATAACCATATAATCGCCGGGATTTTCAATATCCCGTTTGTACGCCTCTTCAGATATGGTGTCACAAATAAAGTCACTTTCGATTTTAAGTCCATTTTCTCTCCATTTATCTCCGTTTTGATTTGTGAGCTGACATTGTCTATCATGACTTACAAACATCGTTACATTGAATATAAAACTATCCTTAAGATGTTGAGGTAGAAGAGTATAGTTAATAAAATTGAAGTTAATTCGTACAAACAGTTTCATCTCTGGACCCGTAAACCTAAAACTCCATTTATATTTTTTCGTATCATTTACCCGAAGTCTGGCTTTTTTGAATCGATTTGATGTAAAAACATTTGGATATTTCCAGGATCTGTTGTTGATAACCATATCCAAGTACTCAAACTTTAGCACTGGTCTGTCGGGATCTGTTATATCCTCTAGTTTTGAATCTTTCATAAGTATATTAGTTATAAAATCACCTAAAAATTTAACGATAACCACATTATGATCACATACTGAATGATATTATATTTAAATAACTAAAATCTAGTATTACCACATCGGGGCACTTCCCCAGTCCAACGGCCTCTTTCACACTTTCTGGTTCTAATGGGTGCCACAAAGTCAGTGCACTGGTAGCTAACTTCTTCTCCCTCATCGTATTGTAATTTGTTGTCCGGTTCCAGTTTGGCCCGGTATGGCTTTCCCGGGTAACCACATTTGCCATTTAATTGACAACATATTGGATTAATTATATAAATAATTGTTAACAAAATTGAATAAAACAAAACTCTATTTTTACAATACATTTGTTTTTATTATATTTTATTTACATTTTAATAGATAAACAGTAAATAAGTTTATTTTATTTTTAAATTAAAATAGGATCATTTGGATTAATATTTAATATATAAATTGTTTTAATTTTTGATAAAAACAAACGGAAATACAATTACAAGCGGAAAATTGTAAAAGACATTCATCTATGTCCTCAATTAATGTTAATTATACAGACGTTTTGCACAATTTTTATCGGAAATTTAACATTTATTACATCATAACAAATAAATAACAATATTGTCCGACAAATTCATTGTCACAATAAATTATATTATTTTATATTAGTATTGTTGTTAAAAACTAACAATTATGAAAAGATTCTATAAGAAAATTAATTAATACAAAAATTTAATTAAATTAGTAAAATAATTAAAATTAATAAAACTAATTGATATAAAATAATTGAAACTTTTTCAAATTGCACAAAACAAACTATTTATGTATTAAATTGATATTACTTATAAAATATTAATTCTAAAATTATTGGATTGTATTATAAGATTAAAACTATTTAATCTTGAATTTAAATACAGTACTATTTAGTACTATAAAAATATTGTTTTATAGACTATTCTTATAATACTCTATTTCCTGTTTAAACTAATAATATTAATAAACTAATAAATATTTTAAACTACAGTTAATCTAAATAATATAAATTAAGTTTATTCAAATTATCCCTTTGAAACATTTATTATGTCAATTATTTTATATATTATTAATATAAAATTACTTTTATACCTTAAAATATAATCACAATATTAATTATAGACATAAAAATTGAGTTTAACTAAAATGGTTTCACAAAAATCTTTCATTTGTTTAATTTTAATTAACTTTATATCATCATCGTTGGCTACAATATCAATTGGTAAATATATTTTAAAATATAATTTAATTATATTATTAATATTATTAACATAATTATGACCATTACATACATATAGTGGATCAGATGTTAAGGATATTTGAAAGAAATAGTGAAGTCCGAGCCAATTATCCGATGAGAAGTAAAACATTTGGTAGTCTTATAATGAGAGGAATTCAATCAAAACGATGTCCAGACTATCTCTGTTTGGATTGTGTGCCCGGATTTTGTCGGCTAAGCACAGCTACACATCAGACACAAAATCTAGTTGTTCCCAATCGGACACCAAATATTACAATTCAACAATTATCTAATCTTAATGACAATATTAACAACAATATCACTAATCAATCATTTGATAGACAGAGTAATACAGTCAATGATTTCAACCGAACAGTTGCTACTGAAAGGCCAATCAGTTTCAATGATGTATTGGATTTAGAAAATATGATAAATAGACCCAATAGTCGACTTACTAATAATACATTGGATTTTTCAAATATTAACACATTTTCAAATATCTCATGTGTCTGTATGTGGCTTTAAATAAATTCATAATAATTTCACAATTTTATATTTATTTACACAAAAAATATTATCAAATAGGCTTTTAAATTTAACAAATTTTATAGCTTAAGCATGATGATTTAAAATTATTAATAAATAATATATAATATTGCTATTTAAACTAAATACAATATACTGTATGTCAATTATTTAGTATTATCAATTGTAATAATCGATAAAAAATTTTAATAAAATTGTATGTCTACAGAATATTCAAAAATAAAATAAATGAGTAATCATTACATTAATTTATGTAAAATTACAAAAATAGAAGTAATTGCCAAATAAAGAAAATGATAAACTAATCAATTGAACGTTACGTTTGTGACAAATCATTTAAAGTGAAAGTTTCGTGTATTTTTCGATGACTTTCGAGTGACTCTAACTTAAAAAAGCTTTGATGACAACCAGGAAATCCACATTCAGTCGACACAATCTTTCCATGAGTTCGCACGTGTTTTCTCCACTCGACTTTGTTATCAAAAATCTCTCGACATTGTGGCCAATCACAAGAGTACTTAGACTGGACTCGGTTGGCGTGCACTTCATGTTCATGTTGTGTGAGTTCTCTTTTTGTGGTAAATTCTTTGCTACAATCAGCCCATTCGCATTGAAACAAAGAGCCGTAATTGGCGGCACTGTCCGTATCGGGAATTTGGCCTTTATGTTGATGTTTGTGATCACTTAGTTTCCATTTAAGATCAAAACTTTCGCCGCAATCGGGAAAATCGCACAAAAACTGTTTGTGTTCGCTGTGTGTAAATGAATGGCGGACTAAACGATACTCTTTAGCAAACATTTTACCACATGTTTGACACTCAAATGTACCGTCAGATGAAGTCTTCAGTTTATCGGATTCATATTCATATTCAAATAGATCATCGATTTTCGGTTTTATAGGTCGACCACGAGATCTTCTCACGGTTTTCGGCTCCTCTGAAATTGTCTTCGGAGCAGTTGTTAGCTTTGGTGGTCGACCTCTTCCACGACTGACTTTTTTGTATTTACCTTTTCGGGGATTTTTGTTAGTTTTTTGAGGTTTTGTTAACTTTTGTAATTTTTCTTTCGGCTCGAAATCATCATCTGATGAATGGTCAACAAAAACATTGGATTTAACACTTTTATTGTCGTCATCACTCATTTCAATTGAAATATTATTGTCATTGTTGTCCTCATATTCTGCAAAAAGATTAGACCGATTTGATTGATTGTTTTGATCCAAAGTTCGCGATTTAATTGTTGATTGCAATGACAAGAGTTTACTTTTGGTTATCTCTAATTGTCGTCTTTTAATACACAACTCGTTTTGTACTAATTGTAACAATTTGTCAAAATTAATGACTTTATTCAGTGATGTCTCGAAATGAGATAATGTCTGCCATTCGGGAGTAAAGTAAGCATTAATACGCGGAAGACTTTGACGCAACTTATGGGCGATAAATAAGATTAACAGAGCTATGACTCCGGTGTCGCGATCAACGTCTTCATCACTATAGTCATCAACAATATCTCCATTTATTTTAGCATTTGTTTGGTCATCAGTTCCCGTATCGGATGGTAATTCTTCCTCAGCCTTGACTGTCATGTCTTGGGGTCGACACAAACGTGTTATCAATTCTTGATTGTAGTACTCCTTCAGCCATGTCTTAATTGAATGAATGGTTTTACTATTAGTTGTATTTCTCTTTAAGACAATCGCAGATTGATTGCAAAGAGTTGTCTCAATCAGTGATGTAATGGCAACCAAACGCAAGAAGACAACTGAATCGCTATTCAATTGCAACAAAAGTGGAGATTTGGCCACAATTTTGTTGATCAGAGTTATAATAGCATTGTTGTGCTCTTCAGTTAAGGTAATGTCATCTAAATTCATGGTCTAATCCGTTGAGATAATGATCACAACATTTGACAATCAATTGATGGCTAAAGACTTTATTATAACTTAAATACAATTTAGACTATAATATAGTGTTTACATAACAATACTGTCATTCAAATCAAACACCAATAAGAGCTGTATTTATCAAATCGTATGTAAACTTTACGTGTATTACAAAACTTTATTTTTGAATATTTCTGCTAATAATTTGATACTTCATTAAAAAAAATATATTATTTTTTGAAACTTTTTTTTTAAAAATACATTATCGATGAAAATTGTTATTTAATTGTCATATTTATGAAAATTTTATGTTTAATATCAATTTTTTGCAATATTTTCCTATTAATTTCCTATGATGTACAGTATATTTTTCCTAAATAATATAATAACTAACATTTACTCTATATTTAAATTTATGTCATTAATATAATTATAGTAATTTATATTAATTTTGTTTTAGTATTATATAAATTTATAGTAGAATATGTATTATTAATGAAACTATTGTTATTGTCATTTAATTAAAATGATGAGCCAATCAAACAATGTAATCAATATAAGCATAATTTATTATAAAAATTTTGCGCAAAATTCATATCAATTAAGTTTATATCATGTAATAAATACATTGTTTATAACTATTGAATTAAACTAATAGACAAAATGGTATTTGCTATTTAAATACATAAGTTTTTGATTATATTAAACAATTTCATATAAAAGTAATTAAAATCATTTGCAATTTTAAAATATCAGTTTTCTATATAATTTAATCTTTTTTCTATAATAAATAAAGTTTATGAAAATCTTAATTCAATTCAAAGTTTTAACAATTGATTTATTTTATAATGAGTTTATGTAAAAATATAAATCATCAATTTTATAAATATATTTCTTAACTATTATATTAAAATTAGAGGCCAATAGAGTTATAATAAAAGTGATGACATTTTATTGTATATTAAGTACAATGAATATAACATTAATTAAAACTTTTTTAATAAAATAGTAACCAATTACTGGTCTTTTAGTCCGTGTTTGTGGTAATAACGAGATCTTAATTTTAATAGATGTTTGAATGCGAAATACGAGTTATAATTTGGTCCCAATATTGTACTGATACTATCCTGAAGAAAACCCAATAGTTTGTGCGCGTAGTGTCCATACGTGCGACTCTCGACGCCAACTGTCTTCATGGCTTCATTCACATACGCAACGGCCGTCGGACATGAAAAAGATGGTCTCATTGCTGACATATTGGTCGACACAAATCCCGGTAAAACACTTTGAATTATAATACCTTTGTCTTTGTATTCATAGTGAAGACTTCTCGATAGATAATCACAATAGACTTTAGACGCCGAATATATAGCCAAAAGTGGTACTGGATTTGTAGCAGAAAGAGACGATAAATTAATGATTATTCCGCGGCCGCGACCAACCATTTGTGGCAAAACCATTGAAATCATTTTAGTCATCGATACGACATTACAATTGATTATCGATTGAATAAATTCTTTAATATTCTCTATTTTCGAAAAGTATTCGCCAGTCTTAGAGCTCATCCCGACATTATTAACCAACACATCTATCACTTGCAATGAATCCAACTCTCGGCTAATTTGTTGATAAATATTATCTTTGGTGAAGTCAACGGCCAGTATCTTAATTTGTTTGCATTTCAAGTTAGTCATCAATAGTTGTGATTTAACTTTTTGTAGTTTGTCTTCATTTCTGCTAATTATAAGAAGACAATAACCCATTTGTGCCAATCTATTGGCGTACTCCAGACCAATGCCATCGGTGGCTGTTTTAATAATATATGTCAACTTTTAATTGTAAATTCATTATAAGATATGGCATTTTTATGGATCAAACCTCCAGTAATGACAGCCCAAGTGTTGTGGTCCGGCTTCCAGACGACACCCAAACCCAAAGTATTGGCCAGAAATGAGGTGTAAATACCTTTCAATAGTTTATAACAATAATAGACTGCTATTAGAAAGCAAACACTTTTGCCAATTATCTCATAAATATTGAATTCAGTCATCGCTTCAAATGGATATCATATCACAGACTTTTTTCACAAACTTATACATTGATTATGAGGTGACAGTCATGGATGAGCTCCGGGAGAGATCAGTTGACCTAAGCTTACATTATTAGGCTTTTCATAGACGTGTCATATGGTATACCAATAGGTGACGACTCGTGCCGTACCATACAGTATACCTGTACTGTACTGTACTGTACTGTACTGTATATGAATGCATTGCATATTAATTATATACAACTATTGATTGACAGCTGACCTATACTTTCAACATTTGTATTAATTTATTACACTTTTAGTTACAATTAAACAAACAATTGAATCATTGATTAGAGTATATATTGTTTAGTCGTATATAAAGTTTAATCAAATAAGCAATCAATGAGTGAAATGATATTATTTTTAAATTGAAATTCAAGTGTTTTTTGTATTTTTCACACTTTGTGTTGATTTTTGCAGTCAAACACGTGTTTTGTATTTTGAATTAAAACTTGTGATTAAAACACTTATCTTTAGTGACAAACGATATGACGACTAATGAAGCGATCGGTAATATGTTTGGTCTGTTTGGTTGCGATGATCAGCCATCAGATAAAACCTTTGATGGATATAATGGTACTGAAGAAGTGACACAATCTAATATTTGTGTGCAACTGATGCCTGACAACCATAAAAAGGCGACTGAAGAGGCCATCGATGATAACAAATGTGTTATCTGTAGTAACATTACAATTAAATACCGGTGTCCTAAATGCCAATTAAAGACCTGTTCATTGATTTGCTGTAAATCACATAAGAGTCGCTTCAACTGCGATGGTATTAGAGATAAGACGCCTTACATCAAGATATCTGAGTTTACACAACAAGACTTTCTCTCCGGTTTGTCACCGATTATTTGATTTCAATATAATAATATTATTAATTTTAATTATCACAAACTCTTAATTTAATGCATTTTATTAAACAATTAGACTATTTCTTTCTGGAAGACGTCGACCAAACACTTGACAACAATTGTCGTCAAAGACGTGCTATCATTAACTCCAAACAAATTATGCCAAAAGTATAACCCAATTGTTCTCTTAATTAATACACAATTAATCATTTAATTTAAACCTTCATTCAGTGGTTACAAAAGTTATCAAAAGAGGCTCGAAATAGAGGAACCAATTTGAAGATAATGCCGGGAGGTTTCACACGACGCAAACAAAATACCACTTGTTTTATGTATAACGACAATACCATCAATTGGGACATTGAGCTCAAGTTTATCCACGCAATCGATTCAAAGGACTTGAAAAATTTGGACCAATTATTAGCTGAAGATTTGGTTATATCTCACTCTGAATTTTCGTGTACTGAACGTCGTATAAATGAAAATACTTCTCTATCGACAATATTAACCAAATATATCGGTGATAATGATCTGATTGACAATTACGACAAAAATCGCAAATTAATGTTATATCGGATGTTAGGTTTGGATGGCATATCTGTTTTGTTTCGCAAAGAAAAGTGTGGTTTAAAAAATAATAAGTATTATGAAATAGATTTGAATAAATCAATTAAAGATAATCTTTTCCGACGACTAGTCATCGAGTTTCCCACATTTTTGGTCATTTTAAATAAGTTTAAATATTTATTTGATATATGCGATGATAAACATTAAAATTGAGTTTACTATGAATTTATAACAATTATTATATTTGTATTTTTATATAAATAAAATTATTAATTACTCGAATCGAGTTGTTTGAGCCACGAATAGTCTTCATCGATAAATTCATTCAATTCTTCATTTAAGTCATCAACAGTCATATATTTGACATCACTTTCTCTTTCATTTGTATCCAAATTTGTAGAATTTGACTGATTGTCACTTTGATTATCATAAGATAGAGCTAATGAAGGCTTAATGTCAAAATCTGAAGGAGTTTTAAAATATCTTTCATCTTTGATGTCTTGTTTAACATCTTTACATTTATTTAAAGCCGTCAAAAATGTTTTACTTAATATATCAATTGGTGGCAATACATGTGAGGGCACATTAAAAAACATATCGTTAACTAATTTACTGAGTTTTAAATTAGTTTTAAAATAACTGTCAAACTCGTCATTCTTAAGAGTCTCTTTTCTCTCCTTTTTATTCATAAGCATCGCAGCAATTGGTGACAAATAGTCATCCGTTTGCCAACTCATTACTTGTGTACTCATTTGCGAACGTCTTTCAGATAAAACAAATAATTCTTGGGAACTATTCATACAATAAAATTGTGTCTTCTCTAATGTCGGCTTCTTATTGTCTAATAAAACATTGTTTGGCATTTCATCTGTAAAAACAGTTGCGATAATTGATTGTTGGCTTTGACTCAAATCAACCGTTGCAATGACATCATCGGAATCAATGGACATAAATTGGATTATCCTATTGGTAGTCACCGCCAGTTTATTCTCCCATTGATTGAAGTCAATACAAACAATCCGTTCATACAATTGATATTTCCATAAAACTATTGAAAATAAAATCAATTAACAAAACTATTTTAATGTTTAAAGATCTATTGAAGACATACCACTTAAATCTAATAGATTCCATACTTTAATCTCCGTCTGTCGGCCTTCAATCAAAAAATGACTTTTGTTTTGTCGACCAAATTCAACAAATATTATTGTGGATTCATTTTTGTCTTCAACTGACAACTTAGTCATAAACCGAAGAACTAATTTGTCACAAATATCCCAAAGTGTCACATAATTATCATAAACAACAGCAAGTAGTGATGAATCGGCTGACCAGTTGGCCAGAGTTGGTATAGATATACTGTTAAGATTCCCTACTTTAAAGCAGTTCCACCATTCTTTGTCGTCGTCTTTAACTAAATTCCAAACTTTAAATTCTTTGTCTTTACTCGTCGATACCATTGATTGAGAATTTGATGCAAATTTTAAACAGTTTACAATTGATTTGTGCGGCAAATGAATGGTTGTATTTAAGATATAATTTTTTAATGTTTCTTTAATTTGCCAAAACTTTAGCCGTATTTCAGGTAAAGTCTCGAAGTCGTCACGCATTTCAAGAGTCGAAAGCCATAAGCCGTCATCACTGACAGCCGCTTTGGTCAGTTCTGTCGGGAATACAGTCACTTCATCGGTATTAGAAATCAAATTTTGATTGACAACATCTAAATGAAACAATTGTCTTTGAATGTGTGGACTGAAGAACTGTAAGTGTCCTGTTCTAGAGTTCAAAGTAATGGCTTTCATCTTCGAGTTCCACAACAAACCAGTAGTTAAACCACAATCCTTTCCAGTGGCTAACGTCATGCCTTCAATCACACATTTAATACCTTTCATCTGTGAATCCAATAACTGAATCGTATTATCTTCATGAGTGATGGCAATTAGTTGTCTATTGTAATCAATGGTAACATATTTGATACTCATTCCAAGTCTCGGCAAAAAATTCTTTTGTCCAAAATTAGTACCCGTTATATCCCAACGGATAAGAGTCATCTCTGCTCCGCCCGAATAAAGTGCTGAACCCTCAGCCGAGAAGCATAGGTCGGGCACTCGGAACTGATGCCAATGCATAATAGATCGAGAAGGATAATTGCTGTCAGCAAAGTCAGCCCAAATGGTTATACGACCGATTGTATCACCGGTAGCTATGATCGGCTCAGTTGGATGACTGACAACACAAGTGAACTGTTTGTCATCATTTGTCAAATGTCTCCGCAATTTCAGTGACTTTTTGACCGGAAAATCGCTTACATAAAGAATATTCTTATCTATTGTTACACAATATTGAGGCGAATTCATAGGACAAAAGGTCACAGAATTAGTTCCCGGAGTTACATAAATAGCGTTTCCAAAAACCATCTTTTGTTGGACATTATTCTTCGGGCAATAAAACAGTTGACAATTACTTTGTAGTGTCTGTTCATCGGTGTGAACGCGCAGAAAATATATATAGTTTGACACCATTTTGGCCCAAATTATCTTATCAGTGGTTAAATCAATTGATAAATTTATATCATTCACTCTATGGTTTTCATTCAGATTCCAGATTATCACTAAACCGTCACTCGATATGACTACCAATTCATCAGAATTAGTGTCCACCAAATGTATTGATATTATGTTGCATTCGTGTCCCAAGTCGTGTGATGTCAGATAAGCTCCCGTTTCGACTACATATCGGCGCAATTGGTTTCCCGAAGCGACCAACAAATACTTCGAGTCATTAGTGAAAACCGGCTTCCGATCGACCAGATTGTGGCCACCGATCTTAACAAGCAAATCGCTACGAGTGTCATAACTACTGGTCTGACCATCGGCTGGTGTGGCCATCACTGACACAAACTATTATTAAATTTGTTATAAAGTTATCTTCAAATTCAATGATTTCCAGACATCATGTTATGTGAAGACTGTATTAACACGTGTTTTGTGTTGTGTTTAGTATTAAATACATTATTCATATATAAAGTCAAGTCATTAACAGTTAAAACCGTTTATAAGATAAACCAACTTTTGTTACTATTTAATATAGTAAACGCTATGTATTTTCTACACTAAAAAAGTAATGCAAATTTGTGGCAAAATTTATTGTTTAAAAACTTAATGTTTTGTTATTAATAAAACAGTTTTTTGATTAAATGAAACAAATAATTGTTTTTGACATCACTTACCACAAGACATCTTATAAAGACATTTGTGTTGAATATTATCACTAAATATGAACACAAGTGGTACTCATTTGGTGCTTATTATTGACTTCAGTGGCAACAGTCGACTACTGACTGATTCATCAATTTATTATCAATGGTTAGACTCAGTAATATCCTTCTGTAACAGTCATCTATTAATGTCTTCACTGAACAACTTGACTGTCATCGGAAGCAACTCTTTTGAGAACAAAGTATTATATCCGATGAATGAGATCAATGGACAAGTGGTCGATACAAGAAAGATGTCTAATGAAGGACAGTATGAAGTTTTTCATCGAGTCGTTCAAACCGTTAAATTCAATGTGAAGACAATGACTGAAACGGTCAGAGATTTATCACAAAGTGGTGCCCATAGTATCAGTTCATCACCACTGATGAGTGGCGCCATTGCTATGGCTTTGTGTCACATAAATCGTTTTAAAGATGACTACAAGTGCTCGAGGATTGTTATAATGAGCTCAACCAGTGATGAGAGCAACTCTTATGCCTCTCAATACATGAATTTCATGAACTGTTTCTTCGCCGCACAGAAGATGTCCGTAACGATTGACGCCTGTATTGCTGGCGATGACAGCTATAGTCAAACGACATCTTTACTACAACAGGGATGTGATCTGACAGATGGCACATACCTTAAAGTGCCAAACATTGCCTCATTCCTCGAGTATCTACTTTGGTGTCTACTGCCCGACGCCGAGACTCGCACTAAATTGGTATTACCTGTACGTCAAAAGGTTTCCCATTCAGCCGCTTGTTTTTGTCACCGAAATATTATAGACACGGGATTTGTATGTTCCGTATGTTTGTCTATATTTTGCACATTCAGTCCTATTTGCTCGACATGTCATACGATCTTCAAATTGGGACCAATTCCTCAACAGTTCAATAAATCCAAAAAGAAATTGAAAGTCAAATAATGATTATGTATTTTAGAAATTGTAATAAGAGATACAATTACCGTATTTTTTAAAATTTATTTAATGTATTATACTTTAATGAATTTGATTTTTTTTTTACAATCTAATGTTTACAATATTTAATTATAAAAATTTTTTTAGTATTCGAAATAATAAGTTAATTATAAATTAATAGAAAATGAATTATTAAAAAATATATAAATTTATATAAAAATTTTACAATTACTGTATATAAATTTACGTTTATGTAGTTTTAACATATAGGTCATTGATTTATTTCAAATTATATATAATAAAATTATTAAAAATGATTTCTATTATATAAATACTGTATAATGTTTGTATTTTTATTCAATTTTATTTGATTATTATTTGATTCAATTAATAATTACTAATTATAATTAGATTAACACAATTACTTTGAATTAAAGAAAAATTATTATTAAATAAAAAAGTTTTGCTTAAAAAATTCTCGTGAAATACAATAATGTTAAGCATTAGAGACTGTATTTCAATTGGTTTTGAATTGTTTGACAAACTGTTACATCGATTCGTGAATTCTATCGATTCGTCAGTTATTTGTCTCTAATTTTGTCACTTTTTTAAATCTTAATTTGAAGTCTTTTCCACTTTTAATTAAATTATAACTTAATTAATATTTTTTCGCTATAATATCAATAAATTTGAGACCAATTATCTCAAGACTTAGTCGTCAGCAATGTTTCGAATGACGCGTTTAGCCGTTAATTGTGGCTTTCGGTATGTTTTTTATCAAATAAAACATTGAATCAAATTTCAGTTATTTCTCATTTATCGATAATTTGGCGCAAATATCTGTAATTAATCAATAAATTGTTAAAATATATTAACCACACATTTTAATACAGAGTTTCAACAATTGTTGGCATTTCTGCTTTGATCGGTACGGGTGTACATCACAAGAAAAAGCACATAAATGAATGGTTAACTGGCCTTCAATTAAACACCAATTGGTCCGTTAGAACTGTTTATCTACAGCCACCCCAAGCCGCTGGAGGAGAAGCAGTGAGAACTGTTAAAAATGTGGTCTCCGAGTCATTTCCTTCTATGGTTTCTGTCCGTCAGTTTCTACCAATGGATGGAAATGCACCAAAAGTTACATTATCGACGAGTTCTGGATTCATAATTGAATATATGAATAAAAAATGTATTGTAACGACTGCACGGGCGGTCGGAAACGCTAAACAGGTTAGAGTCAAGTTTACTGAAATTGGAAACCATGCGGGACAGGGAACTACTGACGATGGCAAACCTGCTGGAGCGGGAAGTGCAGGCGAATCCACTTTTTGTAACGTAGATTATAGGGATCCGGTTAGCGATATTGCATTTATTGATGTGCCGGATGCATTAAAAAAGTATACAGGATTAAGATTTGCTGATCTTAATGATAAACTCCGTGCGGGAGATCCAGTGGTTATCGCTGGTCACGCATGGGATTATAAAACTGTCAATAGAGGTGTCGTCAGTTGGCCAAACCGTCTGGGCTCTGATATCACAAAAATTGGCAAAAAGTATGACTTTATTGATAACAAAACCGAATACATTCAGCACACGGCCTCCTTTGCCATCGATGACTACGGCGGACCCCTCATGAATATGAAATCATCGGTTATCGGAATGTATTTCTATTTGCAACTCATCGACAACATTGTCATGTACTTTGCTATTCCCCACAACAAGATTATAGGTTTGTATTAGTGAAACACATTTTGATTTTGATTAATTATTTTTTTTTGATTGTCTCAATTATAGAAGTAATGAGGGAAGCCTACAAATTGCCAATCACTGAATCTAAGGCAGAGGGAGGCGTTCCAATGGAAGAGCAGTCACCTTTTCAATTGCCAAAATCACGACCACCACCTCAATGGCCACCACAATCACCTATAGGTCCACACAAATAACTCACCGATCAATCAATCAATTAACTGATCAGTCGTTTCTCAAACTCTCTATTTATTTATTTTATTAATTTATAATTTGATTTATTTTACGTATTATTTGATTTAATACTTTTTTCAGTTAATTCATGAAATATCTATCTTTAAAACTTTTTATTTTATTGTCTAAATTTTATAATTGTTTTAACTTATATTAGCATAAGTTTTATTGTTATTTTTTGTAACAAATTATTTTATTACACTATTTGTTAACTCTTTGTAATATTTTAGAGATATTTTTTATTTTATTTAATATTCACACAAATTTATTATATCTATATTTTTAATTTATTTCTTAATTTTCAATAAAAAATAATTAACACAAATAAATTTAATAAATACCGAAACTATTTGATTACATTATTGAAATCAGATTTTATCATATATTTATCATGTCATATATATGTCATATAATGACACAATACTGAAGTTATTATTTATTAATATTGTGATTAATATGTAATAATTTCAGTTGTATTTATAATAATTATATTGTAAATTAGATTTTTTTGCATTATTTTTTATTATTAATTTTGTTTGACTTTATAAATATTAAATAAATTTAATAGAAAAAAAGTTTTTAATAATAGTAATATTAATTTTATTGTCAAAATACTCTGGTATTAAACCAAATCTTTTAACAAATCTGTTTCAATGGCATCCACTGTTGAATTAGTTATTTTTATTACCATTTTTTGATATGATATGTCTATTTGAGGACAAAAGTCACTAATTAATAATAATAATCATAAAAAATTATAACAAATGAGAAATATATACTATGTTATCAAATAACACTTTCAATATATTATCGTCGATGTTATTAATATATCTTAAAATATCAATCTTGCGTTGAAAGGATTGAGTATCGACTGTATAATCATAGAGTTGGTCTTCAATTTTTTTATAATAATTTTTATATTTAATTAATAGTAAATTAATAGTAAATATTACAAACTTGACATATTTTTAGAAATAGCGTGCTTAATAATTATTATTATTAATTAAAAAAATCAAATTAATTTATTACAATCAGAAATTAAATAATAAGATAACCGTTATAAATCATTAAAAAATCATTTTTAAAATAAGTAAATCATACAAACAATGGATCAGTTGGATCAAGCAATTCAGAAATGGAAAAGTCGTCATTCAGATGTAATCTTGATATTTGTCTAATTGGTTAATTGTGGTCACATTCATTACATTTTAGTATATATATCTTGTTTAGGGTGGAAATGGATCTCTCGAAGGTTTGGATCAATTGAAAGAACAGGAACGACTACTTGCTTTCACTCAACAAATGGCAGCTCTCAATGGTTTATAACGATTAGTAAATTTATGTCATATCTATTTATAAAATACTTATGCTTTCAGACGGAATTATATATGCGGCTCGAGGTCCGGGTGCGGCATATTTTAATCTCAATTCAGTGACCACTTTTGTCCGAGCGTTGGCTGAAAATTTGAAATCAAGTAAAGCTTTATTTGGATACAATACACCAGTTTCTGGATTTGATTTACCACAGTGTGCTATAGCCTGTGCTATCAATAGTGGAACTGAAGGTCGATTTCTTGATGAACCCGTATGTCTCTCATATCTGTCATATGTTGTGTCGACTTTCAAGTACTCATTTGGTGTCTATTTAGACTACATTGATCCTCAATACTAGTACAATACACAATATTATCGTAATTTTTAAAGTAAATCAATTATAAATAATTTTTTATCATTTTTTTCAGTCAAATTATTGTTATCAATAATGAGGGGTGTATAGCAAGTTATCAATTTATGCAAACAATCAATTATTTGAATAAAGGTTATGGTATGGATGTGCCAATACCGGTGCCCAATAACTTGATGGACGGTCATCGGATTCCATTAGATGAAATGGAAATATATACAAAAGCGTACTGCAAGGCACTGAAAAAAACCAAATTACCCGTCGGGGATGAAATCATATCAGCGTCGGCTCTCACATTCGTCCACTCGGCCCACAATGGGTCGACCGGTAAGATATTTAACGAATTGGTCACTGAATTTGGTTTCAAGAGATTCACATTCATCGACACTGATCTCATTGGTGATTCAAATCACATATTTCGGACACAGACTGCAACTTTATTGGTATTATATTATATAGTTTTTTTTGTTATTGTTAGATATTTAGATACATTTGTAGTAAAATTAATTAATTATAAAACAAATAACTTAACCAACCTTAAGCTAATACCAACTTAACCCCAATCGAGCTATTGTTAACCAAATGTTTATATCATATTAATTAAAATCATATTTTATAAATATTATTTAATAAAAGTCCCAAAGAGTTACTGAATTTATGACCGATCCAGCAATTGGACCAAACATTATATTAGTCCACAATTCAGACGGCACTCGAGTTTTGCTGTTAGAGAAGAAACCTGATGGACAATACATAGAGTTTAGTGACTTTGAGGTATCTGTCCTATTGGTTTGGTGGTCACTATTGATGTACAAAAATCAAAAGATGTATCGAAAACACAGTCCATCGAAATATCGTCGAAATCAATACAATTTTGATCAGCCGGCCCGAGTCACTGTCACTTACAACCAATTCATTGAACCAATTAAAGAGATGTGTTCAGTAGAAAACCAAATTTTAATGGTTTGTATTGTTTTTTAGTAAATATTAAATTTAAATATAAAAATTATTGTCAATTAAAGCAATCACACTCACCGGCTATGTTTGGAGAAGAACTGATCAATTTGATCCAAAGGAGAGTTCAATACAGACAAGCCGTCAGCAATATAAAGTCTGTTGAAAATTTACCAGAAAATCTACAAAATGTTGAGCTTCCGGTGCCGTTACTCATTGCATTGGCTGAGTATCGATTGATGTGTGACCCGGAAATCATTCACGTTTGGGATGCCGTCGGTGCGGCCCTACATCTCTCACAAATGGCTGTATATCTCTATGCATTCAATCGCATCACTCTATTGCAACATTTGGATGCAATTAGTGCCGCATTTCCATCGATCCATCGAAGACGGACAACACGTCGTTAGCAAAGTTTCAAACATTTATATCAAAGTCATGTCATCTCAGTATTTGTAGTTATTATTTGTTTTCAAAAATTTCAATAAAGTTATTATTTTTAACAGAAAACTATAATATAATACAATTATTACAATTGTTTTGCAAATTAAAAAATACTAATGATTTATAATATTCAAGAAATCAGATAACTTTTAAATAATACATAAAAAGTTTATTTTATATAATATTTAATATTCAATGTTTATTATAAATTAAATTATTGTAGTAAAATGCATAATAATTATTAACAAATAGAAATACATGTATTTAACTTAATTTCATAAATTAGTGATTATTTATATTACTGTAATAATAATAATGTAATATATTGTTCAATAATTGTATTAAACTGAACCGTAATGTTGAACCGAGTCGTTGACAATTAAAGATGCTTTTTGTCTCTCATTTGTGTCATCACAATCATCGACACTGATTGTTGATGAGTGGCTTCTGTATGTTATGGATGAGTCTAATGATTGGCCACAATAGCAGTCACTTTCATCTATTAGTTCAACGACAGTATTCTTGTGTGTCGATTGCCATTCTTTAAACTCCAATCGGAAGACATAGATAGCAATAATACAAGAGATGGCAAATAATAGTGAAAACATAATTATTAAAACCAGTTGTATGTATCGTATAATGGAAGTGATTTGACCTTCAGATATGACAAACTGAATGCATCCCATGTTAATCAAGTAGAAGAAGATTGACATCAATATTATTGTCGACAATATTTTGGATGACATATCTTCAGTCTCACGAATCCATTGGCTAAAAGTTTTGCCGTATTGAGTGATAGATATGTGTTTATATTGCTGTTGACAGACATCGCAGATCTCTTTAGTATCTGAATGTCTTTCAATGATCCATCGCTCAAGACATTCAAAGTGTGTATATTTTTGAGACCCGGAACAAACACACGGAGAGATTAGGTCTGACAGATAGGCTGTTCGCCAACAGATACGACATTTTCCAGTGTTAGTCGTCGACTCCATCGACTCTTCCAGCAAACTGGTTGTCTCTGTAGTCGAGACACTCATTGTATTTTTTTGACACCAATTGTTGTCAATTTATTTAAATAATATTTTAATTTTATTATTATTATTGTTATAATTTCAATATAACAAACAATTTTTATTTCTTAGTATTCATTTTTTTAATCACATTTTAGTTTCCATAGAAATTACAAAAAAATTTATTTAATTACTTACAATAGTTATCGCAATAATTGGTTTTTTAAATTATTTGTTTTCATTTTTATTAATAATAATATTATTATACTCAAATAATAAAAATAATGTAATATAATTTTTATAGTAATTGTAACTTAAATAATAAAATAATAATATCACAAATTAAATATAAACAATATAATAAAATCATGGATCATTAGATAGTATATAATATACTACAGTATATAAATTTAATTCATTTATATTTTTATGAAATTAAAAATAAATAATTTAATCAAATGATAATTTACTGATACTATAGTTATTTATATAATGACTAAATATGTTATATACGATTTACATAACGTACATAAATTGATAGTACAGTACAAACGATATTATATTTAATATAAATTCAATTTTGTTGATTAATTATTATACGATATATAGCATATAAAATTAATATATTATTAATTAGATTAATTAATTAATTACTAATTATTTGTATGTTGTTGTTGAAAAATATTTTTTTAAACTTTAATGAGTGAACACATAAATTAGTCATTTATTTTATTTTAACAAAACAAGTTAGTGACTAATATATAATATATACATATAATAATATATATATATAAATAAGTTAATTTGACAAAACTAAATGTTTTTAAATGATAACAATTTCAAGGCTGAAAACCAATAGTTGATTAACTATTGGACAACATATATATATAACATTTCATAATTTATAATAAACATAAATTTCATATTACCGGTACGTTATAACAGTAATGCAAATAAATGCATATCTAAAAGTAAGATTTATTTAAAAACATTTTACCAATTATTTTAGGATTTATAAGTTATGACATTTTATTGGTATTAATTTTTTGGTCAATCTTTTGGCAATTTTACGCTGAGATCAGCCATAATATATGAACTAACTGTCCATACAATTGTGCTTAGATCAAGAAAATAAGGGTCAATTGCAGTGATAGTATCGGCACTGGTATGTGAGTAGTGCCAGTACTTGCTGTTGTCATTGAGTAGTCCCGAAGCCGGAACACCGGCACTAATGAACTCATTGGCGTCACTCTGTGTCAAGTCATAGCTCTTTCCTATTACTAGTTCTGTAGCATTAATTGTTTGCAACAATTGAAGGATTTCGTTGACAATACACTGAGCTCTAGTGTTATGACCGGAAAATGTCAGTCCATAAGGTTTGAATGCACCGAAGTCTGTGTTCATCACTAAACTTACATTTTCCAGCACTTCCTTATGTCTCTGAAAATATTATTTTATGTTATTATTTGAATTATTAAATTCTAATATAAAACTAATTTCAAACCTCTATATAGGCTTTAGATCCAAACTTTCCTAATTCTGTTCCCACAAATAAAACCATACGCAATGTCCTCTTAGGCTTTAAATTTAATTTATTGAGAAGTGCCAGTGTTCTCCAACACATGAATACCCCGGCACCGTCATCAATGGCTCCTTGTCCGACATCCCAACTATCTAAGTGAGCGCTAACAATGACGGCTTCGTTAGGATATTGAGTGCCCACGAGTTCCGCAATTAAATTTCTCGATTGTTTGATGCCATGAAAATTAGACTCCAGATGAAGACTGATCACCACTTTGACATCTCTATTGCTAATTCTGGTTAATAATTCTGCGTCTTCGGTGGTAATACTGGCGGCTGGTATTTGATGCTCCTTTGAATGGTAGCGAATGACACCGGCATATGGAGAGTATATGGCATTCTTGGCGTATGACTTGAACAATACGGCTAACCCTCCGGCTTCAGCCACCGTACGAGTGATATCTAACTTAAATTTAACATAAGAGCCATTGACATGATTTATGTTGATTAATGATATTTTGTTTGTCAATAATGTTTTTGAAATGTCATTCAACTGATCCACAGAATTGATAACAACCACTTGACCAGTGATCCCTTTTTCAGGTGTACTGACACTGCCAGCCAAACCCAAAATAGATAGCTTTTGATATCTGGGTTGAATCATACGACACCATTCAAGACCACGACTCCAATTTGGCACCAATACATCTTCAGTATAAACATTGTCCAACTTTTCATTTTCCAGTTTATCAATCAAATAGTTCGTCGAGTTTTCCAATGCTTCAGAACCAGTCAGTCGACCACCAAATGTATCAACAAATTCAGCCAATTCTTCATATGTTTTATTTCTTTCATTTGTATTCAGCAGTAAATCTATAATACTGTTAACAATCGGTGACTTTAACTGGATTTCAGGTTTTAAAACATTTACAAATTCAAAATCCTCATTACATTTATCACTATTAAATAGATGTATGCGTTGCCCAAAGCATTGCAATGTTATGGCAGCTGTTATCAGAAAAATTGTTATCAAAAAATTATACCACAGTTTTGTCATATTATTTATATAAATTAACAATATATTTATTAAAAATTATTTAAAGTTTTGGCAATTTATAAATAAACATTAAAACATTGTCAAAAATAAAATACACAACTTTTACTAAAAATCCTATACATTATATGGACTGTAAATGTATTAACTATTATAGTTATTCAGTATAATTATATCTTTTATAAACCAATGACTGTAAAGGTAAAAGTTAATTATTAGTTTTAATTACATTGTGCTCTCAATTTGTTAGCGGAACTGATATTTTAGACAATTATCTGATTTCAATAATAAGACCCCAATGTTATGCATACCCCAAATATGTGCCATTTTTTGATAGGTACACATTGTCAATGTTATTTTATCATTGATATACTGGTATAATTTATAATAACAAACATTAATTATTTGACTTATTATTTATATATGAATTTAAATTTGCATTTAATTTATGCATTTAATTTGTAATGTAATTTATAATTTTATTTACTCGTCACATAAAATAATTTTTTGATTAATTTTTAATTTAGAAATTTATGTATACATTAAAATAACATAAAAAATATTTGATATGACATAAAAAATATTATACTTAAAAACTTGTAAATATACATAAAATTTATATACATATAAACTGTTTAAATACATATAAATTGATACTAAATTAATTGTAAACTAAATCTAGTTTTAAAAATAAATTTATCTAAATAATGTATTTGTATGATATTTTAATGTACCGGTAATATATTTTTGACAAGTAATGGTCACTTAAATAAATTACCTTTTTTATATGAGAGGTCAAATCATATTATAGTAGATTTATTTGTGTTAAAATACAGGTCATAATAATTTGTTTGACATTAATTATAAATTAATTACAAATCTCTTAAATGCCATATATTATAGTAAAGTTAAATTTTGTATTATACACATTTTGTATTGTTAAACTAATATTCAATGAGGCTAATTGTTTAAAATTTTATAATCCATGTCAAATTTTATTAAAACATCAAAAATATTTATTTATTTATATAATAATTTATATTTATTATGAGATTATATCAACATTATCAGTAAAAACTATTTAATGAAGATTAATTTATTTTATGTTAAAAAATATTAATTTTATGATATGTTATAAATTTAATATTCAAATTAATTTTATAGTTTTAATGTTATGATAGGAAATTTAAAATGTAAATATATATGATAAATAAATGAATATAAATATATTTTAACATAAACATAATATTAAATATATACTTATTGAATAAAATAGGATATTAGATTCAAAGATAATAATAAAATATTTAAAAATATTTATAAATTATTTTAAAATCCTTTTCAGAAATTTGTGAAGTATTGGGATCATCGTTGGGTTGAAGTCCAGAACCGGCGTTGTTGTTGTTGTTGTTGTTATTATTATTATTGTTTGTTAGATCGGAATTATCTGATGATTGACTCTTGAGATTGTCACCAGAATTCTTGACATTTGTCTTCAAGTTGTTTGCCATTTCCATTCCTCTTCGCAATAATTTTCTCATTCCTTCAAAAATACTACTAAAAGGATTTGATTGACATTCACTTTTAGCAATCACTGATATGATAACCAAAATTATAATTGAAATATTTGTTGTTTTCATTTTGAAATATATATACTGTATATATATACGTGTTTTATAGTTTAACACAATTCACTTATTTGTAAAAAGAGAATAAAGTCTAAAATATTTTGCAAATCAATTTTATATTGAATTTTTAAACACACAAAAAATGATATATTATAAACATTGTTAGTATAAATTATACTGTATAAGAAAATGTTAGAATTTGAATGGCATTGACATTGAATTTGATTATTTTTTTGATAGATTTATTATAAGCAGCTGTCCAAATGTAATACTTTTGGTAAATAAAAATATTATTTAAAATGTTATTTAAAATGTTATTTATATAAATGTTTATACGTAACAGATAGACAATTGAAATGAAATATAAAGAAACGTTTTTAGGGTTATTGTTTACTTTATAAAATGTATTGAATTTAAAAAAATGATATTTTATTGATATATTATAAACAATTAGTAAAATTTGAAAACAAACATTAAAATACCGGTATTTATTTATATAATAAATTCTATAATGAATTTTTAAATAAATCACTAAAAATATCTCAATGTAGTTATAATATATACTAATAATTCTATGATACATAAAACATTTTCTTAACTAATTATAATTTATTATTTAGACATGTATTGAGTTGTAGTGACATTGCTTTATGTGTTAATTTGCAAATTAATTTGACATCTGATCACAAAATATAATAAAAAATACTATCAAAAATAAGTTCTAAAAATTATTCAATAATACAGTATTATATTAGATAATAATATTTTATGTTAAATCTATTTTTCACAATCTTTTAAATCCAAAAATATAGCAAATATTTAGTTTAAATTTATTGCTAAAATAAACAATTTATAACTTTTGAATACAACTTATTGAATAAAAGCAAAATAAATATTTATATTAAAATGAAAATCATATGCCTTTTAAGCAAAGAAAGAAAATCAATAAAAGAAATGCAAATTCTATATATAATAATACATTCATTTCAATCAATTCAATACAAATGTAATATCACTTCACAATAGACAGAATCAGAAGGTTTAGTATAAATTCTTGTCTATTGTCGGCATAAATGCCATGAAGTGTAAGAACAGCTCATAAAATGCATTAATGACTGTATAAGTGCTAATTGTTTGATAGTTTTTCACACTTCATATAACAAAACAATTTTCAATGTAATCATGATTTCTCTCAATATAAATGATTTTATTTTCTACAGTACTTTATTGTTAAACAATATTTTGTCTCTAAATTATCCAGGGTTAAACAAGGTTTTCAATTTTAAAGGGGGTAATGGGTGTGTAGTACACAGTCTGTACAATAAAAAAAATATTGAAAGGAACAAAAACTTTTATGCAATTTTAAAACAACAATTTTTCAAAATATTTCAAAATTTATGGAAGATACAATTGAAATTTCCCTATAAATTTTCAAAAAATTCACAGGAAAATCTTCAATAATTAAATTACAACTTTAGTCAGATGTTTTTAAAAAATTTAAATGATGTTATATTTAGTTTAATATTAACTTTATTTAATATTATTTATATATTCAATTTAATAATTTAATCCAAATGAACTATAAAATTATAAACAAATTTAATCAGCAATTTTCTTGTAAAATTTTAATTTTGTAAAAATATGCAAAAATGAGGATGTCAATGTTTACACACTTTTAGTTTATTTTATTTTCAATTTTGATTTAAAAAAAAAAATCTGTGGGATTTTATTAAAAATTTTGATACAATTACTCTGCTCTCTCTCTCTCTCTCTCTCTCTCTCTCTCTCTCTCTCTCTCTCTCTCTCTCTATCCATTGCTTAACCCCAAAATTAACATATTATAATAATTATATTAATGAAGCATTTTATATGCGATGCAATTGCATATAATATTCAATAAATATGTATCAAAACTTATTTATACTATTCATTCTTAATATTTTTTTACATAAAAGTTTATTATTAACTTTATAAATAATATTTTTGTATTTTAATTTATGATAACATAAAACAATAAAATACAATAAATTGATTTATAGTTTTTAATTAAATTAAGTTATTAATATCTATTTTTGTTAATTTAGACACAAAAGTTTAAATAATGTTATTTCATTATGATATCTATAATATATAGTCATTAATAGATTAGGATCTGTTTCGTTGGCTGATGTGATGGTGTGCTGTTAACCACACAAACCATATCGATATGACAAACCAATTCACTAGTATTGTCATATTAAGTGTTTTCAATTTAAAGTAAGTTTTTTACTTAAATTATTTAATATAACTCTAATTTCATTATATTATAGTTAGGATATTGGATTATTAAATAAATTCAATTAACTACAGTTATCTATGAATATGCATTTATACCTTAGAGTTATAATTTATAATTATTTGCAATAACATTTTGAGAAACAATAATGGCATTGAAATGTATATTATTAATGTCAATAACATTATCAAAAACAATGTAATTAACAACAAATTTATGTAAATTATTTATTAATCGATAAATTTTTTAATTTAAAAAATAATTAGTTAGGGTAAACAAATTATAATTACATACTGTAAATAAAAAACAAGTTATAAATAAAAATAATTTTATTATCAATAATTAAGAGCAAAATCACATAGAAAATTATAGGATATATTATATATACTGTATATGTATTCCCAATTATACCCTTAAACAATATATTCCTATTACAACAATAATTATATTGTTTTTTATTATAAATAATTTGACAAAAAAAAATCTTGAGTTAAATTGGTTATAACTTTAATGTTAATCAATAAATAAGCCATAGATTGTGGGATTTTAGATGTTGGATCAATAGTGTATTTAATAAATTTACTATTTATAATAAAACTCATTTACATTATGTACAAAATTAATGCATAATCCTTTATAATAAAAATAATGCGATTAATAAAATAAAGTAACACAATATTGACTTTTTTTGTTCAAATATTACAATACAATATGTTTTAATATAATACATGTATTATAATATAGTGAGTGTATAGTGTTTAGAAACTTATAAAATAATAAGTGTGTGGCAATCAATTGACTGTTTCAATTGAATGGCAATACAAACAAAACATTTATCGTTTTTTTGTAATATAAATAAATTTCACTTTAAAAACAATAAATAATTTATGCAAACCAATAAATTTTGAATCAATAGTTTTGATATAAATTCATTATAAATTAAAATTTAATTCCGCGTACAATCTTTTAGATAAATTTCACAATCATTATAGTTTAGTTTAATTTATAAATTTCATTGACTTTTAATAAAATGTAAAGATATTTAATAAGCATAAATAAGTGTTTTAAATTTAATAAAAGTTGCATTGGATTTAAAGGCATTTTTAAATATAACAATAGGATCGATACTGGGATCATATTTGTCTCAAATTTTCAAATAAATTATATTTATGTAAAAATTTACAATAAAATATTGCAGTGTTTTTAAAAATATAGGCATAATTTAACTAATTTAATATAATTACCCCATTTTTATTCTGTATGAAATCTATGTACCTCTTCTTAACTTATTTTACTGATCCTCTCATAACAAATAGTTTGGTTGTAATGTATTATTAGATTATACTGTACTTAAATATAAAAGTAAACAGGGCAAATTTGCTAAAAATAACTGTTTAATGTTTATCAAATCAACTTGTTTTCAATTTATACGCTTTTAGCTGTCAATTATATGGTTTGTATTATTTTATTTGATTCCCATTGAGTTTATTATGAGTGCTATTATAGTATTGGTTTGGTTTGGCGTAGGAGTTGTTTATGATTTATAATAATTTTGAGTGAAATGTTTATAAATATTAGTCTAAAAAGTTTATCTTATTTTAAATTATCCTATAATTTATAAATATACTTATAACTTATATATCTATGTCAATACAGTATAACAATAACAACTATTTAAGCTAAACATATATTAATAATTTATAAAAATTCAATACAAAACTTTATATAACTTTTTTAATATGCAATTTGATTAAAACATTTAAATATATATTAGAATAAAAGTCTCAAAAAAATAAACTAATTAATAGCTAATTTTTAATTGTATTTAAGTAATTATTAGGCAGTTTACAGGAATTGTCAAATACGATGATAATATACTATAGCTTTTAAATTAGTGAATGTTTATTAAGCTTATTGACGAAAAAGTGGTAAATCTGTCAGTGAATTAATGATTAAAATTGATAAGAAAAATAAAATTAGACAATGAAAGTGATGATGACTAATGGATTTGTGGTAACAAATTGCTGATCAATATATTTATACATATAAATAGTAATGGCCTCTAAAAAAGTCCGCAATCTTTCAAATTATTTTTGATGATAACATCAGTGACGGCGTCGAAGACAAACTGTATGTTATTAGTATCGGTGGCACACGTGAAGTGAGTGTATATTTCTTTGGTGTCTTTCCTTTTGTTAAGGTTTTCAAACTTCATCTGAATATAAGCTGCGGCCTCTTCATAGGTGTTGTTTCCCAAGTATTCGGGAAAACATATGGTTAGTGGCGATCGGCGGATCTTCTCTTCAAACAAGTCTTTTTTATTGAGAAATAATATAATAGATGTGTCGATAAACCACTTGTTATTGCAGATCGAGTCAAACAATTTCATACTTTCAATCATACGGTTCACTTCCTCGTCTTCGGCTAAGACCAGGTCATATCCAGAGAGAGCCACACAAAATATAATGGCAGTCACGCCTTCAAAACAGTGGATCCATTTCTTTCGTTCGCTTCGTTGTCCGCCGACGTCAAACATTTTGAAATGTAAACCTTTGAATGAAAAGTGTGTTTCAACAATACCAGTGGTCTTGACTCGTGTCCGCAGTACGTCCTGCTGAGTGGGCACGTAGTTGGGCTCCGCAATCCTGTCCAATGAGTTAAGATAATACTGCGCCGAGTCGTTCAATTGATATTCACGCGATCGGGTAAAACACTGTTGGACTCCCGGGTCGTACCACAAGCGCTTCATCACCTGACAGAGTTCTGGTGTGAGTTCGCCCTCAATGGACGCACCAACCATTGTGAAGAACTTTCGGGCCGACTCGTGACACGACGGATCCTTGAAGTCAATCTTTAACTGACTCATGGCTTTGATAATAGCCATCAAACTTTGAATGGTGTTTGAGTGAACCACTGGTTTATATTGAAGACATTCATCTTTTGTATAACCAGATTCATGGATAATCCTCATTTGTTTGACAATAGTACTCTTTCCCGACTCTCCCGCACCCAATAGTAACAGTTTGACCTCACGGGAGGCCTTTTCCTGGTCGGCCCTTAAGATGCTATCAATCTTTTTACTTCTCTCGATGGCCTCCTTATCACTGGTACTGACAGCGCAACCCATTGTCGGACACCTCTTGTTATTTACTTTAGGTTTGAATCGATGTTTTAGTCACTAATATAATGTAAATGTCATACAATTGTTACTGTTATGAGTAAAACAATAATTGTCATCAAAATTGTCGATAAATGAGGAAATTAGTCATAAATTTATTTGCAATGTTTCACAAAACAAAATTTAATATAAAAAATCGTTAGTAATATAAATGCATTAATAATGCATTTACAGTAATATTAACACAAAATGCAAACAACTTTTTGATGTCTTAAGTGATAATCAATTGAAAGTTGAGTTAAATTCAAATTTAAATTATTTTTTCATAAATCAGTTAATTGTAAGACATTTGGCGCCAAAAGGTATAACCGTTTCATACAAAGCATTGACAGCATTGATAGCATTGATAGCACACACAAACACATACACAATGCCAGAGCACTGTTAGCTTACAATAAGTACTGGTAATTGTGTTCACTGTTTGTTTGATTTGTTGTTATCGTAACAATTGATGGACTGATAAAACATTGCATTCAATGTAATGTTAAATATTATGAAACAATGATATTAGTAGACCATCGATGAAATTAATGGATCAGTTGTCTTTAGCCCTGTGCTAACCGGGATTTACCGATTAATATGGAGGGTTAGGGCTGTATTCAAGTGATGTTAGCTTATGGTGTGCTTTAGGTATTGAACTGCAAATACAGTCAGTCAGTGGTTGCCTTTGGATAACAAGTTTGAAGCACTCATTCAAACAGTGATAGAGAGGCTGTGTTTGTGTCTCAGAGACAGACATACAGCCAAAGCACAGGCAGACCACTGAAACCACTCCCCTATTGACTCCCTGTTGCTCTTAGAGACTGACTGTTGCTTCGGTGTCTTTGAATCCCTGTGCTCTCTAAACATTAATACTTATATTGTATGATCTGTTGATCTCAATAATATACTGTAGTTTTTATAATTTATATTATATATAGTTATATAATATAAGATAACTTATATTTCAATATATCCATTGATTATAATCCTATTTGTCATATACTGTATACTGTCTATTAATACCTGTTTTTCTAATTTTGCTAATTTATTAATTGATCTTAAAGTCATATATCAATGTAATGTTTACGCAAGTATTATCTTAAGCTAAAACTTTAAAGTATGTTATGGTTATTGTAATAATAAAGTCAAAGCTTTTATACAGTATTAATATATTGTAGAAAATAATAAGTTATCATTCATTCATAATCATTGTAGTAAACTCAACAAATTGATACAATATTTTCAGTATCATTCATAATATCGATAAAACTATTGAAATAAATTATATCATATAATAATAATAATAATATTAAAAGTGATATTAATATGCCTTTCCCTTCATCTGAATATCTGAATACCTGTTCCGCTTTGTACTCTACATGTACTGTACAGTCTGTACTACTGTATTATAGTTACAGTATTTAGTACATACTGTAATATCCTATCGATTTTTATATACGGTAGTTAAAGTGAAACCTTAAAAGTTTAATAATAATTGTAACAATTATTTATTCCTATTTAAATCCATTATTTTAATGCAATTTATACAGATTGAATGCCCTGTATTTTTTCAAGGAGGGGTAGTTCGAGCACTAGTAGTTAAATGTAATTAACTTTTTTTTTTAAAAAAAAACATCGATCATTAGCTTTGGTAAAAATCAGAATTATAGACACTATTAGTTTTAAAAGTATCGTATTTGCTATGATATGCCGGTGCTGTTAAGGATCCGACATTCCTTGCATTACACATCATATCCTTTATTAATATTAAAACCTCTCTAAACAGTATCATATCTATTCATTCAGGTTTCAGCAATTTCAATGTGTATTAAACTTCAAAACTATATAAATTTACAGTATATGTTACTAACATAATAAACCAGAATAACTACTAGTTTTAGACATAACATCCTATATTATACCGTATACTGTATTACCTGTTTTTGTGAAAAATTCTAGACATTTTTATTACTATTTTATAAAAATTAAATAAAATATATCTTTATTTTAATAGTCACAGACTTGAACTGAAATCGTATAAAAATAATTTTATTTTTAGATTCCTTTTTTTGTACAACAAAAAAATCAATAACATATAAAAATAGTGACAAATATATCTAAAAGTATAGTAACTCATGTGTTAAACCGATATTCTGTATACTAATAATAGCGATTCATTAAACCCAATATGGATTTGTATTAAAGAATATTCCTATAATCTTATTGAATAATTTACATTAATAATATAATTATTTATTGATGTTATTTATTATTATTTTTTATAATAATAACCATCATAAATAATAATAGAAAGGGAATATACAGTATTAACTGTAGCACATGCCTACCACCACAACCACCAACACTATTATATATTAGTCATTCTACAGGTTATTATTAGCCAACTATTATCATTTTACTTGACTAATCAATAATTTTGGTATTGCACTAAATTTATTATTTTAGTACATTAGTACTACTACTAAAGATAAAAATAAAGTAATTTAATTTAAGTTAATATAATACTCAATATTTTATATATTTATTATATTGACACTGTTATGAAAACAATACAAAATATAAAGTATTTATTTTTCTATTATTCCAATATTTTTTGTTAGTTATTGTTTAAATAAAATTTGTAAACAAAAATTGATGACATGAAAAAATTTGTAAAAAAATATTTGTCTATTTATTTACAATAAATTTCAAAATTACACTTAAATTGTATATTTTTTAACAAACAATATTTCAAATTACATATTTTAATCTAAATGATAAAATAACATATCGGTAATATATATGAAAATACATATAAATAAAAAATTAACAATTGTTTTTAATTAATAATTTAAAGTTAAAACATTATAAATTGTGCATAAAATGCTAAAATATTTTACAATTTATTATTATTATTATTATAATCAGTTCATTTGAGATAACACTTTCATATCACTAATGGTTACGAACACTGAGTGTATGTCGTCACTGAATTACCCGTCCTTTTAGTTACGGTATGACATCTCTGTCCGTGACCTCCACTCGACTGAAATGAATTCATACGAATGTCACCGAAATGATGGTCACCACCAAAAAATGAATCGCCGTTTCCAAATGTTTCGGCACTTTGATGACCAAAGAAGTTACCGAATGAGCCGAACTCATCGCTATCAAAGTCATCAAAGAGGTCATCAAAATTGAAGCCAAAGTGTGAATGAGAATGTGATTGTTGGTGATGAGCAAAATGGTCGTTAAAATGTTGGTCATTGTGATGACCGTATGAATGAGAGTGGAAGTGCTGATCAAAATCCTTGAAAAAATCGTTGAAATTAAACTGTTGTCCACTGTTACCGAATTGTGATCCGTCCTCATCACCAAACTTGTCATATCGTCGGCGTTTGTCGGCATCGGACAGCACTTCATAAGCTTTTGCGATTTCGCGGAACTTGTCTTCGGCGTCTTTGGCCTTATTCTTGTCCGGATGATATTTCACGGCCAACTTGCGGAACGCCTTCTTGATGTCCCTTTCAGACGCATCTCGAGAGACGCCTAACAATTGGTAATAGTCTTTGGCCGACAACACACCATCCAAATGATCACAGATGATGGCTATCACCATAAATACGGATATATTCGTTACATTCATATTCATCTTCATTTGTGACAGTTATTGCTTCTTATGAATCAATCAATCAATCAATCAATTGATTTGACAATTGTTTGGTTGATGTCTTCAAATGTCTTCAAACGGTTAAACAGTTTTGTAATAAACAATAAATGAATTAAATTTAATCAAACAATTAGTCATTCATTTATCATATGTTTAACTAAAATAACAGTTAATAAAGTAATGCAATCGTATATAAAACACATTACGACACGACTCGCAATCCTATTGGCTCTTAAAATATAACGTTAAATATATTATAAATATATAACAATAACAGTTCATCAATAATGACAACAAATTCTATTCATTATTATAACCCTTTAAATTAAAAATCTATTGAAAAAATCATATTTCAATGTTTACTCCTGTAATAAATAGATTGACGTAATTTGTTTACTATATATTTAAGACAACTGTAATTCAATATTTAGTGTAAAGTTGTGAATGAATTAAAGTTTTGTCAGTATTTACACTGAATTTTGGTTTAAAATGTGTTATATTTTTAGGGATTTCAATGACAACCAAAACATATGACGAAAATAAAGAGTAAAAGCAAGTGATTGACAAAAATACAACATTTGTTGTGATTTTCAGTTATATTTACAGACAAAACAATTAAACTGTTTTGTTATGTCTTATCATTTGATGACAACAACAGACACTGTTATTAACAGTTGAAACTATGGCTGAAGATATGATTCTTCCACTTCTTGGCTATAATGGTGACGACGAAGAGGACGATACAACCGATAGCGAAGGTATGACACAAATGATTTCTCTCTGATCTCATCTGAAGACTTGTTTAACTTAATTTTTGGTTGTTTTTAGATGGCATTGACAATGATATGGATTTGGACAACGAAAACGATGGCAATAAATCTAACCGACAGAGAGTAGTATACGACACAACACTTCCGTCTCAACACAATTATTTAGGCCAAGACTTGAACGAACTGTCCGGTCGGGTAATGTTGGATGAGATCGTGAATATACCCCTTCTGTCACTTCAAAATGTAGTGTTAGTACCGTCACAGACATTGCCACTACAGTTACATCACCCGACAATTGTATCGATGATCAGAAAAGTGATTGAAGGTCAGCGCACAGTTGGTATTGTGGCGTCTTATGAACCGACTCTGGGAACCACTGCTGAAATCAGAAGCTATGCTGACGAAGATGATGGCGAAGGATTGCCTACTTTTAAACTCAAAGCTGAAGGAAGACAACGATTTAGAGTTATAAATACATGGCGTCAGGACGGAGTCATTATGGGAAAGGCATGTCTTAAACAAACTTCTATATTCACAATATATATATATAAATATATATAATTGATTTAAAATATCAAATATCAGGTAAAAATATTACCAGAATATGAGTTAACAAACCCATTGCGTATCAAAAACCAGTCACCAAATGGACCGACACTTGCTATGTGTTCCCGATGGCCAAAATGGGTATATGAACTCTATGACGCAAACCTATTGATGGATAAAATCAAAGTATATTTAAAGAACTGGTCATTTAATGGCGGACAAAGTCAAGCACCACTCAAACCATGTGAGTTCTCCTATTGGATTGCAGCTAATCTACCACTCGATGATCAACAAAGATGTCAACTCTTGAATATCGATAGTTCAATACAAAGGCTGAGATTTGAATTAAGTCTACTACAGAAGTATTCATATTTGTGTTGCTCTGAATGCAAGACAAAAATCTGTGAAAAAGATGATGTGATTGTTATGTCAAGTAATGGTCCGCAGGGAACGTATGTCAACTCACACGGGGCTGTGCATGAAATGATGACTGTTTCAAAAGCTTCAAATTTATCATTATATGGCCGACCCTCTACCGAAAGCTCATGGTTTCCCGGGTATGATATCATATTATAAATTATTTTGACTATTTTATAATAATTATATCTGCGAAATAGTTATGCATGGACAATATGTCGGTGCTCTAGATGTCATAGTCATATGGGATGGAGGTTTACTTGTGTAGACAAAAATTCAAGACCCGATACTTTTTGGGGTCTGTGTCGGGCATCGTTAGAACCCGGACTCAAAATAGATGACGAACTCCCGTGGAAACCCGTACTTTAATTGTCTTTTAGTGGATAATTAATTCTCAATAAATTATTGGTACTTTTAATATATCGGTACTGTTATCTCACTAATGAATAATTTAACGTAAAACATTAAATGTGTATTTATATGTATAATAATGTTTTTAAAATGTATAATATTATAACAAAGATGTTTAAAAATATTCGTAAAGTACTCGTTTTATTTTTAAATAAACATTAAAATAGTATATCATATGACAACTTACCCAAAGGTTAAGTATAATGTTTTAAATTATATATTTTCTTATTTATATTACGGTAATGTATAAAAACCCCATATAAGGAGTACTAAAAAATATAAAAATTAAGATAAAATTGGTATTTATTTTATTAAAAAAGTATTTCTTAATGTTGTAACATAGAAATTATCTGCAAATGCAAAGTGAATGTACTGTATAATGTGTATGTATTGTCATATCGTAATTAAATCTAATTTAAAATAAACACATTTAAACTACAGTATTGTAGTTAATTAATGTTTGTAATGATTTAATACACATCTATTATTTTTAAACTAGTAATATCGTTATTAAACACTTAAAAATATGAACCAGCTGTTTTAAAAATATGGCTAAAATGATATGAATTGAAATTATACAGTAATAAAAAAATAAAACAACCATTTAAATACTGGTAGTATTGTTATGTTAGAAATTTAAAACTTACGGTAACTAAATTATATATACAGTATATAAAGTTTTACAGTTTTATTTTGGTATTTAGTTCTCTTTAATACTAATTTTTATTATATATATATATAAATTTATATAATGTTTGGTATAAATAAATATGATAATATAATATACATTACAGTTATAGGGAAACATGATAATACAGTAATAATTCATACGGTAATTATAATAAAATATATCATTATATAATCTTAAATATAAAATCAAAAGTTAATTTATGATTATTATTATAGTAAATGCAATCAAGTGAAGAGTCCGTCTTCGTCTAGACATTGCTCGATGTGTTGCCGTAAGACCTGAAACCTTTCAAAATGGTGCCAACATTTAGGACAGGTATAGAATTTCGATGCCTATCATAATAACAACAATCAATTTTTTGTCATTTAATTAATTTATTGTAAATAATTTTACTGTTAGTATTTAATCAATAGTAAGTATTTGATAATTAGTAATTAGTTACCAAAAATAGGAAACAATGTGAGTCCCGTCACCACAAATACTAAATTCCTAATAATACTGGTAAACAATAGTCGTAAAAGCTATCGACTATTGCTTTTAATAGTAAATAAATTGGTTTCAAAACTCACAGACCTTCCCGAATGTCTATGTCTTCGGTGATGTTTTCCTACCGTTAACTCCTCAGTTGTTGCTCTTATGTCCAAAGTTGGTGATCCCTTATCCAATCTCTCCTCCAATTCACTGATAGTTAGCTTAAGTTTGTCGACTTCAATCTCCAGTTCGACAACTTCTTTAACAGCCGCCATTTTGGCCATTTCTTCCAGTTTAAAGTCACGCTCGAAGAGTTGTAATTGTGATTCCATTGCTGGCAATACTTCAAGTTTAGTGATCGACTCTTTCAATTGTGTTTTCAAAGCATTAATTTCTTCAGTCATGGAATCAATCTTCATCTGTGACTCAACAACTTGTGCGCTCATCTCTTGTGATTTAATTTCAGAGTTTATATCCAACTTCTCATATTTGGCCAATTGTTCGCATCTGGATTTAAGTGAATCCACTTGTGTTGTCAACTCTTCAATTAGTATTGATTTATCCAAACCTTCCGTCACTTTACATATTAGTTGTTTGTTCTCTTCTTTCAATTGATTGTTTTCATCAATCATTTGCTTCAGCGTCTCATTCAATCGTTTGTGATCTTCAATAATCTCATTATTTTTATGTTGTCTTTCTTGTATATTCTTGATCTGTTCTTTCATAAAATGGTTATTCTTATCAATTTCTACCTTTAGTTTGTCATTTTCGTCTCTCAATTCTTTGAAAGTAATCTCCAAACTATTGGTCAAAACAGTGTCCAAAGAAATGTTACAGTTCTTGATATTGTCTTCAATACGACTCAAGTTGTCTGCCATTGATTTTAAGGACGCATTTCTCTCTTCAACAAAGTTGTCGTTTTCAATATTTTGATTGTCATTCAAGTCTTCAATTTGACTATAGTCTGGCAGACTGTTCACAATAGAGACCATACGTCTTGTGTCCAAATTGTTGATCAGATGGCTCTCACCTGTTGTCGACCGACTTATTTGTAAAGCGTTTGACACATCATTCAAATGCAAACTATGGCCTAACTGTGGATCAGTTGTTTGATCATCAGGTATGGCCACAATCGACTCACATGTGTTAACCATTTCAAATGAATCCATATTATCATCACTACTGTTGGTATTCATTGTCGCCATTCATACAAATCTTATTTTGATTTTGCGATTATCACAAAAAATATTTATAAATAACAACAAAGTTTAAGTGTCTTTGTCTACAAATCAAGTGATAAACTAATTAAATAAATGTATTACAAATCAATTCAATAAATATATACAAAAACTTTAACAATATTTATGAATCACTAATGACTTGAATCTGAAGACATGTCATACAAACTGAAGGCAAACATCCAATGATTCATACATTTTATACAATCATAACATTTATTAATAACTTTTGATTTAAACCCAAATATTAGAATCTTTACAATAAAAACGTTTCAATGGTTTGTCAACTGATTGTATTCATTACAATGTATTTCAATGATTACGACTTCAAAAATAGTGTTCAATTGAGACGTTATTGACTAATGGTTTGATGTATTGCAATGAATGATGCAATTATTGTAATGACATTAAAGCAGTTTGTTTTGCCTTAAGATATGAGAAATTAATACAAGAAAAAAATGATAACATTTCCTTATTATTGTAAAATTTATTTAAAATTAAAAAAAAATAATTTTAACAAATTATTTACATTTTATATAAATATATTAGGTATTCATAAATGAGATTTATATTGATTTAATTGGACAATATTTTTGCATCATTAAAAATTTATTATAAATAAAGTTTTAATATAAACATTATTTATCAGCAAATGAAAAGATAAATTATTAGTGATTGCAAAATATCGTATAAATATATTAATATTAATATACGTGTATTATATTAATTTGTTGTTTAGTTTCTAAAGTGATATATTAACTAAATTGCAAAAAATTGATATATAATGAGTTAAACTATTATTTCGTATAAAAATGAAAATAATTTGGAAACCCTAGTTTTGATAGCATTTAAAAAAATAAATATTTACTTTAATATAATTTTATTGGATCATTAATTATATTTAAGCCATTAAGGTATTAATAAATTATTGTTTTTATAAAAAGCACTAAAATGATTGTTTTATTAAATTCAATAATAAATAAATATGTTTTGGTGTTTGTGGGCGAAACACGTGAATATAAAAATTAATGTTAAAAATGTTTGAAAACTTTTATTTTTAACTCTCAATTATGTATTTGAATCAAAGATGTGGCAAAAGCGCTGCCAATAAATACAAAAACATTTATGAAAYTATGATATGACATAAACCTAAACCTCTTTTTAATACTAAAGCTATTAAACCATTGAAACCAAAAATAACTCATCTCTAGTCAAACTGCATTACGATATAATCAGCTATTTGTTGAATAAAAATACACAATTTTAGTTTATTTTTTAACTTATGTTTTAGAAATAGTGTGTCAAATAAGTAGTCACCAGAATATTCTAATAAAACAGTTTTAAAAAATTGTATATTTTATTGTTATTTCATTTTTATAGAGTATGTATATTTGATTAATTTGATTAATTGTATGAAAAAATTTCATGATTACTAAATTAGTAATAACTAGTGTCTGATATTATTTGATTGACTCATAGTATTCATTACATCACACCATCATATTTGAGGACTATATTAGTAATTAAAACCAATAATAATTAATGTAAGCGATAAGGTATGTTTCGGACGTGGATGTGTGATACCATATAAATTATATTTATCATTTATTTATATATAATTTTTAAAAAATATAATTTTTAAATTTCTAATTATATTAAATATCAATTTAAATTACTATTTATAATTTAAATATAACGATAAAATTTAATATGATATTCAATATATTGTATACATTTAATTGTTTAATATTTATTAAAACATTTTGTCAAAATTTAATATATAGTATACAGTAGTGTATGTATATATGATATCTCATATCCCGTACCAAATATCTCTGATAGCTTTGTTAGACTTAATGACTAAAAGACAGTGTATTAGTGCTGATTCTGGTGTGATATTAGTCTCTGAAATCATTATTGGATACAATTTATTACTATTTTTGTAATTACAAAGTTTTCTCAATTAAAGTAAAGTAATTTTTTCTCACAATAATATCATTAATCTAATTAACAATTTTTGATATTTAATTTATATATTACTCATAATTATGATTATAGAAAATTTAAATATTTGAAGCAAAATGACGTTAATAGGACCTCAAGTAGACTTAATATTGACAACATTAAGTATATGTTTGGTGATGTCTGTTTTTGCACTCATAATCTTTATGGCAATGTATGTCTATTATACCAAACGTGATAAACAGATTGCCCGACAAACACAACAATTCAATTCATCCATTAAAAGACAATTGTCTATAACATCACCGCGGATTCAAGTTGTTTAATAAAGTATTATCATAACAATAATGTTAGTAAAAGTTATTATAATTAATTAAATATAATATCATATATATATAAATCTTAAGTTTTAATGCTTCGACACCTTTTAAAAATCTATTTATTATCTATTTTATATTTACATTTACAAACATATAAATTTAACAGCAATACGTTTAATAATAGGTAAAACTATAATAATAGTCAAAATATTTTATTTTTAAAGCCATCCACTACTTAATAAGTTTAGTGATTATATTCTATAGATTGTAATTTGTTTTTAAATTTGTTTTGAATAAATAATTTATTTTAATATTTTTAGTGTACATTTTTGTATAGATTGATCATTATATAAGTAGTGACTATTAATTTGAAATAAATAATTAAGACTATTATTAAGTTTAATATTTGACTTAATAAATGTAAATTTCAGCAATAAATTATTGTCATTATTGATAATAAAATTAATATTTAGTTTATAGAATATACACATTTAAAAACAATTAATGAATTTATTAAATAAATGATTTTGCATTGGATAAGGAACTTTAAAAAACATTGAAAACATAAATATAAAATGTAAAACAAACAACATTGAAACAATAATTTGCTTAAAATATATGATAAAAATATGCAATAAAATTGGTCTTAAATCTTAAAAATAGTTTTAAGTTTATAAGAGTTTTGTAAAATTCTTGGCGAAGTCTCGATCACCCGAACCAACAAATTGTCGATATATTGCTCCAAATCATTGATCTGTTCGTTCAGACCTAATATTGTCAACTGTTGAGATTCAATCAATTGGATCAACTCCTGTGTAATAATAGATTAGTCAATAATATTAAAAACATTAATTATTTACAGTAACAATATTGAAAAAAAATTATAGGAAACTGCTTATTCAATATGTTGTTATTATTACAATTATAGTAATTAAAATACTAAATTATTATTCAATAGATTATAATTAAAACAAAACTTACTACCAATACAAAATATTAAAAATTATTATAATTAATTTAATTAAATTTAAATAAAAATAAAAATAAAATAAAAATAAAAATAAATGTAGAAAAATTCCTAATATTTTATTATTTATATTACCTGTAAGATATTTACTAAAAATCTATCAATAATTACCTCTTTGTTAAGATTATCATATTTTTGGTGATAATCTGTTTTAGTCTGTTTCCTATTGATTAGTGATTCAAAAGATGAGTACATGGAGTCAGGACTCGCTTGAGTGACCCTCTTGTCCAACGAAACGGTCGATGGTTTTGGTAGCACATCATTGATATCAATTGTATGCCGTCTGTCAACTATAGGTGAGAACCAAATGTTAGTCAAATAATTTGAAACAATTACTAATAAAAGTAAATCACATACAAGAAGACTAATGATAATAATAAAACAAATAATTTAGTAAAACTTTTCATACTTTTTTGAAGGGCTGCTATGAGTTTCTCGCGATTATTATTATAATATGTTTGCCTTAAGGGTATGTCATTATTTTCAACAGTAGTCACTGAAGAAGACATTGTTTTATTATTATTATTATTATTATTAATGCTTTTGTCAATAATATTGTTTTGGTGTCCATCCGATTGAGACGATAGGGAGCTATGATGTGACACAAGTGTCAGTGACCTATCCCTTCCCTTAATACCAGACTTTGACACCGGTTTACTGTAATTTGAGCTCAAAATGTTGATATTATTAGAACTGAAAGCTTTCTTAAGAGTTCCCTTAAGAGGTTTCCACGGATTTGACTTCGATTCTGAAGATATATTCTTTGTTTGACTCTTACTATTAATACAATTATCGTCTACAACGATATGACTACCATTTATAACAATCTCGTCATTATTGCATTGATTGTGATGATTGACTTCATTTATTTTGTCGACATTTGAATCAAAACTATTGTTTTCATTAATAAGATTTACATTATTTTTTATTTCAATTACAATCTTATTTTCATTGCTATTCTTCAATATGTTTCGCATTTCTTCCTGACTTTGGCTCATCTCTTCTTTGATCACATCATTAGATCTTTCGCTATGACCAGTGAAGTCACTATTAAATCCACTGCTGTCTCCCAATGACTCTTCCTCTTCAACTTTATATTCTTCTTGTGTCTTATCTAAGGATTCATGTTTTTTCAAGAACTTATCGACTAATGATTTGCGTCTTGAGTTAAAGGCATCTAATTTGAATGATATGCTTCTTGTGGCCACTTTTGGCATTTTATTTACATTGTCAGCCATCGACAGTTTTCGTCCTTTGGTCTCATGTTTGTCAAAATGATTTTTGCGATCATCACTTGAACTACCTTTGAGAGCACCTCTGATGTCTAGTAAGCTGTGGTGTACTAAACTATGTCTCTTCTTATACTTATTTGTCACAAAGTTGTTCTTCACGATGAATGTCAATCGGACTTCAATTTCTCCGCGAAATTTTGTCGTCTTTTTCTGTGATCTGCCCTCGAGTTCATACCAACGACTTTTTGGTCGCTCATAAATATCAAAATCTTTTAGCGGAACTAATGTTTGTCCCAGAAATTCATCGGCCAAACCAAATAAATTTCGGTGAAAGACAATCAATTTTATGACATCTGTTTCTTTATTTTCAATTTCGCTGTCATTTAAAAAAAATATAAAATATTTTTAATTAATTTTTAAAATTGTAAGTAAATTAAAATTCAATTTATATGAAATGTTTTGGTTATAAAAATGTTTATGAAATTAATGCATTAAATTTATTTAAAGTTATGTATGTTTTGTAAAAAATTAAAACTTATAAGTACTGTACTGTACTGTATGTATAATTTCTATTATAATTTTATGTAATGATACTGTAAATAGTGATCCTATTATTTATGACCTAATTTATGTCATTTAATATTATCAAACAATATTCAATATATACAGTGTATACCAAATTAAATAATGTTAAAATACTGTAAACATAACAATATTTTAATTTCTATTATTTGTACGGTAATCAAATTCATTATTATTTTTATTAAATACTGTATTTGTATAAAATTTTTATTTTTGTAATAAAATACAAATAAGTCATTAAATACAGTACTACTCCTTAAAAAATACTTTTATAAATTAATTAATTTGTAAAATTAAAACTAACTTATTTAACAAATAATTAATTTAAAATTATTATATAAGATCGTTGAAATATAATAATATTTTTCATTAACATTAATAAAAATTCAGTTTATGTACTAAATTTATATATTTATAAAGTATAAACATAACTGTATATTTTTGTATAATATAATACTGTACAGTATAACATTATAAATACATATTACTTATACTAATATAACTACTGTAGTATTTATACGTTATATTAAATGCATTGCTTATAAGTTGACTATTGTATTATTATTTATATAAATTAAATATTTATATAAATATTGTGTTTGTCTTATCAAAAAAATATTTTTTATTTTATGTGAATATAAATACAATATTTAACAATAATATCGACACAAATGTGATATATTTGTTTAAGATTTATATGTATATATTTATTCTGGAGTTATATATCAAAAATTCTAAATTTCTATTTTTTTTAATATAAATTAATAACTAAACAATTACTAAACTATTAAAGAAATTGAGTCTATTTTGAACCAAAAAAGTTATGGCCGGGATTTGTAACGAGATATTAATTATTAATTTGTAAACTTATTTTATAAAAAATTACTTCAATAATTATGATATTGTTAATAAAAAATAAGTATTATATAATCATAGTTTATTGAATTATGAATCAAATACTTATATTATTTGGACAATTATTTTAGATTCAATAAACTATAGTAATGATTGCTATTTAATAAATTATTAAATAATAAATGTCAATATAATGATTTGAAATAAATTTTAACATTAATTAGCAATCAATTTAATTCTAGGAAACGTCAAGATATTATATATTAAATGTAATTCTACTTAATATAAAATACTCTATTTTATAGTTAATGTAATAATAATTATAAATAATAGTATATTATATTGAAAATGTGATTAAAAACAAAATGAGTGGTCAAATACAGGTCACACTCCTCGTGCCAAATGGGATCAGTTGTCTGCTCTTTAACCGATGTCTGAAACTTTTCCTTTCCATTCTGTATAATAACATATGCATCACTTGTACCTGAAATTACATTTTCCAATAATTACTTTTTAATATAGCATTAGTTTTAAACAAAACAAAAAATAAAAAGTTGAATAATCACTTTAAATAAATTATTATTATTATTCTCTCTCTCTCTCTCTCKCTCTCTCTCTCTCTCTCTCTCTCTCTCTCTCTCTCTCTCCTAATAGTCTGAGTTAACATCAACATAAATATAGCAAAACGGTTGATAAACACGAAAGCAAAACTTTTAAAATAACTAACAAATACATTAACTGTAAAGATATATATCGATAATATAGTGCAAACATAGAGGAAGTGTTCAGCTATTGTGAGCTAACAAACAATTAGTAATGATTTGCGGATCTCATTCATTGTTAATGTAAAGGGAAATGATTTTATGCCTGTTTTAACAAAGTTTTGCTATTTATAAAAATATATATAATTTTTAAACTATAAGTTAATAAATATATTATAAATATATAAAATAGAATTCACTAAAACTTTTTAATATTTTTATTTAACTTTAATAGTATTATGAAAATTATATATTAATAATTGCTTGTTTTTAACCACAATATTATTATAATTTAAACAAATACCGTATCATATAGTGGTATATAATTTATTTATAAATAATAATATAATTATATTAATATTTTATTAAATAAAAGTATTTAATACCATTCCTGCCTTTGGCGATCACATTGCGAGCTCTTTGAACTGTAAAATAAATTATAAAATATTATAATATAAAATATGTAAATAAATTTATAATGTAATAATATAAGTATTTATAAATTTATAACTAACATATTTTGAAAATTTCATTTAAAAATAATATACACAAAAAATAGTTATTAATACTATAAAAATACAATAGTAATTCAGAATTATTTTTAAAACACAATTTATAATTTAGATCATTATAATTATAAAATAGTTTATTGGAATTTATCATGTTCATAAATATTTAAAAATTTATTTTAATTTTTATTAAATGCTTTGTTTTAAATAAAAATAATAATACATTTTAACAAATGACAATATTAATAATATACTACCATTAAATGATATCATTTTTCTATTCAATTGTTTAATCTTAATTAACAAAAATGCTTTAAAAAATCTATAAATTTTATTTAATAGTATATTATAGTAATTACGACTATTAAGTCATTTACAATTTAGTTTACGTAAACATCTTAATATGAAATTCGTGTTCAAATAAATATAAATTTACACTTAAATTCAAAATAATAAAGTTTTAGAATAAATACAATTAATTAAATCAAATTTCGTTTATATTTTTATATTATAAAATTTAAATACATATTGAATATAATAAAACAAATTATTAAATTAATTATTTATGAATATAGTTTTTGTAAAATATAAAAGTTTAAAGTTGTATTTTATATATAAATCATTTATCAAATTGTAAATTTAAAAAAATGGGATTTTATGACAAAACAATTAACAGACAATATCTTAATTCAGTTATGGACTTGTGATTTATATAGATTAAACCATATTTTATAGATTAAAATGACCAATAATTGCAAAGTTATATGATTAGCCAGATAATAGCACCCGACCACTTATAAGCGGTCGGGTGCTATTATTTGGCTAACCTTAAAATTAAATTAAAAAATAATCAAATATAAAATTATATATAATATTTCCATTGGTCATTTTTATATATAAAATATGGTTTATTAGATATTCAAATAAATGACCAGTCGACAGTCTGATATTAAGATAGAGCCCAATTAACATTAAGAGTAAAATACTTTATTAAAATGTTTTATTAAAAACGTAAATATACAGAATGTGTATATACGTTAATATTTAAAATATGATATTAATTATAAATTAAAAAAAGTTAATTTATGATATTTTTCAAGATTTTATACATTTGTATCATAAAGTATACATTAAATCATGAATTGTGAATTAAAAAATACATCTTTGAATTTTCTTACAGATTCACTAATCATTAATATATTTCTAATACTGTATTATCATTTAAACATAAAATATAACGTTATATTAATTAGACTTTAATATTAATAATAAAACAATTAAACGCTTATTTAACAATTTAGTGAAAATTATTATTTATTTTAGCCTTAAAAGTTATAGTATTAATCTATATTTATTAAAATATAAATTATTAATACATGTATAAACATTTTATTGTATTAATGATATATTATAAATTATCATTACTAAATCTACAGTAATAATCTGTATTTATAACTATCAATTTAAATACTGTAACATTTAAATATTTATTTTTAAAAATACAGAATTAACATTTAAATTACTTTAAAATGTTTTAAATACCATCCATACACTAAACCCAATGTTTTAACCTTATTATTTTCATATGTGACGATACTATTGAATATAATTTCAATGTATTTATTCGTAAATCATAACAATTTAAATTGCATAAAATTGATTTTTTATAACATAACTGAATCATGCAATGTAAGCAAAATTTAATTGTGTATTAAATAATAATAGCAAATAAGTTATGATTGAATGACTCTTTGACGACACTATCAAATAGTTAGTGAATTGTTACATAAAATTAAGTGAAACAACTTATTTTAACTTTTAAAATAAAAATAATAAAGTGATATTTTGATCAGATTTGAGGTCAATAATGATATATACAAAAAACAACAAATAAAAAATAGATGTAAAAATGATTTGTAAATCAAATGAAAATAATGGTTTCATTTTAAGAAAATTGAAAAAAGCATGTTATATATAGATATTTAAATATTGAAATCTCATTATTTAAAAAATATATTATTTTTTAAATTTAGTGCTCAATATAAAATTGATTTTTATTACACGATCTGACAGTCATTGCCATACAAAAAATAAATTAATTCAACTAAAATTATGTTGTAATTTATAATACATATTAATAAATTACTTAAAATAACTATCCGTATTATTTAGTAATATAAATTGTAATAAAATGTTATTATTTTATAAAATAAATGTGTCATTTTTGAAATTATAAGGTTATTATAATAATGTACGGAAAGCTACTAATGCATACCAAAAAAATAATTGTATGGTTTTATTTCCTAAACAATTTATATATAAAATAAAAAAATTTAATTTATTTGTTTACTAAAAATAAGCATTTACTGTACTTTGCATAATACTCTAGATATAGAGTATATGATTAAAAAAGATTTTTATCATTTTTTTTAAATTATACAAAAATAAGTATAAAATTTAGTTGTTTATAAGCAATATTTGCAATTAATTTAATATTGTCAAAAAAATTGCATAACATTTAATACAAATCTTTATATATTGTATATAAAAATTTTTTTAATGAAAAAACAATTAAGTCTAGCGTAAGAAATAAGTCAACATTTATAGTAAATTACATGAACTATGCCGGTAATTTTAAACTAAATAAAATTCATTAACTTTGCAACAATTATTATTATACTAAAATATTATACACAAAGTATATTTTGATACATTAAATGATTTATTTTTTAAGCTCTTTAGATATTTTTGTTTAAATTTTCTATAATTAAACTGTTAACCGATATTTCATATAAAATTTTAAGTGATTAATGTCATCAAATAAATTGTGTAATAATTTAGAATATTTATAAAGTCATAAAATTTTAATTAAAATTTTTAATAGTATTCATATACGGTATAATAAAACCATTAAATTATGATATAATTTTATATTAAATATTATCAATATACAGTTAAAAATTATTTGTTTAAAATATAAGCATTTACAATAAAACAGAAATGGTTAATACAACAAGTTTTGGTGTGTTTTGTAAACAAACTTTCAATAATAAAAATTTCAAATGCTATTCAACTAAGTGGTAAAAAGTAAAATTTATAAATTAATATTAATAAACAAACAATTGCAATTGTGTTTTTAGTTATTATTATTATTATTATTTTATTAAAAAAAATACTCTATTCTATTATTGACAATCAATATATACTACATTATAATAAAATATAATAAAAATAATTGACTTCATATGTCATGTTATTCAAATATGTTTGTTATCTATTACTATAATCTCTGTGAAAAAACATGATTTTATTCATTAAAAATATATACTCTTTTCCTATGGTATGGATGGGTCGTTGCACCAGAAGCTCATTGTTTGCCAAACACTCTGTATGAATAGCAACTAATTGTTGGATATTTTAGTAGTCTATGTCTATTAGGTTTTCCTTATAGGCCAACAATCAAAAAACATTTATTGAAATCCATATACAAGTATTGTCTCTTATATATAAAATGTAATGAAAACATATATTCAGTGAGACTGTTATGTGTCTCTCAAGACATTATCAAAAGATGTTTTTAAAATAGATATTTGCGTTTTGTGTTTGATATTATAGGGAAGTCAAACATTAGATATATGATATACAGCACACTTCAAATTGTTTTCACAGTTATAAATGAACAAAACTAAACATTTTTTTATAAATATAAAAAATATTGTTATTATTTAGTTATTACAGTATATGAATTGTATTTATTATAATTAGTAATTTACTTAATATTATCATCAAAATAATATAACTAATGTACTTATAGTCTAAATAAATAAAGTTATTTTAAGTAATTTTGTATTATTAAACTAATCTAGTTATAAGTTAATATAAATATTTTTATAATATTAAATATATTATATTACGTTATAATTCTACAAGAATTTATATTTATTTTATATATAAATAATAATATTCTATTAATAACAATTTAAATATATGTAATTACTTATAAACTATACAATATGACAGTATTATTATTATAATTATTATATAAATTATATTAACTAAAGATTGAATAAGTTATGTCAAGGTGTTGTCACTATTTATCAATAAAACAATGATAATAATAGTATTTTAAGTAAACGATTTGATCAAAACAAATAATTTAGTGATTTATTACTTAATTGTAACACATTTTAGTTGTAATAATTAATTTTCAAAATTTTATGTTTTATATAATTTACATCAAATGACATTGAAGTTTGAGAAATTTAAAGAACAATTAGTTATTATCAGTAAAATTTGATTTTATCCGATAATAAGTACATTTTTTGTTAATTTTTTAAAGTAATTTATTAAATAACTAAAAGAAAAAATACCTGGAAGCAAATTAAAAATATAGATAATTATATTGATTGTAAATAAAAAAAGAATTAAAAATAACTTTAGATATTTAATTAAAAATATATTGATATATCTAACCACATTACAAGGTTTATATTGTTAAATTAAAAATATATATTATCGACAATAAATAAACTGATTGAATTACAAATAAATCAGATAATAATATATTTGACAATTTACAAATTGTTAATCAGATGTTATTTAATGTATATAAATAATAAATGTTTTAATAAACCTTGAAATATTTTTTTAATTAAAAATTAATATTATCAAACTATTAAATAAATGTGAGATTACATTAATTGCTACTAAAGAAACAAAAAAAAACGATTCATATATTATACAAAAATACAAACTTCAAGTTTATTATCACTTGTTTTATGAATAGATAATTAACTTTATAATAAAATGAATATATAATTAAGTTAATAATAATGAATATTATATATTAATGTCTTACCCACAATCTGGACGTGTGTTGGACTCCACATATTCACTCAATTATATTCAACACAGATATTCATATAACAAAATTTTTTAAAAATATCAATATAATATAAAACCAAAAAACAGATAACAAATAAAATATATATGAGATATTCACAGCACAGTCCTAGTTTACAAAGTGTAGCTCAGAGACCATAATAGTGGACTCAACTCCGAAATTTAATGCCACTATTTTTGTTGCATTGAATTAGACTATTATTCATCTATATATATATAACAATAGTATAATGTATATGTGAGATAAAACAGTCAATATGTTTGACACTTAATGTCAAAAATTTTTATAGTGAATATAGAGTAAAGGAATGCATATAAAAAAACTATTAAAAAATATTTTTCACTCAAAAAACAACTATTATTTAATACATTTTATGCGATATAAATAATAATAATAATGCCATTTATTGATAGCATATAAATCATGTAATAGAGTTGAAACATATGAATAGGAAAAAAGTGTTGCACTTTATAGCTGACACTAGAATAGCGCCGGTGGTTATGATATGACAGTCAACAACTCCACACAAACACCGGGATATGTTATTTTGAAACTCAACGCAAAATTTTTTTATAGTCAAACTTTATTTTTTGCACACAAAAAAAACTTTTGAAACAGTGAGACGACTACTACTACTAATAATAACTGTAATGAACATTGAATTGTAACTCAACTCAAACTTTATAATTATAATAATAGTAGTGTTGTAAACCTCTCTTAACTCATGATATAGTGACTACTGAGTGACGGAATATTACTGTTGAATACCAGTCCTCCGTAACATTTATGAGCTGTGGCTGTAATATGTTGTTTGGTTTAGTCTAACATTCAGTCAGATGTGAAATTTAAAAGCATATTGTAGTATACATTAAATAATAATAATAATAATATAATTATATTATATTATTCAAAAGTAAGAATAATTTATAAATATGTATTTAAAAAATATTTATTTAATTTAAATAATAAACAATATTTGAACAGGATACAATTTGCAAATAACTATATTGAGAAAACAACTTATACCCATGTTTATTTAATAATTTAATATTATTATAGTTTTTACTAAAATTAAATAGTTTTCAATTATACAGTAGTATAATAATACTGTTGTATTTTTCAACACACATATACGGTATACATGCTGTATATGATATATAAAATATGGATTTGAATAATATGGTACTGTATATAATATATATCATATGTAATTTATAATATTAAAATTTATAATTAAACTGCAAATGCATTAAACGCGTATTGCTAGTAGTTTTCAAATAATTATTATGTGTATCTTGTCGTATGGTTTTACTATTTTATATTTTTGTTTTACTTTTGCTGAAAAATTATAGTATTGTTTGAAATTTAATTTTTATAGTCATGTAATTAGCGGTAATATCTGATAAATACGGGAAAACGTAATGTTTTTTATTTTTGCCTTCAAAAAAATTATTTCAATGTATACTTAAAGGTATAGGCAGTCACCTTAATGGGTACAGTATATTATATTATATTATATATGTATTTGTAAATTGCGATGACATACATCTGAATTAAATAAAAAATGACTATTATATTATAATTACAATAACTATTACACCTGTAATTACAATATGATTATGAATTTATTAATATAAAGAATAGCTGATTAAATACAATATTATACATAATTTTTTATATACAGTCATTCATGTATTTTATTTATGAAAGCATTCAAAACAAATATAAATAAATAGTTTTGTTTTGAAAATCTCGACATAAATGTTTTGTATTATGTGAATAAAATATTAAAACATTAAAAATATCAAAATTGTTATAAAACATTTGAAAAAGTAACATGATAGTTTATTAAATTTTAACGCAATTTAAAAAAAAATTGGTAACATTATTTTGTCAATAAAATTTATTGCCAGAAAAAAGTAGATTTAGAAAAATCATATCATTTGAATGCAACTAATAATTATAATATTTTCATTCAATTAATTAAACCGAAGGTCGTGTCCATTGAATTAATTGCAGTCATTTAATACATTTTGTTAAACATAGGTTTGTTAGTTCAGCTTTTATAGCATTTATCGTCCTATTAAAACCATAAATAAATTTTAGTATTTACTTATAATGATAAATATGAAAATTTATTTAAGAACACATGATATTTAAAAATAGATAATTGTTTTTTTAAAATAAATATAAATACAATAAAATTAATTAATTAAATATTAATATATTGTTTTATAAATTATAAATTATATTATAATTTTTTACATATAATAGTACTTTTTAATCAAGTTTGTTATGTACCTTAATTATTGAATATTATTTTTATAATAAATTTATATGTATTTTTTTGTACTTTTAATGTATTGATATAATATTGGCTTCTTTAGCCATTGAGTAAAATATAGAGCTAGAGTTTGCCAATAGATTGTTAGGACTGTCAAACTCAGCTACCGATCCCTTATCCATAACCAGTACTCTGTCGTAATCTATGATTGTATTCAATCGGTGGGCAATCGTTACAATAGTTGACGACTCAAACTCCTTTCTAATTGTTTCTTGAATCAAACTATCAGTTTCCATATCAATGGCTATTAATAATTCAAATAATATTATCAATAATTTATGACTTAATGATTGTTATACCGGCTGTCGCCTCATCCAAGACTAGGATCTTAGTCCTCCTCAACAAAGCTCTCGCCAAACAAACCAATTGTTTTTGTCCGACACTTAAGTTTTCTCCTCCTTCTGATATCTGATAACTTAATCCTTTATCCAAACTGTCGACAAAAGTCTTGAGATGTGCCGACTCTAATGCTCTCCAAATTTCATTATCAGAGTATTGATTAAATGGATCCAAATTGAGACGTAATGTTCCGGTAAAAAGTGCGGGATCTTGAGGTATGATTGTAATCCTTGATCTCAAGTCATATAAACCTAATTTTCTGATATCAACGTTATCTATGAAAATGGTTCCCTCGACCGGTTCAATGAGTCGAAACAGGGCTAAAGTTAGTGATGATTTGCCGGCACCCGTGCGGCCAACTATTCCTATCTTTTCTTTGTGTTTTATTTTAATACAAATTTTGTTGAGTACCATATCTAAGCCATCACGATATTTGGTACTATAGTTACTAAAAACAATATTACCATTTTCTGGCCAATTATTTTCAAGTTTTGCATATTCATTGAACCACTCGGCCTATAAATTTAAAATATTAATAAATTCACAAAAAATAATTTATTTGTTTATTAATTATACCTCAATCGGTGTCTCTGTATATTCAATACTTCTTTCAATTGAAACAATATTGCTCTCCATTTCAGTGGCCGATCGGACAAACATTCCTAAAATTCCGGTTAAATTAAGTGAATAACTGATAGCCAGTCCCGCAATACCAGGACTAAGATTATGTCGTGATATGACTGCAAACAATGTAGACATCAATACAATACAATAGCCTAAAAACTCTAGTCTTATTGATAGCCAACGCGAGGCCGTAAAACTTGAATAATAACAGATATGGTTGTCGTCGACCCGTCGGTTGGACTCTTGTATGAACTTTTCTGTCACTCCGTACGCCCTAATACTTGACGATCCGTTGACTGTTTCGCTGAAATGACTATAAATTGGCGATCGAGTGATTGAATCAATTCGTTTCAATTGTCGAGAAGTAGGGATAAAAAACTGTTGAATCAAATAATAGATGACTGATATCGGAAAGACAACTGCGAGCACTAGTGGTGTCTCTAAACTAATCATAACAAATGTCACAATTATCCTAAAAAATTGCAATATAGTCATCCTTAGGTTAAACACGAGGGACACATCAGCCGTGTCCAGGTCTCGGCTGAAACGATTCATAATACGACCGTTTGGTGTCGTATCTAAAAAAAATAAAATATATATTATTTATAATATTAAAACAAATAATTATATTTATAAATATAAATAATTTATAATAACTAACCGAAAAAGTGCATTGGTGCTTTTATGATACGCTTCAGCATTATATTATGCAATAATTTGGATGCATTAATACAGCCAAGACTTACGGATATATTTGCAATCAAATTAAAAACTGCGTCTAATATCCCGATACCGGCGTAAACTCCAAGTCTTATATTTCTTAAGTTTGTATTATTATAATTACTTGAATTTAGCGCATCGTTAGACCACTCATTGAGCCAAAGACCTGCCAATACTTGTGATACATTTGAGATTATTGATGATATGATAATAACAGCGCTAAACGCATAACCAATTAATTTAATATAATTTTTATAGACTTGTAATTTAACTGATCCCGTCTCTGCCTTTTCATTGTCAATCAAACAACCAATTTTTGATTTTGAGTTAATTTGAATACTTTCCTCTTGTTTGCCATATTTACTACTTTTTACACTTAAAATACTCGACGACTTTCTTGTTATTAATCTTCTGGTATTATTCAGTGAATTAGTAGAACCGCTAATGGATTGTCTGATTGATTCCTCAATAGACGAGTCTATCAATGGTTGCATTTGTTGTTTCAATTTTTTAATTACAGTTTTGTCTTCGTTTTCAGGATCAGAGTCAGACTCTTGCATCAAATATTCTGTAATAAATTCAGCAAAATATCCATTTTTGGCAATTAATTCATCAAAAGTTCCGCATTCAGAAATAGTTCCGTTTTTTAAGACAACAATTTGGTCCACTTGTGGTAATATTGAGATGCGATGTGTCACCAAAATTCTTATTTTATTTTTTAACATACCTTTCGGACCGATAGCTTTATTAAACAAATGTCGACCAACATGTGTGTCAACAGCACTGTAATTAAGTTTAATATTTTTGTTGATATTTTTAATACTTATAATTAATATAATTTATAATTTCATTAAATAATTGGACGCTTACCTCAATGGATCGTCCAATAAATAGATGTCAGCGTTAGAATAGAGAGCTCTGGCTAACGAAACCCGTTGTTTCTGACCGCCCGACAAATTGATACCTTTTTCTCCGATTTCAGTCATATCTCCGGCCATCAGAACTTTCAGATCATTTGTCAAATCACAGGATTCAAGAACTTTATTATAAAACCTTTCGTTAACTGTTTCGTTGAACAGAATATTCTGTTTAATTGTTTTATTCTGAATCCAAGCCTCTTGTGATACATAAGCAATTTTTCCACTGACACCGACAGTTCCCTTAAGGATTTCCATTTCGCCTAAAATTGCTGAAAGTAATGATGATTTTCCAGCGCCTACCTGTCCCACAATAGCAACTAATTGCTTGGGTTTAACAAATAATGATAGATCTTTAAGAAGTGGTGAACAATCCTTACTCCAGGAAAATGTGGCGCTATTTATAATTATCGGTATATTTGCGTTATTTTCTCTAAAAACTGAATTTTCATCGATTTCATCGGCATTCAAAAAATCATCGATTCTGTTAAGTGATACCAAATACTATTGATAAATAAAATACATTTGAAAAAGTGATAAAAATTTACAGTTATAAATAACATACTAATGCACTCATTGAAAGTAATACAGGAATGTATCCTAAAGGTAGTCCTATAATTTATAATTAAAATATAACATCAAAAATTATTCATGGTCAATTTATATTATTTAATACTCATTAGATTGAAGAGTGATAGTGAGACAAATGCTTTATTTGGATTTAAGATATTATCGGGCGATATAAACACATAAGTGCCAAAACTAACTAATCCAACCTATAAATTAATATAATATAAACTTTAATGACTTGCACATCAAAAACATAAACAAGGTAACTAACAAAAAAATGAGCTGATACAAATGAGAATGTAATAGCACCCTGGTAAATGGCTGCTTTATTAAGTGATTTCACTTCATTTTCCCTGATTTTCAATAACCGGTCCATAAAAGACTGTTCCCAAGCATACAATTTGAGAACTTTAATGCCATTCAATATTTCACTCATAAGTTTTACTCTTTGATCTTTGAATTTCATTTGTTGTGATTGAAAACTGCGGACAATATTAGCCATATAAGAGTTAAATGGCAATAATATGACGAGAAATGCAAGTCCAGCGAGTGTTGCGATTCCCAACTGTTGCCACAATAGTATCAGTACTATAGTGATCTGCAGAGGCGCTGACCAGACAAAGTTGACCATCAAAAAGAAGTCAATAACTCGTTGACAATCAACAGACATTAGGTTTACAATCTCTCCGGAAGTGAAGCTCTTTCGTCCACAACTCGATAGCTTAAGAGTCTATTGCATAATAAGTTAATACCGTATTAATTAAATTAACTAATTATACATTATATGATTAGTCAAAAACCTTATTATAAATAACTGAGATAATAGTGGCCCTTATTCTCATTGCAAGCAAATTGTTTTGATACTCATATTGATTGTTAAGTATGGATTCAATCATAAGCGCCACAAACATTATTAGTGCATAGAAATACCCCCTCCAATAGGGTTCAGTATTATTGGGATTCATAAATGATAAAAGACTATCCAATACTAATGGACTGATAAATACTAGACTACTGGCCATCAGTTTGATGAGACTGACGAAAAACATTTGCAACCAAAATGTCTTCAAAAGCGGACCAATTAGTTTGATATGGTTTTTAGTTTTACTTTTCATCTCATTTTCAAACAGTTTCTTTTTATTCAGCAATGGTAACCAAATTTTGTTGAATTTGTTAATAATATAATTACTCAAATTATGAACATCGAGATCCCAGAGATCATTGGTCGTCAATGTCCTGTTGCGGCCCTTTATAACCATACTATTGAACCAATTAAATGTCATTTGAGATATAAATGATACATATTTTTCGGGACTTGTTTTCTAAAATAATTTAATAAAATGATTAATATTATATATTTAAATATATTTTGTTACTATTAAATATAATACTTTTTGTATTGTGTTTAAGTTTTCATATGAGTAGTTTGAAAAACACGATAATATAAATTGTGTCAAAATTATTGGATACGAAAGTATTTTAATTATAAATTTAGTTTCACTTAAGAATAAAACGCTTTTATCCTAAAAAAATATAAGAAATAATACATTAAAATTTATAATAAGTTCAAAATGATACTTACATTGTCTGTGAAAATGAGAGTAATTATAGTTCTGTAGTTAAAAGTGGTGCCAATTGTTAAAAGTAACCAAAATATGAATACCGCTGCCGATGAATGATAACTATATTTGTGATGAACTTGTAAGCGATGTATGAAATAAATCTTTAAATAAGATTTAAAATGTTTAATTAACTTATGATATAATAAATAATAAATTTCATACAAATGTGATAGACTTGACAAATGGCGAAATGAAGTCAATTAATGATGCATTAGATTCTTGTGAATCGCCAGTAAAATTGGAAACAAATTCAATTACATTTAATACAAACAAAATGAATGCTAAAAACTAAAATATTTAATTATGATTAATATTTTGCATATTTTAAAGATTGTATTAATTTATAATATTATACAATTTTAAGCGATTCGATGAAATCCCATGAATATATAGTTTTGTAGTATTTATTACTTATAAATAGTGATTCACTCAATGATAACATCCAGAATATGAGACACGGAATCCAAATGAGAACCGACTCTTCAAAACAAATGGTAAAATCGGGAAATGTTTGGGTATTCCATGATATGTCCCAATCCTTTCAAATTATTTAATAATAAATTATATTTTATTTAAATTATATTATATTTTAAATTATATTTTAAAATTACCCAAAAGTTATTACAGCAAAATGGTATCATTGTTTACAATACAAAATTGTCCAGAAATCACAATATTGTTGAAAATAACTTTCATATAAAATAATTATAATAATAATGTTATGATTTATTTTAATAAAATTATAAATATAAAATTAAATTGATTAAAAAAAATTATGAATAAAAAATTAACATATAAAATCAAACAGTGTTTTGTTAAGTGATATACATTGTGTACATAAGTGAATTTAATAAAAGTAAAATACAGTATTATAAATATATTACTGTATTATAGTTTAGAAAATTTATATTGTAAATTACAATTTGTAATACAAACATTATCTATTAATAATAAATAAGATAATACACATAAAGTTGTTAGTTATTATATTATATATCATTTTAAGACAACCTTTCAATGTTAAACAAATTTGATTTTGACATTACATATAACTATTAATAAAAGCTTAAAAATTACTAAAACTCAAAATTTAATCTATTTTCATATAATTATTTTATAAAAGTTTGGATGTTATAAATTAAAATAAACTTATGATCATATTTATGATCAATGTAAACATATTTGATAACTATTGTTCACATGTAAAACAATTATATTCATAAGTGTTTTAATCACATAAACTTAAGTTTGAATACTAAATAAAATTATGATCAAATTTATTAAATATTAAAATTAGAAATAACTGATTTGATTAAACATAAGCACCATATGTACACTTTTGTGTTAATATATGTATAATTTAATGAAACCAATATACAGTATTTATAAGATAAACTATAAATGCAAAGTACTCTAACAATTGTTTTATCAAAATAAATAATTTTAAAAACCTTATCTTTAAATAGACAAAGCATGCAATCATTTGTCTGAATAATGAAAATTAAAAGTTTATTTGTATTGGAGAGAGTCTTAAACAGCGGCGCCGATGACGACAGCGGCGATGCTTTTAATTTCAATTATCTGGTCATCAATGGTTTTAAGAGTGACCAATGGCAATGTAGATAATTTTACACTAAATAAGATTGTAATTGGTCATTTTTAAAAATTAATTTCATGATTGGGCAGATAATTCCAGTCGACTATCATTTTTACAATTTTTTAACAGTCGACTGTATATTATATGGCCAATCATGCAATTAATTAAAAAATGACCAATTACAATCTTATTTAGTTTAAAATTATCTACAACATTGCCCTTGGTCACTTTTAAAACCATTGTTGACCAGATAATTGAAATTAAAAGCATCGCCGCTGTCGTCGTCGGCGCCGCTGTTTAAGACTCTCTCTTTATATTGTCAAATAAATTATTGAATTTAATATATATTTAATACAGTAAATTATACAGTAGTTAACTACATTCAATGTAATTGTATTGTAGAGCTAGCTGTAGTGCAATACAATTAAATATTTTTTTTGTTTATTTATAATCATAATTAATTATTGTTAATGTTTGTCATGGTTAATTTAATGCAATAATATAACCATATATGCCATTATTGGTAGACAAATAAATTATAAAAAAGGTTTAGGAATTATTAAAAAGGTTAAATTGGGTTAAAAGTTATTGAAAATGTTAATTAATTAAAACAATAAATTTTCTAATAATAATTAAAACTACTCATAAAAATTAATAATTTTTTATTTAACTTAATAATTATTTAAATTGTTTATATATAAAAAAAAGTTATTTCTAAAAAATTAATTTAAAGTTATGAATCATATTAACTACAATGATAAATAAAAAAATATTTAAATATATCATATTATATATTACATAAAAATTAGGATACAAGGTTTGCTTCTTTAGCCATTGAGTAAAATATAGAGCTAGTGTTTGCTAATAGATTGTTAGGACTGTCAAACTCAGCTACCGATCCCTTATCCATAACCAGTACTCTGTCGTAATCWATGATTGTATTCAATCGGTGGGCAATCGTTACAATAGTTGACGACTCAAACTCCTTTCTAATTGTTTCTTGAATCAAGTCATCCGTTTCCATATCAATAGCTATTAATAATTCAAATAATATTATCAATAATTTATGACTTAATAATGACTTAATGATTGTTATACCGGCTGTCGCCTCATCCAAGACTAGGATCTTAGTCCTCCTCAACAAAGCTCTCGCCAAACAAACCAATTGTTTTTGTCCGACACTTAAGTTTTCTCCTCCTTCTGATATCTGATAACTTAATCCTTTATCCAAACTGTCGACAAAAGTCTTGAGATGTGCCGACTCTAATGCTCTCCAAATTTCATTATCAGAGTATTGATTAAATGGATCCAAATTGAGACGTAATGTTCCGGTAAAAAGTGCGGGATCTTGAGGTATGATTGTAATCCTTGATCTCAAGTCATATAAACCTAATTTTCTGATATCAACGTTATCTATGAAAATGGTTCCCTCGACCGGTTCAATGAGTCGAAACAGGGCTAAAGTTAGTGATGATTTGCCGGCACCCGTGCGGCCAACTATTCCAACTTTTTCTCCCGAATTGATATCCAATACAATCTTTCTTAATACTAAATCCAAACCATCCCGATATCGTGTGCTATAATTATTGAAATGTATTTCTCCCTTTTCCGGCCAATTTATATTAGGTTTTGTCACTTCATTATACCAATCGGCCTACAAATATACAGTATATCATATCAATTAACAAAATTATAGTAAATATATTATTTAAATTAAAAAATCTATACTTCGGTTGGCGTTTCTGTATATTCAAGACACCTCTCAACGGAAACAATATTAGTTTCGAGATCAGTGGCCGATCGGACAAACATTCCTAAAATGGATGTTATATTTAATGAATAACTAATGGCCAGACCGGCCAATCCAGGACTTAACGAATGTCTGGCCAATACAGCAAATACTGCCGCAATAAATACAATACAATAGCCTAAAAACTCGAGTCTAATAGCGAGCCAACGCGAGGCCGTAAAACTCGGATAATAACAAATGTGATTATCGTCGACCCGTCCGTTGAACTCTTGTATAAACTTTTCTGTCACTCCGTAGGCCCTAATACTTGACGATCCGTTTACTGTTTCGCTGAAATGATTATAAATTGGTGATCGAGTGGTTGAGTCGATTCGTTTTAATTGACGGGAACTGGAGATATAAATGCGTTGAATCATATAATATACGACAGCCAGCGGTAATATAGCCACTAAAACAATAGGTGTTTCCAAACTTATCATAGAAAAGGCTACAATTGTTCTGAAAAACTGCATTATCATCATTCGTAAGTTAAATAATAAAGACATGTCTGCGGTATCAATGTCTTTGGAGAAACGATTCAATATTCTTCCAATTGGTGTCGTGTCTGTATATAATATCATATCTTAATTAAAATTATATATATTATATATATATGTATTAATGAGATACCAACCAAAGAAAGACATGGGCGCTCTTATGATGCGTTTAATCATATCGTTGTGCATAATCTTTGCGGCCCTAATACAGGCCAAATTTAGACTAATACTGGCCGTCAACGAGAAAAAAGCTTCGACGAAACCGAAGGCTCCGTAAACACCTAACCGTAAATCCCGGAGACCGTAATTACCCCTTGTTTTGGGATCGAGTGAATCATTAGACCACTCACTCAACCAAAGACCGGATAATACTTGTGCGACATTGGAGGCGATAAATGAAAATATAATACCCGAACATAAAACAAATCCAATTGTTTTCATATACTTTTTGTAGACATCGATTTTAACGGATCCCGTTTCGCTGGACTCAGATTCAATCAGACGTCCCATTCGATTGGGTCGGCCTTTGTTTTCTTCTTTTATGGTTTCAGGTCTATCTGAAGATGACTTTCCGTGACTACTTATACGACTCGTTGATCTATAATATGAYTTTTTCTTTGAATAATCACTTGTTTCGGACGGTTGGGTCAATGATTCGGTATACGAAAGATTTCTCTCAAGAATTGGCTTAACTTTTTCAGCGATCTCTTCAATGAGTTGTACATCATCTTCATGTATGTCATCATCTTTCTGTTCCACTATATATTCGGCCACAAAATTAGCAAAATCTCCTTTATTTGATACCAATTCATCAAAAGTTCCAATTTCTGAAATTGTTCCCTCATTGAGAACAATGATTTGGTCGACAAATGGCAACATTGATACTCTATGTGTGACCAAAATGCGTGTCTTATTACTGAGTATACCTTTGGGACCAATTACTCTGTCAAACAAATGTCGACCTACATGTGCGTCCACAGCACTATTGATTAGTAATAAAAAAATAGTTATAAAAAATAATATAATTAATTAATTATTATAACTTATATACCTGAGCGGGTCGTCTAATAAATAGATGTCTGCATTTGCATATACAGCTCTGGCTAACGATACTCTCTGTTTTTGACCGCCCGATAAATTAATGCCTTTCTCTCCTATTTCAGTCATGTCTCCGGCGGCCAATACTTTCATATCTGCCTCCAGAGCACAGGCCTCGAGAACCCGATTATAATTCATTTCATTGTAATGTTTGGCAAACAGAATATTCTGTCTGAGCGTCTCATTTTGAATCCATGCCTGTTGTGGTACRTAAGCGATACTACCCTTTGTATTAACAGTTCCCTTCAATTTCTCCATATCACCCAATATTGCTGACAATAGCGATGACTTCCCAGACCCTACCTGTCCCACTACAGCTACAAGTTTTTTGTTTGTCGCGCGTAAATTAATATTTCTTAGCACAGGATTATCGCCTTTAGCCCAACTGAAGACACCATTCTCGATGATCACCGGATATTTCACTTCCGATTTATGGGTTATAGCTTTTAARTCAATTTCGTCGGCATTCAAGTATTTGTCAATTCTGTTAATCGAAACTAAAAACTAAATAAAGATTTATTTTGTTAACAAACACTTAAAACTATTGTATGTTACATAAAAAAGTAGACATACCATTGCACCCATTGATAATATTAAAGGTAAATATCCCAAAGGTATTCCTAAAAAATAAGGCAATTTTAAATGAGTTTTATTAATAAAAAATCAAAACTTACTGATTATGTTAAAGAGAGACAACGACACAAATGCTTTATTAGCGTCCAATATATTGTCGTCGGATATGAGCACAAATGCGGCAAAACTGAACAAACCGACCTGTTTTTAGACAATTGAAAAATTAATAATAATATAAAGTTAATTATCTTTATCTTTATATATCAATACTTACAAAAAATGGCGCCGAACTAAATACGAAAACCATGGCTGCGTTCAGATAAGCTAATGATTTCAATGCAATACACTCTTTCTTCCGGAAGTTCATCACCAGATCYCTGAACGATGTCTCCCATGCGTACAGTTTTAATACTTTAATGCCGTTTAGTATTTCATTCATCAGTTTCACTCTTTTATCTTTTTCCTTCATAATCGACGTTTGAACGAACCTCATCTTTGTGGTGATGTAGGCATTGAATGGCACTAAAACCAACATTAGTCCAATACCTGCCAGTGTGGCCACACCTAACTGTTGCCATAATAAAACTAATCCCAAAATGATCTGAAATGGTGCCGACCAGAGATGGTTAACCATATTTACAAACTCAACAATACGTTGTGAGTCCACTGACATTAAATTAACGATCTCACCGGTGGTAAAGTCTTTACGTCCAGAGCTCGACAGTTTCAAACTCTACAATATTAAAGTTAAATCATTTATTAATACATTTATTAAATTATTTTGTTATTTAGTCAACCTTTTTATAAATAGTCGATATAACACATGATCTGATTCTCATACTAATGGCATTAATCCTATACTCRTATTGACTATTAAGAAGTGATTCAAACATCGGTGATATCAACATAAGTGTAGCGTACAGATAGCCCCTCCATTCGGGTTCAGTACTATTTGGTGCCATAAAATTTATCAACAAATCCAAAACCATTGGATTTACAAATGTCAGAGAACTGGCCACCAATCGGATCAATGCCGCTAATAGCATCCCCGGCCAAAATGTCTTAATAATAGTGTTCAAAATGCTTATCTCAGTGATGATGGCCTCTCCCGGTGCTGCCCTTTGTATGGCATTATCTTTAGCCTTTTCAAAGGCCGGATTCCATATTTTATCAAAGATTCTCAAAATATAATTTGTTTGGTTTTTATGGGATAGAGACCACATGTCGGTAGTGTTGAGCGGCTTTTTATATCCTTTAAATATCATTGAATTGAACCACCAAAATGTCAATCGAGATAAAGACGATGCAGATTCCTTCGGACACTTATTCTTTACATTCAAATAATATATTTATTAAATATAAAAAATTTGTTAATTAAAAATGTTTTAAAGTAATTACCGGATCTCTTTTGGCAAAAATATCGACATAAGAGATGTCAGAAAAACATGAAAATAATAATTGAATCAAAACTATGGGGTAATACAAAATTGTAGCCATAAATCTATATGAATCTAATAATCCGCTAAAGTATTTCTAATTATKTGTAAATTAAATAGAAATATATTAATTAATTTAAAAATTTTATAATGAAAAATATAATTAAATTTTATACTTCATTTTGAAGACTATGAATAGTTGTCCGGTAAGTAAATGTGGACCCAATTGACAATACAAACCAAAATATAAAGATAACACTCGATGAATGGATACCATGTTTTCGATGTAAACGATTTAAAATTACGACATAAATCTGTAGAAAATTATTTTGTTGACAAAACAGTTTAAGTGATTCTCAGTTTTATATTATTTAAATACATACAAATGTAAGGGACTTAATGACTGGTGTGACAAAGTGTACGGTAAACACAAAATAATCATTATTTAAGTATTTGACTGTWGAAACAATTAATTCAAACAAACTTATAGCTAATAAAACCAATGATAATATCTATATAAAGTATTGAATAAAATTAGAAAATGGATTTTATTATTACTTTATTATTTATTTTATTTTATTTTATTATTTGAATCATTATATGATAATTGACTTACAATTTTAGTAATTGATAATACAGTATATGGATTGGGTTTTCTATTGTTATCGAAATAGATTTTATATAAATCAATGAATGACAGAATCCATAATAAGAGACACGGAATCCATACAAGAATTGTCTCTTCAAAACAATAAGTAAATTCCGGTAATGAATGGGAATTCCAGGAAAGATCCCAATCCTTTGGATAAATTTATTTACAAATATTTTTTTAACTAATCTGATTATATTGAKATAAAWTAAATTAAATATATTATAATAATTTTACCCAAAAATGTGAGCCACAAAAATTTTCCATATATAATATATTAATTGATTTGATATTTTGCTTAATTCAAATGTAATGTAGAAAATGTTGTTTCACAATTAAAAAACAAACAAATAAACAAATATTAAATTCACTTTATTTTTTGGTTTGTATAAATTTTGTACCAAAAATATAACATTGTATATATTTATTTAAAAAATGCAAATACATTGCGTACATTGTGTTCAAGTACTCAATTATGTTCAATACAATAACTTATAATAGTTTTAATTTTAGTTTAAAATCACTATTTTAATGTAAATATCATTTATGAGTTCAAATTAAGTGCATTAATAATGCAAACAATATTTACTGATTATTAAGTTAAAAACAAGAAAACAAATAATTRATTTTATAAACTTAAATCATRAAAATAGTTTAACAAATTATAATATCATTTAAATATTATATTTAGTAATAGTCTATAAAGATTATTTTAGTATTTTACTTGTTATATACAGTATATATACACTGTACTGTACAGTAGTTTAAAATATATATAAACAAAAATAATGAATCCTAATTTATTTTTAATATATTATATTTATAAAAAATACTATTGTTATTGCAATAAATAATCACAATATAAGTAAATATTAATAATTTATGATAAGTAATATTAAATACAGTATTTTTAGATTAATAACTAAAACATTATTTATTTGAACTTTTTTACCTAATAATAGTTTACTAATTTAAAAAAAAATCTTGTAAATATATATATATATATATATATATATTATGATACAATGTTGAATGTCTATTAATTATTTGCTATATATTCACAATTTATTATTGATATCATAAGTGGATATTGTATGCTAAGTATTTGCAGACAGGTTTTGATGATATGAAAAGGCAATAACTTTATATTTTAAGGTATATATTGATACTACAGATAAAAATTTATGAAACACAAAATTATCTAAAATCATCTTCAATTGAATAATAAGTTAATTTAATAAATTTCATTAGAAACTTATTTTATTAATACAAGCTTACAAGTACTTTGAATATATTAATTAAATTAAGCTATTTTTAATTTTTTTWAAATGTCAGTAAAATAAAAAAATAAATCTATATCTTTCAAATAATAAACCGCCAATTTTACTAATAACACAAATTTTATTTAATTAAATAGTCTAAACAAATAAGACATTAATCTTTTCTAATATATAAATTGTAATATATTTTATAAACATTAATACATCTTCTATTAAACAATAAAATTAATAYTATATTATTATTTAACAAAATGTATTATTATTTTATTAAATTCTAGTCATTTTCTAGATATTTTAATTGATTATTTTAATTTTAAAAACCTCTTTTAATTGCCATTTTTTTATTTATTTACTTAATTTAAAAAAATAATTTTATTTATGTATATGTAATTATTAAATAATGCTAAATAAAGTACAATAATTATTTTAATCTAAAATAATTAAGAAAATTTTCCAAACTTAGTGATAAAGCAATTAATATAACGTTAGTGTAATGAATACTAGAGATTAGATATTGTTTAAACTGTAATATTTATGAACTTTGAAATAAAGTTTTTGTTATTATATTGTATTAAATCTGATAAATTAATTTAATACAATAATAAATCATTAAACACTTTGTCTTATTATTTTATAATAATAATGAATAAAAAAATTAGTGCAATTATTGCAAATCTTAAAAAATATAATATAATTTAACCATATAAAACTTATTTTAATCAATGGACAATTTTTGGTAACATTAAATTAGAATTTAGAAATAAACAATAAAAACAGTTTTTAAATTAAATATATATATAATTTAAATTATTGACAATCTTTAATTAAATATTAAGATAAACTAATTTATATAYTGTATTATAATGCAAAATATATAATGATGCTTTATGTCTACAATTAAATTAATAGATAATATAAGTTCACACATACATGTAATTAAAAATAATTAAAAAAAATATATAAGAAATAATATTATAATAATGTTTGTTCACAAATACAACAATTAAGTTTTAATTATTTGTAAAGACATAGATTTTACTTGATTTTTGACATTATTGTCTCGTTATATATAATTTTTTATTTAAAGTAAAGAACATCCGATTAATTCATAACAATTTATAACAAAAGCATTACAAAGACGCGTGAATTTTCAAAATAATAGATTAAAAATACTGTAAAATATAATATAAAAAAATAATAACCGATTCATAAAAGCAAAACATTAAACAGAATACACATATAAATTATGATTTAAGATTAAGTTTCCCAACCATTTGATATCAAATACTATATAACAGTATCTGAATAATTGAAAATCGTTTGTGAAATCTGTAATTAAGTAAGTTATGGAAAATAGCGACAAATTGGAGTCACCGGAAGGGAAGATCATTGATAAGTCCAACTGGAAGATCGGCCGATTCATTACAGGAGGTACTGTACTGTCTTTATATAATGACTGTAACTATAAAACAATACAATATCTCAATCTTTAGGTTCATACGGACGCCTCCATTTGGGTCGTAACACAAAAACAGGTAAAGAGGCGGCCATCAAACTAGAGGCCCGATCGAGTCCTACACCGACACTGCCGCTGGAGTTTTCATTTTATAAGATACTCAAGCAATCCAAAGGTGTGCCCAAAATCTATTACTTCGGAAAGTGTGACATTTGGAGCGCTCTTGTTATGGATCTGTTGGGTCCGAGTCTTAAAGATGTATTTGAAAAGTGCGACAAGTTTTCGATTCGGACGACTACCCAATTAGCCATTCAATTGATAGGTATTCTTGAAGATTTTCACGGACACCGACTCGTCTATCGGGATACTAAACCAGAAAACTTTTTATTGGGACCGACCGGTTCAGACACTTATAATGTCGTCCATATTATTGATTTTGGTTTATGTAAAGAATATAAAGATGAGAACACCGGTCAACACATACCGATGGCAACAGGAAAGCCGTGGACGGGAACAGTGCGGTACATGTCTATCAATAATCATATGAATAGAGAACAGAGCCGTCGAGTATGTAAACTATCAATTGATTTGTTTAGTATTAACAACTGTTTGATTCAATTGTAGGATGACTTGGAGTCCATGGCCTATATGTTGGTGTTTCTACACAAGGGTGAGCTTCCGTGGCAAGGCATACAAGTGTCAGACATTAGCGAGAGATACCGAAAAATTGGTGAAATCAAACATCGCATCAAACCGTCCGAACTGTGCGCCGAAATGCCCGAAGAGTACGAAAAATTTGTCCGATTAGTACGTAATCTTAGCTTTGAAGAAGAGCCTAATTATAAGGCTTATATCAATATGTTTACCAAAGTTTTGACAAAAATGGGAAATAATTTCAATGAAAAAATTTATGACTGGGATCGCAATCACAAACTCAAACCATCTAACAAAAAATAAGACCAACAAAACAATTAAATATATACTAAACAATATACTCTTAATTTATTAGTTATACAACATTTAATATACAGTTATAGTTAACAAATGTATTAAATATGAATTTATTTCAGTATATCATTGCATTTGTTTCAAATTTATTAATTATTAATAAGTTATTAAATTTTAGAGAATTGGCAGATTTTGTATCTAAATTTTAGTTAAATGTTATACAGTAATTGTCATAATTAAAGTGTCATAAAATAGTTGAAATTTATTTATTAAAAACTAGTTAGATCTCCACGTTATAAAATGTGTATCAATAGTTAACACGTGCAACATTTACGTGCTTACAGTTTATTATAAAAAAGTAGATTTTATTTAATTATTATTTATTTAATAAATTAAATTATTAATAATCGCGCGACACATTAAAAGTAATTGTTTGCGTCACACAAATTTGCTACAAACATTGAACAAATTATATAGTAGTATAGATTATTAATATAATAAAGTATATACTGTACATATCAATATAATATTTAAAAATAATAATAATAAATATATTAAATGTAATTCATTGTTTAATATATTTAATAATATATTTATTATAACTAAATTATTTATCGAACGTGAAAATAATTTTGAATTAAAAAAAATTTAATTCAAACAAATTTGTATCAAAATATCAGTTAAATATAAATCAAAGTATATTCAAAGTAATTATATAAATATGTGTCTGTTTTGCAAAAAATTGTTTGGATTTAAAACAACTAACAAAAAGAAGACACAGAAGACTAAAGAGATAAAACAATCGGCACTTTTGTTGGCCAACTCGTCGTCTGTTTCGGACAAGTCATCCAATGAAGATACAGAAGACATCATTAATGATGACTTCAATAAACTTATTAATTCTGAATATAAGTTTACATCAGATGTCGAATACAACAGCAAAATACCTAATGATGACCATAGGATCAGACTTAAGCAAAGAGGTTATGAAATTAATTCAATGAATGCCATCGAAAAGGGAACCTTTTCACAAATCTTTGCTATTACTGAACAGTCAACTAAAATCAAATGTGTTGTTAAAGTATTTCAATATAAAGAATTGGCTCAAAGTGATGGTCTTTATCGGGAATTCACTAAAGAAATGATTAAAATAATAAAAATTTTTAAATCACAAAACATGAATCATCATCTGATCCAATACTACAGACACTTTATGTACGACAAAAAAGATATTTACATAATTATGGAGCAGTCAACCGGTGATAATCTTCAAACACGACTCAACAAATGCAAAGACAAGGGTTTCACTGAATCGCAAACCTGGAAATACTTCAAACAGATCGCTGAGGCCATCAATTATTTACATACACAGAGTATAGCCCACAGAAATCTTAAATTAGACAATGTTTTGGTGTTCAAAGCAAAGGATGGACAGGAAGTGTTGAAAGTAAGCGATTACTCTACTAATCGTATGTACAGAAAAACAGCTAAAACAGTGGTTTATAAAAGAGACGCAAAAAGTGTTATATATATGTCGCCACAGATTTTGATCTTTTATACCAAACATTTGGAACAGAAATATAAAAAGTCTGACATTAAAGATATCAATCCATTTGATCCAATGAAAGGTGATATTTGGGCTCTTGGCATATGTCTGTATTGTATGCTAATTAAATCGCCCCCTTATGGCATACCTCCTAAAACCAATGGTTTGACCAAACAAGACGCGGTAAAAGAGAAAAGCAAATTTGTAAAAGACTGTCTCAACCAAATCAAATCAGATCTATTGATACCTAAACAAGTCGAGTGGAAATTCAGTTATAACTGCAGAGATTTACTCAATGAAATGCTTGATAAAAATGTTCAAAAACGGATCAACCATTTCGGTGTTATCAAACATCAATGGACCCAAAAAGGTGACCAAATTATCACCAATAAAACTAAGAAATGATTTCAAATCAGACAATCAATCTATTATATAGTTAAATGATTTTTGTTTTATTTTCTAAAAATTTTTAATGATTATAACATTACTTTAAAAATATCAATCAATAAAAAATGTGTTCAAAAAAATTGAATTTACAAATGGCTGTTGAATTGATATTTACAATATTTTTTGTTATAATAAATGATATAAATTTATCAAATTAAATAAATTCAAATTTCTTATATTAACATTAATTATCATAAAATAGATATATTAATGTCTAAATGCTCTAAACATATAAGAGTTAACTTTTTGTGATATTGTGTAATATATTCTAAATTTTTAAAATAATGTGTCAATAAATTAAATATTTGTTCAAAATAGCTAAATCGTTTGATAATAATAATAATAATTGAGTATAATTTATAATACAAAAATATGATAAATACTATAAAAATCATTTGTTGATGTTTTTCAATGATAGATGCGTTTACATAATAGCAAAGACTAATACTTTTTGTTTGTTTGTTTGTTTGATTGAAACATATAAGAGATTTCTATAATTATTGATAAATTATTTTTAAATTAAAAAGTCATGAGTCATGACCTTAAATGACATCAATTAACTATTAAACACTTTATATAATACTTTAAAGTTTGATAATAATATCTGGATTATCAATAAATTGTTTTATGAAATGTTTGTCTAATGTTTATCTTTAATATCTTTAATATCTTCATCTTTTCCATTACTATCGATGAATGTCTGCTCTTCTAAATTGATTTCAACTCCGTTGCCATTTGTTGTCTGGAAATATAAGTGTTATTAGAAAAATAAAATTAAAATCATTAATATAATGATATTATAAATTAAAAATAATAGACATTTCAGATAATGTGTAAATGCATTTAATCTTCATTACACACATTCATTATATCTTTATAACATTTATAATACAACATAGAGATACAATCAAACATAAAAACATTAATCATTTGATTCATGCATTGAAAACAATAATTAAAAAAATAAAATAACAAAATGTAACAAAAAATTTAAAAAATCATTCAAATTCAATCAAATATGCTTTAAATAATAATTGATTTTCAAACAAATATTAAATTAAAAAAATTAACATTACATATCATTAATGAAAACATATAAGTCTGCAAAATAATAACCTATTAATTAGTGATTATGTATGATATATCATATATATATAAATGACAAATAAAATTGAGTATTAAAAGTCAAACTTGTGGTGTGTATTACAGAGTTGTTATCAACTTTTTCTGTAAGTAAAGAAAAAAATAAAAAAACACGTGAAAAATAAATATCAATTAAAGCCGTTATTATCAAGTTTTACGGGAATTTCGACACTAATATTAATGGGAAAAATGCTTTTGCATTATCAATACATTTATTGCTTAATACATTAAAAAATTAACGACAAAAAACTTGTCAATAAATTATTATTATTTGATAAAATCTTTGATAAACTTTTTGTGACTAAAGCTAAAATGATTGCACGATATATTTAATATAAACTTTTTTTTTAAGGATAACATTTTGTTGAGCTGATTGTCATTTGTTCAAACAGTGGTAACTTTGACGCCTTTTTGGTCAGTTGTTTGGTATAATACCTTAGTCTCGGCTCCCTTTTGGTTGGGATCCTGTTGTTGACCATTAAGTGCTTCATAAGTTAGACCAGCATTTCTATCCTTAGTTCGCCTGCGATTAACCCAAAACGTGATCTGTCGTGACCTCAACACAAACATATAACAACAGAAAGCCAGTAAAATGATGGCAATTATGGCCACAAACAACACGATTATAACCCAAACCAGAATATCAGCGGTCGAGTGCTGAGGACTCAGTCCACACTCGTCATCAAACTTGAAAAAGTCATCCACTATTAGTAGCGGACCATTGCATGGCTATTATGTTATAAAAAGACAACAATAAATATATAGTAAATAAATATATTTTTAAATAATTTGATTAATTCAATAAACAATACCTCATTTCCATATACGGAACAAATATAAAAGTCTTTGCCTTTAAACATATAAAGTACGGCGTCTTCAATGATTGAAGCGGTCTTAATAAAGTTAGCCGAGTCTAGTGGTCCCTCAATGCCTGAGAAGGAGACGGGCAAACTCAGGTGACGGACCTCTTCCCACACCCCTTCTTGACATTTCAGTGATGTATAAGAGTTGCCTATTTTTCAATCAAATATTAACTTTTATGTTATTTATATTACATTAAACTACAATATATGGCAAACCTTGAAATATGACAACGATATCATTCAAATAGCCAAACGCATCGATAGGTTGGGACCAGTTTATGGATTTGGCGGCACTCAACACATCCACATCTTCTAATGAATGACTAACTGTCCACTTCTCGTCCTCGTATGTATTAACTGTTATACTGTTATTTTCAATGTCCTGTGATTACAATTAAGGCATGAATTATATTTAAATAGTAGTAGTAGTGAATGGCATRTGTTTAATGAAACTTTAGATTTTATCTTATATTCTTATCTAATATAACAAACAAAAATCTTTATTATTAAGCTATAAGTTATGCCTAATTCGTGATTAAATTCATGCGAAAACAAGAATTTATTTCGAGATATTTTCATTGTATTTAAAGTTTGTTTAGTTTATAAAACATTTTAATCGATTTTTATAATAATGGATACGAAAAATAAACTTAATTTGCATTTTTGTGTTTCACACAAGTTTTGTTAGTATTTGATAAACAATCTTCAAGTTTGTGATAATGTAAATGTAAATTATGAATCCTTTTATATATTATATAGAGATCATGAAAAAAATACAAAAATAAAACTTTTATTCAATTGCTATTAAATTGTTTATTCAATTCATAAGTTTGCTATTTTACTTATATATTTGAGTCTAATTTCTTGCCCTATCATAGCATTACTAATAACCAAAAAGATTTTAAAGAAATAATACACAAATTGGCATAAAATATACTTTTATAAGACATGTTGTAATATTATAAATATTATAAAATCAAATTAATAAACATATGGTGTGTTTGTGTGCAATTGAGGGTCATTTCGGCTCAAATCGTGACACAAACCCTCTCTTAATATATATTAGTAATAAAATAAAATATTCATATATTTTAAAAGTTAATTTTGTGTCGAGTTTTATGTAATACTTATTATATTTATGTTGATTAGATCTGATAAAATATGTTTTTAATAATTTTAATTTTTATTTGATTTATAAACAGGTTGTTGGATTAAATTAACTAATGATAAAATATGTAAAATAATTTAGTTTCACAGATAAATTAGTCTAAATAAATAATTGATAAATATCTTAATTGTAACCATTAAATAAAATGTTGACATTTATGAAACAATAATTATTATACATTAAATCATATTTTGCTATCAAATTAAAAATAATAAAAATTAATTAAAAGATTGATTACAACAGTAAATAATTTCTTGGAGTATTTAAATAACTATAAAATTAATTGAATATTATTACAAAATTACAATTTTCAATTAAATAGATATAAATCTATATATTGAGGCAAAAAATAATTTATATTAATTTATAAAAATTTTTAGGTCATAACTTGAGTGTCCAATTAAACAGTGTGTTTAAGACAGTAATTGTAATATAATTGCTGACAATATAAGCGTTAAATTGTTTTCCAATTCGCACACAATTCTGTAATTTCATGACTAACTTCATTGCATTTTAATAACAAGTTATCATTGAAATTATGATTTCATTCAATATTTTCTTTCAAATATTGTTTTCAATGTGTTTACAGGTATTACAGGTATTGAAAAATTCCATGAAATGAGTCACTCATATATATATATGAATAACAAAAAAATTATATAAAAACAAAAAATAATAATAATATATCAAAGTTTAATATAACTAAAAATTGAGTATTATTTTGAAATATGATAACAAAAACAAAATAAAGCAAAATTTTATTATTATTATTATTATATTAAATTGAATTGAATAGTACAGTATTTATAACACTTATTGACAATTAAATTTTATTTATATAAAAAATTTTGCAATACATAAATTCAGACCTAAATTTTTATTTAATTATATTCAATAAGCAAATAAATATTTGAATTAAATGGGAAGTTATGCATATATATTTTAAAAAATAAAATATTGGACAGGAAATTAATTTATTTCAATTAAATTGTGTAATAATTTTATATTTAAATATTGTATGAATTTACAGTATTTATATATCTTATTAAAAAGTATAATTATTACTAATAGTATAATGAAATTWCTTAAAGTAAATTACAAAACAATAAATATTTTATGAGATCATTGAATTTAGTAATAACTGTCTAAAATGAATAAAATMTATTTATAATTCATTTAAGTTATCATATATTAGTTAATTAATGATAGCTATAAGTTATCCAAAATTCAGACATTTGTCATTTTCTCATGATTTATGCCAACAAATGGTGTAATTAAATATTCACTATTATTGATATTATTATAAGTTATTTTAAATTTTTTTATAAACAAATGAATACTGTAGTAAATAATAAATAATGAAAAATCTTTAATATAAAATGTAGTATTATATAAATTTGAGATAAATATAAGATTTTAAGCAATGAAAAATAGTTATTTATATTAAGAACTATTTTTCAGAAAAATCTATTTGTAAAGATATATAAGTTTTTTTGTGTATCCATTAAATAGTTATCTAAAATAAATTAAAAGATTCTTTTAGTTATTTTTCAAATTTGCTATTTTTTAAAAAATTACTTATAAATGATTTTTATCTAAAACTTTAGTTCAAAGGAGTTGTTTGACAAACAATTTGTTGTGCAATCAAAAGACACGGAAGCAGTCATTTCTGTCTTGAATGCCTTTTATTTACTATTATATACCAAATGAGTTACTTATAATATTTATATATATATGTATTGATATATAAAACAGTTATTATTAACTCGAGATATTGATGACGATATCAATTATAAAGCTAAACCCTTATATGTTTTTAAATAAAAACATTCATTTATAACATTAAATCCATTAATATAATAGAAATTTATTTTGTTTAGTGGTTTGTATATCATATTATATAATAATTCTATAAATAAATAATGTTTTTTTGTTCAATAGTATTATTGTTGTAATAACTACTAGTAGTAAAAAAATATTTAACAATTTGTAATGTGAATCACGATTTGAACAAATGGTTTGTACACTAAATGATAAAAATATAAAAATCAATACATTTTTAATACCTGTATAAAAACTGTTTTATTTTCTGGTACTTAATATGCAATGTGGATATATTATAATTATTAATATTATAGTTTTATGTAATTATTGTGTGTTAATGACACTGTCTTATGAAAGTAAAACATATTTTTTTATTAACATATTTTTTATATTTATTTGAAATGACATATCATAGTACAGTCAGTCTAATTAAAAATTAATAACAAAACTGTGTTTAGCGGACTGTTGAAGAAAAATATCTGTATTTTTAAATTATTCCGACACTGAAAAAATCAATTTCAGATACTCTGTAATCGTAGATATAATTAATAAAATTTAATCTTTTGCCTCATTTAACACAAACACTGTATTTTTCGGTTTAAAAAATATTGGAAATTATTTTATAGCAACATTTTTTTTTAATTTAAGTAAAAAAACTTTTTTCCCGRAAAATCTTGATTATGTGTGTATGTGTGTGTGTGTGTGTGTGTGTGTGTGTGTGTGTGTGTGTGTGTGTGTGTGTGTGTGTGTGTGTGTGTGTGAGAGAGAGAGAGAGAGAGAGAGAGAGAGAGAGAGAGAGAGAGAGAGAGAGAGAGAGAGAGAGAGAGAGAGAGAGAGAGAGATGAATATCCAAGAATTGATAAAATTTAATTGAATTTCATTTATTTTATTTTATCATTTTTTTAAATGACTAAATATTTTTAAACACATATATCATTAGTTTATTTTTATAAAATTAATGTACAAATGAGTCAAAAATTAAATATAAATATGGAAGCAATAAATTATTATTGTAATCAAGCGCTTCATCCATAATTCATGCAATAGTTATACTATGATCTCAAGTATATCATCAAAATGTGATAATTAGTGGGAAATCTAAGCCAAAAAAACTAATGCAAAGCCAATGGCAACGCCTTTATATTTAGTTCATAATTATCACAAAATAACTTAACTTAGTTTTCAATATTTCTAAACTACTATATATTATATTTATTACTTGCGGCTTACAATTATTTCTGAGCAAAATATTTTTTATATATACAATACWATAAATTTTTAATAAATAATTTATATTAAACTATTTTTCTTAAATCTCATATTTTCAGTCAATTCTTATTCTAAAAATATAAATACTTTTTAAAAATAGTTGATTGTAGTCGTCATAAAAAATCATGACATTAAACAATATTTATTATAAATCAAACCAATTAATAGAGAATATAACATAAGGAGTGACTGTTTACAGCYTTTTCTTTATTGAAGACAAACTTTTTTCAAAACACTTTTTAAAATGATTTTCTTTTTTTACATATATATAACCAAATGTCAAACTGTCTCTCAATATATTATTTGATTCAATGATAGTCTGTTGTAATTTTGTTATTTTTTATTAGTTTAATAGACATTTGCCAGAAGTTTAGTGTGTGTTTTGATGTATAAATGAAAAACATTTTTGCACTACAGTATAGTATTGGTGTGTATTATGTAGGGATGATACTGTATTATACACTTTATAAAGATATACAGTACTTTATATACAATAGTAATTTTGGCACAACGTTTTTTGAGAGGCGTGTATATAATATAATGTATATATTTGCTTATTAGTCAATTTAAATAATCTTTTATAAATCAATTAAATGATTAATAAATTAATTTATAGCACTCTTTAAAAAAAACTATTAAAATACAGTATTTACTGGATATTTATTTCTCACTCTAAACACTTGTGACAACAATTTATGACTACTTCCGATACGAGTTACTCTAAATTGACACTAAAACTGACTGTAGGAAAGATAGTGTATATATTAATATAAGTTAGCTTTTAATTATGGCTATTGTATAATAATTATATGACTTTTTTTAGCCAATAGACACGGTTGACAGTTCAATGAGTCACCCGTAATGACAATCCTTATGTACAGAATATTAATAATATATAAATATAAAAAACAAATTAAACAATAGAAATAAAATTATCAATTTAATTATCATTTTTAAAGTAATTTTGATCTCTAAAATTCAAAATTTTTTGAGTGAAATAAAATTTTATATTTTATCATGATTAAAATATACTAAACAATATAAATATTATCGTTAAACTATATCTTAAATTTCGTATTAGTTTTTTGTTGGAATTTTAATCAGTGATATTTGAGACAAAATTTAAAAAACAAAAATTTTATATGCTTTAAATTATGTCTAAAATATTTTTGTCGATTAACAATATAATACAAAAAAATAAATTTTAAAAATTTATACAAAATGTTGGTTTGATTGAAGTCTATTGTAAGTAAATTTTTAGATTGTATTGTGTTTTATATAGTATTAGGAAGTAGTAAATTATTATAAAATACTAAAAATAATAAAAAACAATAAAATGAAACACAATTGTCATACTATTTTCATAAATAGAAAACAATTAAAGCTTATAATTATATGAAAAAGAAAAATTATGAGATAAAAATAAAAGATATAATTAAAAAATAATTTTTATAATAATATTTTTAAAAATAAATTACTTGAGTGAAGAAAATAAGTTGTTCTCTAATTTGGTGACACTTTTTGTTGCGTTTGTCTGCTTTGATCTTCAAATTGATGACCGCATCGACAGTCGACACATCGGTTAATAGATTACTAATTTTGATGGCATTGTCGTGAACGGGYCTCTCGTGTGATTTGAGTATCCAATATTGATGACCACTGGCCACAAATAATGACCCATTGGTTAGATTCATAATAGCATCGATACTATCGATTGTATAATTACAGTGAGGCTTAATGTCATGATGTGATGTCTGACCGGTCGACAAACAATCAACACTTAGATCACGAGATATCAATGAGTATATTATTAATAGTTTTAAAATTAATAATAAATTAAATTTTATTAAATTTGTGAATAACATTATGTGATATTATTTAATTTGATTATCAATTTATTTAAAAAATCACAAAAAACTAAACTTTTCAAACTTTAGTTTTATATTTTTCATAAAAACCATTTATTTAATAATATTTATATTAATTCAAATGCTTTTAGTTTAAAAAACTTTTAAAATAATGAAATAAAATACTGACTATTATTTTTAGCAAAACTTTCAATTAAATCACCACTAAATAGAAATCATTAAATAAAATAATTATTATAAATGAAAACTAAGTTAAATAAAGTTTAAATATTTTTGAAAAATATTTGTTTAGTGAAAAAACGAGGAATACATATCACTATGTGATATAGCACTGGGAGGCAGAGGTACACTACCATCAAAAACAATGAGACACTGACAGCACCGATGAGATGGTGATACAACAAACACACTGTCATATAATATAAAAATTTGTAGAGAAGTGACACCAATGAGGATAAACTCAAATATATCCTTCACTTCGCTGTAATTATTAATGCGGTGTTGAATCAACTCTCAGGCTTTCTATCTCTCCCTCTCTCTCTAACTACTATTCMAGTTGACTACCAGTGCTATTATGGCAGTGCAACACAACGTTGCCAATGGCGTTACCAACACAAGGACACACCAACACAACTGATTCAATACACACACACCAGAGCTCTAAGAGTAAAAAGATAGGCAAAGGAACACTGATTTCAATACAAGAATTATATATATGTTTGTGAATATACAGTACTAGTCTTTTCAAGACTATAAATATACTTTATATATACGATATATAGCATACCTTTCCCGCTATAGTTACCGACTGTTGTTAAGCCATGTTTTGCAGGTTTTGCTTTTGCAAGAGAACCGGGCAATCGATTAATTCATTTTTATGGCTTATATATTATTTGTATGACTACTCTCTACTTCCAGTGTCTAATAAACTCAACGTTTCTTTTAGTTATAGATATATTGTTTGAGAAAACATATTCCTCTCGACTTAAATATGAATAATTTGCTTTCAGATTCTCTTCCAGCTATCTGTTTGTACAACCGTTTAAATGGTTGTCCTCTTATACCTATATATATATATAATATTTATAAGTTGGATGTATTGTCGGTTTGGAGACCATTATTAATAATTACTGTCATATACCGACACACACACAGCACYACATATTGAGTGGAAAGTTGTGTTGTTGTTGACTGACACGACTGGTTGTTCACAAAACTTTTTTGTAGTTACAATTGAAATAACATTTTTTGGGTCAACCATTGATGTTATTCCTGTAATATTATTGTTGGCGAACCTGTGTTTAGATAATGGTTTGGGTCTTAGCTAAACAGCTAACATAATAATAATGGCAAAAATGCATGAAATATCTGAATTTTCCTTTAAATTACACATACATTACATTAGTTTACATTCACATAGAAAACCATAAAACGAGTGACAAAAATATTTATTTTTATTCAATTAAAAATATATATAACTTATGTAATGAATTTGTTACATTTTTTGAAAACTAATTTATTTAAACAAATTATATCTCAAAGTTATAATATAAAAATTTTATTTTTATTTGTAGTTGTCACAAAATATTTGCTTTAAGATAAATTTAATAAAATAAAATTTATTCATAAATTTTATTTTTATGTTATGTAAGAATATTATATAAATATATATCTTATTACACTAAAAAACAATTATAACTGCATTAAGTTTGTCAAACGATAATAATAAACTGTATTTAGCTTAATGTTGTTTCACTTGAAATGATGACTACTGTAATATCATAGTTGTTATGTAAAAGTATAGAAATATTAGACAACGATAGAGATTGCGATAGATTAGTGACTGAAGTATGAGATAAATATGCGAAAAATATTTGGCAAAACCCTTAGAGGACAGGCAGTTATATATATTGTACATACTCTACTACAATGTGTGTGTGTGTGTGTGTGTGTGTGTGTGAGTGTGCACTCCTAACAATATGTCCTAAATTTAAATTTATAATTTGCTAATTTTAACTATTATACCGTATTATGATTATTACAGTTTTAGCTTAAGCCAAAATACAACTTAAAATAGTTAGTCGAAGTTAAAGTTATAGTTAGAGAAACAACTTTTAAAACTATAAAATATGCAAAAGTCATTACAAAAAGAGATTGTTGTTTATATACAAGTGTTCACTGAAACACTATTTCAGGAACTGTAGRCCAAAAAAGKATTGTTGAAACTGAAAGGTTATGACCTTTTTATTAGCCACAGAGGGTCTGTAAAAACATTTTTGCATTTATATGATACTCTGGTGATAAACGTCGACATTTATATTACTGTTTATTTTGTTTGTTTGTTTCAAACACACTTATAGCCAATAATCAAGTGTTAATGTTGTTTTAAAACTGACAATTGTTGGTTATATAGACATTAATACAGTATTTATTTTTATGACAATCATATTTTTCAAATAAACTGTTTATCAAACTAATCAAAACATTAGCCATTATTTTTAATTAACATTAAAATATCGTTTTAAAATGTAAAGTAAAGCCATTTTCTATTAAAATATAACTAAAAATTTTATGTTATTTCTGGAGCTCCAGCTCTTCATTAAATTTTATTATTTTTATTTTATAGCAAATATAAACATCAAAGTAATTAAAAGTAATCAAAATTAATGAAGAAAAATGTTTGGGGTTTCAATAATTGAGTCTTTAATCAAATAAAATCTAATTTTTATAGTTAAACATTACATACCAAACCACGCCATACATTAGACATCTATCTATTGACGCTTACAATGGTTTAGCCTTACATTTAATATGGTGATCAAATCAGTTAAATTCACCTAGACAATATTAAAATATTTGTAAAAAAATCAATATAAAAATTATAATTTGTTTAGATTATTGTCGATTTGTATTATTAAATCAAGTCATTTAGTTATAATAAATAAAATAAAATTTAATTAAGTAAGAAATATTAATAATATTCAAAAAATATATAATTTGATATTTGGACACTATATACACAATATATGTCTACATATTTTTATCATAAAAAAGTTATATTCAATAAATTTAACTCAAAAACGAAAGTTAGTTACTCTTTATCTTAACCTTGAATGCAATGCATCACTGGATTCTTGCCTTAAGTCATATAAAGCTCTCTCTCTCTCTCTCTCTCTCTCTCTCTCTCTTTCTCTYTCTCTCTCTCTCTCTCTYTCTCTYTCTCTCTCTCTCTGCTCTCTACTATAATGTATAATATTATATCATCTCTCATGTGAGTCATATATGCAATAATGAGAAAAATAATATTCAACAGGAGTTTAAAACTGATGATAAATTACCCCTAATTTTATATTATATAATACCGTTTAAGTAAAATAAAACTCATTATATATATATATTTTTTAAAAAATTGAATATTTAATTTTAATTTATTATAAATTTTGATTTTTATAATTTAATTGTGACAATAAAAATAGTTTGTTTTAATTCTCATTATTCTTATTTTAATCTTAACTAAATATAATTATTTTGTTTTTCTATTAATTAAAATATTAATCTTAAAAATTATAGTTTAATTATCGATGAATATTTAAATATCAAATTATGTATAATTAAAATATTTTTACATTTGTATTGTATTGTAATTTATTCATATTTATATTTAAAGATTTAATTATAAATTTATATAAAAAAATTATAACTGATATATATTGAAATTAATTATTTAAAATACTATAATAATCAAACTAAATTATTTTTATTATTTATTATTAATGTTATTGAATGCCATATAACCTCTATTAGTGGGCTCTGTATTGACACTAATAATATCATTGAAATCGTTGAGTGAATTTAGCCGAAGTCCAGTCCGACCATTGTTTTCAATATTTGTTTCACATTTACTYTTACATTGTATATAAACTGTTAGTATTGCCAAACACAATGAAATTGTCAAACAAACTTCAATTGCAATAACCATTTCATCTAAAAGTTTTCATCTAATGTTATTATTTTTTGCTAAATATTTTATAATTATTTAAAAATTAATTAATTACTGAAGTTTTTATCACTTGTGTTGCCCTTGAATGAAGTCATCTGTGGTTTTATTGTTGTTGTTGTTGATGTTATTGTTATAATTTTTGATATATTATTAGACTGTCCTTCTGATAGATTTGTTTCTTTACTTTGAGACACAAAACCAGATCTCAATTCAAGATCACGTTTCACCAGATTTTTATAGTGTTTAGCTATCATTGCAATGTGTTTTGACGATATTTCATGCGATGAGACTGAGAAAATAGTTTACAATAAATAAACAATTTTAAAGAATATAATACTAAATGTAATCATTATAATAGTTTTTACTACTATAAAGTTATAAGAAATGCTATAAAATAAAGCCCTAAAATAAGACAGATTTACAATATTATCAATACATTTAAAAATTTAGTTAATACAATAATTTGGTTTTATATATTAATGAAAACATATTAGTATTCATAAGAAAAATAGTAATTTTATAAACATATCTAACTTATGTTATTTCACAACTAAAGTACAGTATATAACTTTATCCATAGCTATCATAAAGATATTATTTTTCGCTTTGTTTTAATATCCATAATTAAAGTTAGATTTTTTGTCAAAATACACTATAATTAAAAGTGTATTTTCTTACTAATATTACTGTATTTTACATCAATTGAATTACTAGTCAAAGAAAGAAATAGAGAGAGAGAGAGGGAGGGAGAGAGAGAGAGAGAGAGAGAGTCACATAAAGGATGAGTTGACCTCAACTGAAAATTCTTATGGTTGTTGTTATTGTAAAAGCAGTTGGTTTTGTTAATATAAGGGTGGGTGCAAAGTGCAGGCATAAGACAGCTAATGTTGCTCACAGGGCCTCACAATTCAACCAAATATCCAGGCACTGAGCTATTTACTCATAAAAGCAATATCCATATACACAGTCATCCATTACCTGACCCCTGCCAGACATTGGTATGAAAGAGACAATAACCACACATTTTTATACCAAAATACTGGTATAGTATGGTCTGTAAGGTGTTGGCCGTCTATCACTCATTCAATGTTTTTAAAAAAAATTATCAGAAATATATAACCAAAGTCTATGTTAATATCAATATAATAAGCATTTCCTTAAAACTAAACAAAGTTATGCTAATACTTAATGGTCCATAAATACAATGAAATGCAATTGACTTTGTAATTGACAATCAAATACTGAAATTATTATTCAAATGCTATATTTTTACAATAATTATGCGTTTACTTGAAATTTTTTTTATCACTGAAGCAAATAATAAACGAGAAAAATAGTCGAGACTTTTGTTAAGTATTAGTCAATTAAGTAGTGATAGTAAATAAAAAATACAATTCTTTAGCCATAATATTATATGTAATAAAGTATTGTATAAAGTATAGAATGGTATAAAGTTTTTATCAACAATACTATTATTTTATGTTTAAACTAAAACAATAATTATATATTATTTGTAAACAATTTTATTTTATAATTATTATTTTGATAAATAAGAATATTAATTGCAATATTAGTGACTGTAATTGGAATATCAAACTACTGACACTTGAATAATAAAACTAAAATATAGTCCCAATTGTGGGCCCAAACTGTGTATATTAGTAATAACTTTAGCAAACATTAATCAAAATACTTGTTATATCCCAATATAAATTATATTCAATATTTACCTGTTGTTTCACTGGTTATTAATGATTGTAATATTAAAAACAAAGTAATCGCCGGTAGTTTCATATTTTTGGCACAAACTCTCATTAAAATATACTATTGAATTGATGTAAAAATTTCATTAATAGAAAGAAAATAAATAATAACAATAACAAAAAAGAGTTGTTTTAGTTGTCTGTAAATTATAGACTATAATGTTTGCTATATTTTTTTGCGTGATTTCAATCAAAATCAGAGTAGGCGTTATCATTAGAAAATCATTTTATGTATCAATAATACAATGTATTTAATAACTTTGAATATACTGTACATAGTTTATGATACTGTATTATGACTAACTACTCTACTTTGTTAGTTTATTTAGCAATTTTTAGTTTAATATTAAATACTGTATTTGACAGATAAAACAAAATTGTAATTTAGTCAATATTTAGTCAATTAAATATCACTTCTTATAAATAATCCTATATATATATATATATATATATATATATATATATATGTAAAATGTAAAGTCAGATATATTTTTTTATATTTTCAAAGAAAATAAATATATTTAATATAAAAATGTTAATTTTAATAGATATAATCTATCAGAAAATGAAAACACATTATATTAAAGTATAATAATTGTAATTTAGTAAAATAATTGTTAAGATAATATAATTATTAAGTTTCAAACTCAATAAGATTTATATATATACCATATTATTAACATATACTTTATAACTCAAATGCGATTTAATAAAAAGAAAGTTTAAATTTTTTTTAATATACTATATTTCAATTTTATATACAATCATTAAACTTAGTTATACTTAAAAATTTCCGTATTATAGTTAATAGAAATAGTATTGTATATTAAATGAAAAATATAAACAATTTAGTTTAACAAAAAAATTATTAACCTGTATGTTATATCACTTTATAATATACTATTATTATGATTATGTAAAATAAAGTTATCTATTATTATACAACAGGTTTACATCGATTTATTTTACAAACTTTTCTTTTTATATCATTTTTATAGAAATACTTTATAATGTATTTTAAAAATATGATAACTGGCGCCACATGTTGGTTGTCATTCAAACATTAATTGACTGATAAGTTATTCTAATAATGTATAYTTAATTTATGTAAAATAATTAATTTAGATCAATATTTTAGATTAATTGTATTTAAATGCATATTTGAAATAAAAGTTTTAAAATATTTCATTTATATTATATATGATTTTTGTAAAATATGATTTTAAAATTATAGTTAAAACTTACTAAAATTATTAAATCATATACAATAATTGACTATTTATTAGATAAAAAATCAATTCTATTTCATAATTTTTAATCTTTTTAAATATTTTTAATTAATACTTATGTATATTTATTAATTCTAAACATTAATGAATATATTATTTTTTATTATTAATTCAAATATTCTATAGTTTTATATTTATAACAACTAAGAAACATCAAACTTTAGACCTTATACTTGTATATATAATATTTTATAAATTAGTATAAAAAAGATAGTTTAGATGGAGATAATAAAAATTCCTATATCTTTCAATACCTGTACACTGTTACATATTTAGTCTATTAAATAATTTTGCATAATATAACTACAGTATAGGGTATATACAATACAGTACTAAAAATTTGCAATAATAATAATTTATCATAATTGCAATTAAGCAATATTAGATTGGATTGGATAGAATGCATATTTAAAAAAAAATGTTTAGAAATCTTAAAGATAAATACTCGGCAACAAAATCTTAAAYAATTAGTTATCTTTATTTTTAATAACGTTAAGATCCTGTTGAATTTGTTATTTCATAAATTAGTTATTTTTAATAAATTAATTATTAATATATTATTTTTTAATATTCTATTTAGACTATAATTATCGTATACTATATATAGTATATGTTATTTTTATAATAATTAGTTAAATGTTATTCAATATTTTTATGCAATCGTATTTTGTTTGCTAATATTGATTTGAATATCAAATTGTTATAAAACATAAAAAGTACCGGTATTATTCATGTACAGTACTCCTATAGGAAATGTTGTATAAAAAATTGTAGCAATAAAATAGTAAAATAAGAGACGTGTTAACCATAAAAGTAAACTGTTTTAGTAACACTAATATCTTTTTTTTATGTCTGTATCTATGGAAAGGGCTTTTATTCAACCTATTATAATATAACAGTGATTACGATATTGACTATTATATTAAAAAATAACAGCAATCGGAGATTCATTTTGTTTCACAATTGTTTTGAAACTTATTATTATAATATGAGATAATACTGAAAAATATATAATTTGATTAAACATCAGTTCCATTGTTATATTTTAAAAGTAAATAATATTTTAGGGCGTTTATACATAGTTTATGAAATTTCAATAATAAATATAATTTATTTAAAAAATTAATTTACAATATTTTGTTGGTGTCTATTATTAATTTACTGTAAATATTATAATGGGTCAGTAAATCAATATTTTAATTGAATGTTTTGACGTTAATGAATATCATTATATTTAATAGAGAATCAGCAACAGTGGACACCCGCACAAACAGGACCGGCGCCCCCTTATTCAGCACCGAACCAACCCGGTTGGGCTCCACCTGGAGGTCAACAGGCCTATGTTCCTCAACAAGGATATGCAATGCCCGGCACAGTCCTAATACAGCAGGTATTTAAAAATATTTACTTTTATTAGCGTAATATTATTAATTGATTTATATATTAAGCAACCCGCTCCGCAAACTGTTGTAATCATGGGTATGTCATATAATGCATAAATTTTAAATTATATTTAATGTTTGAACTTTTATAATAGGTGGTTGTCCCACATGTAGAGTCGGACACTTGGATGATGAGTTTACATGTCTGGGTGAGTGTCCAATTTTATTTTTATTTATTTTCATTAGCTTAATAATTATCGTAATAAATTTTTAAATTAATTATAATATAGATTATAATTTCAATTTAGATAAATGAGATTAAGATAAATTAAATTGTCTATTATTAAGCACTTTATTAATCTAATGTCTAATATATACAATATTAATTATAACTATTAAAATTTATTGTTAATTTATAAATATATTATACATATATTAGTTATGTTAACATATAATAACTATTACATGTATTACAATTAATATTGAAAGATTGTATTATTTAAAAAAATATTTATCTTATCAACAATTATTAAAATTTAATATAAAATCATGAATACTGAAAATGCGTCATAAAATAATAAATTTAATTAAAGTTTAAATTAAAATTAATTAAATAAATAAATTTGTATTTCAGGTATATTTTGCTGTATTTTATTCTTTCCTTTGGGTTTGGTTAGTATATAAGATATAGTTTTAATTTATTAAAATAATTACAATTAATTATTATTTATTTAATTAAATAGATTTGTTTGTTTACAATGCGTGAGAAACGTTGTACTAATTGTGGTGCCACTTTTTAATATTATTATTATTATTATTATTATTATTATTATTATTATTATTATTATTATTATTATTATTATTATTATTATTATTATTATTATACTCTATTGAATTGCATTGCAATTAAATTGAATAGTTTATTAAAAATGTGATACAAATTTAAAATTTTATTTATAAATATGTGGCTTCAAATCAAAATTTGTGTATATTAAATTTAATTGATGGTACTATACATGAATAAGCTAGTTTATCACTAGTTTATTAAACAATCAAATTTGTCTTTATATCTATATAAAGTACTATATCTTAAATTTAATTTTTAATTAATCATAAATATTTTAATTTTAGCTTAAATTATATAATTATGTTTATATTTTACATTTAAATAATTTTTTTAATTTGACTATTATAATTTAATTAAATATTGAATGCAAAACTACTGTACAGTATTTGTGTACTTTTAAAGAATTTATCTTAAAATTCAATTAATATTATTAGTTAATAATTTAATTAAATTATTCTTTTTCTATATACTATATAACACTTTCTAAAAAATTGTAAAATCACTATTGAAATCATTGCGAAAGCAATACATTATATTGTAAATTATAATTATCTCAAAACAATTTTATTAAAATATATTAAAAATTCCTAACTTTTCCAACACATAATTAATAAAAAATTTCCACAAAAATATAAATATTTCTAAGCACTTGAATAAAATTTATTTCTTTTAAACTTTCATTTATTAAGTCTTATTAAAAGACATTAGAAAAACCTGGTTTTGTGACAACATTTTTAAACTCATTGTTTGATTAAAAATAAAGTATTAAAAAATATTTCGTATAAAATAATACGAACTATATTTTGAAGATTTCTCAAAAAAACTTGTTAAAAGAAATCTTTAAAAATTTACTTTTTGCAAAACATTACAACACTATTCTGTAAATTTAGTACTATATATGTAGTAAAGTGCATACAATGTTTACAATTGAGGATTTATTTTATGTTAATTACTTTTAAACATAACAGTTGTATGAATATCAGGGTTACAAAAATATAAGGTTTTGAATTTTGGCTTTGGATAATACAGTATAATTCAATGTATTGCTTGTATAATACAATTTTTAAAACTAATATATTGTAATGAATCGTTAGTTTGTGGGCCGAGTGTACTGTTGAGTCGATTCATTAATAATAATGATGTGTTTGTGTTTAATGCTTTTGATACTAAGTGGCGCTAAATTTTGTTTGTATGCAAAATTGGTCATGTATTATACATTGTACTGTACTATGTATTATATAAACATTTTGTTTCTTCCAACACTGAAGGATATTAATATTGATTTTGATTTTCGTCAATATTTTATTTATTAAAGAAACTGTTTGTTTAAATTATTTAATAAGAAAATCTATTAATGCTTTTTTGCAACCAATGTTTTATTAATATTAATACCAATGTTTTATTAATACCAATGTATTATACCATTAAAAATCAAAATCAAATTTATCTACAAATTAGTTTCAATTTAAGAAAACAAYATTTATATACATTATGTATTAATATTTTTAATTTCTAATATTAAGTCTTAAAATTAACTAAATAAATAGCATGACTCTTATAAATACATTTAATATATAATAATATGTTATTAATGTTATTAATCATATAAATTATAAATGTTTCGAAACAATATTCTGAAAACAATTTAATTAAAACATTGAATTATTWTATAATAATTATTTTATATCTTTTCCACAATAAAATTTAATTTACAATATCATTGACAATATTATTTGAATTGAATCACGTATTTAATTGTTTATGAAGTTTGACATAAATATCTATTAAACAAAAAACATATTAAAATTTCTCGACAATTGTATCATTTTGTTGATATATATAATATATTTAAGTCTAAACTAATTCAAAGCGGTTTTGTTTACTTTTATGTTAAATGCAAATTTTAACTATTATTTTTAGCCTTCAAATTAATTTAATTCATAAATAAGTTATAAACTGATATTAATATATAAATAAATAAAAATTTGTATAAATAATATATTTTGACATTAGTTAACTAAAATATCATTTAATTTATTTCAATAAATGATATTTACTATTTTTTGAAATGCTTTAGTTTTAATTAATGTTTTCATTATAAACTGATACAATAAAAAACATTATTATTTATTTTGAAATATTTGTCAACAACATTGAAATTAATATTGGATTACAAATTTAGTTTAATATTACATTACAAACATAAGTTTCTATCATATGGTCTATTAATTCAAATAATTAATTATTGTTTTTCGCAAAAATCTAAGTCTGTTTTCATTTATTTTTATATTAATTGTGAAATCTTGTTGATTGCATGGATAGAGTCTTAAAACAGTGGCGGAAGACAACTATTTATAATTATTTATTCAATCAGAGACACAAAACTAATTGCGTTTAATCACATTTTATGTGTTGTCAAAAAATTATTGTGAAAAATCTGTTATTGTAACTTTATTTTTTAATTAATAATATAATTACAGTAGTTGCCCAGTTAGTTGCCATCAGTTGTTAAAAATATCAATGATAATCTGATGAACTATTGATATATATATATATATATATATATATATATATATATATATATATATATATAYTGGGAGGTTACAATATATATATAATACAGTATATATATAATAAATTTAAAGCTATACATCTACAATAYTATTCAATTTRACATTAAATAAAAYTTTTGTTAAAATTTTGGACCTAATTAATARCATCGCCGCCAATGTTTGAGACTATGCTATTGAMAACATTGATATCGCAAAYCACATATATTGTGAAATACTWAATATGCTATTATATTTTTATCTAATAAACATCAATATATTTTCAAAAATAATTTAGTTTCAAATGTTTTAGATTACAATTATTAATTAAAATTCAGTGTAGTTTATCTTCAATACATAGACCATCTTTATATGAAATTATAATAATATTTCAATATATTATAATTTATAAAATGATTTACTTTGAGAAATAAAAATTAATTATAGAATTTAATTTTAAAAATTTCAATTTTCTCTACATTTTTGTTGCCTAATTGGCAAACATTCAAAACATTTGTTTGTAGATATATGTCATCAAAGTTCACCGGTTAGGCAACAAAAATTGAAATAAAGGAAATTAAGAATTTTAAATAAAATTCTGTAATTTTTTGTATTTTATTTATTTTGTAATCAACTTGTGATCAAATGTGACTTATTTTTTATTGCCAATAAAACCTTAAATAACTATATTATTGCATAATAATAGATAATACAAATATTATTAATATTTAATTTATTTTAACAATTATTTTTTATTTATTATKGTATTAAAATATAATTTGTTCTTGTTTAAATAATAAAAATTTCATTTTTGAAATAAATGACTGTTAATTTTATTAAGCTTTTATTAAGCCATAATTAATTCTCCAATTTTGATATAATTTAATTATCTTAAATATAAAATTACATATATTTTGATAATAATATTCATATTCATTATTAGTACTACTAATTTAGTAGTCAAAGATAGTAAATAAAATCAAATAAAATTATTTGCAAACAATGATTTTTATTATTAGACTTACTGTAAAGTCATTCACATAATCAATACATCTAAATACTGTATAAAGCAATTAAATAAAATCATTTAATTTATTATAGGATGTTTCACATGAATAGCTATTTTTAATAAATAGTGTTTTTCATAACGTTTTATACAAGTTATGAAAAGTTCATTAATACCTGATAAGCAAAAGTTTAATTGTAATCACTAGACCTACAGTTACTGAGAGTCCATAACTCATGGCTTTTATGTTTTGTTAACTAATCAAAGCAGTTATGAAGACAATGAACTGATAGAAAACATTATACAGAATATTCAGTATTTTTGTTTACATTTATTTTTTTATTAAAAGTCACGAAAAATATAAATTATGTTATTTTTGAATCTATTATATTTTTTACTCACTTAACGGTTGTTACTTACGGTTACTATTATTAATATTATCACTGTTTTTAAAGCAAACATTTCTAGATTTAGTAAAATATTGACAATTGATAAAAAATATAACTAATTTATTAGGAATAACACCTGGAAATAACATTTGACAAATAAGTTTATCAATATAAATTATTATTTCCTTATTATTCAAGTGATTATTGTTTGACCATTAAAAATATACTGTAAATACTGCAGCAATTTTAAAATTCATTGTAATAAAACTTATAACATGATTATTAATAAAATTTAATTACCTGTATAAGTATATTTGAATATATAAATTTGAATAAATGCCAACAAATAAATGAAACGTTTTGTTTTAAAATCAAACTTTTAATGTTATTTTATATAATGATTACAAAGTTTTCCTTAACAAACATTAATAAAAATAAAGACTTGAATTCTTGTCTCTAATCTAAAAGTCTACCAAAATATCAAATCATATGATAATAAGTTATTAGTAAAAAAGGCTTTTATTATTATATTATTATATTATATATAGAAATAATAAATATGTTTATTAAACGAGATTCTTATTATATTGTTTGTCGTTTTATTGCATTAGTAAAAATGTGCGACTCATGTATAATAATAATATATAATACTGTATTATTGAATTTTGAAATACACTAAACAATAATATATTAAATTAATTAATGTTAAAATTATCTTAGTTATTTTTTATTGTATTAATTTTGCTGCAATATTATTTTTACAATATCATTACAACTATGGTTAAAATAATAATATGTAGTTTTTGAAACTTACTCTATCTTAATGAGTACATGTACTGTACGAAAAAATATGAAAAAATTACTAAAATATTTTATTTACTACATTATTTTAAAATAAATTAAAACTAAATTTTAAAAATATAAATTATCATTGCAATCATAAACATTTAAATAAACATTATATGAAATTTTTTAAGTTAACAATAACGCAGTAATAGTTTTAATTATTGTTAACAATAAAATTATATGTTGTTTACAACAAATCATATCTAAATAGTTATGTAATTATATTTATTATAAAAATTGTTGATAACTTGAGTAAAGATACAAAAATGAATACAATAAAATATTTTTTAATAATATAAATATAAATGATTTGTTTTAATTTCATCAATATTATGTCACAATTGTTAAATAATATTTTGAAAATATATAGCATTTATGAAAACATTTAAGGTAAATGTTATAAATGGAAATAAATATGTTTTTATAAATAGCCCAACTTTAGCAAAATATTTACATTAAATTTATGCGATATATATATAAATAAACAAATATACAAAAAATCAGAAAATTTCGATCACTAGAGCTAGAGATCGAGGTATAGATAATATATTAATATTTAAACAATAATATATTATAATATTTACTAATTATATTACGGTATCATTAAATAACAAATTATGTTTATCTGTAAATTAAAAATAATACATAAAATGAAATTAAAATTTAAAAAATCCCAATAATTAGTATCAAATGACTTGATGTGAAACCAGTGGACAATAAGTTCAATACCTGTTGGCAATAGTGCAGTAGGAATAACTGTAAAGACTGGGCATAGTTGTCAGGTAGACATAATTGGTACGGGAGGTGTCATAATTGGATTTATTGACATTACATATGGATGTCCTCTTTAGCCAATTTCCACTCTTTTTCGGATATTTAGGATTATATATACATGTATTGAGATGTTGTTTGAGATCAGAGTATTTAATTGATGCAAAACATCCGTTGGATCTGAAGTTGCACTTAACCTTTAGCTGATTGATCTCTTTCTTGATTAGTTTGGGCGCCTGTTTGAGCACATATTTGGATATCTTTCGTCGATCGTGTGGACAGGTAGGTTGTTGTCCACACTTTTCTATCCATTTGTGTATACAATGGGCACAGAATATGTGTTTGCAGGTCGCTATCTGAATGGGCTGGTCGTACACTTCCAGGCATATCGAGCACCGGAGGTCATCGCTTACATCCTCATTAAATATCTCCAAATCGATACCCATTTTTTACATAACTTTTTAAAAAATCGATTTATACCAAACTTTACTTATATTCAAAATAAATTATATATATATTGTCAATATTATTGACTTTTAATAGCACTTATGCAATAAAATTAACAAAAAATATATGACTTTTTATATATACAGTATATTTATGTATAAATCAAATGATTTCTAAGACAAACGTTGAGTTTTAATAATAATAATAATAATAATATATATTAAAATATATTATGATATATATCTGCAATATATTTATTTAATATATTTTTAAATATTGTATTATAAATCAAAATATCACACTCTTATGCTAAATGTTTTTAGTTATACACTGTTTATATATATACATAAAGAGAGAGAGAGAGAGAGAGAGAGAGAGAGAGAGAGAGAGAGAGAGAGAGAGAGTAAGTGAGACAAGCGATGAGTTTGACTTTTTGTATACATCAAGACTAACAACACGTTTACTATAAATGTAATGGTATTAACATTATTAAGCAATTGGTATATAAATACTCGACTGTTGTATGTGTTTAGCTGTAAACTAGAGTTAAGTTATTATTATTTTCATTTGAAAACACCATCAAAACAATTCAATGACATTTACACGCATACACTGTGTAATCAATAGTTTAATCTCTCACTATATTTACCAAAACAGTTATACCGTATTTAATATTATATGTATTTTTAGCGAATTAGATAAAAATTATATATTAAATGTTGTGTCCGATAGCATACATAAAGTCAACGATAATAAACTCAATTTTAGTTTAATTAATATTAATTGCTTAGTATTTCACTTTTATTAATATACTGTATAAATACATTTTAATATATATAATATAATATATTTATACAATTGATTTAATTAATTTACGCTTAAATACATCCTAATATTTTCTAAATTAAATATTTAAATAAACAATACTTACAAACACTTTATTGTTTAACAGAATTTGTTATATTTGTCTAATAATAGAAATGATAAAAATTGAAGAAATGCATAAACAATAACATAAAATATATTTATTTCATAACTTTGTTCAAAACATTATTTAACAATTGTTAATAACAATAGTATATTATTAAACAATATATGTCTGATATTAATTGCTGAATTTATACGTTATAAAAGTTTTTTTTATTAAATAATGATTGACAATGATTAACAATTATTAGATTGTAAAAACAATAATTTCAGAAAAAAATATCATAAAAGTATATACATTTTCTCATTAAAAAATTTATTTGTATTAAAAGTTTTAATTAGAGTGACCAACAATGATTTTTTTATATATAATTGAATTTATCCATATTAGGCCATATTATTTTACGAAAAAATATTATGATAAAATTATACATATACATTATTATATTATTTAATTGAGAAGTATATTATTTTTATCAAATTTGGTAATCATTATAAACATTTATCTGATAAAATTAACACCTCTTATGATTTATACTTTCATTATAACAGTGTCCGTTAAATATATATATATAATTTATATTGGGTAAATTTTCCAATTTTTAAAAATAATTGATAAATGTTTTATAATATCATATAAATGTTATTACAAAAAAACCTAATAAATAAAATATTTTGAAACTTCTGTTATATTAGTACTATATTAAAATAAAAAATAATTATAAATACATGTACTGAATAAGCTTAAAAATAAATTTATTTTAGAATATAAACAATATTTTATGTCAAACATAGTTTTGTTAAAAGTTTATTGGATTTTTAAGGCAAAAATATCTATATAATAACATTTTTAACATTTATAAATTTTAATTAATATGAAAATAAACAATTTTTTGTATAATTACGTCAATAATGTCATCAAATTCTATAACATTTATCTCTAATATCTCATCTTTTTTTATAGCATTTGCTGGAAATCGCAACTTTTTACTTAAAATTATTTTTAAAATAAAAATGATTATATAATTTAATTACTATACCATTATATTTAGTTTTTTAAGTTTACACTATTGATATATTTTTGTAGTATACATGTGTTTTGTCTACAAGTATTATAAATAATCTACTGAATATTTAATATAAATTATATTATATTATTACTTTTTACAACTTAATAATATATTACTAATACTTTCTATAAATAATATTCATTTAATTTAATTTCAGATTAACTAATTACTTAAATTGGATAATTTATATAATAAACACTTAACTATTAGATCTTATTAATAATATAAATAAGTTGGGCAAATAGAAATTTCTATTAAATAAAATTATAGATAAATTCGATAGAAATTAATTTTATTATTATACTATAAAAACTATATTTTAGCACTTTTTAGCAATTTTTGTAATTTTATTTTCATAAATCTATTTTATTCTTAGTTTAATGTAATAAATATATAATTTTTTACTTAGACTATTAATTAAAATATCAATGAAAATATTTAGTTATTATTTGTGATTATAATGCATTGTTAAAAGATAACAAATATTGAGTAAACAAAATTAACATGAATATCCCATAGACAGAAATTTATTTTAGAAACATTCTAGAAAGTTCTCTATTATTTTAGAAATATATCTTTTTTACCAACTCTAAATATAGGTGACTAAATAAATTTTAATTTAATTTATTAATTATTGTTTAGAAATTAATTGCAAAATATAAGTCATTCATTTAAGCAAATTATTATTACACGTATTTCATTAATTATCAAAAATATTGCACAAATAAATACTTTTAGTTAATATTTCAACTTAATTATCATACTGTATATAAATTGATAGATAAAAATAATTAAAATATTTACTTTTATATTAACGATATTTAAGTAGCATTTTATCAATTTAATAATAGAATTTTGTTAAAGTATAAATTTTATTTATTTTTGATATAATAAACTTAATATTTCTATAATTATAATTATGTCAATTGTATATACAGTTGTCAATTCATTGATATATTTATATTTCAGTTAAAATAATTATTAAATTGTATTTTTCGAATTATAAAAAACTTGTAAAACTAAATAACATTAGTAAAAATTAGATACTGTAAATATATATTTTATTTTTAATGTAAATGCAAACTGTGATAAAATATATAATGTATTATAAAACTTTAATATAACATTAAAATATAATAAGAAAATTAATATTTTATAAAATTATATTTATGTTTATATTTAAACTGTGAAAACTAGACCATAATTTGTGTCCATAATTACTGTAGTAGCTATTATCCATTAATCTAACAAATTTTTCTATAATAATTATAATGRAATATCATATCAATCTTTTTATAATTAAATTAATGTAAAATAATTGCAATTATTRTTAATAACTTAATAAATAATTATTGTTATTATTTGTCTAATATTTGACAGTTGTTTTATTAAATGACAGAAACTTARAGTAATTTTCGTAGTTTGAGATAAATAATGTYGAAAACTGAAATCATAGTTTAAAATAGTATATCTAATCAATTAATAATTATATTTTAATATTACTAATTTTAAATTTACTTAATTGACATAATACTGTAGTTATAAAATCTGCTTTGTTAATAAATAGGTTTAATAATAATAWTTACTGATGAATTTTTAATAAATATTTTTTTAAAGCTTCATATGTTTATCTATTTTTACATAAATTAAAACAAATTATTAAATTAAAATATTGTTTTTCTGATGAAATATATACYAAACATTGCAAACTTGATGTTCATTATTCAAAATTAAGGATCAGTCATAATGTAAGTACACTTAAATAAATCAAAATTCTTGTCAAACAAGTCTACTAAACATAAGGTTTATTAACTCATCAATACATTTAAATTGCATTTATTTGACCAAAAATACCTCTCATTTTGAAATAATGTATTTTGTGTATAATTTAAAAATATTATTTTATATAAATATTAGAATTGCACCAAACATTATGATTATTTCTTTTAAACAATTTAATGAAACAGATATAAATAATTTTTTCAATAAATTTTTAAAATAAAACTTTCAATTTGTGATTATATATTAAATTTTTTAAATATATAATATCTCAACCTATATTGATAAAATTAGTTTTTTATTGTTTTCTAATCGATTGTGATAATTAATATTATTTTTAATTAAATCAATTTATTTGTGAATCAATGCCAAAAACCTATTAACAATTTARTGSAAATTTCGACGGCTTTTAAGGTAAATACAAAAATTAAGTTTATGTTAAATTTTTTTATCTTAAAATATATGAAAATTTAATTTTTTACATTYTTAGCTATAGTAATATTCTGCATTATTKCAAAATGAGATTCACATAAATCTCCTTTAAATTTATTTAAATTAAATACAAAATATGATAAAATTTTAAAATAGTATACATGATTTTTTTWTAAAAAAAGTAAGGTTACTCATAATAAATTAATTATTAATGATTTGACTGAATATTTTCTACTAAAATATTTCTATTATTAAAGTAATATAAAGTCATTATTTTATTTTTAATTGATTTAAAATATTTTTGCCATATAATCATATAGTTTAAAACTAAATTTTTTTAAAGTTTATTAATTTAAATAATATTTTAGTTATTAAAGTGCAAATTTAAAGTCCTATCTATAAAATTGCAAATAAAAAAGATTGTTACATTTTTAAAAATAAATCAATTATGTAAAACAAGATTAAAATATTATTATAATAAGTTATATATCATTTTTATATTAAAACAATATTAACTGATTTATCAAATAAAATAAATGCATTAAAAAATTTTGTACTTATTTTCAAAAATAAAATTCTAGAGATTTTTATATTTTCTATCAGATTATATTTGATAAAAATTTTACTGTTTATATCTTAAATAGTTATATACGCTTTCATAAAAAAAATCTTATAAATAGTAAAATAAAACTTTAAAATAAATTATCCATTATTAAAAAATTGTTTTTAAAATATTAATGCTTAAAAAGCATAGTTTTATAGTCAAAATTTGTTTCAAGAAGTAATAACACCAATTGATAGACACATCGACAATGGTATCAATCGACGATCTGTTCCGAGTCATTCATATTCTCTCCGATGTCCTCCATAACGGACAGTCGTTTTTTCATACGCGGTGTCAACGGAGGGATACAATTTCGGGGAATCAGAAAAGTGGACAAATTAAACAAATCGACAAACACTTTGTACCGATCACTTAGTGTTGAGCGCAGGTAATGATAACCGGATGAACCACCGGTGCCGAACTGGTGGGCACCGATCATGCGGAGCACCATTTCTACGTGATTGTCTAGTTATATATATATATATATAAACATATAGATAAAAGGTTAGTAATATATTTTTACTTATAATTATACTGTGAATGTTTTTTATGCAAAGTAATGTGTAAAATGATGCAAATTTAAGATAAGAAATAAACCAGTTTTATGGCAATATATTAATTAAAAACAACACTACGTCTACCAAAATCATTATATAGTAAATGCTATTTTAACTGTCAGACTGATTGGCGGATATTTAGTGTTAATGTTTTGGTTTTAGCAACAAAAACAACATTTAATAAATTTCTTAATCGAAAGGATATGAAATCATTTTTACTAATGATTTCATCAGATTTTCTTAACCACTAATAACAACTATTAAATTATTCCGGTATTTATAATATCACGTCAAACCTTTATTTTGCCTAAAATTACATTAMTGTATATCTAAAAATTGAAAGTCTAGTCTATAATAGTCAGCAAAAAAATTATATCTATAAATTTGATGACTAATTTATAAATTCTAACAATCGATAATTATCTAATTTAATAATTAAAAAACTCAAACTTCTTGTTTAATGACTAATAAAATTGCTGTGGGATTGGGTTTATTATTATTTTAGTTTTTTTGTTAAGTAAAATAATTATATGATGAAATAATTAATGATACTTACACCGCCATTTAGTTATAAGAGAGTCAATATCCATGAGAAGCATAAGTATGTGAAAGGGTTGGTTGAATCGGGGTTCGTCCCGATAGAGTGAGACCATGAGTGCCCCCTGAAGTGCTTTATGTGTGAACCGACGGTCGCCTCTGGCCATCAAAGCATTATGTTTATTGACATCAAATATAGAGTCAAATAATTCAGATTTTCGTTTCCAGTCATCCAATAGCAAAGTTTTCTGTTGTTCATCAGTTTCCTTGTCTGCTTCCGTCCGGTTTCTCTCCAGAAGTTCCATTACAACAGTCTTATATTTTTCCCAGAAGTTGAACTCATTTTTCTCGAGTCCCGGTGTCCTCTCGAGCCACTGTTGGAGAAGTTCACACAGAGAGGGCTCCTGTTCTGAGAGTCGGATTAAATCAATGACTTTTGGGTTCTCGAAGATCTTGAGATAATGAGATTTGCCGTAATTGGTTCGCAATTCATTCTTAACGCCCAATTTGTTTTCAATAAGCCTGAATTGGACGCTTTGGAAACCCGAAGCCGGCGACAAAAAATTACGAAACTCCATGAAATCTAATGGTGTCATAGTCTCTAGTATTGTCACCTGATCTACCAGAAGCTGTTCCCATTAGATAAGAAATGAAACAAACAAACAAAATATTGATTGTTTATTTGTAATATTAAATATTTGTTTATTGATATAACCTTAAGTATGAGTACAACCCGATTGAGTCGGGATGTGATGATAAGCATATTTGCCTCATCCACGTCCTGTTAATATATATTCAATATATAAACAATATTATAAACAATGTTATAAAGTATTTAGACATTTTCCATAATTACTTTTCGATATGATATCAAATTTATTGAAAATAAAATATTTATTAGTCATATATTAGAACTGTTAGTATTGAGACAAAGACTCCCTAAGACTTGGGAGTTGAAGACAAGGACAGGGAGGACAGTGGGGGCAAAAACATTCACTTACGCTCACCCGTCGGTTCATAATAAGTCGTACGGAATCAATCTCATGAATGATTTGTTTGAACCATAACTCGTAGGCCTGGTGTGTAATTATGAAGAGATGCTCGTCGTGTACCTCATTGTTGGTCTGTGCTGTTACCGGTTCCTGACATGACAACAGTCTATCCACCTGTCAGTCCATCATTTTCACAAAAATATATACATTAGATAACAGTTTAATAATATTGACAAAATGAAAATTTGATTATATGTCGATTAACTTGTTTTATCTATTAAAAAATATATGTATTTACAAAATCACTGTATACTGTAATGTATTTTTTTGTAATTAATTCAATTATATACTCTATCATTAAAGCAATGATTTGATTTTTAACTAAGTGTTAAAAATTAAAAAATGCTAATAAGTTAGAGATAATTGTTGACATATATCACCGCCAATATTGCCAAATCATTGAATCTAATAATTCAAGATAATAACAATATACAAGAAAATTATTATCCATTTTTCCAAATGTAAAGGAAAATATGTCAAATTATTGATTATTTTGTGAAAAATATTATTTACTTTGTAAACAATAATCATAAGACACTTTAGAAAATATACTCAATTAAGTAATAAAAAAAGTTTAAAATATTTACCAAATATCAAAATATTATTGTAAGAAATTACATATTTATTATTTTTTGTCAATTTAATAAATAATTAATGATTTAATAATATGGACTCACGTGGAGGTACTCGCCATACAACATACCACCCTTGGGTATGACTCGTGACGCGCTGGCACTCAAATCCATATTGAAGTTACTGTCAATACCATTGGTTTGTACAGAATCGCTGGAAAATACCATTTTATTTGACATTATTAGTGATATATTAAATTTATAATACAATGATAAACATAAATAGCATGTTGTTTAAAATAATTATTTGCTGAGATTGATAATATAGAGTTAAAAGCCAATCAATAAATTAATAGCACAATTATCACAAAAACTAATTTGAAAACTAAGTAAACAAAAAAAAGATCATCAGTTAGTGTCATAATTTCTTAATAAAAAACACATTAATTATAAGTTAATTTACTATCGCAAGCACTGCAACAAATTGTGTTGCTTAGAGCTAAAAGTTTTATTAGAAAACTTAAAAAACTTTTTTAGATAATATTAAACATTTGGCACAAATAATCTAAACAAAAAATGTATTGAGAAAATTGACAAATGGTAAGTTATAATCAATTTTTTCAAATATATTATGAATATCAATATCAATACTTGTGGTATTATACAGTACTATATGATTACTTAAATTATGATATTATTAAATAACAATTTGATATTTTTTGGTAATTCAAGTAATGTTTGATTGTCTATTTGTTTTACTTTTTAAAAAAATTAAACAAGTGTAATTTTACATATTTTTTATAAGATGCAGTTTACATTTATTTTAAATAAATTGTTATTGAAAATCTAAAAACAATTTATATAATTATTTAGTATTCTTATAGATTCAAAATTCATATCAAATGCTAATTGAAACAAAAATATATACAATATTAAAATGTATTGTACAGTATATGTAAGTCAATTAGTTTGTTTGTTTACACATATAAAGTTGTTTAAACAACAACAACAAAATCTACAGTACATGTGCCAAACTATCAAAATTATAAGTAATTAGTTAAATACAAAATTTAAACAAATATACAAAAATACAGTACATAAAGCTTATTTAAAAAATTTGTCAGTAAAGGACCCTTACTAWGGTTAAAGGAGTTTTGTTAAAGTTTGAAAACTTTAGAAATATTATGATATATTAATTTTGAGGACTTACCTCATGTTATTTGATGAACAGTCCATTTTTCAAGTGATGAATATAGTTTGTCAGAGTCGATAGCAAAGTGACAAAAATCAAGGTTTTACTCAAATACCACTTATATATGGTTAATACCGATCACTACCACTTTGGAGGGTGACTTCACTTAATATAAACTCGGATATCATATATATATAGTGTTTTTATAATAATAAATAAAAAAATTATATAATTACAATTAATGCAATTTGTAATCTTATTTTCATCAGATATTTATAACGTAAGCACCGGGACATCACCATACATATGATAGCTTATATAACATATGTATTGAAGTTTATACAATAATTAAAAATTCACTTTAAATTAATTAATATATTTGAAAACAAATGATTGGATATTAAAAGCACTGGTGTAGTAGGCATTCAATACAATTCATACCGTATATACAGTACATGTTTGTATAGTATGTTAGAGTTTATTGAAAACTGTGTTCAATTGAATCAATGTATTGGCACAACCAATCGTATCCGTTCAATACATATGATATTATACAGCATTAGTACTGTAGATACGAAACTATAAACACTTGTAGCACTTGTAATAAGCACCTGTACACAGATATTAAGTGCACAAAATTATATATATAACATGCCAAATGACATTGGTTAATTTACTAACACTTTCATTTTACTAGTAAATAGTAAGTTTAGTTTTTTTAATAATGATCTCCGATTGACATTAACATTGATTTAAATTTGAAAAACTGGTGGTATTCATGTACTACTATCTACTACAGTATGAATAGTATTAACAAAACGACCAAGGTCATTTTTGCATTACACATACCAATCAATACCTGGCAATCAATGACTATGGGGTCCATTAAAATAACTTAAATCACTTATATTTGTAACCCAATATCAAGTCATTTATAACCAATAACTTTGGCTCCAATAGTATTATTGTCTCCAGGAGTACATCGACGCTAATATAACTATACATTTGGTAATACCGTATTAGAGACTAAAATTATAAAGTCGAATAAATCACGTGATTATATATTTCTAATATAATTGGTTATGTGTTGTCATTCACGTCATTAATTAGGTCTAAACCCGACACATATAATAGACTACAGTATATATATGTCGGGTTTAGACCTAATATACATTAGTTTTTAGTTGATTATTATTATACATAAGTAGACTCATCAATGTAAACCAGGATATGATATTATCCCAAATTTTATACAGTATCATTTTCTCAATGTTTACTATCATTTTAAATTTATTTTAACCATTAAAACTTTATTATTATAATTATCCCATTGGATAAAGTAACTTTATATTTGCTAACAATACAATTTTATTGATAAACAATAGTTTGAATAGTAATTGAAACTAAATTACATTTAGTTTGCAAAACTCGTTCAATGTCGGTATAGTCAGTACAGTGTTTTAAAAAATTACATTAAATAGTAAAATATTTTAGTTAACCAACAAATTTAATTTCTATTAATTAGATAATTATGTATAATTGATATTAAATTAGCATTTACTGTACAATACGTATATTTTGTTGAATAAAACTTTGAATCTTTAGTATAACTGTTCAATTTGTTTGACTCATATTTCTGATAATTTGTGATTATAGTTATGAAACTATATATTGAAAACATATAAACTGTGCGATAAATACTGTAAATGATATGCCAATCATTAATTAAGCGGTAATTATAATATTATTAAATTATTTTTAATAATTCAATTATTACAGTATCAGTGATGCTATCAATTGGTGACATCTATTGCTTATACACAGAGATATGACATGACATAACAATAATGGTTATAATATTATTGTAATATCCATGATATGTCACTATCACTAAATTAGGTCCACATCTAATCATCGACTAGTCCTTACTCTACATACAAGTTATAGTAATCAGTTAAGTGATGTCTGACTTGTTGTACAAATATATGATGGCATTAGGTTTGGTATCACTGTTACACTCGGCCTACTCCGCGGCCCAACACCGAAGTTATGTGCGATTAGTTGAACAGGAGTTCACAGGATTGCCACAAGACATTGTCGTCCAGTGTTTGGTTAGTCTATTGGTCACTATTGCGGCCATCGTTGTACTCAACACAAGAAATATGCGTGAAATTCGCGCTTTGGATGACCTCAAAGACAAAACGGTTGACTCCATCAACAATAGACCCAACTTTTATATGTTTAACCACAGAGGAAGGCTTATTAGATAATACTCTTATAATTTTATATATGCTATGATATGACTTATAGTTTAGTATTAAGAYAATAGTTTAAATTGAATTTAAATTATTAATTTGTAGTCATTATCCAAATGTTTGACTGTTTTGTAATACAATTGACCACAAACTAAGTGTATCGTCACAACTGTCACTCACATGGATTGTCACCAATCAATTGATTTAATGTATTCAAGATTGTAGTCAATTGACACTCATTTCAAAATGATTTGTTAATTTGTGATCTCATTTCTTAATTAAAAATCTCATTTTATTATTTACACAATTATTTTGATAAATCATTACTAAATATAAATCTATTATTTTTTTAATGTAATAATAACTATAATATAGAGAAAAACTATTGAAATCAAACAATTAGTCGTGTTTTCTTCGGTCAAAAGGGTCTGACCAGACCCGCATCCCTCCCGGCTGTATGTCATCTATTTTAATTGCGGCTCTATTTTTGGATTGTTGTGTCTCTATATAAGACAATTATACAATTTAATAACAATATCATCATGGTCATTTAGGATATACGATTAATTATAATTTAAATTTAATGATATTAATAATTACTGTAATAATCTATGTGTTGTCGGGGGTATAAAAATACGGCATACATAGTGGCACCGACTGCGGCCACAAACGATCCGACCAGTAGTCCGTATCGGACACGTGTCATATATACTACAGTCATATCTTTATTGACAACTAATTCACTTACATATGATTACCCGGTATTCATAAATTGACAATTGATTTGAATATTCAATCAAATATATTATCAAATATTATTAAATTTATAATACATTCAATTACTTTCAATAATACTATTACTTATACAAGTGTAGTGTCAATGTATGTCTTGTATGTATTACTGTAATATAATACTAGAAAAGCATTTAATGGGTAACTAAAGTATTAATCAAAATATTACATTATATGTGAGTATAATATGTTAAATATGTGTATAGTGTGTCCATCTATTGAATACTTATCTGAATGTCGATCAAAATAAACACAAAATGTGTTGCGTTTGAAACTCATTATACAATATATATATATAGTATATATTTATATCATTAATACAAGCAATAGGTGTTCACTCAATGAATATATAGGTTTGCGTTATATTGTAATGATATGTGCAGTGAATGTATAGTCAATTCGATTGATTCGATCGACACATTCAATACATAAATACATAAATTCATGTGTTTTGTTGTTTTCTATGCATTGATTGTGAGTTAACTGTCAATAGAATACTGGAAATGATTGACAAAAATCAATGATTACGTGATTCGACACTAAATGTTGTATATATTGGACACACATTCCATTGATTTTGACATTCGATTAATTATTTCATTGATTTGAGTCAAACATTTCAATCAAAGTGTTGTCAAACAAACAATTGATTGATTGATTGATTAATTAATTACCACTTGTTTTGACAATCAGTGGTGCTATGGGTCAGACCCTCTCAGAGCCGGTCACAGCAAAAGAGACGACCAGTTGTGCCAACGATGACTACGTGGTGGGCGCCTCCTGTATGCAGGGGTGGCGGATAAGTATGTTTTTACATGATTTTGAATTATATTATGTATTAAATAATATCTAATGTATTGTCTTATAATGTCTTGTAATGTCTTGTAATGTCTTGTAATGTATAGACATGGAGGACGCACACACCCATATCCTTCAGTGTCCCGATGACCGGTCGGCTTCGTTTTTTGCCGTATACGATGGTCACGGGGGCGCCAAAGTGGCCCAATATGCGGCCAAACATTTACACCGCAAGGTATGCACACATCCTGTCTATTATAAGGGTCTGTATGAAGAAGCCATCCAAATGTCATTCCTCGAGTTGGACTCAGATATGCTTAACGACGATCAGATGCGCGACGAGTTGGCCGGAACTACAGCTATCATATGTCTCATCAAAGATAGTAAAGTGTTTTGTGTATGTATTAAGACTTTTGTTATCATTATATATACTATACATGTGTTTGAGATATTTGTTTGTTTTAATACCCCATATAATATAATTTATTACTATATTTTCTAATATATCAATATATATATACATAATAATATAAAAACAAATATTRTGTATTTATAAATATATATATATATATATACTTATTTACTATAATTATGTCATTATTTTTTATAACGACTTATTTATAGATACATTACTATATAAATTGTTTTTGTGACCAATATTTGATTTATGATTTTTTCAAATTTATTTATTTGTATTTACCGTTATATCGTATACTTTTTGAAGTACTTTAGAGATATTTATATTTTTATCGAAAATTTTTTATAAATGAGTTATAAAATAGGTATATAATTTTTGTAATATTAAATTCAAAAATTTGTTTGTCGACATTATATAGGTTTTAAATGATATATTATATTATATTTTACATAAAATTGTTTTTTAAGTACGTTATTACTAATACAACTTCATTATTGCACTTCAATTTTATTATCATTGAATTACACGTACTTTTACTTAACTACATATAAGCTTTTGAATTATTTTTATTAATAATTTAATAATAGATTCAAAGACTATTTATTATTGAGTAAATTGTTATTTAAATGTCACGGTTAGGACATAAGTACATTATGTTGAATCTACTATACTATCGATCTATTTTACATAAGTTTATATAAGTTATTGAAAACTTACTTTAGATTTATTTCACTTATTTTGTTATACAGGTATATATTTTGATTGATTTGTATTAATTTTAGTACATTTTTGACATTTATAATACTTTTTTATTATAATTTTACTTTAATGACTATAAAATGGTTTTATCATTACAATCTATTTTTAATATTTATTGTTTCATTATTTCCTTGATTTTACAATTTATTGCATTCTATTTATTTTAATTAATTTTATTATATGAAGTTATTGTAGTTTTAAATTTAACAAACAATGATATGATTAGCATTAATGCTATATTATTAGTTAGTCTCAATAACAGTAAATAAATATGATTTCATAATAAATTTAATGATAATAAGTACGTTATAAAATAAATACTTACGAAATGTGTTTATTAAGAAAATAAAGGAAATAATGAAATATTTAAAATAATTTATTGTCAATAATTATATGATTAAAATTATAGGGAAATGTTGGCGATTCTCGAGCTGTGGCCTCATATGGCGGTCGAGTCGATCCCTTATCAATAGATCACAAACCTTGCAATGAACTCGAGTCCAAACGTATCTGTGCTGCGGGCGGTTGGGTTGAGTTTAATCGAGTGAATGGAAATCTAGCGCTTTCTCGGGCTTTGGGAGACTTTGTCTTTAAGAGAAATGACAAGAAGTCAGCTCAGGAACAAATAGTTACCGCATATCCCGATGTTCAGGTCAGGGATGTGACCGATGATCTCGAGTTTATTATCATAGCTTGTGATGGCATTTGGGATGTTATGACCAATGAAGAAGTGATTTCTTTTATTCGTATAAGAATTGCCGCTAAAATGGAGCCACAATTGGTTTGGATTAAAATTTTAAAGTTTCTATATTTCAAGAGTTTAATTAAATTATTTATATAATTAGATTTGTGAGGAATTAATGACCCGTTGTTTAGCACCTGACTGTCAAATGGGTGGTTTGGGCTGCGATAATATGACTGTAGTTTTGATTACTTTACTTCACGGCAAGACCTATGAAGAATTGGCCGATAGGTGTGCCATACAATATGGCACTCGTAATGATAAATCATTGTATTCACAGTCAAGTTCGTCGACTACTTCATCCATTTCTTCAGATGACGACGAACTCAACACTAATGGAGAAAACGGTGAGAAGAGTGTCAATGAATGTAATGATATGAACACAAATGAATCGAAAAGCAATGAAATATTTGCTAAACTAAGCACTACTTCAGTCAATGACAGTCTAACCGTTGCGTGATTTGTCGKTACAAACATTTCTATAACAAACTCATCTATTATTATCGTATTCTTCATTTTTTTAGGATAAGCTGAAAGCAAACAATTGATAATAAAATATGGTATAAGTTTTTGATAAATAAAATATATCATAATTTGTATAACTTTTTCTTATTGTTAATAATTTATAAATGAATTTCATTTAAAATTGATTATTATTGTCAATGCATACGAATTTAATGCAAGTTATTAAAAGATTTTGTAATGATAGAGCTTTTTTCTAGAGATTAAGTAGTCTATTATCATTATTTGATTACTTATTGCCATTTTTATACTGTTTATATCATTTCAAAACTTTTGTGATTTTCATCGATTTAATACATATTTAAACAGTGTTTATAATAATAACTTTCTAAATTGAAACCAAAATTGTTCACATTATTAAATAGCTTGAAATGTATTTAAATATTAACTGTTTGCTAAATGTTATATAAATTTAATTACCATTAAAAAACTATTGTAGATATTATGTCTTATTATAAGTTGCCGTAATATTTCTTTGTCAAATAGTTTACTGTAAAGTAATAACTAACAAACAATCTATTCAATAATTTATAAATTTAATATCGATTTTTTTTATTTATTATTTACATTTAATATTATTATTATGACCATGTTAATGCATAATATTGTAATACACATTTTTATTAAATAACTAGTCATTCAAAGTAAATTTAATTATATAAAGATTCATCAAATATACTAAAATATGACAAAATTGTTTGCAATAAACGAGAATTCATCAAAAGTTTGTTATTTGTCTTTTATTAAGCAAATTAAGTGTAGAGAGAAATAAAACGTTATAATAATAAAAATGAGTTCATTGTTTTATATTGTCTTTAATGTAAACAAAGTGTTGATTATTTATATAAGAAATTTTGTTACAAATATATAAGTTTTAAACATCATTATATTCATATTGATTAAAACAACTAAAATTTAAAAAATACTAATCTAGTTGTTTATCAAAAAACGTCTTTAATTGTTGATTTGAATAAAAATAAAAAATTTAAGCAAAAAAATTTAATCGTCCGCGACAGGACTCGAACCTGCAATCTTCTGATTCGAAGTCAGACGCCTTATCCATTAGGCCACGCGGACTCGCATAGTGTTATATTATCAATAAATGAACCAGTTTAGCAATATATTGCATTTGACCAAGGTTACTTGTAAAACATGTATAAGTTATAGCATTATAAATAGACTGGCCTAATATTGCAATGTATGATGATTTGTATAAATAGTAAATGCTATAAATTTATTCAAATAATCAGACAATATGTCAAATAACTTATATCATACAATATTTTGCTTATCGTTTATTATTATTCGTTATTATATATCGTTTATATGTAATATAATACACTATACAAAAGTAAATCTCACTATTGGTATTAAAATAGTATTTTAAAATAAAACTAGTTGTTTGCAGATAATTAAATTAAATAATTTTAAGTAAAAACTTAATTTGATGTGAAAACGATTGATTGCACCCAATTTACTAGTATTGTAAATACAATTTGTAATTATAAAGTATTTTTCAACTAAAATTCATTTTTTAATAATTTACTTATTGTAATATTATATGATATAACTTATTTGACAGTATTATGCTACTGTATTTATTATATACAGTTTATTTTATTTTTATTTTCTTATATAATTACTAATTTTAATAGTAAATACTGTATAATGTATATTATACTACTATATATAATTTACAATAACATTATAATATGCTACATCAAATAATTTTATTTGAAAATGTACCCATAATAGTGATAGTGATAATTATACAGACATGAAAACATTAAAGAGTATATTTTAATTAAAATAAAATATAAATAATTTATGGAATTTATTTTTTTAATAGATAGTAATATTTATAATAGTAAAATCGATTATTTAAAACTAAATTTACAAATAAAACTCAACCAACTAATTTGTGGTAATAAATGGTAATATAATAACTATAATGGTTATAATAAATAAATAAGGGAAAAATTAAATTAATTATATTCAATATATAAAAAATATTATTTAACTATTTTAACACAATTTAAAATCATATTACAGTTATATCATATAACTTATATGTTTAAAATTAATTGTATAACTATTTTTTATATTCCCATAAATATTTGATTAAAAATATGGAAAAGAAAAATAACTAATTCTATGATAAAAATTGTTTTCAAATCATTTATCAATCGCTTGTAATAACTGTAACATTGCTGAGAAGCGCCTCATATTAACAGCGATTCTCTATGAAGTATTGATTCTGTGGTTAAATGTTTATATAAATTTGATGTCTTATAAACAAAGATATTAATATAATATTTGCATAAATATGATTATTATCTTAATTATGTCAATTAAGTAGAAATTAGTTATAACTAAATGGGTGTCAAATTGAGTGGCCACTCTGGACTTAACTTAAATCGTCAGTTCCTCTATATAGCCAAATGGGCACTTCTTGGTGCTGTCATTTGGATTATAACAATACTGATTCGTGAAGTCGAGTTTGTCCACAAAATTAATGGTAATTATTTAATAATTTATTAGTTTATGTTTTAATAATAATTTAACAGAACCTACAGCTTCGGCACCGAATGAAGATGAAGTATTAGTAGACATCAGTCAAACAGCAGATCTACTTTTCCCTCAAGATCTTAGTTTTACAATCAATGAGGGCATTAAAATAGGTGATAAAGTGCCAAATTGTGGTCTTCCCTTATCGTGTGACAGTAACCACTTTGCCGTACATTTATTCACCGGAAAAGATAATCAAATTTTTCCAAAATTATGTATTGACGGCCAATAGTAAGATATTGTTTAGTGAAATAACAATTACAGCAAACTGCAGACATTTTTATAAACAGATCTTATATCTTTAATATCTATAGTTTATTAGATAAAGGAGTCAATGGTTGCGGTCGAGGAATTAATTTGGTGGTCATTGATAACATCACCCGATCGATACTTAGAGTCTCCAATTTTGACACTTATGAAAAAAGTATTGAAATGTTTGATTCTTACAATTTCAACATTAAATATAATGATATGTTTCCTAAATTACTACATTAAATAGCTTCCCAACCGTTAGAAACATTACTTTTGACGCTAAGAGTTGGCGATATTATAATTATGATATCATTTGATGAGTCGACCGCTAAGTAAATCTCATAAATATAATAAATGTCTTATATTTTTAAGATTATTTATATTTCCTGATTTCTTAGATTATCAAAAGTTGCCCGACTTTTGATGCATCAATTGGGCAGTAATTGGGCCCAGAATTTGATATACAGAAGCAGTTGGTATATAATAACACAGAAAGGCATCAATGGATATACTCCTTATGAAAATGTAATTATATTTCAATTGTAAATGATTTCAAATTTGAATTTAAAATTGTGTGATCAGCTTAATCTGCCCAACACTGGTGGGTGGGCCGACTCACATGAAATCAAATTATGTGTTCCTCTTCAAAGTGAGTTGTATTTCCTGATATAATATATATAACTTAAATAATTCAAACTTTTCATATACGATATTTGTTATCATTTGATGATAGTTAATGGTATAGCCGTACAACCAGACCCTATACTCAATCGTAATCCCAAACGATTGAAATTTTGTAGTAAATATTCACAAGAATTTCCACTGTTTTGTGAGGGTTTGTTTTATTTGTTTTATTTATATTAATTTTTTAAAAACTTAAAATTGCTTAACATTTTGTTACTAATAATAGGTAATGTAGTGAATGATCCGCTAACTCCGGCCCGTATATTGAAATATTTGCCGATAAGCAATGAAATAGTGAGAACACCCATAATTGTGATAACGGGTCCAACATATTCACAAAACATATACTTATCGCTAACGTTGGAAACATTAATACGTCAGCCGGGAATCACATCAAGAAATGTAATCGTATTTTACGATAACGTTAATTGTCCACTAATTGCCGATTTGGCCGAAGTTTTTGATTTTATGTCAAATGATTTATCGGATTTTGGATCAGATTTGAATGAAATCTTAAGAACGACTGAACTATTATTTCCTGACTCCAAAGCATTTATTTTAATTGATATGAATACTATATTAGCGCCCGATTTCATCCCATTTATGGGACAATTAATGCCTTTTTTATTAGTTAGCGGTTCGGACATTGAGGCCATATCTGCGTGGAATGATAATGGTTTTGACAGTGTATCCAATGATACGAGTGGTATATATCGAGCCAATGGATCCAATTATATGCCCCGATTTGCCGCAATGTTTCGCCGGGGATTTGCATTCAATATAAGCTCTCCTTATTTGTGGTCATTTGGAGGCATTAATAATATCAATCATTCAAATATTATAATACCTGATGTCTCACGTGTTTTATACATAAATCAAGAGTTAAATTCTGTGTCGAATTTAATACAAGAGTTTTTATCGGATTTTATGACAAAAAAACGATCGATAAATATGTAATAAATTTATCTAAAATTTTGTTGTTTATTATATTTTACTTATCGTATATTTAAGTTATAAATATATTATTTTGTCATACAAACCCATTATAAATTATATTTTAATATAAAAAATATTTAGTATACTTTAGAAAAGTACTAATGTTTTCTTAAAACTTGTTTTTTATATATATTTTATAATTAGTGAAGAGGAAGTGTTGCTTAAAGTGTTTGAATTAGGAGATGGCCTACAATTTTATACACAAAGTATCGCACAAATGGTTAATAAAAGTATTGTGATTAACAATGTCAGCCATTTGTTAAAAATGATATCTTCTAGAGATAATAACTCAAAGTAATTAATATTTATTTTTAAAAAATATTTATCGGTAATAATTATATTCATCAATTATATTAATTGTTTTATTATTTAAACAATTTTTTTAGACAATTTTATGTCATATACTGTGATAATGAAGTCCAATGTAGACAATTGTGCGACGAGTTAGGTCTCGCAAATTGTTTGCCACATTTGATTATACCTAACATTGGAGGAGTTATAAAGTAAATATCGACTAATATTTTGTGCAAAGTTTCAATCAAAACTTTTTAAATATAAAATACAAATATTAACTTTTAATGTTTAACTTAATTATCTTGTTTTTTGATTGTAAAGGTTCTCTAAACGTATGGGTGACACAATTATTTTTATCAATACTTCTCACAAATAATAGATCAAACAAATAACAATCAAAGCAAACGCCAAATCAAAAAACATTTTTTTCAACAAAATCTGAGTCATAGAAAGTAAATTTTTTAGTTGTTTTAAGTATTATTTATATTATCTGTAAAATTACAGAATATTTTATAAGTTTGATATTAAGACCAAATTATATTAATTAAAATACTAAATTCACTTATAGTGTAAAATATTAATAAATAGATTATACAATAATATTATGTTATTTAATGTACTGTAGGGTATATTATTTGTATTTATTATTGATATATATTATACAATATTAAGTGATTAATCACTTTCTAGTATATTGTATTTTATTTAAATAGTTATTTACTAATTGTAAATGTAAAAATATAATAAGTTATAATAAGTTAATATCTTTAATTTTTAAAGAATGTTAAAAATTGTTGATTTTTTAATGAGTAATTAATCAATCTATGTGTTATTTGGCGGTTAATCTAATGTTTAAAAAATAAAATGATAACATTTTTAACAAATAATTTTATTGAACAAAATTGTTTATGTAAAGAATTATTAACTAAAAACATTTTGATAATAAATTTATTATCTTAAATAACTGTTAATTAGTAAAATAATATTTATGCCAAATAAGAGCTTAACTATCAATATATTGCATATCGATTAGTGTTGATATAAATTTACATGAAATTACTGTAATTAAGATATTATAGAAAGATTTCTTAAAAAATAAATTTCAATGTCAGTCAAGTTATTTTATTTTTGTTTGCACTTTTATTAGACAATTGTCTCTTAATTATAAATAATATTCAAATTATTTTTTAATATATCATTTGCATGCAATATTGTATAAATAATTTTAAACAGTAAATATTTATCAATATAAAAACTGTTATTATTTATTTGTAGTTTTGTATAATAATTAAAAAAAATTAATTTAAATACAATAATTATATTATTTTAATATTAAAAAAATATTTTAATAAATAATTGGGATTAATTTTGCTATATGTTTTGTAATTACTCGTATGTGTGGACCTCATATTTATCACTAATAAATGATTGATATGAAATGATTTTTTAAATATTTATTTAATAATCAATTTTGTTAGAATTTGATGTCTTGTTTTGTAATAATTTATCATTTTATTTGATATCTGATTAAATTTAGTCGTAAACTAATGCAATATATTTTTAATGACTTACTGATTCAATAGATGTACAAAATTTTAATGTTTATTCATATGTATATAATTAACAACAACTAACAAGTTATTAATAATGTGAGTTAATAAAACATGTCCTTGTTTATTTTTTAAATATTTAAAAAAAAAATTATATACAGTCTAACATTCTAACAATGTATTATAGAAATTGTATTTATATTTATTTATAAGTTAATATATATTATTCATCATTTAATAAATATAATATTTCTTCTATCTCTAACTTTATATAATTTAAATATAAAAATTGTAACAGTTTTTTGTTACAAATCATATATATATATAAATTTATATACAATATTGTATTTATAAAAATGAATGGCAATAATTGCGAGAAAAAGCTGGAAAATTGTGAAAATAATGATAAAGAAGAAGACGTGGATGTTATGTGTGGTTGGGGTGAATGGAGGCCACAGTGGTTACAGAGATTTGGAACTCCCGTTTGGTATATGGTTTTCTCAAACATATTGGGCATAATTCAGGGAGCAATGGGAATGTATGGCATCGGTGTTATGACTACCATTGAAAAGAGATTTGAATTAAACAGTAAACTCATGGGTTTGGTGATGATTGCCGACAATTTTAGTCCAATTATTTTTAGTCCCATAATTGGCTATTATGCCAGTCATGTTCACAGACCGCGATTGATAGCAATTGGTATGTTTGTTGTGGTCATCGCTTGCTATATGTCTGCAATGCCTTACTTTATATACGGACCGTCGTATCATTTACTGAGTGATCACTCAATGAAAAATAAGACAAATAAGATTGAATTTTGTGAATCAAATCGCGATATCAATTGTGACGACTTATCTACAAAATCCAATACAATTTATATTATAATTATATTTTTTATTTGCAATTTCCTCAATGGTGTGGGCAGTAATGCCTTTTATACGGCCGGCTTTACATATCTTGACGATAATGTAGAGAAGTCACAGTCGGCTATATTTTTGGGGATCACCTATACTGTCCGTATGCTCGGACCTCAATTAGGATACTTTTTGGCCGGATTTTGCCTCAAATATTGGGAAAATCCATTGTGTAAGTGTATTCAAATTGTTTATATACTGTATAAATTATTTCTAGTATACATACCATACTTACATAATTTATACTCAAAACAAATCATTTGTTTATAAATCAAATTTTTAAAATTATAACACACTGTCAATATTCAAAGTCTAAAAGTTGAGAAAAATATTAAGATTGAATCAATAATATTTATATTATTTATACCTTAATATAATAAACATTGAAAAACATTTAATTGATAATTTATTATTATTATTATTATTATTATTATTATTATTATTATAGATGAAGTAGATATATCAGCATCTGACCCCCGTTATGTGGGTGCGTGGTGGGTGGGCTTCTTAATTGTGGGCACAATATTACTGATATTTACGTTTCCGATGGCATTGTTTCCCAAAAGAATGCGCGGAATGACTGTCAAGGGAACAGAATCTGTGCCTAAAATTAAAGGTTTGTTATCTTTTATCTCTTATATTATTCCGTTCACGCATTTACTCCATTGAATGAAGGAATTGAAGAGAAAAACAAAATAATAAAAAATGAAAGAGAAATTAAAAACTTGAAATTGATTTTTGTTTTCTTATGTTTTGTTTTATTTCCTTTTTTGTTGTTTTGTTTTTATTTATAATTTTTTTATTATAAAACACAGAATTTCCTCAAAAGGCCGTAAAGTTATTAAAGAATCCAATTTTGATACTATTTATAATAACAGCTGTGCTGTCGCTCAACGCAGGAATCGGTTATTTTATTTTTAGACCAAAATATATAGAAAATCAATTCAGAAAGACATCGTCTGAGGCCAGTCTTATAACAGGTCAGTCAATAACAGTAGTTGTTATTGTTTTACTTTAATTGGTTATATTATTGCATACACGATATATAGGATCTGTTGGCACCATAACCGGTACATTTGGTATAATAGTTGGATCAATCATTATAAATAAATTCAAACCCAGACCTAAATATTTAGTCATTTATATGATTGCTCTAAACTACGTTTCCTCGGCCTCTATGTTTTCCATGTGGTTCATGGGATGCGATAATCCTATGATGGCTGAGACATCTCTTAGTAATAATAAGTTAAATTTGATGAGTCCATGCAATATGGACTGTCAGTGCTCTACCCGTACATTTGAGCCGGTATGCGATGCGGACGGTGTATCCAATTATTTTAGTCCGTGTCACGCGGGATGTTCGCACCAATTGGATGCAACGGATAGCTTAATTAGATTTGGTGGCTGTAAATGTGCCGGAAGTAATCAGACAGTGACCAAAGGTTATTGTAAATCTGATTGTTCGGCATTCTTGCCGTATCTCAGTATAGCCACCGTTGATGGTATGTTATCATCGACATCGAGAGTCGGCGACACTCTTATACTATTGAGAAGTGTTGAGCCCAAAGATAAGAGCTTTGCATTAGGACTGTTGGCCTCTATTCTCAATCTTTTCTGTAAGTCATTACTCTTTCTAATAATAATATTATCTTTTAGTTTAGTTTAATATTCACTGCACACACAACTTATACAATAAAGGAAATGACAAATGTTTTGTTTAAAAAACTTAATATTTTTATCAAATTTATTGAATAGTAAATAAATAGATAATTAAATATTTTGTTTTTAATTCAAACTACTATTATCGTCATTTGTTAGTATAGAAAAATTATAGTATTTGTTATAAAAGTTAATTTAATATAAATAGTGGAAAAATAGACAAATTAAATGTTAAGAATCGTTTTGAATTGTATTCACAGAAATTGTTTTAAAAGCACAAAAAAATAGAAATTTTGTTTTATCTAACAATTGAACTAAAATTGCAACTCATTTAAGCATTACATGCATTGAAGAGTTTTTTCCAAACGCTAAACAAACATAATTAAAGGTTAAAAACAATAATAGTTAATGTGTTTTATGGGATGAATTTGTTTCTACACATAGCCTTCATACCGGCGCCATTAGTGTTCGGCGCCCTAACCGACGCAGCGTGTGATGTATGGCAGCGGACGTGTGAACACACGGGTCAGTGTTGGCTCTATAACATCGATCGTTTCCGCCATTTACTGCACGGCACGACATTCAGCCTAATGTTCATCTCAACCATCATATCGACGGCAATCATATTATTCACGAATCGCATCAAAGATTTCTACGGCAATGACGATAATGAGGAGACCACTGATGAGATCGTCAATACAGCAAACAGTCTTGAATTGAAACCAACCGTTAATAATGTTGCAAATTGTGCACAAAATAATCATAAAAATGACAATTAAATAAATAAATAAACATTAAAGCTATTTATTTATTATTTTTTTATATTCATAAATCATATACAAAAATATTTTTTTGTGTATATTTAATAATTACCAAGCTCATATTTTAAGCCATTTGTTATGTAAATATTGACATTAATAGCTTAGAAAATTTTGTAATTTATAATTATGTTATAAATTGTAACTTTTTTATAACGTTAATAGAAAAATAAATTAAAAATTTCAACAATGCTTACATAAAATTGTTTAATACAGTATAATATATTAAATTTCAAATTTACATTTTATTTAAAATAACATTTAAACCACAAAAGGATTTGACAAATTGTTTAGTAAATGTGACGTTTTTAAAATAAATTAAACGATTTATTATTTATTTGACTTCTAAGATATGTTTAAAAAGTTATTTAAAAGTAAACCCAAAACTTGTATATCAAATAAAATGGCATTTCATTTATTGAATACATCAAAACCATTGAGTATTGAGAATCCAGTGTTTAATGAGAGGATAGAGATATCGGTTGGAAATAAAGAGATGGATGAGAATCGACAAAATGCCATTAAATATATTATCAGTCAATTTATTACACAAAACAAATGCATTTATCCGAAAACATTAGACAAGAAAACAGTTGATCTTATATTCAAATATCTTAAATCAGATCAGATAATTGAAATGATCGAAGACTTTAAGCTATTCACTCAAAACAATCCATCGATGATTGAATTGGACTGTTTTATTGATAATATTATCAGATTATTAAACATTATTTAAATAATAAAAATAATATATTTAGTAAATTAATAAATATATTATTTAAATTTAAAATTAACTTATTTTGAATTAATAAAAAGAATATTTATAATATTTAAATTATAATATATTAATTTATTATAAAACTAAAAAACAAAAATATCCAAAAATACTTATTTTGAGATGTAATCCGAATAAATTAAGTTTGAATAATTTTTCATAAATTATTATGAGATACTATGATATTATTAAAAGCAATAATTTGAAAAATGATTACCAATTACATGAATTAGCTTTCAAGTGAAGCATAAATAATATGACTATCAAATGTTTAGCTGAAACAATGTTTTGTATATTAGATTATAAAATGTATTGAATATAAAACAAAGTTAAGACATTGCATAAAACAAGATTATTATATATAAAATAACTTTTATTATATACTGTATAAATATATATACAGTATATTACCGGTATAGTATATATTTTTAACAATATTACAGAATTGTAGCCATAAATCGCAGTCAAAATAAATTACTAACAATTTGTGTGCCATAAACTCATTATTTAAAATTATCATTTAATCTATAATGTCTTCTTTCTTTCACTCACTCACTCACTCACTCACTCACTCACTCACTCACTCACTCACTCACTCACTCACTCACTCACTCACTCACTCTCAATCATACAATATTAATATACAGTATAATGTGAATAAAAAAATGTGAGTTAAGTCACGAAAATCTTTTATCAAGAAATGTTTTTTTTTAAACATAATATAAAACCAAATCGACAAATACTAATGAAGTAATTTTTTAAATAAAATATTATTTCAATTTTATTATTATTTTAATCTCAAGTATACTGTTATTAATAAAATGGTTATTTTATATTTTATGTAGTTAAGCAAATATTGTTTAAATAAATAGTTAATTTTGTTATATATTATTATTATATATTAATATTATTGTACTAAATATTGTTGTATAAATAGCATACAAATGCATTTCTAATAGTGTGCTATCATATCATTTAACAAAATCGTTGTTTCGTTTGTTTGTTTGTTAGTAAAACTCAGATTTATTATTAAAATATACATAAAATATATTTCTAAGAAATGACTTTTATTCGAGTATTGCTTTTGACAATAAAATTCTTGAATCGTTAATATAATACTAACATCTTTTAGAGTATTACTGAATATAAGTTAGATATTAAATATATATAATATATAGTATATTAAATACAATATTTATGCTAATTTTATTAAATACAGTTGAATAATTATTATGTTAATTATGTTAAAGATTATATATTTACAATTATTATTTAGTCACAAAATGAAAACCAAAATATTTTTTTTATCAATATTGAAATGAACCAAATCTATAGATCCAATGTTATTAATACTATACTTTGTTAAAATATAATAAAATTAATAATAACCAAATAATATAAATACAATAATATATTTCTGCATTTTAACACAAAATTAATATTTTCAAAATATTAAATAAATAAATATTTATTTGTAAACTCTAAAACAATAGTTTATGTTTCTCTAATAAAAAGTCTATATTTTTATATTTTTTTACACAAACACTATTTATAATCAAATTGATGTATATTTTTATCGACTTTAAAATACAATTCAATGATATATATATATATATATACAGTATATATGTATGTATAATAATATATTAGAATCAACTTTAATATATTTTAATATTTTTATGTTTTATTACATAAAATAAAAATAATGGAAAATTTGCTCTTATTTTTTGATGAACGCATAAAAAATCAATATTTGCTCGCATTTTAACTAAGAAATTCAATTCAATGAAACACAGACAATGAAACACTAAAAATTGTTAATAATAAATGATTTTTATTTTGTTAAAAGACAATAGTATAATAATAATACCTGAAAATGAAAATTATGTCAAAATATATACTTATTTTAATAACTGTTTTTGGAGTCGTTTTAATTTTCAGATCTCTTAATAATGTCGGACACAAATTGTATCAAAAATGTTTGTCTTGTTTTTTGCATTTTATTATATAATTAGATATAATTATTTGCATATCTGTATCATATACTGTATTATTATAGACACACATCAAGACATAATTAAATGGGAGCACGAATTAGCCGATTCAGACAATGCCGTCAATCATAAAGATCTCGATGACTATTGCCATACCATATGTCAATTGGATGAGTACTGCACCGGAACCACGAGTCTAACTAAGCCGGGATTGTGTCAGTGCAGTGATTGTAAAAATGATTCAATTCATATACATTTATAAATGTTTTGAACAAATTAATTGTAAAATTTTTATTTTAACAAATTTTCAAAGTCAATCAGTTTAATTAATATTTAAAGTTTGTTAAAAATAGATTTTTGTTGTTGTGTTTTTTTAAATCGTTAAAAATGTTTTGTTAAATAACAATATGTCTAAAATCAATATTGAAATAACTATTGTTAAAATCAAAGTCACTAACAATATGATATGTTATAATATTTGATTATAGTATATGTTTTATATGGTTATTAACTGTGGTTTTATTATAAAATATATTATAAATTACTGTATATTGAAAATCAACATTATTTTAAAATCTTATTGTTAGTACTACTGATATTCTCAAAGGAAAGTATTTTATAATAAAACTGTAGTTTTGTGTGATTTATGTCTAAAAAGCCTTCAAATTGGCAATTGCTATGATATTCAGTGTATGTAAAAAATAATAAAACACTACTGTTTTCTGTATTCCAAAATGTATTGTAAAACTATAAACAATTGTTATCTTTTGCTACTATTGTAGACAACAAAAAAGTGTTTATAATAACTGCAATACTATTTGGGACCTAAAATATAATACTCAGAGGAAAGGTTTTGTTGATTAATAGCAAACAATTTATGGTACAATTAATAGTATAAAACTTGTTTCAAATTATCATTTGTTTGTTATTTTTAACTTTATGTTTATACTATACAATATTTACAGTATTATATATTATATTATTAAAATAATAGTTAGCTATAGTTATAGATCAGTGGTTAAAATTACAAATAAAATAAATACAATATATATTTTAATTATAATTTATGTAAAGAAATTTGACAAACTTATATTTTATTGTTATATTTATATAATTATAAAAATTACAAATAATAACTTTTAACTTTTAAATAAAAAAAATGATCATGATATCATTGTTATCATTGATAACACTTAATTTTAATGACTGTTATAGACCATAGTTTTCATATTATCAATAAATTTAAATACATATATCTTATATTTAAAGTTCATATTATAATGAAGTAATGCATATTTCTGGCAGAGTCTTAAACAGCGACACAGCTTTTAGAGGTTATGTTTTTGTTGCGATTATCTGTTCGGTTATATTATATATTACATTGACATGACTTGAAATGATGGGCAATGTTATAAATAATATCAAAATTATATAATAATGTAATTAATTAATTTACAAATTGGTAGCATATGGTAGACCAGATAAATGTGGCCGACAGTTATAAATTTTTAAAAAATTAGTCGACGATAATTATCTAATTAACTTTACTGTATAAAAAAATTAAAAATTAATTCACCTTATTGTTACCCACAAATTTTACAATAGTTATTTTTAATACAATTATTATCTGATAATCTAAATTAAAGCATAGCCTCAGTCGATATTTAAAACTTTATCATTCATTTATTGATAAAATTGTAATATACTGTACACAGTATGTAACACATTAATTATACTTTTTCATTAATTAATATTTTAAAAATACAATAATATTGATAATTAGTGTAATAATAATAATATAGTAATAGATATTTGTGCAATACAGTTAAGTTATAAATGATATTTTGAACACAATTAAAGTTAATTAATAATTAAAATATACAATATTAATATTGTAGTTATCGGATAATACATTTGACATAAATAATTATTTCAATAATAACTTTATAAGTAAAAAAAATTATTAGAACTCATCAACATTTAAATAAATATATTTTCTAATAATCAATAAGTTTTATAATAAATATTATAAATTTGCAAACTTTATAAAATACTTATCGATTAATATTATTTTATTCAATTCTTTAAAAAATTATTCAATGTTTTACTTTTTATTATACTGTAGAAGTTTATAACAATTGTTAGCATAAAATAGCTATAAAAGTTTTTTACTATATACTTATTATTACTATTTTTTTAAATTTGAAAAAACTGTATATTATATTATAAGTTATTTTATATAATTAATATTT